CTCTACACAATGCTGAATTCCAAGGACTCTGGCCAATGAAAACTCCACAGCAAAATCAGGAGGTTTGCAGTGTCTTTGACCTTGACCATACATTGGTGAAGAAGTATGTACAGTTCGGCGAAGTGTTTAACCTTCTTCATGGAGCTGCCAACTATCTGAAGATTCACCAAAACGGATTCGGCGCTGTTGGTGTCTCCAAAAAATATGGCAAGAGAACGTACGCCAGATATCCTATTTTCTGGGGTCTAAAGAACATTGCATCGTTGCCAAACCCCGATCCATCTGACATCGCCGAGTGGGATCACAACGCAAACAGCAATTTTGAAGACATTATTATCGATGCAGAGTTTGAAGCCAGTCGTACCACACTCAAGAGACAAGCGCAAGAATGGGCAGGACTCAATGTTGACCCAGAGGCCCAGCTATTTGTGTTTGTCGGTCGTTGGTCCACGCAAAAGGGCATTGATCTGATTGCAGACATCTTTCCCTCCATTCTAGATGCTCACCCAAAGGTCCAGTTGATGTGCATTGGTCCAGTCATTGATCTTCATGGAAGGTTTGCCGCGTTAAAATTGAATCGGCTCATAGAGCTCTACCCTGGGCGGGTCTATTCCAAACCAGAGTTCACTGCACTACCGCCCTTCATTTTCAGTGGCGCTGAATTCGCCTTGATTCCTTCTCGTGATGAACCCTTCGGTCTGGTAGCCGTGGAGTTCGGACGGAAAGGAGCGTTGGGCGTGGGATCACGGTAAGACTAATCTTGCTTGGAGTTTACCACCAGTACTAACCTAAGTTTCTTTAGTGTTGGTGGCCTTGGGCAGATGCCAGGGTGGTGGTTCACAATGTGAGTTTCCTTCTCTCACGATATGTTCAGACTAACCCATTCTAGCGAGTCTATGACAACCAAACATCTTATCCAACAGTTCAAGATGGCCATCAACGACGCTCTAAAATCGTCCCAGGAAACACGAGCGCTAATGCGCGCACGATCCAGCAAGCAGCGCTTCCCCGTAGCACAGTGGGTTGAGGATCTGGAAATCCTACAAGCCACCTCCATCAAAAAGCATGCCAAGTACGCTAAACGCCACGATCGCAGTTCATGGAGGTTTTCCCATGGCAGCACCGTTGTCACTGAAAGTATTCGCAAAGTCTCGTCGAGCTCAAAAGACAGCCGCGAACAGAGCCGATCACGCAGCTCCACCGGGTCCCTCCCGCCGAACAGGCCGATTACGTCTGATATGAGGCTGTCTGTACCTCGACCAGGTTTTAAACACGTTCTCTCGCCGACAAATTCGTCTTCCAATCTAAACATGTCCGATAACGAGCCCGATCCTGACACCGACCCAAGACGCAGACCCTTGTCCTCCGAGCCTCTTGCAGATTCGCGAATTGTTTACTCTGCGGTAAGCGATGCAGAAGATCTGGATCCCATTCCTGGGGCCATCCATGAGGACGGCAGTATTCATCCATCGCCACTTGGGACACCTACCGTTTATTTTGCTCGATCTGGTGCCAGCACACCAGTTCTCGGTGGACGATCAGAAGACGGTCTACTGGGCCGAAGAGACGCAAGGGCGTCCATGATGAGTCTGGTCAGCGTCGATGATATAATAAAGGAGAAACAAGACTATAACCTCCAGAAAGTTGATCCTTTTTTCACGGATGCGAATAACGAGTATGCGGATAAGTTTGAGAAGAAGCTTGCAGACCTGAATGGCAAGAACTCAGAAGACCAGCTCTGCATCGAAGATTTTCTCGAGAAGAGCCAGAAAGACTGGTTCAATCGATACCGCGACGTCAAACTGGGCAAGTCCCCCTTGCCGTCTCCTGCTCCCTCTGTCTTTCGCATCAAGGTTCGTGAAACTGGCCGAGATGAGAGCCCTCCAATTACTGGTCCAGGTGCAGACCCAAATACCGGGCAATTTCTTCTCCCAGATGACTATGTTCCCCCCACGGGTTTGAAGCGTTTCATGTTGATGAAGCTGGGTGATTGGCCTGTGTACTCCATCTTTCTCGCTATTGTGAGTTAGGACCCTACCAAAATTCTTTCATTACAGAGGTTGACAGCATTCTTTTAGGGCCAAATTCTGGCCTTGAATTCATACCAGATCACACTACTGAACGGTGAGATTGGAGAGACGGCCGAAAAGCTATATATTCTGGCATCCATCTATCTTGCCTCTTCGATCATATGGTGGATGATCTTCCGTCTAGTCCCCTCGGTCTATGTGTTGGCGATTCCTTTCTTTGTACGTTCATGTTCCTCTATCTAGCTTACGAGGTTACAAGCTAATACCCGCAGATATACGGGTTTGCCTTTCTCTTTGTCGGTCTTGCCGGTCCCATCCATAGCAGCGCAAGTCGAACATGGCTACAAAACGTGGGCACCGGCTTGTATTCGTTTGCATCTTCGAGTGGCTCGATCTTCTTCGCTCTCAACTTTGGAGATGAAGGTATGCAACAATCCTTTTAGGAAGTATGGAAGTTATCTGACTTTCCTGTCCAGGTGGAGCGCCTCTTAAGTCTTGGATTTATAGAGCCACCGTCATACAGGGCACTCAGCAGTTGTTCATCAGTTTTCTTTGGTACTGGGGTAGCTGGATGGCAGCTCTCAATCGAAAGGGTAGCACGCAGTTCAGCCTTGCCATAACCGATCCCGGCACTTTGCTCGGGATCGGACTCGGACTTGCCTCTCTTCTGTGGTTGTTGGGGGCCCTGGTCTTCTTTGGACTTCCTGCATATTATAGACAAGCACCAGGTCAAGTGCCGACATTCTACCTTTCACTCTTCCGCCGTCGCATAATCCTTGTATGTCTCTTCCAGTTTTCCTTCAAGCTAATTTTGATCTTAACGCTGTATTTTGCAGTGGTTTTTCTACATGGTGTTCATATCAAACTACTGGCTGTCGGCACCTTACGGACGAAACTGGCTCTATCTCTGGTCCAGCAAGCATGCAAGCGTGTGGCAAATCGTGCTCCTTGTTCTTCTCTTCTTCATCGTTGTCTGGGCGGCCGCTCTCTGGGTCTTTCACGTCTTTTCCAAGAGACACGCCTGGTTCATCCCGATCTTTGCCGTCGGTCTTGGTGCGCCTCGATGGGCCCAGATCCTGTGGGCAACCTCCAACATAGCTACGTACATCCCCTGGGCCGGCGGCCCAGTAGCCGGAGCTATCCTTGGTAGAGCACTATGGCTCTGGCTAGGAGTTTTGGATTCCCTTCAGGGTGTCGGTAAGTTCCCTCTCGCACCGAATAGAATGCAACATGAACTCATTCACGCCAATACAGGGTTTGGAATGATTCTCCTCCAAACAATGACTCGATTCCATGTCACTTTCACCCTTCTAGCCGCACAGGTGGTCGGTTCTATTGCGACTATCCTCGCCCGCGCGACAGCACCGGATAGGTTAGGCCCTGGTGATGTTTTCCCTGATTTCTCCGCTGGCGTCGCAGCCGGCTTGGCAAAGGCAGACTTTTGGGTCTGCCTGCTCTTCATGCTATCCATCAACGTGCTCTGCGTCTTCTTCTATCGCAAGGAACAACTCGCGAAACCTTGATCGCTGTTCCAACCGTGACTAGCATTCTCTTTCCTTGTTTTTCTCTGTTTTACATCCCCGTAACACTGCGTGGCGTAAGTGTTGTAATTGAAGGATTAATTATACTACACTGGGTTGCATTTGCTGGGGCCCGACACACCTTGTGGAGGTTGCCCCATATTTTGGATTTGTATATCGTGTATCAAAAGACTACTGGTTTACAAGTTCTACAGAGATCCAAACTTCATGTTCATTTCCGTCTAATTCTAGAATGGCCGCGATGCTTCCAATCCCAAATCAAATTCATAGGTCTTTACCGTGAAGCCATTTCCCATTCAATGAAATTATTCGTCCAGCGAGGCGGCACGTCCCGGTCGCGCGAGAATTACTAATATGGAGCGGTACAGCCCACGCTAATATAGGTACCGAGCGTTGAACTGCTCAGGTATTCCCCCGGCAGGGAGTAGGAGTAGGGTAAGTATAACACAACACTCATACATTCTTTTAATGCATTCTTCTAATCCACTCTCCTGTTCTATTCTCTTACGCCATTTTTCACGTTCATGTACCAGTCTCTCGTTCTCATCCAATGTATCACATCTTGTTCTCGTTCGCCGTAGTCGTCTGCCTTGGCACGTGCTGGAAGATCGCTGCCTCATCTCGGGTGAAATTGCCAACTCTCTCAATGAACTAGCGCCGCAAGGATTCACTGCTCAGCAACTCGTATTGAATTTCAATTTCGCGGACGTTGATCCAATTCCGGTAAGTGGGGGTTTCTCAAGGTTAATGAATGAAAGCTCATAATCAAATTCACTCTATCTACACTAAGATAGACACGATGGTCGCTGTGGTTCCGACGGTTGTGAAACTCCTGATGAACAAGCTGATCAGTAATCTGATCTTGTCCACTGCAAAGTTCATGTCGTAGTGCCACGTTGTGATAACCACGTAAACTATAACAGGACTCTTCTACGTTTACCATGCCATGTGATGGTACATATTTCTCATGGAGATGCTCGACGAGATCTTGAACAACCCTAGAAAGCGACGTGGGTTACAGGTAGGCCGTGGGATAGAGTGTCAAATTATGTATCCGGTGGGATGCATCGAAAAGATATTTTTCCTGGGTCCCGGGAGTCATGCAGCTCAGCTCATTTTAGGGCTTCCAGCTTGGCAGGCCTGGCTTCATACCCATGTCTCAGCGCTGACATGTAGACTTGTACCTTGTCAAGGCCAATGACGCATCCTAGCTTCTCCTTTCACTGCTGCTGTATTCTTGTAGAGATCGGGAGAGCACTCAAAATCAGGTGTAGAATCCGCAAGGCGGTCATCAGAACCCCGCAGTGCGGCTCTGTCGAGCACCAATTATAGCCGCCACGGTGTTTTGGGGGCCATTTCCCAGTACAAAAGGCGCCCTATTCCTCCTCCATTCAGATCAGAGGCTTCTCTCGTAAGTCTCAAGTCAAAAATGGCGCCACTCAAGATTTTTCTGGATGGCAAATCGTCCATCACTCGCCAGCCGGAACGAGGTGCCCTCAGTTTCATCGTCAAGGCGGCTGGACCAAGCCGAGAAGGCGTGTCCAGGAAGGTGACCGAGACATCTAATGAGATAAACCGACTGTTTAAAGAGCTATCACCCAAATCTGAGACCGGCGAAACAATTGCGGGCTCACCGGTCACATCATTCTCTTCCACCTCGCTACAAACACGATCTCACGTACCAACCGATAAGTCGGGCGAGCCTCTACCGACGGTTTACCATGCAACTCTAGCGCTCAACGCTCTTTTCCAAGATTTCACCACGCTGAATGAAGTCGTTGGAAAGTTGGTTTCTTACCCCAACATCGAGATCCAGTCCCTTGAATGGTGTCTCACCGAGGCGACACAAAAGGACTTGAGTTCCGAGTCCCGTAAAGAAGCAATGCGCGACGCCATCCAGAAAGCAAACGACTACGCTGAGGTGGTTGGACGAGAAGTCTTTGCAGTGGAGATCAGGGACTCAGGGAGCGGGGTTAACGCTGGGCGATACAACCCTTACCATTCAAATATCCAGGGGATGATGCCGCAGCAAATGCAACAAATGCAGCAACAACAGGTGGCTCGGTCAACTATGTTGGCTCAGCAGCAGGCTGCCTCCTCCGCTGCTTCCAGCGCGAGTTTCAATTCAGGAGGTTCCACATCACTTGATTTGAGTCCGCAGTTGATTCGGTACACGAATTCCGTGAATGTTGAATTCAGGGCTGCGGACATTTAAGAGGCTTGGCCTTGGTGCTTCTAGGTATATTCTAGCTGTTTTTACTTTTACTTCGCTCGTTTCAGTTTACACAGCTATATCGCAGCACGAAATTAGTTACCAGAATACTATAACACTCAACTCAAACGACTGTCATGGTTGGGATATGCAGGAATCCTCTTGTAGCCGAGTTTGATCCGACTATACACGTCATAGGCGTTCGGCGTTTGGTGGACAATGCAATCACTTCTCCTGGTAGTTTCTAGGATTTGTAAAGACAATGTATTGCACTTCTGACTGCACAGTGATAATATGATAAGACATCTCTTTGAATAGGAAGAGCTTCAAATACTAAACAGCAGTCAAATGTATGAATTGGCATATAATTGCCAGGCGACACTCAGACAACAATCCGTGATTTGTTCTCGCTGTCATTCGCGCACAACACGACCATCGCTACTGATCGACAAGAAGATCCAACATCAGTACCAGGTGCAACCCTCCAGCACCCGGTTGAATCCATCAAAATTCACGGAATCTCTGATTGTTTCAATCCTAGACCTGGCTTTGGCTTGAGGATAATCTAGATGACCGGCTGATATTTCTTGCGAAGATTCTGGTAGATAGGACTCATAGTCGAGATCACTAGAAAAGTATTGCTCCATGGGCACAGAAGGAGGGGTATAAAGGTAGCTCGTCTGAGAATAATGATTGCCATGGTCAAAATCTGGGGAGAATTCACACGTAGAATTTGGAGCTGGTCGACGGCTAGTGAAGGACCCCGGAGCAGTAGATTGCGTTGTTTTGCTGGCGGTCGCAACAGATCCCGGTGACTCAGTGTGTACAGATCCTCGGATTGGATCGCTAAGTAGAAGAGGGTCTCGCGGTAGCAGGTGTGATTCAGACTTCTGGCCGGGAGGAGAGCCTCTTATGCAAATCTGGTTGTGAATGATTGCAAGTTCCAAGTCGTCTGGTACATTGTCCCGGGAAATTGAAACTCTCGCATTCGCGTCTGCAAACGATCAGAATGGGCTCCATAAGAGTGAAGGTATACGTACCTAGAACGTGATCAAAAAGTTTTTCTTCCTTCTCTCGGACGTAGTATAGCTCATCGAGTAGGTTTATCCGGTCGGCTGGGGATATCTGTCGTCGAATGGTCTCATCCGCTGCTCTCAGTCTGCGCGCAGTGACTCCGTGGCTAGCCCGTAATTCACAAAGGATATGACCGAGAAGTTGAATTCGTTCTAGAATGAGAGTCAAATGTTGTCATTATGTGCAGAGAGAAAACGGTACCCACCAGCTTTGTGCAGATGATCTGGCTCTCGATGCCTCACTTCAATTGGCCACCATGGCGGCTTGGTCTCATCAGGACTCAATTGGTGTGTTACTCCTGCCACATTCTTTCGTCCATTGTAGGGAAATTTAACCTGTTTTCGCGGCTCAACAAGCCTCACATAGACCTTTGCAAGGATTCGACAATTCGTCTGTTGTAGATTTTCAAACACCTTTTCGTAGTACCGACGAAGAAGGCTTGCGTTTCCAACGGGTATCATGATATTCTTGGAAGCTAACACGTTCTCTGCAATTTGTGGCCTAACCTCATGCTGCAAACGCTCACTGGCTCTGACAGACCGATCGACCAGCTCCCCAGGCCACATTAGTGGCAATACATGAGGCATTGGAGCTATTTCTCTAGCGATGTGAGCCAGAGTCTGTGAATCCCCAGCAGACTCGGGAGTATAGGTCCGATTGGGTTGGGAAGAGGTTCGGCTACTTGGTAGCCCATGATGCGGTGTTACCTGTAAGGCTAGTACACGTTCTCCGCGTTAGTCCAGTAGATGCAAGATACACATGGATGTCACCAACAATTGATCTCGGCGTGATTGTCTTCGAATGCTGATACTGCTTGCAAAAACTGATTTGTGACTTCTGGAGAGATGATGCGGTCACGACTTTCGGAGATGGAAGGCGAGGTTTCATGTCGCAGATTACCTGCTTGGTCAATGAAAATGAGTGCAAAATGCGAAACACCCCTCTCTTCTTCGTTTTGCATCGGGAAAGATGCTATCAAAAGCTATATCAGCCCGTATCCATCACAAGAAGAAGCCGGTTCAAGACGATTGGTGATGTGCTATGCCTTATGAACTACCACCCCTGACCCTTTGGACGAGCGCTCTCAATGGGAGATTTATTGACGGCCAGATTGAGGGAAAGGGAGAGAGGCTTACAATCAACAATGATCACATCCGAAGAGTTTGTAGCCAGTGACATTAGGATGGTCGATTGGATAAGCAATGTGCTTAAATGGCGGATATTGTTGGTAATGATAAAAGCCGGAGATGTAGGGATTTATAGAGAAAATCCCCTATAATCCGGCCAATCACCATCTGCTGCAATAGCTTTAGGTATCATCGAATAATGAAAGATAGTCACGAAAGCCGACGTCTGCATACAAACCGATATGCTAGCTGGCACCGTTACCTGGGTCAGTGCCCATCCCGATCTTGAGGTATGCTTCTGTCACAATTGGTATGCTTCTGTCAGAATTGCGCCCCACATATCCATGTTGAGATTGATGCGCCGAACCATGACCTTGGCAGATGCCTTGAGCTTTGAGCCTCTAGCTAAGATCCACAGAACTTACCAAATGTGGAAATAGTATCTGAGTCTCAATGTGTCAAGTACGCTCTAATGGGGCGAATCAAGTAGTCGCCTCCTCAGCCGTGTGACAGGTTGAAAATATGTTTTCAAAATGATTTGCCGGAGAGTAAAGTAAGGCAATCCTTAGCGTACTCTAAACACCAAACTTCGGCGGACTCGGAATGCAGATCACTTTAGAAAAAAAGTACCAATTCCCCGACCCCCACATGCAGTGTTATAACACCCCAGGGAGTCTATCACGTTTCAACGTTGTACATTCCCAATAGATTACATACATAAGGTATTATTTAGCCATCATATTCGGTCGACTGCAAGACGTACCCATTATCCGCTTCTCCCTGTCAAACATTCGTTCCAGAGAGGAACCCCTGAATTCAAAGTTTTGGCCGAAAGTCCCGACCACCAAAGATGCGCAGCGGGATAAGCAAATAGCGCGATATTGATACGAGAACTGGACGGTCATTGCGCGGGTTTTCCCTCGCTTACCATGGCATTCTCTATTACATTTGAATTCCTTTAAAATACAGTGGTGGTTCCTCGCTGGGTTTCGATCTGCAAGCCTCAACTTGGCAACTGCATTTCAACTGCATTTCAACTGCATTTCAGCTGGTCTGAGCTCTGAGTCTGGCTAAATAGAAGTGTGAACGATTTTTAAAGTCTTATCAGAGTGAATTGGAATCCACAACCTCGACCTAAGCCATTCATGTTGGGTTCTATTACACAATGTATTATCTGAGTGTATGGGTATATTAATTAACCCCATGCACTGAAAGCTAGATACAGGAATTTAAGACAAACAGCACTAATAGGCGTAAAAGCGCGGTTGGGCCCAGGATACTGGCGATATTGGTGTCCGGGGTGGTGAATAACCGGGCTTTGCTGCTTGAGTCGGTGGAGTAATCACCCGTTTTACCGGCCAAGCAGAGATACATGCACGGGGGGCAAGCCCCTCTTTCTTGCTTCCAACCACCTGACAGTATGCCTGTATTGAAAATTTAGTGTCCAGGCCCATGATCGGGTGCATGAGAGAGCAGGGGGCAACTTACCCAACCATCATCGAGGATCTGAGTTATGATAACATTTTGGCCCTCATCAAGGCTCAACTGACTCCCATTTCGAGACTCGTATTTCATATCGACGTGATATACATCTCTGCGGAACAGACTCGTGGTTGATAACTGGGGCCTGAGGTCCTGATACACATTGTTTGTCTGATGCTTGAGTCCCGATTTCGCTGAGGTTGTCGATACCCTGCTTACCGTGCAGGAACTTCCATTAGAAACACTCAACTGGTCCACTTTTTCATCTCCAGCAGAAAGTACTTCTCTCAGACAGAGTGGATCCACGGAGTGTTCTTGTATTGGCAGGACTGCTGGTGTTGGCGGTTGAGGAAACTTGAATATATAGTGCGAGCTGTCCGTCAAGGAAAGTGGGGATATGAATGTTTCAGCGCTGCTATTGATCGTCGCGGACCATATACCACTTGTCCGTGATTCACGCGGACCTGGATGAGTTCTTCGAGTTTCACGCTTCTTGAACTTGCTAGAAATGGCATACCAAACAGCGAAAGTTGTTTCTTTGGCTTGCGGTATCAGCTTGCTCGCGTCCTTGCAAGCAAGGCCTCTGCGACTTGTTTGTGGATGCGCATTGCGAGAGTCGGAAATTCGCTTGGGAGCTTCTGTCATCCAATTGGTGGCCCATGTGCCGATATCGTCACTTGGCTCCTTGCGCGCCGATCTAATTACTGTTTCAAAGGAAAGAGTACTTCTGGTTTTGATGTTCGATAAGATCTTTTTGAGTTGCTCGCCATCCAGACTGGAGGTGTCCGACGGAGGTTTGTATTGATCATGAAAGCGCAAGAGGATTTCCGTCCTCTTCTTCTTTTGCTTGCGCAGCCAGATAAGAACAAAGAATGCGATCAGGCATGTGACAGCCAGCACGCTGATGATAGCGTAAACATGCGATTTGTCCGGTTGTTCTGTGTCGGCTGGAATCGATGGAAGAGTGGCTGATTGCCGTGGTATCCCGGCCTCTGCTGTGGCAGTTGAAGAAAATGTGGGCTGATTTTCTCTGCTGAATGAAGTCTCCTGCGCAGAAGGCAGAGTCGTGGTCAAGGATTGAGTAGTTGCTAGTGGGAATGGTACTTTGGGGACACCATTCCAAGCTGAGGTTGTTTCGGTCGCAACGTTCGTTTGTGGCTCCACATGAAAAGCGACGTTGTTTGGCACGGTAGGTAAATTTTGTGAACCAGCATATCTCATTGGATGATAGAGGCCGTCATCAGGGAGTGCGGTTTTTGTGGATGGGTGGTAAACGCCATCATTGCGAGTTGTAGATCCAAATGCCCCTGAAACTGACTCGTGCAGCGGGCTACGCAGTGTATCGTTCTGGGCCATGACAGCGGCGGTGTGCAATCAAATACCTTGAAAGCTCTGGGCACAGGGAATCAATCACGAATACGGTCGACAAACCCCTGGCGCCAATTTAAGAAATGAAAGTGACTGATAACGACGGAAAGCAAACCAAAAAGAACGGCAATGTAAACGAAAGGAAGGTTCTAGTGCTCTGAAATATAATTGCAACATTTCTCTTCTAGGTTACATCAGAGGTGTCTGCTTGTTTACAAGCCTGAGAATGTTAGTTAGCCTCAAGCATATCTATGCTTAGATGAGAATTTTGTCTGGAATGATATTATCAACAGAACTGACCAAAATCGGAGTTATGCGTATGCACTGATTTTGTGTATATCTACATACAGAGCTAGATATGTGCTTTGTGCCGTAAATACAAGCGATCAGGTGCGGTATATCATGCCTCTGTGGGGGGATGCCTCGTGTACATATGATTATTATATCACAGTCAAGATCCTTTGTCATTTTTCGCTCGTCGTATGTGTATTTTCGTTCCTAGGCATAATGTTTATATTTACTGGCTGGTAAATCGATCTGCACAGAAATGTCACTACGTCAAATATTGCGATGATCTTGATCAACATATCACCATAGCTTTTTGGGCTAGCTTAGATTTTCGCGCTGTCACATAAGCTAATTGGGGACTCGAAATGATTTTTCACCAATCCCGAGGCGAACTTCGCCTAAGAAACTCGGGTACCCCAATATTCTGCTTTCTACGCCGTGGCTGCAGCCACGTGGTATTCTGGTGGGCGGCTCCTGGCCCGACGAATCGGATCGGGCGCTCGGGAATGGCCAAATACGAGGCTAAACTCTAATCACAATTATGCACAGCAGAAATCTGACACTCCCTAGCATTCGGTAAGGGGCGAACTCTTATCAAGCGCATAACTTGGGACTAGGGAGCAGTCTGAGCCCAGCAGGGTTCCATATTGAGATCTAGAATTCAGTACAGAATCATACACTATTGTTATGCGGCAGTTGTACGCAACAAAGAGGGGTAAACGAAATTCATTATTCCATAGTATTTATCAATTGCTAACTATTAAAGATGATCCACCCAAAATGCAGACCGCGAATGAACAGTAGATGAGACTCAGTTGTTTTTGTGGTCATGTGTAGTATTTGACTGCGCCAGAAGCTTCACTTAAAGCGGACAACACGACGAATTCTTTTCACCCATTGAGACAGGTTTCCAGGCTCTGGTTTTGGCTTGGGCTGCTCGATACCTTCAGGACTATCAAGCTCGATCGGTCCATTGAGGACTTGTGGTAACGCCTGAAGAGTTGGACTCGGCAGGCGAATATTGGATATCGGGGTCGAAGATAAAGATTCTGTCGAGACGCTGACACTAGCTTCCGAACTCGACGTTGTGGACCAATCGCTACTTCGGTGGAAAGGAGGGCTTATCACAGGATTTAACATTATCTGGCCCTGGCTGGCAAAGACTTCGAGCTCTGCAGTGTCCAAGCTGAAAGTGTCGATTGAGATTGACGACGATGCTCTCTGTCGATAGAAAATCCAGCTTTCTCGAACTCGGGACTGCTAAGATAGCATACATTAGTCTTCGGTTACTTTCAACGCTAGTCGTTCGTCGCTCACTTTGAACCTGGTAAGGGGACTTCTCTGTAGTCGCCGATGGATCATGTTTCTCGCGGCTGTAGCCAAGCGGGATGATAGTTCGCGTCTCATCAGATTAGATTCTTGGATTTGAACTCGGCGTCCTAGCTACAAGCTAGATGGACTGATTTATACCTTTGTTTGCCTGGAGGTTGGGGAAAGTGTCCTCTGTGCATGCTGGAATTCTCTTTAGCCTGTGCGTCGCCTCCCAATGATCGGCAAACTCGAATTCCGGAAGTACGACGAATGCTACATTTTCTAAAGCTCTACGAGCTTCTCCAAAGCTCATGGTAGTGGATGTCGCCCTTCCTGGTCGTGATTCTCTAGACAAGCTTGCTGTTACTGCCAACTCGAAATTTGCAATTGAACCAGTAACAGACAAGCTGGAATTCCCACTTTGCGGTCTGACGATTCATTAATTATAGAGAGCAATATTTGGGGCACTTTCAAAAGGTTCAAAAATTGGGATGAGACACAACCTGTCAAGAACAGCGAGGCTATTATACTATTAGTGAAGAATGAGCGAAGCCTCCGTCTAAACATACGAAAGAGAGTTCATCACCACCTGAGGGTTTGAATGCTGTAGGACGGTTTCGGAACCGAATCATAGCACTTGACCAAAGATCATATTAGATGATTCAACCTGGCAACTGTTTCAAAGCATGAAATGTGATATGCCCCTTACATCTCTTCGTCGCTGTTTGCTGCTCAGCTCCAGAGCTTAAGGCATATTTATATTGTTTCCTAAGTAGGTATAGAAGCAGTCCCACTGGTTTCCACCGAGCATACACCTCAATATTTGCTTGCATAAATTATTTTAGTATTTTGTCAATGTTTCTGATGAGATACCATGTTCTTTCGCATCTATTGCTTTCTAAATCAGAGCCCCTAGTAAAGTCAGTCGGGTAGTATGGATATATATAGGCCGCTTGAAGCACAAATAGAAGATGACTGCACACTAGAAAATTTTACCAGCTGTTTAGTATACTCAAATAGGCCTAGTAGCCAGAAACTATGCTAAAGAAGTACAACATAGTTTGCCAATCCAAATACCTGAGTGGTAACACTATATATATTTTGATATCTCCCACGCACTGCTGGAAAAATGTGCACCATATGTTGAACTTTCTCTACCTCATGATACGATCAAATCTGCACAATCCGGTACGCTATTGGTGCTATCCTATTTTGATCCCTATCAAGTGTTCATAACTTCAATGTCATGGTGTTATGTATCTTTGATGTTGAAAAACAGATAGCGACAATAGTGAACTGCATTGTGCAGATTTGGTGGTTTTACATGTGACTGATGTGAATCCTTATAAGTGGAGCTGCCAAAAGGAAATCTGTATATTTAATTTATGTGGACATGAAAACTTGCCCATTCGAACTACTTCTAGTCAATTGGGATGTCGAATACTGTTTAAGATGTGTCAAATAACTAGATTTGGGTGGGTGGCACTTCATCAAAATTACCAAGACAGCCCGATGAGAGTTGTATTAACAGCGTAAGCAATCTTACGCCAAATGCGCAGCTGGTATGAGGATAACCACTAGATAAACCATAACCAGTTGGCATTGGTAATCGAAAACGCCAAAGCGCCTGAGAAGCAATTTGGATAGTCATCACTAAGCACCTGTCAGACTTTTGGCAATCCTACAGTCCACGACTAGTGCGCTGAGTGCTCACGTTTATTGTGCCTAGATCAAGACCATCATACACACTATCGTAAGCGTGATATGGAAAATGTCTGGTAGGGGACATAAATTCGATCTAAGTGGTGATAAAGGGGGTGGAAATATCATCCCTATGTGAGCTGATTGGTCGGGCTTCCTGCCGGCCAATCCGCAAACCTCGTGGCGCCTGCCAAGCTTAATTCCCCCAACAGCCCCTCTTTATACAGATCACTACCAGATTGGGAGTTAGGTTTCTGTCAATTCCGGCAGCGATTTCAGTGCCGGCAGCGACACCAAACCGTATCGGACGCTAAAAGGGCAAGAGGAAGTAAAACAAAGGATTCGGATATAGGCTATTCATAAACGCCCACCAGTCTATCTATCGGCTGTTTCGGCGTCTTCTTAACGCAACAGAGACCCTCTCTGGACTTTGAGGCTGTTCATACCCAAGAAATAAATCAGTGCCATTAATCTTTTTAGCCTAATCAATAATGCAATACTGAAAGCGGATTACGGCATAAGAGCTAGATATCGGCAGGATACAGATGGCCGGTAACATTACTATGTCTCAGTCAGTTACTGGAGAAAGGGGTTCATGGAAGCTTATTTCAGCGAAGCCTTCTCGTAGTACAGCTCATCAAAACCAGTAAGGCCAAGATCCAAAGAACAAACCTGTCTTGCGAAAGGAACAGGGACGAATCATGCCCGGATATACTTGTCGGGTGTCACATATCTGTCCCCCTAGCCGAGTCTAATCTGACATGTCAATCCGGCTGAACGGCCCGTGTTGTTGAACATATCAAGGGTCTCAAAACCCGGTAAGGTATTGAAACTTTGAGTGAAGCCAGATGCCATGCCAAATTTGTATGGCGGAATCTGCGCTGAAACAGTGACAATTTCTGTTCTAGACGCTAGGTGCTCAATGAAGATAGCGAAGGGCTTCATGGATCATGTTATATAGCGCAATTAAGAACCATTAAAGCTTGCTAGATATGCGATTAAGTTAACTATGTATCTGGATAATTCCACGCCTCTCAACACAGGAGTGGGACTTGAATATTGTGGTGGAGAAAAAGCAACAGAAACCAGGGATATGCTTTTTGGTGATATGAAATTTGTGTTAGTGCTTTGGCCCTTGCAATTGGAAAGAGATATCCCACAAGGCATGCCACCAAATGTCTACTGTGAGATATGTTTGTGCATCCGAGCAATAGAGAAAATCAACCCCCACCCCCCAGTATCAAAATGCCGAAAATAAGAATGTTTCGTGCTCCAGTGTGGAGATCAAATTCATATCGAAGGTAACAACCAGACGCAAGCAAACACGCAGACCAACAAGGTTGCCTCAACAATTCCTAGATCTACATGACTGTGACTTTGAGGTTCACTCTCACAATATGATTTCACAACTTCAGTGTAACCACAGAGATTTGTAGGCGAAGGTTCAGGGCCGCATGAAGAAATGGCAATTTATGTGGCACGAAGAGATCGCTTGTTGCTCCAAGAAAGACTGACTGTAGTGTTCCTACCCCAGGAGAAAAATCTCATTTATTGAATTACCTGATGTGATGATTGCGCTGGCCATAGCTGGAAGTTGGTCGTTAGCATTGAGTATCATCCAAATTTCGCAAAGAAGGATCCCAGGCTGGCTGAAATGAATCATTCATTCATGAGGCGACGGTAGCATTCAGGAATGAAGACAGCAAGCACTGTCACGAATGCCTGGCTTGGTGTTTTTCTTCATGTCAGATGCCTAGCAACTCTCATTTCGACTTGGCCCCTTAGAACAATTGAAGGGTTGAAACTTGATGAGTTCAATCCTTTGGAATGAGACCTTGTCTTGGAATAGCAGAACAGGTGAGACGAGAAAGTTATAAAAGGAGGACAATCTTGTCGCTAACTGTATCATTCAACACATCTTCATTCACTTTCACACAATTACAACACTCCTTCTTTCACCAGTCCATTCAATCCATTCTTTCAATCCAATCTTTCAAAATGAAGGCCTCTATCATCTCGATCATTTCCCTCGCTGTTGCTGTTGCAGCTTTGCCCCCATCTGAGACTCTCTACAAGAAGGGTGGTCCCATGTCTATCTCGAAGGCTGGTGACCAGTGCCAGGAAGGCAAGGTCTCTTGCTGCGCTCCTGAGGATCAAATTGAGGACAAGAGTCTTCTTTCCCTTCTCAATGGATTCAACCTGCTCGGATTCGATGCCGTGTGCTCCCCCATCGAAGTTCTGGGACACATTAACCTGTCTCTCCTCGGTACGTCACAACTCCTGACTTGCATAACAGCTTCTAACGCCCATAGGTTCCATCGATGACGCCAAAGGAAACGTTGATTGCAAGCACACCCTTGCTTGCTGCACTGGCGCCTCAGTGAGTGAACATGAGTGGACTTGGATCCTGATCATTTCGCTAATAATCGAAATTATAGTGCCACGCTCTTGGCGAGTAACTTGTACAACAAAACATGTGGCTAGGGGGAGGATCTGGAAGCAAATCTTCAAGGGCTTCAAACACGACAAAAGACAGGCTTTCCCACTTTTCTTTGTCATTTGCCATCTGTCAGGTTCAGCTACCGGCCTTTATGAGTCCCATCTCCCCAGATTGTGGGAGCTTGGTTTTAGAACAGGTAGAGGGTCCTCTTTCTGGCATTATGAGTCACATGGTAGAGCCTTCAACCTTCTGTTGGGTTATCTGTTGGATTTTGTGTTTGGCTTTTGCAACTATTGTATTCGTTTGTTGATTGCTATTTTCAGCAATCGTCCACTCATTTGGCATTAACTTAGTTAACCTACCTAGCTTCAATAATAACATTACACTTCGCACCCACTTCATAAACTGAATAAACAAAACATAGAGCCCAAAATGACTATGAGAGATTCGAAATGTGTGGAACTATTTACCAGGAGATTAGCCCCTCCGCACTCGGTTGGAAACCGTGAATTTCTTTAGAAAACACTGGACGTGAAGATTAAATTACAGTAGCCCGTTCAATACGCGGTAAAGCACCACTTATTCCTGCGGCTCGAGAGTGCACAGACAAAAACTGTTTGTCTGGGCAGTGTATCTGCTGATACGCCGAATAACATCGCCCTAGGAAGTCGAGATGCCAAAGTAAAGAGCACCCAGGCAAATTTGTCAAGGCCTGCCAGACTCACGGGGCTTATGCGGCCTAGTTTGAGTTCTTATCTGAATGTCCAGTTTGCTAGCTGTGTAGTCCTACGTTCGGCTTTCTGCTAGGCAGCTTCAAGCTCATTATATAGTTCCCGAAGTGAATGTCAAATTTTACTTCCGCTCTTGCCCTTTTTTGGTATTTTTAGACTCATGAATATTTACTCAGTCGAATAGCAAAGTAGCTTAAGAGGGATTTGAAATCTGTTGATGTCAATGTCCAGCACGCGCATATATACTTTGCAGGGCGCCTTCTGCCGCGAAAGGACACCTAACAGTACTCCAGCTCGAGTTGGATTTCGCCAGGACATGTTTGAGCCGAATTATGAATGCCCATAACCACTTTCGGGCACTCTTATTGCGATGGGTATCGTGGATGGAAACTGGAAACATCATCCGGACCCACAATACCGAGCGCTCCATTAGTAAATTTGATTCCTTTGCACCACAGGGGCTATTCATAGAGTTGGTTGATAGATTGTCCAACTCAAGCCATACGTGCTCCTGTTAAAGGGCCTTGCAAGATTTATGTGCTGACAGTGTAAATGTGAGCGAATGTTTGGCGGATGATTCGAACGACTGCACAATTACCCAGCACCACAACTTTGAAATGACCGACGCTCTGTTTATTACCCTTTAGCACTGGATATAAGTTATCACATGCAACCACATATCGTGGAGAATAGGGCTTCCTGTCTGATCAGCCGTACTCAAGCCCATCAGTCGACGCGGCTAATTCTCGAGGCGCCTCAAATTACAATTGGGAGCAAAGTTGTCGCAAGGTGAGTGCAGGTGATATAGGTGAAAATTCTGGAGACCAGGGCCGCTATACTAAGCGTCAATTATAGGGTTAGAATATTTCATAATCAACTGGCTCGAAAAAAACGCGATTGAAGAAGAAAGTAGAGCTCGGGGGAGTCTTCATGGGCACTCTTTCTGCGCAGCTGCAGAGGCGTGTCGTCCAGTAACACTTTATCGGCTACGCGATCCTTCCACGTGCGCTATGTTTGAGGACATTGCTTTTTCTTTTCGCTATATCCCAAGAGATGTTACTCCAGTTCTTTCGATTCCCATTGAACTGCATGTTCTCTGTCTTGAGGATTCGCGGGGCCCAAAGAGAACCTTGAAGAATTTTATGGTCGAGAACCTAGCCCACAATGTTCTTCTATAGAAGAAGGTTTATGTGGCTTCATTAAAATAGTTCAATATAATAGTTCAATATCGTTATGCCTGTGACCGAAACAGTGCTGCGTCATTCAGTGGATTCATGGCGAGGAGACTGCTTGCTCTTTCTTCTGGGATACCCAGGAGCAAAGCAAGCTATTACTGGGTCTTTTCTCTTGACAGTAGCATACAAGGATTCTACGTATGATCTCGATGGGCTGACCGTATTACTCGACCATCTCTTCTCCAGGAGCTCAATGTGGATGTCCCAGTCACCGAGGTATTGACTAAGAGACAAAAATGGTCCTTTTAAATTTTTTTTGAAGACTCTATCAAAGCTCTTTTGCCTCAGCATCTAGGAGATAATCCTGCGGGAGTCAAAGCAGGAGTTGAGGTAAATAGCTTTTTTCCATCGAATCGATTGTTTCCTGGTCGTTTATTACGCAGGCCCACCCACCCAAGCCTGAGGAGGAAGATAGTCATCCACTTGAAGGGAGGCGCCCCGATATGTAGCCAATTAGATGGTGGAGGACAACTTCGGAGTAAAACATGTTTGCGGTACGTGGCTATAAAGAAGTTGTAATTTCCCTAACAGGATTCACTTGCTATACTGCTATGTCTTTTAGAATATTCTCGAATCAGTCACCGGATTGCTTTGCTTAGACTTTGCATGTTGGGTCTTCTTATGAGAATTCAAATTAGATGACGCTGATGTTTTTCGAACCTACCGGCAGAAATGATGGCCATGCGGCCACACGGCCACAGCCTCCATTCCAGTCAAGCATTCTATTCAGGGCTAGGGCGAAGACCAAAGCCACTCTAAATACTGGATCTATTGCCTCTTATGATCTTTCTTACTCAAAATGTTTCTGGGAAGCTTTTAACCCCTTTTTTCAGTTGTTTTTTCGGTGGTATTCTTCGGAATAATTTCATCCATTATTCTCACTTCACGAGGTTACCTATGTATCCTTATAGAAGCTAGTCGCTACATGATATATTTAGATCCGCCTATTGAAAAGGACACAATCGAGATCAGAAGCGGCCAATTTAAATAATGACCTAGAAATGGGTTACAACCGCATGCCATCTGTTATTGTTGCCAATAGGACTGTACTCAGGGCACGTGACTTGTTATGCCCGAGCTAAGCTAGTCCTGCGGCGGCAGTTGCTTCCGATGTACGCGTACTCCCTTAAGGCTCAACCCGGTTGCATTGACTCTTAGACCTGGAACCAATTATGAGATACGATCAGAGCTCTGTACACCCGAATGGATTCATGGACATGTGGACATGCCTCAATTAAAGTGGACTGGCAATGGACGCGTTGACATACGACATCTTCATTCGGACTCGCCCGACATGAACAGACCGAGAAAGGTCTGAAGGAGTATAAGTTATAGAAGACATCATCTCGATTTTGATTGTTTTGGAAAAAGTAAGACATTTTCTTCTTGCAATTGCACGCTTCTTCAGTCTTTACCATGCTTAGCAGCACACTCCTTGTTGCCTCAGGCCTGGCGCCCGTAGCCTCCGCTGCTCTCTATGATACCGTGATTGAGACCAAGTATGGTCCTGTCAAGGGTTACCCTGCCTTCAACAGCACCAGCACTGGTAATATGACCAACTGGAAGGACATCACTGTCTGGAAGGGCATTCCCTTCGCAGCTAGTACTGGTGGTGAGAACCGCTGGAAGGCCCCTCAGCCTGCTAGCCCTTGGAAGAAGAACGGCACTTTGGACGCTCACACCTGGGGCCCTGTGTGCCCTTCTGTCACCACTGGATACAACGACTACACCATTGATGAGGACTGCTTGAACCTCAATATCTGGTCTCCGGCCAAGAAGACCGATGAGAAGCTCCCCGTCGTCATGTGGAGTTACCCTGCCGAGTCGACTGCTGCCGATCCCCTCTTTGACGGAGGTGGTATGGCTGATAAGGGAATCGTTTTCGTCAACTACAATTACCGTACCGGCCCCTTCGGTTGGCTCGCTCACTCTGAGCTATCGGAGGAATTCGAGAAGGTTACTGGTTCCAATAGCTCTGGTAACTGGGGTATGCTTGATCAGTTCGCTGCTCTTAAGTGGATTAGAGCCAATATTGCCGATTTCGGTGGTGACCCCGAGCACATCACCGTTCAGGGCCAGTCTGCTGGATCTGCTGCTACCCAGCACATTCTGTATAGTCCTCTCACCAAGGGATTGATTGTTGGTGCCATTATTGAGAGTGGTGTCCGTGATCCCCACGACCCTCTCTGCACTAGCCTGGCTGAGGCCTATGGCACTCTCGATACCGCTCTTAAGAGTGGTGTCACTTACCTCGAGAACCTGAACGTCTCTACCATTGCTGAGGCCCGTGGTTTGACGATGAAGGAGCTTATCGGTGGTGCCACTGGTACCACCAGGGAGTCCACTATCATGTTCGAAGCTACCCTCGACTACTACGCCATGCCCGACACCTACCTTAACATCCTGAAGAAGGGTCTCGCCCATGATGTCCCCGTCATTACTGGAAATAACAAGGACGAAAATGGTGCCACTTACGGTCTCGAGCTCACTCTCCAGGAGTACTACGAGGACTTGAACGAGACCTACAGCAGTGGCTGGGTGGACCGTTTTCTCGAGCTCTACCCCGCCAACGAGTCCACTGCTGCTGGCGCCTACAACTCCATGTTTACTGACCGCTCCAAGGTCGGCACCTGGTTCTGGACTCAGATGTGGTATAGCGCCCGTAGCTCCAAGGTCTGGAACTACTTCTGGGATCACGCCCCCCGGGCCAGACCTCTGGTGCTTACCACGAGTCTGAGATCAACTACGTTCTAAACAACCTCTATGCCACTACCGAGCTGCCCTGGAAGGCCGAGGACTACGAGATTGCCAAGAGGATGAACGACTACTGGGCCAATTTCATTAAGACTGGTAACCCCAACGGTGCCGATACCACTGTTGCTTGGCCTGCTGTCAGCTCCAAGAAGGAGGTCCAGCACGTTGGTGATGGATGGGGCCAGATCCCTATTGCCTGGAGCAAGAAGATTACTCTCTTCAAGAACTGGTTCGCGACCCTCGTCGCTTATTAAATAATTATGTCTCGTAAAATCTAGCAGGAGCCGATTACACTGGTTCAAATTGATTGAATGCTGCGTGGGATTAGCGTATATCTGTGTTATGTTCTATTGTGAAATATCTCCTTGTCTAGCTTTTATTTTTGGAAAAGAAGATGACAAAATTTACTTACCATTATCACATTGGCAGCTTTTCCATGCCTCAGGTGGACAGCTCATAATGCAATTTAGCTTTAACTTTTCAGATTGTCTCATTCCGTAGTATCAATTCAGGCCAATGACATGAAAGTAACAGCCAGTCTAGCAAGTTCCAAAGCATCCAATTGAAGCAAAGTGGCATCTAATTGTACCTGCCTACGCCCAGCCCCACGTTCCCCGAATCTTCAAAGGAAAGGCCCGCGCCTGGACCTCGGGGCTAAGCCAAGAGCATTCGGCTTTACGATTATACTCGGGTTCGGGTTCGCAATAGTGGAGAAGGATCTACAGGAGTAATTTCGTTTCGCCTAAATATACTCAGGTTGACTCAAAGTAGATTCAAAAGCCGGGGGAGGTTCGGAAAAGTGCCGCATCGGGATTGAGCACACTCCCGCAGTCTGAGGGAAGTGGGCTCGGAAATTAAGTGCGCTAGTGCTTTAAGGGCAAATCCTACGAACTCAAAACTTCAATAGGCTATTCGGCATGAACGGAGTCCGACTGAGTACTCAGGGAGATCGGACTGCCTTGAATACTTTCGACGTGATAGTTCTTCCAGGACAGAGTCTCCACTGGCGCCTTTTCTCGAGCAGAGCCTTGCAAATACTGGAGCAGGTAGGTGACAATTAGCGAGTGCTTACTGCTGTATGTTTTCTATCTTTATTTGTTTGATTAATTCAGTAGGTTAAATGTTTAACTGGTTCGGCTCGTCTGAAGTCAGATTTGGCAATTCAGAACGAAAGCCTGTCCAGTATGGTGCCAGACATTTATCCATACGGAATATAATCTGGCAACCCTCTATGCATTTGCCTTTCACGTCCCGTAAGCGCCGACAGTAGCATAGTATCCGACTTTGCATATCACGTCCCACGAATATGAATAGAAGGTACCCATGTCTAGGAAACTAGAATTTGGCTGTCTTCCATGGAACCCAGCTGATGATGGCCCATTTCTGCATGAGTGGGAACCCAGGAAAGCATCCAAACAGGACCGGAACAGATACCGGTCATGCAAACTATATACACATAGAAGATGGCTAGTTCCATGAATGGAGCTTTCCTCACTTTCACATCCTAGATGGATCTGATGAAAAGGAAGGAAGCATTGGTTTTCAATTTGAGTCGATTCGAAGTCAGTGCAGCAAGACATAATAATGATTCAACTTTGAGAATTCATATTTGAAAATATTAAAGATCAGAGACCGCCACGATACGAATTTCCAATTATGCTTCTTAAGATTAAATTCTTCATATAGCCACTAAAGCCATCTCTTCGCGGGTACAAAAACCCCTTCGTACACGATGACAAGGCTACCATCCTCTTTCTCCTTTGCTGGGATCTAATGCAGGGGAATTTAAAACATTGATATGACTTGCTGCAAACAAAAAGCTTTGGAGCATTCCCTGAGATCAGCTTTTCGTGACAATTTTGACAAAACGAAGTCGTGGGAAAATTAACAGAGGTAATAGATATCCTTATATTTGCATTGGACCGAGCACGTATCGCATTATAAATCCCAACTCTCGACGATGGACTTCGGAATATCATTCAGGTTCTTCATAACTTCATTCAACGGGGAAGTAAACTCTTTCTCGTTGGCGCTCTTAATGTTCTGGAGAACATTCAGACAATCGACTTACTTCGCTCTGTTGTATGTTGGGCTCTTGCTCGGGCTCTTCGTTCTCGGTGCAATTGAACTCATAAAATTGAAGAAGTTCGTCGGCTTCATGTGTGAGAATTCCGTCGTTTCTACGGTAAAGTTCTGGAAATATCTCGATAAAACGGTACCGAAATTATAATAGCAATAACACCAAAGACATTGATAAATATAGCTAAAGGCCTACCCAGTAATTTCACTGACTGAGCGTACGAGACTCATCGCGCTGAGACTTTCATCTGGTAAATACACTAGACAGTTGATGATCATTCTATTCACGATAGTGTGGTTTTTAAATGTATCTTTTCTCCTCTGTAGTTTTTTGTTATACTGCTAATTTACATTTTTGGTTTGAGGAATACAGAAAAACAGATGAATAGCAATGTTTTCAAGCGTGTTGGAGATAGGAAGAGAAGGCAATCAGAACAAGCGAAACTTGTAGGCTAAGACGAGAGAGAAAGAAAGGATGATCCATTGAGCTATCTACAACATATAGTCTCTAAAGACTTCCTATGTAAGCCGCTTTACATTGAAAAAATGTGGGCGCTTGGTCCCCAACTCGAAGGTCATCCCTTGCCAAGTCAAATCACGGAGCGGAGGGCGGAGGAGGGAAGTCTTGGCACGAGCATTGCCTCACTTATGCTTGGCAACCTTGTAACCACCTGCGCCTGGGACTTCAAGCACATGGAAGCACTGTCATATATCAACACAACAAACTCGCAATTTGGTATGGTATTCTTGCCTTTAGATAAATCCCATTCAGTTTCTCGCCATGAAATATTCCGTGTTTAGTCTGCTCTTTTTCTTTGGAGAATCACCATCCAATTCTCTCTCTCCTCCGTGAGAGTCATCTCTCTATCAATTTTGCCGCATTTTCTGGCTTTGTATGAAAAGAAAGAACTTGGCAGTACGGGGTGTGGCTACGTCTTGGATTCTCTCACTAGCATCTCTCTTTTGCATTCCCATTTCACTGCAACTGAGATGCATTTCCTTTCCTGACAGCACAGTTTTCTCCTCGGTTGCGTTATCCTGTCAATTTGAGGCGTCTCACCGGCAACGCACCTCTTAGAACTCACCTTTGAAATAAGTGAGCGAGCCTCTGCACTCTAAATCTAAGTTTATGTTCAATTTTAGTCAGTTCTACCATCTTTGTCCATGGCCCAAACACGTAGCTGTTTCCAAAATTCTGATCTCTTTCTAACAGCTTTGATGTATCATTCCATCTCACAGTAGTTTCTGCAATTTCCACGCATCACCTGGATTATCGAAACCGTGCTTATGCATTGGAACTTCATTTCGGTCTACCTACGAGACATTCAAAATATAACCGTATTCAGTGAGACCACAATATACTTGATTCCCACAAGCATGCTGATCCCACTTTCACGTGGCTTACATCAATTTTTCCCCCTCGCAGAAACCGAAAAATCGCGACAGGTACCAAGCTAGCCATATCAAACATAGCCTGTGAGACTCCAAACCCAACCCTCTACATAGGATCCCCCAGGCGGACTATGCAAGGACATCAAGTAGATCGGGACGACAAAAGCGAAATCAGCCAAAGCCCTTGACAGACGGATTACTAAAGGCAACCCAATCGATCCCCACAAATAGGAACGCAGACTAGATGCCTACCTGGCTTTCAAGCAATAGTAGAGACCCGATTCCAACAGCCTGAGCAACCAAGGTCTTTCTTAGTATATTGATATCCTCTGGAATGAAATTGACCGAGCCGAGTCCCTCCAAAGAGAAGGGTACAACCAGGCTATACGCCGATGCACTATCCTTCACACCCTGAGATGTCCCCAGCATCAAATACGATGTCAGTCTGTTCGCATCAAGCAGGCCGTGTGCATTGAGTTTGATTATGCGTTTTCTTCACGTGGATTTTGCAACGTGGATAACACGGAAGGTTCGTGTATCGGAACCAGTCTAGAATCGTGTGCGACCCGTTACAAATAAAGAAAAAAGGAAAAAAAAAGATATCATGGCAAAACCGCCTTTTCTGTATTTCTGTTTCATCAAAGTTATATGAAAGAGGGGGGAGGGGGAATATTATTCAAGCTAGGAACTGGGGAGTAACTAGCGACGCCTCTTCCAACGATATCCCTATCATCGAGTTCTATTTCTATCTGTTAGCAAGGCTAAGTATTGTAGCCTTCCTCCTAGTCAGTAATAATACCTTCCTTGGGGAATCTAGCCCTTTACATGACGAAGGGATGTATATGTATTTGATACAACGCAACCAAAAATCTCATCCCACATCAATCTTTCCAACCTAAGCGACAAATACATATAACACCACTGCGTAAGATGTTTGGTATCTAAGCACCCGTTCCCAAACTAAAATAAACGACCTAGCTAAGGACATATATATTATTTGTATTGCAATTAGCATTACCGAGCCCCAGCAATGCCAAACTAGACCACCCATGATGAAAATTTTCAACAAAGCCAACCTTGGAACCTCGGAACCCCCAAAAAGTCAACAAACCCGCCTAGCCTAACCGTCAAACAAATACGAAAGTATGACAGGGCAGAATGTAATAAAATGGAACCATTGACACCGTTTGTGATGGCATGATTTGATAGATAAAGGTGCGTAGTGGATACAGACACAAACGCAGACGTAGACATCAAACATCAGACAGCAAAAAGATACAATAGTAGCCAGAGCAGCCTTAGCAGCAAAGATGGCAAGTCGAGTGGAACAAAAATATAAAGAGCAAGGAGGTATCAACCTTGGACACACACACGCGGCACACAGCATAGAGTAGTGGAATAGGAAGCGGAAATAGAAATGGAATAGTAGAAGAAGAAAAAGTAGAAAGAATAACCGTTTTTGGTTGTCGGGTTGTTTGTTGCATCACATCGTAAGGAATAAAAGAACGCCGCCACCATCCCAAACAATAACAATATCAGATAGCCGACCCGGAGAAAGGAAAGTAGAATAATCAAAGACAAAGCGAGACAAGACAGAAAAAGACAATAGACAAGACAATAGACAAGATACCAGACCAAACCAGACCAGACCAGACAAGAAGCCACAAGAGCCACACCCAAACATAGCGAATCGAACAAGTGGGGAAAAGCAAAAGACCATATCCATATAGACAAAGACAGAACGAGAGAGAAGAGTACAACCGCGGTTCAGGTACATGTATCAGCAGTAACATAAACAGCGTTTTCCTCCCAAAATTCATCAGACAAGCCGAACAAACGCGGATCAAAACGGGAGCGCGTAGAGAAGAACAACAACGTGAAGGGTCTATCTCCAAAAAAACGCAAAAGAAAACGCAAATTCAGCAAAGGGTAACTTGAATAAAAGACAAATACCGCCCCGACTCCCGGGCTCCATGACCATGAGCAACACCAAAGACACTAGCAAAGAGATCAGAGATCAAATTAGATTTGCGGCTGGGCCGGCGCGGTGGTCGTCCATGTCGACAGCGGTTGTGTAGCGGCGTAATGTGGGTGGTTGACCGGTGCCGCTGCACTGACATAGTACTGGGAGCGATCCCCGTAGTAAGGATGAATAGGATTCGAGTCACGTCTTGGGACGGAAGGATCGAGACCTGGCATGCCGCGTGGCTCGAGGGGATGTGGGTTTTCGAGCTGACCGGAGAGACTGAAGCTACCGCGGGAGAAGGTTGCTGGGGTTGAAGGGTCCATTGGGGAGGTGGCGTCTGTGGCGACGCTGCGGGAGGAAATGGAGGAGTTGCGGTATGCGGAAGGACTGTGGTCGGAGGTTGATCGGTTCCGGTCGCTGAGCGAGCTTGGAATCGCGGTATTGATGCCACCCGGGATGGAGGAGGAAAGAGCGCTGTGGCCGCTCATTGAGTCCATGCTGCCGCCGTAGGGCCCTGCGCGGAATGCGTGGTAGTCGTCGACCTTGGGCATGGCGGTCGGCCCTGGAGCGGGCAAATATGGGTTAGGTGCCGGTTGCCCTGACATGGAACCACCCATGGAGTATCCGGGGATCGGACCTGGTGCAGTTTGTGGCGGGTGTGTCGGGGTGTATTGAGCGTGCATATAGAAATCGTTGGGAGGAGCGGGCATGGCGTAGGCGGGTGGGGCCATCATCTGTGGGCGATATCCATACAGCGCAGCGTGCGAAGGATCGTGACTTTCCAAGGCACCGGTCTCCAGGTCATCAATCGGGGCGCGGAAGCTCTGTTTCTGGGTGAGTTCGATTCGGGGGCGGATGTAGCGCAAGGATTCCACCATCGAGGGTGGGTTGAGGATACCGCGCATGACGTCCTCGACACTGTAGTAGGAGACCAAGTGGTGGGTCACACCCATGACAGTCACGCTCATCGTCTTCTTCACCAAGCCCGAGTCCTTGAAACCGTATGAGTCGACCAGAGACCCGACCAATGCCCGTTCGACCTCCGACTGATGGGGACGGTCTGCGAACTGGCCGGAGGTAGAGGAGGTCGGAGAGTAGCCTTGGCCACCGTTGCTGTCGTGTCGCGGATAGGGCTCTCCAGGGCGGGCAGGCATAGGTCGTCGAGTTGCCTTCTTCATTGCGCGCTTTTTCTCCCCAGGTGGGAAAGGCTTGTCCAGTTCCCGGTAGACGAGGAAGTTGCCTAGAATGCGACTCGGACTCCAGGTGACGCCATCAGTCCAGCGTTTGATCCCAGACGCGTTCTCCTCGTAGATAAAGACACTCCCACTGCGCACAAGGTGGCTCCGTTCCCGATCGTGAGGGCGACGTGGGACATGATGCAGGACACCGGTCAAACACGCCTCAAAAAGGATCAGGGCATCTTGAGTGGTTGCGACATAGCCGGTGAAAGTGGGCTCCAACACGGCAGTGCCGTTCACCATGATGAGAGAGTGTGAATAAGCTGAAGTTGACCTCCCCCAGGAGTTTTAAAAAGGAAAATTAAGCTAAGAGATCGACCAGGGTATGGAGAAGGAGGAGGTTTTGAGTTGGGACCCCTCAGTTGGAGAATTGCCAGGGATCGACGGGCACGGGCCCAGTCAGCACAGTTGCACCGATCTGCTGAATCAGCCAAGGAGTGGTAGTATCATCGACCAACATAGAATAGAATATAAAGAGTAGCATATAGCATAGAAGAATAGAAGAACAGAAGAATAGAAGACGTAGAATATTGGATTACAGAAAAGAAATAGAATTAATTACTATATATCATGCTAGACAGGGGTCGGGGCAGCGGAGAAATACGGAGTAGAAAATAACCTCCGTATATTTAATATTTGCAGAATAATTGACCTTAATTTGACCTGGGCTGGGATAGACTGAAATGGACGAAATAAAATAAAATAATAAAATGTTAGCGTAATTGAAATGAAATCGGTGGGTGGAGCCATGGTTGGCTGTCGGAGGTTCCTTGGTTCCGGTACCGCCAAGTAGATTCTGACACAGAACAACGGACAGTATACTAAAGTCTACCTTGCATTTGAGCATTTGAGCAGAGCTTTAGTGTATCCTAGTAATTGATCAACTCTAACTTGACTGATAACTTATTATAACTTATTAGCAGTCTGTGATGGACAGTACTGATGCCCCGCTCAATACCAAACTATTGAAATCTATCCCCACTGGGTCCAACGGCATACGATCCTCTGGAGATATTATGTGGGTCTTCCACCCGGTGATGTCCACCCCCAAAAGATCTCATTTCTTGCACTTCCTCTTGACTCCTTCTCCAATCATCACGGTTGAATGTACAAAACCGGTCGGGGAATACCATTCGTTGTAAGGTTAGCCTTCAAGGTGGGAGAGTTTTCGGTAACTTCAAGCAATTTAACTTACAAAGGGGAAGAGGGTCCCGTACCTCTCCCGATATTATAAGGAGAAAGGTTCGCGGGAGATCCCCAGCAGATCCAGCAGAGCTTACATGAGTTAGGAATGCGGTACTTTCGCAATTACCATTACCACTTTTATCTTTCCACACATGTGGCCATGCACCCCGGCCGTGAAGGACTCAGGGATCGGCACTTGGGTTTGAGATAAAACGCCTATCATTGGTGTACCTGTTGAAATCAGCTGAGGAATATAGCGGAGGACTGTCCTCCGAGTTTCAAGCCGATTAGCAGGTCCCAAAGGTTTGGGTGAACAGGAGACGATCGCAGTTGGCGCACGCTTGTTGAAACTCAATTGGCGCGAATGACAGATGTCATAGGAAAGTATCATAGTATCATATGTATATGACGCATATGATGTATCCAATGCTATAATCACCGAGACCACTTTTAGGCAAGTAAGAAAAACGGGGAAAAAGAAAACGGAAAATCAAAAAGGATAATTGGTCCCATTCTGTATAGTACATCCCGGTGAGAATGATCACCCAGATCATCCAAACTGGTGAATGGTACATGGTCAATCAAAATGGGCATAGCCAATGGATCCAGCCAAGAACAGAACTCGAGTCTGGACCAAAGATGACATTCTGCACAGCCCATCACAGGCCAAGCCTCTAAGCGCGTGAAAGCGGGGGGTACACGAATGGGCTCCGTACGAGAAAAGCGAGAATATTCCCAGAGCCAGGAATAATAAGGAGCAAACAGCCAATAAACGCCCAAAGCCAAAAAACTAAGTAAAAGATGCCAATCTAATTACCCCACAAACTCGTCCCCCTTAGCAAATCATCGTATAACCTCCGAGCCGGATCTATTTCCCAGTGGACGTGTGTGGCTTTCAAATGTGTTTAGTCCTCCTATCAGACGATCACCAAGTAACCAATGATGCTATACTATTACTCCGTCGACAATTCTCGTGTCGATCTCTGCTATTCGCTCGCACTAAATACCCACATCCACGGTGCACCCGTACCAGACACTCGGGCCAGGTATCCGTGCGACAGATGAGACAACGGGCGTATATGATGTCCGAAATGGGTAGGTGAGTAGCGATTCCCCATATTGTGTCCATGTGTGTCAGTCTGAGTAGTGTAAGTTTAGTGAAGAAAACAGTTGAGAGTTAATCTACCCTCCCCTGGTACTGGTTCCGACTAGCACGACTAGCAGGGGATACGAAGATCGTTGAGCAATATATCATTTTGGGTCTAGACAGAAACCAAAGGAACGCTAAATCGACTAGTTCCAGTGGCGTTGGCACTATGCTTTTCTGGGTCGAACTAAGAAATCCCGCAACTCTCAAGGGTCTGCGTGAGCACTAAGGGGTGATCATCATTAGGGAACTTGGCGTAAAAGTGAAGATCCGGTTTGGATCACCGACTTTATTCTTTCCTTGGTTAACTTTTGACTTTGACTATGGTCCTTATACTATCTTATTACTTTGGAGTATGCTGATTGCTATTAGCATTATCCCGAGTCAAACCAACATGATATTGTAAAAATTAGTGGATAGCACGTCCACATCCATGCACCAGCCTATGCCAGACCATGCACTTCCCGTACAGTAGTAGCACATGCACCCAAAACTCCAGGATGTGCCGTGCCATCCACATCCACACCCGTCCCTAAACATCCTCACACAGAAACATGGAGAAAACCCATCCAGCAAAAATCAAGACACAGGTACCTGCTGCACTGTACTACCTCCCTATTTCGTCCACAACCCCGAAGACTGTTTTTTGGTCTTGGCCAACGACAAGATTGCAATTGCCAGCCCCTGGGGCTAGCCTGGCTGTCTGCCTGACCCTATCTTCCACTGATTCCGCTCTAGGCAAGGTGCCGCTCGATGCTTAGGGGCGTCTATGCCCGACCGGCAATCATTCCAGACTGGGATCCTCGATGCCAACGGAGTACATGGTCGGCGACCCATAAGTTACCGTAACTTAACACTAATTCAACGATAACTTGTAAGTTATGGGGTGTGGAGAGGGTCGTTCCCGACTTCCACTGTCAGCCTCAGGAGGGTCGGGGGTGAGTGAGATCATGATCATCGCGATCGTCTAATTATTCCGTTCTGGGTTTTAGTTGGGGAGGTGCCGTCTGTCCGATCGCGCTTTTCTGTGCGATAGGAGGCGAGGCTCGGACACATAGCTGGTCCCTCCTCTATTTCCGTCTGTTCTTAAGGCAAAAGAGGCAGGATGCAAAGACATTGAAAAAATAAGTTACTTGTAGGTTAAGAGGCTAAGACATGAGTCCAAGGTGCTATCGCGGACTTCTCCTTTTGCCTATCAGTTACGGTTATGGTTCGCGACTGCAATGCTGCTATAGTAAGATATTCCCAGTCAACGGAGTGTTCTCCCCTCGTATCCTCCGCAAGACGCAAGACTGGTTCACACCCTCAGACCTCTCCCATCCCCAACACCCCGAGACCCTCGTGATAAACCACCCGATCGGGTAGAAAGAGTCGTCCTCAGGATTCACGGTGCGATTCCAGTACCAGACTAACAACTATACTTGCTGGCAGGTCACACAGAAGGGGGAAGGGCTCGCCCATGTGGTCAGAAGGCCTGTTACCGGCAGGGATCAGCGAGCCTGCGCAGTATTCCCAACAGCGTGGTCGGCTCGTGTCGGACTGTGAGACTTCTTTGACAGGTTGGATTCAGGGCTCTACAACGGTGCCACAATTATATTCACATACGGTGTTTTGATTAAATGATCCAAAGACACAATAGTACGGAGGAATAATAATCGAAGTAGAATAGAAACCTTCATGTTCCACATACAGTGCCTCCAAGTTAGGATTAATCAAACCGAAACCAACCCAAGCACCGACATCATCTCCGGGTCCAACACGAAAACATAGACCGTTGATCATCCCATCAGCTGAATTGGCTTGTTCCTTGATTTGATCTGCCAAAAACCAGGGATGGCAAAAGAGCGCCTGTGCACTATTACTGTACCTCCAACTAGGAAGGGGTTTACTATCTCATCTTTTGCTAGTCTAGCGCAGTGCGCTAGACTTCTCCTGCATATTGGAGTGTAGATAGTTTGCCCGAGTGCCCGATTGCCCGGTTTGCGGGGTGTGGCTTGGAGGCGAGACTGGACTGGCCTGGTCTGCCACTATCCACTAACAACACTAACACGAGGCACCACTTTATGCGCCAGGATGTCATGTACGGAGTAAACAGTTGAAGAGTGGCGTTGGCTGTAAGTACACAGAATGCCATTGGAGGGTTCCGATTGTACAATACTATTGCTTGTGCCCACTTGTACTACAATACGTATGCGCTTTACTTGGTCTTCTCGGCACACCGTCTTGTAGGTACTCCGTTACTGATCTTCGCTGATAATTTTCTACAATTGGAATCCCGATATCTTTGTCGGCATACTCTGCACGCATGTCCCCTTTGCCATGCATTTCTTCATCTGCACGCATGACCCCTTTACCATGCTATCTGCCAACCTGCGTGTCGTGATGATTACGCTGGGGGGCTTTGATTGGTGCATCTAGTGATTTTCTTGTTCTCAAAATGCAGATTTACGCAGGCATGCTGCATGCTACAACATATAGGCTACATGTACATATCTAGGTAGCTGGGATTATGTCAGGATAGTAAGTTGGACCTCGGTTTCAACAGATGTCTTTGCAGTGCATTCATTCCTGTCTCTAGGCAGACATGTTGGATATGATCGATAACCTGTGATAGCGTAACAATGATGACATACTACATCTACCATCAAGATCAAGATCAATAGTAAACAACACCTTGCGCCAGTACCATCTACCCAAGTACCAACCAACACCAACTACCAACCCACGTCTTACACCAATCTTCAAACCAAACCAAAGAAGCGCGCCGAAAGCAAGGACAATTAACCCCCTTACATCAATGCCAACTTAACCGCTCAACCGCTCAAGCGACCCTATGACAAGCCCCCACTACCCCATATCGATATGTACATGCATATATACACAGACCAAGCTAGCACGATGAAAGAGATGATGTACAGCGCTTAGCATCCAACCTGCAGCCAGTGCGGCAGAACAACAACACACCCACATCTAACAAAATTGACTCATCAAATTGACCCAGCAGACCTGACAACGTAAGTAACTAGTCTGCCCCCCGCCCGTTCCCTCGGGATTCTTATACATCACAAAAACCGGCCGGGCCTGCAAAATGTAGCTGTAATCTTGCAGTCCAATCCAATAACAGTGCAACTGTCCAATGCCAGACTCGCATGCTGATTCGCTCGTTTCTCTGCCGGAGATGAGATCAGATCTCTACTAACGGTGGGCTTATGCACGCCACCCCTCGAGCACTCTTGCTCGATCCACTATTTCCCTTGAGAGAGCGATACTGATAGGCTGCGTGGCTCAGGTGTATGCAACTCTCTTGATTGGGAGTATCGTCGTGATAAAACATGTCATGTTATGTATGCACATCCTTGTTGGTCATCTTGACGTTGGCGTTGTTGATGCGTGATGCGTGGAATGTGAGATATGATTGAGCTCACATATGGTAGACGCTGTCAGCTTCACTTCGACGGCGTGTATACCGTACCGTCCATGTATCAGTAGAATGCCGAGATAACTAAAGAAAGGAAGATAGACCAGACCTATAGAATACGCTGATCTATACAGTCCGCCAGTAGAATCCCACCCGAGCATACTGTATATGTACAGCCAGCACCGTCATTCCCCGTATACAGATACAGGGACCTGTACACGCATTGTCCTAGACCTCATTTCCTATCCCGGCGACCCAACTATCCCTGTCTTTTCCTACAGTAGGAGGGGTAGAGATCGGCAGTGTGCCCCCTTGCGTGGATCCCAGTTTCCAGACTGGCGGTATGATCGCGGCTTGGGGGTGGGCTTGACGTGGGTTTGGGTAAGTATACGTGGCTGGCATGGCGTGTTTCTTTGCTTTTTTTCTCTCGCGTGTTTTGGTTCTGGGGAAGGGGGTGTTGGAATGTTGGACTAGTTGGGTGGTGGGCGTTTGGGGTCCTTGGCATTACGGGTGTTTTGCTTTTCTGTCATTCAGTCTTCTTATCTAGTTATAAGTTGTTAGAATAGGTTTTACTTGTTGATCCTTTGATCTTGATCTCGCGTTTAGTGCCTGTTTTAGGGTTGTAGGTTTGGCTATTGGTTTAGTGGAAGTCTGTTGAAGCTCTCTTCGATCTAAAGGGGAACGAATTATAACTTGCAGTATTGAGTATGAGGCTGATAGTAAAAAAAAATTATCATATATAACGTCAGAGAAGTTCAGTAGTGTACATATATGTCTACCGGGCAAGTATATCTAATGCGCCAATCGCTCCCGCTATGCCAGTATGTTACAAATGAATCAGTGAAAGGAACCACGCCCAGCAAGTCAGTTAAGGCGATGTGGCAAGCACGTCGGCAACAGCAGAATCCTCGCTGTCTATTTCCTTGACAAACCCACGGTTCTTCCTCACATGCATTAGCAACCGCAACGCACCAACAGGCGTAACGCCCTCAATGCGCTTCGCCATGCCAACACTAACTGGACGCACACGCTCAAGCACCTGTCGCTCCTCATTGCTGATACCGGTAACCTGGCTGTAGTCCAGGTCGGGAGTAAGAAGTAAGTTCTCATCCTTCTGGAAGCGCATGGCCATCTTCTCCTGGCGCTTCAGGTACGGCGCATACCGGCCTTCGATGGCAACGCGGGCGCGGATCTCCGGCGCGAAGGAGGCGGCGGTGTATGCTGTTCCGGGGGTAGACTCCATAGTCGGAATGAGAGAGTCGATGTCGGTTGTGTCCAGGACCAGGAGGTCGAGACCTGAGCGGATGGAGGTATCATCGCGGACCTTAAAGCCCTTGCGAGACCACGCAGACGATGAAAGCTTTGTATTAGCGAGGAGAGTTTGCAGTTCCGAGATCTGTGCCTCTGTGTCGGAGAAGTGGCTCCAGCGCTTGTCAGAGACGACACCAGCGTCGCGGGCCATGCGAGTCAGGCGGAGGTCTGCATTATCGGAACGTGTGGAGATGCGGTATTCGCTTCTCGTTGTAAACATCCTGTATGGCTCGGACACGCCCTTTGTGATGAGATCGTCGATCATGATACCAATGAAGCCATCTGATCTGGTGAGGGTGAGAGGAGTTCGGTTTTGTGCTTCCAGACCAGCGTTAATGCCGGCGATGATGCCTTGTCCGGCTGCTTCTTCGTAGCCAGTAGTACCGTTGATCTGTCCGGCCAAGTAGAGACCACTGATGAGTTTTGTCTCCAGTGTTGGGCGCAGGTTGCGCGGGTCAATGTAGTCGTATTCAACCCCGTAACCTGGCTGGAGCATAGTTACGTTCTCGAGACCTCGAACTGCGCGAAGCATGGCGTATTGTGCATCCGCCGGAACGGTCATTGAGATACCGTTAGGGTAAATGACGTCGTTTGGCGCGAATCCCTCAGGCTCAAGCCAGATCTGGTGCTGAGTTTTGTCCTTGAATCTGATGATCTTCGACTCCAACGAAGGGCAGTAGCGAGGACCGCGAACTGTCTCCCTGATGTGAATCGACTTGTCCAGATTGGCGCGAATGATGTCGTGGACGGCTTCGTTTGTGTGTGTCATCCAGCAGGTAAGCTGACCCTCGTCGCCAACGTCGACAGTCTTGTTCAAGTACGAGAACGGGTGTGGTGGCGAGTCACCCTTTTGAACTTCAAGGCCGCGGTAATCAATCGTCTTTCCGTCAAGTCGAGGCGGCGTGCCAGTCTTCAGGCGGCCCAGTTGGAACCCAGCGTCGCGAAGAGACTTGCTCAGTCCATATGTAGGAGCCTCGCCCATGCGTCCAGAAGGAAAGACGTCCATGCCAATATGAATCTCACCACCTAAGAAGGTGCCTGTTGTGATGACCACACGACCAGTGGAAATGACCTCTCCAGACTCCAATCGGACACCAACAATCTTGCCCTGAGCACCGGGAGTGCTCTCAATTCCTTCAGTTGAAACCACAATATCGGCCACCTTTCCCTCGACGATGTTCAAGTTCTCTGTTCCAGCCAACTCCTCCGACATGTACCGCTTGTACAGATCACGGTCAATCTGCGCACGCGGACCCCAAACAGCAGGACCCTTGGAGCGGTTCAAGACGCGGAACATGACACCAGCCTTATCGATAATGCGGCCGGCGACACCGTCCATCGCATCTACCTCCCGAATCATCGTTCCTTTACCGATTCCACCGAAGCTGGGATTGCACGAGCAGACTCCAATGTTCTCAAGAGAGGGTGTGACCAACGCAGTGCGCGCACCAGAGCGAGCAGCAGCGGCGCATGCCTCGGAACCGGCATGACCACCTCCAATAACAACGACATCGTACGGTCTAAAGAAGCTAGTCAGGAAGAAACTCCAATGCGATAACCAGGGGCAAACACATACCGCGTATTATCTGTAACAGTGGCTAGACCGCGACTCCGACCCATAGATGAGCGGAGGCGGCCATGACGCATCAGCGCCGCCGATCGAGATCGAAAAGCCATGGCCATAGCGAATTGAGATAAAACGCTGATGTTTAACAAACACAAACTTCAAGATCGATAAGGAAAATTACCGCCAGTCACGTGCGCCTACTTATGGCCGTTAAACCCGAGGGCGGTGACCTATATGACATAATCACTTGCGCCATCGGCCAATTGCGGGGCTGATGATGTTCAGCTCTTTGACTTGCCGATTTCTTGTTCCTGGTTTCTACACTTGCAAATCAAAATCAATCACAAGACGACATAATGAAGGCATACTGGTATGACAATCTTCCAGTACGTACGCTCCAATGCAGCAGTTCTATACTTTTCAATCGCGCCCACCTGCAACCCACCCCACCAATTGCCAACCCAGCAGCTAACACTAAACGACCAACAGGGCGACCAGCGCGAGCCCCACGACTCCGGCCGCGCCGTTTCAGAAGAAAAGCTTGCCTCCTTAGGCGTGCTATACAAGCACTGCCCGACAATCGCAGATGTGGACCAGATCGCCCAGGACCGTGGCTACCGCAACCGCGACCAGGTCTGTGTTTCACCCGAAGCTATGGGGGACGTCTACGAAGACAAAGTGAAGACCTTTTTTGCCGAGCACTTGCACGAGGATGAGGAGATCCGATACATCACCGATGGCGAGGGATACTTTGATGTGCGCGGAAAGGATGACGAGTGGATTCGTATCTGTCTCGTTAAGGATGATATGATTATTCTTCCCGCTGGTATTTACCACCGGTTCACCACGAATGCACAGAACGTAAGTGTCTTGAACTTTGCGCCAACCATGAGATGTGGAGGCCAGCATGTGGATCGTGATACTGACTCTATCCAGTACGTCCGGGCCATGCGTCTCTTCCAGGATGAGCCTAAGTGGACACCGCTCAACCGTGGCGCTGAGGTCGATAGCAACCCCCATCGCAAGACGTATCTAGATACTGTTATCACCCCTACTATGACTGTAAACTAGATGGGTTATTGAGATTGAGATGCGTTATGACTGAATTGGCAATACACATGGAGGCCTTTGATGACTGGTACAGATTTAGAGTGGACCTTGTCGATATTAAGCTTTGACAACACACTGGAATTTGACACTTTTCAACACCACGTCATGCTCTGAATCTCTGAATTACGCAGTATTGGTGTAACACACATAATGAATTTGAGAAATACAACAACCTCATCTTCCGGTTAAGAGTACGACAGTCACCCAAATTCAGCTCAGAGAAGTACAAAACCCTGGTCTCTTACCGATATTGTGACACTTCTTACTTCAAACCTCCTTTCTAAACCTCCTAGCTTCGACAAAACGTGAAAGCATTTGCACAGCAAGATTACCCTCATTGTTCATTTACTTTCTTTCTCGACCTAGCCATTGACTTGTGCTACTCAGGACTGTTTTTATCGACAATCGTTCCAGACTTAGTCTTCACTCTCCAACTACTGTGCTCCCGGCCCAACTGAACCAAGATCGACACGGCATGAGCGATCCATCAACATACGCTGATGAGTCTGGAAACAATCTTACAGTACCGTCAGAAGGGATAATCAGTGGTGCAGATAAGCTGGGATCAGGCAACGCTACAATGGATAAAATTAAACAGGCAAGAGCGGCGCCGCAAGAACCCTCAGGGTTTTTTTCCCTGTCCAGCTTCCTCGGGCTTTTGTTGCCCATTGCAACTCTCCTTTACATTTCCCCTCACAACACTTGCTTCGCTGTGAGCTTTTTATCTCATTTTAATACGTACGAGAGTGCCATTCTTGGCTCCCCTGCTTGTCTATCTTTTCAGAAGTCCCTGAAAAATGGCGACTCCAGCTCAGGTACCCTTTGTTACCACAAGAATCGGAGGATTTAATTGCTGACCGCTCTTGGTAGCCTTCTCATCAGAAGCCCAGGTCTACTGCTGCCAAGTGTGGTGCAGTTGAGGACTTTGGAATCCCCGCAGACGAGGAGGACTGGGAGCAGCTTGTGAGAACGGGACATCTCCAATCAACGACGATCAGCACACTCGCTGCAGATCTGTTGGGTTCTGGGTCCGAGGCATCTAACAAACAATACCTTATGCTCCATACAGCGTCTCCAGGAGTGAGGCTACCCGAACTCCTATTTGAGCACCATGCCCGCTATGGTATTGCAAATGAGATGGCACAAGGGTCGCAGGCTATTCTCGAAGCCTCAGAGGAATTTAGTCATTTTCTGGAGATCATTGAGACTGGTCAGTCCATGGATAACGTCAGAGAGGGCAAAGCTCTGTGGCCAGGCTCGTTTGCAGTTCCACGGCTTCTTCAGCAGCAAACTGTTACTGTCGATGGTGTGCCAGACTACGTTCGTGTAGCACAATTCGAGAATAAGGCTTCGATGACCGCGGGACCCAGATCTGACAGTCGTCTCCACTTGCTCCCGGATGCAGAGGACGAGATTGTACCTAATGCTGCAGCCATTACACTGTTCTCTCAGCTGATACACATGATTCCATGTGACCTGGAGTGGGTGATGAACCGAGCTCATTTCACAGCCAGGTTCGGACAAGGCAGTTTCAGTGCCCAGACAGACGGAAGTCTGAGGCACAAGGACCCATCCAAAAAATTGACATTTGCGATTCTGGAAGTCAAGAGTCGGCTGCGCAAGAAACGACCTAGTTCCATTCTTATACAAGAAGCTTGTGAAGTTGTCGGGTGGTTGATGGATCAGTCTCCGGGCAGGGCAGTTTTCGACCAACAGTAAGTATTGCTTTCCACTCGGTGTTATCCAAGCAGCTTTATCACATTACTGACATCGACCACCTCCGCCAAGCTTCCTCCTGGTGTCCCAAGATAGACATGGGCTTTACATTACATTTGCACCATGCAGCAAAGAATATGTGGAGTATCTACACGGACAACGTAACGACTGTGAGCTTATGAAGATGCAGACATATGGGCCATGGAGCACTGAGATAGTTGAGGATATGAAGGATTTTGCGGTGTGGATTCTTGCCACTTCCATGAGAGCTATGGAAGTATCTGCTTAATCTTATATCCATTTCCGCTGAAACCTTGTTCCTGGTGAGTACTTGCACAACTTGCCTATTTACTGCAGTTTCAATTTTGCGCCCATTGTCATGAAAATCATGTAAACGAGTCTCAAGCAATACAGTCTCTTACCACACCTAATATCTTTAAACTAAAGATCAAGCGTAGGTCCTAGCGCATGTTCAAATTCGTTCGGATCCCATGTCGCCCGGCATTCCGTGATGCCTGCGTCATTTGGGCCCCCTCTGTTTTGTCACAATCCCTTTCTGCTTTCTATCCTCTTCAGCCTTTCTCTATCCCCTTTTCCCGCCCTTACTTTCGATCATCGTTTCTTCTTTTATTCGAATTGAAGCTGATCAAATGTCACTACCGTGGAGGATGCTTACCAGGCGCGGGCGAGAGCGTGAGCTTGACCACCAAGCTCGGTTCGCAGAGTCTCGTTCCAGGGCGCTTAAAGGCATCATCGACCCATACAATAACACTTTACATCACAACAACATGCTTATCGAGTCCGATTCATATCACGATCTCGGTATAGTTTGCCGTGATCTAGTGATTGATACCGATGGATCCTACACAGATGTTCCTAAACCAGCTTTCTTTGATCCTCTGGCTGTTTCCCAAATTCCAACGATAAACACGGAGTCTGACGCGACTCGGATAAGCTTGGAGGACATAATGACTATTCGGAAATGGCGAAAGACAAATCCTCAATATCGGTCCCTATCAAGACAAACCCGAGCGTTGGGCTTTGAGATAGGCGCTGCCTTCAGGTACCATAAACGTGATGAAGGCCGTCGGAAAGATCGTAGCCTTGCCTCTATCGCCAACTATTCCCAAGGGTAAGTCGGTTTTTTCTAGCCGTCTTGGGGCACACACTAACGCTTCAACGATAGTGGAGATATCTCGCCAGACATAATCGCTGAAGAGTACGATCCTGTGATATGGCAATCCCTCTGGTGGCACCCGGACGCAGCCTTTTGCCAGAAAACATACCTCAATCTGCCACACACAATGATTGTGTTGCAAATGACCGTTGAGCTGGACGATAGAATCTTCCAAGTGGAGGTTTTGACAGCTCTCACCATCATGCTCACGCTTCTTGAGGGAGATAGGTTTGAGCTTCACAACACAGTGCCGGTCATGGTGATTAGTGTTATGGGTCGAATGCAAGTCCGTGTTCTACAGTTTCACTACAGCCGTGAAGGTCTTGTTGTTACCAAGACACGTTTCATGAGCTTCGCCACGGATGAAAGCACGACGATCGGGCTCGGTGTCTTGATGGGCCTCATGTCGTCAAAGACTAGTGGGAACACAAAGGATCCCAGTAACATCTGGAAGGTGAGCTGCGTGGCTTCCAAGTTGTCTTGGTTGCGAATACTAATGTGTATACAGCCCGTGTCCCCTCCCACCACCCCAACCCAAGCTTCTAGCGAGCCTCCTGTTGTTGACCCAAATCTTACCGCCAGCAGACGGATCCTCCAAGCTCTCCATGTCGGGAAATACAGTTCACGTGCCAAGAGGTCCCGAAGCAAAACTCATGGAATCCCGGATTTCGATCCACAACCCCCCAACCAAATTAGCGCCCCTACACACAAAGCTCAGGAAGACACGAAGGAACAGAAGCCTCCCGGATCACACTTTGCGTATCCTGAACAGCTATTCACCGGTCCTCCTGACTAGTCTACCAGTTGCGTAAAATTGTCGAATAACAGTGATAATAACGAGGACGCGGAAGGTCCCTTTGGGGAGGGCCCAACCAGGATATCATTTGCTAATTCATGATTTCCATGTATCTCTTTATGTCAGAATAAACCTCTTCTCTGCTAAAAAAAGGATCATTAATCCATGTCCAACTTCCGTAGTGCTGTTTATACACCGAGTTTAAGACGCCGTATCGTATGGTCCCCGCCAGCAGGACAACCCTTATCTGCTTTGACTGAGAGTTGACTGTTAATTCTGTCTCACTGTGCTGCGTATACTTTGAAAACAGCCCGGTCAACGAGTGCCGAAGCTGAGGATGCATACAGGAGTCCAAATGTAGGTCAGCCTTTTTTTTACTTTTTGCTATTGTCTATGTTATGAAGTGTGGTTTCTACAAAATGATTGTATATTTTCCTGCATCGCCTGCACGTCTTGTAACCTAGTATTATATAGGCCTCTTTTCATATCGCGCTTTCTTGCCAGGTTCGAAGAATCCGATCCTCCACGTATGCCCAAGGCCACCCATTATCTCTGTCCGTCCGGCGCAGAAGATCAAACAATACGGTTTGGGCGAGAGGATCATTTATCCAGGCACTACCTATAGTTCATAGTAAGTAAGCAACGAAAGCTGAACAGGATAGGAAAGGAAGAATGTAAGACTTACAAGCACTTAAGGTATGGCAAGCCATAATCCGCAAAGAGGGCTCATCGTCCGCGGATAGTGCGACCCCGAAGAGGTAATTTAGGGTTTGTGATATTTGTTCCTGGATAATTAGGAAACCGAATCGAATCATAGCCTGATGAGAAACACACCTGGTTTTCTGGAGTCTCTTCTGATTCGTCAATCAAGACAAGCGCTTTGGCAAGACAAATGTGCTGTACGGCGGTTGCTGAAACAATTACAGACGTATTAATATCAAATTCCCCCACGGTAAACATTGACAGTTCTTACAGTGCCACAAATTCATATGCAAAACCACAGGGAAGGGATTGCCCCTTTCGCGGTCCGGAGGTGAAACGTGCAGAGGCATGAATGCATCAGGACGTCCATTCTCCCATTCCAGGATTCTCTTCTTCAAAGCGATCCTCCCTGAACGCCCCAGATAACCCCCATAGTTTCGTCCGGAAACATTATAACAAAAGTCTATGGTTTCGGCAAGTAGCCAAATAGCACGATTCACCCAGTCGCTGACGCTCAGGACTTGTTTGGATGCCCACCAACACCGTAGGCGCTCGTCGAATGGTGCAAATGCAAGCCGAAGGGACTTTCGATAGGTGAGCGCGAATTGAATGTCTTGGATGACGAAGACCCAGAATGAGGCGGAGGCGAGGCCGCCGGAGATAGCGCAGTCTACATGTGAGCTGATATAAACGGATCCGGCAAGAAGGTGGCGTTGTGGATCAATAGAGGGTATATAAGCTAGGAATAGGTTTTAGTAAACATGTGTTTCAGAAATGGGTGAGTTTCAAACGCACAGGATATTTGTTCAAAGAAACGGAGGATCACGGTTGTGCTGAGAAGGATGTCGATGCTTATCTTTAACGCTGATTTGTCGAGTGAAGGAAGCATAATGAGAATACAGCGCTCATGATAGCTGTCTGCAACCTCCGTAGAGACTGCCCTTGTTGTTTGGGATAGGTGCATTGCCGATACGGCAAGGCAGGCGGACAGTAGCAGTGGAGACTGGCTAGCTCGATCGGCTATTTCCGCAACAAAGTGGCGTTTAGGATCACCGGCATCAAGCTGATCGATTAGCAAAAGCCTATTTTGCATGTGTACGAGAATCTACTTACCCATGGTGCAAGGTGCATTTGGAAATGTCGTAGCAGATAGGCTTCATTCATACTTTTCAGCCTTTGTTGTACGACGTGTTGAGCACTTGGAGATCGTGGCGAGATCGCCGAGGTCGAGTGCGAACTTGCTTGATATTTCGTGTCATGTAAAGGAACAGTGACAATCGTCACAGGCGCAGGAGGCTCTGTGGAAGATGACGGGGTATACCGACATTCTGACGGGGGTCTGCTTCGCAATGGTTCATTCGGTACGGATATCACACAATACTCTGACGCTATCTCATCGGTCTCATCTTGGAATGAGTCTGGGCCAAAGAATTAGCACAAGGTCGAGCAGATCCCCCTCCATCACGTACATTCTGAAGATGGATCCATCCAAATCTGATCGGCCGCAAATGACAGTGCGCTCTCCCCATATACGGGGGGGCCCTTGCCGCGTAAGGAAGGATTCTGGCCATGCTTGAAACAATCTTGTTTCGGTTTCTCCGGTGCTTCTAAGCATTCGAGGCCAGACTTTTGACAGCGCAGGCAATTGGTTCCTGATTTATCACCTAATCAAGTTAAGTCAGATCTGTGAGCGTCTAATGAGAGGCCATGCATACATTTTAGATGGCGTAGACGACACGTGTAGCTGTGTCCAGTCAGTTAGAGGAATGGAGATCACGGAAACAAAAGAACTGACCATCCCCTCCTCATTACGCAACTAGCTTGATAAAGACTGCCTTGATTTGGGCAGGTATCCAGAAGAGAATAGGAAGACTCGGCATCCCGAAAGCGACCGCATAATATTTTTTTGCCAAGGTTGACTAACACATTTTTACAGTATCATTTGTGGGGGCCCCAGGCAATGCGAATCAGGGGGGAAATTAAAGCGGAGGCCATGTTGGGGAACATTTTCTAAACGGAAAGTCTCCAGCGTGGGGAATCATTGTGATGCCTGAAAAAAAATCACGCAAGAGTGGGCCTCACTGCGGTGTTTATAATCAGTTTAGTGCCGTCGGGAGTATATCCGCCTCTAATGCACAGTACCTCTAGATACACTTTAGATATACTATTGTCAGCCCTGTCGCGAGTGACGCGTTGAATAAATACTTTGGGAAACTCTTACATTGCTATAAATGTATCCTACTCCGGAACCGATTGTCCGCTTTGTAGCTCTTATTTGGAAGGGTAAAACCGATCATGGAATCATAAATGAGGAGCGAACGCCAACTGTAAGGTAACTTGGCATATTCCACTCTCCACTTCATGTCCGACTTCCGCCGTTGTTTTCCTAATTTACCTTTCATGTTCTTCAGTTGTATTCCAAGCAAGCCTTCAGATAGGCCAGGGTGCGAACGGCAGCATAAGAGGGGAGAATGGCCTAATGTATATGTTGGAAACCTCGGAACCAGTGGCTCTTGAGAGCAGATCAAAATCATCCCACGGAAATAGCAAAGGTTTGAGTTGATCAACACTTGAGCAAAACGTAAGAAAACACCCGTCTCGACAATGCGGCCGCAATAGACCGCAATAAGCAGGTCCTGTCGCTTATCCTCTTTCTCTATACTTCAATACTTATCAACCCATTGCCAACGCTTTTTAAACACAAGATACAGGAAACTTTTCCACATCTTACGAACCCCTATTAGAAATCCCAAGCCACCACCTCCAATCCGTCCCATCAGGCCCAGCAGTCACTTCCTTCACCGTCAATCTAGCTTTCCTCGTCACGGTATCCATTTCAATGCCAAACGGCTGTGTGTTATCTACCTAACGAGTCGAGTAATAATTATGAGCCCGGAAGCGAAAATATAATTTCCACTGGACCAGACTGAGATCTAAGTCGTTATCGCTCGCTACTGCTTTGAATAGGACTTCCATCAGCCGATGCTTGGTTCAGCCGAAATGATGAAGCAATGGTCATTAATTCATAGACAGGGTTGTCTAAGCTTTCAGGACTTTGTTAGATAGCCGTTTGCTTGCTTGCCGTCTGTTTGCTAGGCGCTTGGCAGGGCCAATCTAGTCGGCCTGTTCCCCCTTTTTCCCATAGAGAATTCATGGTCCTCAGAGATCTCTCTCTATTATTATTCTTCACGCCTAACGCAATTATCGACTAGTCAGACGTCGACTTCCCTTCTCCCTTTTACCAGCTTGTCAAACTTATGCGCGGTTAAACCGCCGATAACGGGATGATCGAGCGGTTCAAGATTTGGCAGCAACTCAAATTTCATGCCGCGGTGGAAATCGACAGCGGCAAGGCGACCAGTGTCAGTCCTGATCTATACACGCACGAAAAGAGAGACAGTGAAACTCCTGGCAATGTGCTCGCTACGAGTATCTTTTACGAGAATTTGGAACGTCAACCGGAAGTATGGCGGATCTTTCATCGCTGCTCGAAGCAACTTTATGTGCATGATATTCCTCGGATGCTGGATTACCCTCACGAAGCTCTTAAGTCGAACACTTCGTTATGATGGGGCTCTGTGGTGCCCAGTGTTTTCTTTTCACAGGTCCAGAGAGGGAGAGACAAGGATGAGGGTGAATCAATCTATCTCAAAAGGGGATTTATATTGCTCCATAAGGTCTGGCAAAGCACAATGGCACTAAGCTACCTGGCTTTGGTGGAATGGCGTTAGGCTTCATGATCATCCGTGAGAATATAGACATTTGGTAGGCCAAGGGATCCAGTTGTCATCAAGTACATCATATCCTAAAATATCAGAAGCTGTATATGTGTCACTCAGCTCTATATTCATACTGCCTCCGGCACACCTCTTCCTTCAACCAGCTGGATCCTGCGCTGGGCTTGGATAGGAAAGCTCGGGAGATATCTATTGAAAAGAAATGGCACACTGGCTGTAATCAGCGCGCCACCACCGCACATAGCAACCATAGCTGTGAATCCAGGCTTATAGTCCGGTGCATCAGAGTCAGGCCACATACGGCTGCCATACAGAGCAGCAAGATCTCCAACTCCATTGACCAAAGCAATGGCGACCGCTCGCTTCTCTATTGGCTGTGCCATAGTCTCTGATGTCCAGGTCAATATCAGAGGGAACGCACAAAATACACCGGACACATAGAAACAGATGAAGGCGTAGCGAGGGGCGGTTTGTTTCACGGTCACTATGATGATTCCGGAGATTGTGGCGAGCGTAAGTCCGAATACAATATGCCACTGCCGATTCTGGGTGCGATCAGATGAAAGGGAAACCAGGATAAGGAAAACGGTTGCCACGAGCCTGAAATTAAGTGTATTAGTTCGGTCGTCGTAGAATAACTAGATAGTATCCTACCAAAGGGGAACAGTCATCCATTGTGCACCAGTGCCGCGGTAGCCCATATCCTGGATGACAGTAGGAATGAAGTAGGAAATTGTGGCAACCCCGTTGTTAAGGAGATACAGAACGATAAAGAAGTACGTCCTCGGGTCGGCCATTGCTGAAAATAGCGATTGAAGGATGCTCATTTGCTTCTCTGTCGGGGTATTCTCCTGTTTATCGTGCAAAATCCTGACATAAGCTAGCTGGCGCTCAGCTGGAGTAAGCCGACGAGTGGAAAGTGGATAGTCTAAGAGTATAAACTTGCAAAAAGCAGCAACTCCGATGGTTATGATACCCTCCAGAAGAAAGAGCCAGCGCCACCCTGTCATACCATGTACGCCCTCAAGGCCGCTAATAATGGCTCCAGATAATAACCCACTGATTGCACCAGCAATGCATATTGCAGTAAAGAATATAGAGAATCGCTTCCCTGGAATACAGTCAGATTCAAGGGGAAGGAGTTCTCGGGTCAAGAAACCCACCAATTTCGTTCTTTTTATACCAGCAGGACATGATTAACATGACCCCTGGCATGAACCCAGCTTCTATAAGTCCCAGAAAGAAGCGAATTACCAGGATTCCTCGATAGCTTTGAACTTGCGACATCCCAGCTACCAAAGAGCCCCATGCAACCATGAGAGCGGGAAGATACCACGAAGGGCGAAACCGAGCAAGAATCAAGTTAGAAGGAACTTCAAGAATCACGTAGGCAATGAAGAAGACATTGATCAGCATTGCATATCCTAAAACCATCCAAATTAGCTTGCCGAATCGACTAGGCCGCATGTTTCCAACGAACGGGAGCTCGAGAGGTCCAAATCTCTACTCATGCCTGCTGCTTTAGCATTTCCCTTCATTGTAAAAGTCAGTGCTGAGGTGATATCAGGACATCAGACTTGAATTTTATCAGCACTTACAATATTGTTTCGATCAATGAATGCCAGAAGGCACATCAACCACAGCGGCGGTAATATATATTTGTCCAATTTTCGCACCAACTTCTTCTCGAGCTCTGTATCTGGCTCATAGTTTGCAAAGGCAGTATCCAAATCAGACATCGCAAGGTCAGCCGATGTTGCGACAGACATAGTGGAAGCAGTGTGGGCAACTGGGCCTGCTGCGAAGGAGTCGCTTTTTGGCAGTGACACTTTCAAGGCAGAATTAGGAACACAGAATTTCTGTAATTTCTGGACCGAAGCAAAGAAGTTAGACAAGGCAGTGTGTGAGGCTGTAATAGCTACACTATATGCCATTAAAGTAGGATAAATAGGAGACTGATAATCTCAAGCTTCTTTCGGACAATCTCACCCCTCACCGATGATCACAGTCTAAGATCCATCTGACCAGTCAGCTGGGGGTTGAAATCACGTGGAGGTGCATGAAGAGCCATGTCAATGGCCACCGTTGACATGGGCGCATGTACAATGCAGCTAACCGGTCAGACGGCCCAGTTTGTGCGACCAGGATAACAGTCATTTCGATATCCTTTTCTTATTCTATATCATCCGCGACATTATTATTACAGTTCAATCCCTGTTCCAAGATAGATGATGTACGCCTTCACATTCAAGAGAAGTCAGATTATTCTTATGCGCTACCATCCCGCAGTGCCAAGACAGAGGTACCGAAGGGAAAGCTTTTCGAAACTGGGAGCTAGGCAGAGTTACGGCCCGCAGATTCGGCCTAACTAGAAGGAGAACAAAGCCACGATCCAGTATATCACACCTACAGATTACAAGCGCTGGGAGCGCTTCCAAAGGTTAGCGCTGCATGAAATGGACAACTCATATGCACTTCGAATCACCCAGCCTTTTTGGCATCAACCCCGCGCGCTGTCCACTTTTAAAGTCAACGCCTTGGGAAATCGTTTTTGGTGATTATTTTTCGAAAATTTCTCGTGGTATTGCATTAGTCGCTCAGTTCATCGTACGTATAATTCGCTCCAACGATTGCAAGGTTCGAAGTTACGATAAGAGGTTATTTACAAATAATAATCACGCCTAGAGCCGACACCATCGTCTAAATACACTGACCAACTCCAATATCTTTTTTGGTTGATGTGTATCGAGATCCAAAACCACCCCCATTAATGAGCTACCATGACGCCTCCTCAACTTTTCACAATTGCCGACATACGCAATGCCGGCACTGCCAACATGGACCCGAAATGGGCACAGTACCTCAATGAAGGAGCCATGGATTTGGTGACTCTCAAGTCCAACGAAGCGGCTTTCGAACGATACAGAATAATGCCGCGAATCTTAAGAGATGTTGCGACTGTCGACATGAGCACCACACTCTTCGGATCTAAAGTTTCAATGCCTCTTGGCTTTTCACCCGCCGCTATGCACTGTCTTGCACATCCTGATGGCGAAGTGGCCACTTCAGGAGCTGCCGCAAAGGCTGGCATCGCGATGGCCTTGTCAAACTGGTCAACCAAGTCACTCGAGGATGTCATTGCTGCGGGAAACGAGGTTGGAAACGGTACCCCGTACGCAGTGCAGACATCGACTGGAACTCCAAAACCATCAATTGAGGAGCTTATACGCAGAGCAGACGAAGCAGGATACAGTGCCGTTTTGCTGACGGTGGATGCACCCGCGCTTGGAAGACGGCTCAATGAGTACGTACTAGCCAGTTGATCTAGATGCAGGAAATGTTAAGGTAGATCAGAACTGACTTGAATATAGGTATCGAAATGGTGTCGAGCTTCCTACGGGAATGAAATTTCCGAATATCTCTTTTGATCCCTCCAGCTTCAGAGGCATAAAGCGAGATGCCGCAAGCACTTTTGAAACATTTCTTCCTTGGATAGCCAGCCTTGTTCCCCCTCACATGGAGCTATGGCTCAAGGGAATCTACACCCCCGAAGATGTGAGAATTGCCGCTACATATCCGTTCATTCGCGGTATCATAATCTCCAACCATGGCGGCAGACAGCTCGACGGCGCTCCGGCAACCCTAGAAGCCTTACCCGACTGCGCTGCAGCAGTGAAATCTGTGAACCTGTCGCGGTCGCCTGAGAATAAGCTTAGAATTGCCATTGATGGCGGAATCCGGAGAGGAAGTGACATTTTCAAATGTCTGGCGCTAGGCGCAGATTTCTGCTTTGTTGGTCGACTGGCGATGTGGGGCTTGGCGTATGATGGACAGAGAGGCGTCGAGCGCGCTTTGACTCTGTTGAATGAAGAGCTTGAGACGTGCATGAAGCTCGCTGGATGTAAGACTTTGGCGGATATTGGGCCAGAAAGCTTGGCGGTTGTTGAAGGTGGTGTGCCTGGCTTGATTCATCGATTGGAAAGGCTCTAGTTCTTCACCCAATCTCGGGCTTCATTGGAATATATGTGCATTGCACGATCGACGCCGCTAGCACTTCACAATTTCTGAGCTACCTAAGACCTAGATCGTGAAAGAACAGACCTACCATGGCTCTCACAGTGTTCATCGCTAGTGCGTGTCATGATGTCGATAAAGCTTGAAAGCTGTGGCCAATTCTGGGACCGGTATAGAATATTCTCCGAAGCATAGCTTGCTAATTTGCGAACAAATGCTTTTTCGACAGACAAAGGGAAACGGATTTGTATTCCAAGCTAAAGATGAGACAGAGAAGCTATTGTTCTATTCCAAAACAGTCAATGACCGCCACGAACGGGGCTAAACGTGTCAGTCCAAGCGTGCCCTAACGGAAAATAAGGCGAAAGCCCCCATCACCGAGGAAAGAAATTTCTCCATACACGGAAACGGGCTCTAGTAGTACGTTCCACAATTCGTCAAGGTGATATTGCGATGGATATCCCTATCGATATTAACCCAATTTCAAGGGGAAGAGAGATCTGATATAAGCACGCGCTCTGTCAATCTCATGATTCGGTACATCAACTCCAATCTCTCGGGGTTTTATCATGCGTCTTTCAATTCTCAGCGCCGCATGTGGCTTGGCAGCATGTGCAGCTGCTGTGGCGATGCCTCAATCCCACTCTCACTTCTATGTGCGCTCAACCAAGAGCAGCACAGAAGAAAGACTCGGGTTCTTCACTGGAACATGCACGGAGAAAGAGATGACTGTCCGCAAGGAGTGGCGCAACCTGTCAAAGACCGAGCAGAACAATTTCCTGGACGCTGTTCAATGCCTAATGGACAAGCCTCCCAAGTCCGGTCTGGCTGCCACTACCAGCCGGTTTAGTGATCTTCAGGCTCTTCATCGTGGAATGTCCAACACCGCTTATGCTGATATAATCCACCACGTTGTATGTTTCCTTTTCCTCCTCCACATAATAGGCTAACAGAAAGCTAACAGGAAGCTAACAGGGTCAATTCTTTCCTTGGCATCGTTACTATATGCACGTATGCGAAACCATTCTTCGTGAGGAATGTGGTTATGCCGGCTCTATCCCGTAAGACCTTCTTCCATTTCATGCATGCTTTTCCCGCTGACTTTCAACTTCTCTTTATCCAGGTATTGGAACGAGCAGAAAGACGCCGACAGGGGACAGATGTGGGAGTCCTCCCTGTGGGGAGCCGATGCCTTCGTAGGCAAGGGAACAGGCACCGACAACTGCGTTTAGGATGGTCGATTCTCAAACTACACTCTGCACATCGGACCCGGCGATGAAGACACAAACTGTCTGCAACGCGCCTGGAACGCCGAGATGGCAGTTTCTAACGCCAACAGTACCTCTCTCGACATGTGTAATGCATACAATACTTATTCACCCTGGTGGGATTGGATATCGAATATCCCGCATAAGGGTGTGCATACTTACATTGGAGGCGTGGTAGGTATCATCTACTTCCGATTTCATCGGGTATCTAGCTAATTTCAATTTTTCTAGATGGCCGACATAAAATCATCCCCAGACGATCCAATCTTCTTCATGCACCACATGTACGTCGATCGTGTGTGGTGGCTGTGGCAGAAGAAAGATCCGGTCAACAGACACTACGATATCAACGGCCCGACTCTGAATGAAAACGCTAATGTCGAGCCCGCTGGTGGATGATAGAATGCTACAGTGCATTATGAGCTTTCGTCTTTTGGTATCATGGTGAACACCACTATTGGGAAGGTGATGAATACGCAGGGTGGATATCTCCCCCCCCTTTCCATGGCCAGATATGACATACAGCCATGGTGATGTAACTGGCAGGGGCTTATCTTGCATGCCATGATCGACATGGCGACTTGCGCATTACGGGTGTCTCAGATCAACAATTACATCACAAAATACACTGTGGATATCAAGCTCGAGTGTGAGTCGCAGGTCTATCAGCTGAAAATGAATCCACACAAATGTCGCTTTTTGACTCTTCCAAGGTGAAATAATACATTGTAGTTCGGGTTTATTCGATCTGCTGAAGGGATTAATTAGACATCAAACATAAAATCTAATTTTCAACGCTAATTTCTATCTATTCTCCATAAACAATGCATTTCAATACTCAAGACCTGGGCTTAAACTGAACCCAAGGCCCCTCCACTGCTGATGTCACCCAGCCCTTAAGCTTGAAATCACAGTCATTGCGCTTTCCACCACAGCAGCGAGCCTCAGGCGCTAACCGCATATCATATCTGTATAGCACTCTAGCGATGGTAACATTCAACTCGGCCCAAGCAAGTTTCCACCCAACACAAGAGCGAGAACCAGAGCTGAAGGGCACAAAGGCTTGTTTGGCAGTCTTGATACTCTGTTCGTCCACTCCTGTCTCAGGGCTGACGATCCACCTGTCTGGGGCATATTCATCGGGGGACTTGAAGTAATTCTGATTTCGGTGGACAGCGTAGGTAGTCGTTCCAACCATTGTTCCCTCGGGAATGAATTGCTGGTCGACCAATAAGCCGCCCTTAAGCACGGTACGGGGAATCGTAGTTGAGACGGATGGTGCGAGACGCAGTGTCTCGTTGATGCATGCTTGAAGAAGTTCGCAAGAGTCGAGCTGGGCTCCGATGTGGATGTCTTCTTCGTTGGCGAAGGTGGTGCGAAGCTCATGGACCAAGCGGGCGAGTAGGTCGGGCTTGTGGGCTAGGAAGAAGAAAGTTCCGGCCATTGCGGTGGCCGTAGTATCGGCACCTGAATTGGACGATTAGCATTGCTCTCGGGGTAAGAAATCTGCTTGTCTTACCGGCAGTCATCAAGAGCATAGATTCAACCCAAAGGTCCTTTGAGTCAAAGTGAAGTCCAGTCTTAGGATCGGCAGTGTTCATCATATGATAGAACAGGTCTTGCTTTTCGATGTCATTTCCAAGGCGCTGGCGAGCCTTGGATTGTGCGCCAATTCGATTACCAGCCTCCACAATCTCATTGAATTTGGATCTCATGAAGAATTGGTCGATTTTCCAGTTGCAGAACTTGGTTTGAACAAGTGTCTGACAGGAGAATTAGTGTCAATTCGAGAGAAGGGTATAAATCAAGAGTGCCGGTTTCATACCGTCATACTCCGCTGCGTAATCTTCAACACGACCGATGGAAACCATCGCATATCAGGTGTGTGCAGCATATCAAAGTCCTTTCCATAACAAAGATCACTGATAACATCAAAAGTAACCCAGTCACACATGGGTGCCAGATGTTTCGTATCAGTCCATTTATCGTCTCCCTTGGGTTCGATTCCAGGTTTCACATTCCCAAACTCATCTCCCTCCTGCCCAAGCAAATTCACGAAATCACGCACATTTTCCAAAAGACGCTCTTCGATGGCTTTGATCCCCTCGGTGGAGAAGACCTGAGCCAAGATACGACGCTTGAATCCGTGGGTGGTTTTATCGGTCGCTGTGAGGGTATTGGGAGTGTGTCGACTTGCACTCAGGGAGCTGTAGCCTTCAGATTTGACCACATTTGCACGGACGCCGTAGATCGCGTCCATTCCGGTGTCGGTGTTGAACGTGAGGGCATTTGGAGCGAATCGAACGATATCGCCTATGGATTGTCAGTATGGATATTTCTAGTCATTGAGTGGTCTAGGTTCCTACCATAGCGATCGTGCCATTCCCGGCTGTTGATGTGCAGGTCTCCCCGCCACGCATAGAAGGCTGCATACCAATGCGTGATAGCTGCCAGCCGAGGACCGGGGTACTTCGCCAAAGGGTGGAAGAACAAGCGGTAAATGACCAGGGCAATACTCTGAAGGGCGTTGTTAGTTGCTATGTTCGATTGCAAATGTAAGGTCACCTTACATATGCAATGAGAGCCACACCAGTGACAGCAATTGCCTTGTAACTCATTTTCGTGACCAAAATTCACTTGAAGATATGGGCTGAGAACGAAAAGCGAAATAGCTAAAATATTTTCGCGTGAGCTCATTTTGTGCGGATTGATGCAGTTGAGGCATTGGATCGGCCCCGCCGACGGCAGGGGCAAACCTAATCATCGAAGCAATCAATAGTTGACCCGAGGATGACCGAGGAAAGATCTGCATCAGATCTTGGTGCATCGACGTCTATGAGGTATAAGCTCTGCAGATCGGCCCAATCAGTCTTGAGATACTTAGGGCTAGAGATCGTATTACATCATAGCGTGAACACGTGGAGCCCCATCCTCGAACAAGATTGACGAGATCGGAGACCGGGTTATCTCGCTGGTATCGAAGGCCCCTTCCCAGCTCGCAAGATGTCACCACGGAATTTTGATCAACCTTCTGTCGCTGTACCGCCACGATGAGTGGGGGTAGTGCATCGGTGTCTGACTTGATCTTCTAGGACGTATCACGGAAATCAAGATCTGGCTGCTTACTAATTTGCGTTATGTTCCAGGAGCTACCTAATTGGATTTAAGATATAGCGTTCTCACATAATGATCACGTTAGTTCCTCATACCGTGACAAAGCAATAGCAATATTAGTATAAACCTAAAGATATAGTCTGTCTATTTCATCTCGAATCCTAGAGCAACTCAAAAGTGAGTCAGCGCTGTCTCTGTACTGTCCAGAATCTCATCGATAGACGAAAAGGGGCCCAATGAAGGCCGCTGATATGATTGAAGGGATTGGCAAGCGGAGGGACAGCTAGTTATACTAGCGCGTAGAGAAGAGCATTGTGTCATGCCTTTGAGAATGAAGGATCCGAGTATGTCGGCTATTAGTTGCCAACCTTCACGCTTGGATTGAAGCAATACAAAGGAAAATTGGCCGTCCATGTCCAGGTGGTAGAAGGTGTAGTTGTTCCCATCAAAGATGGCGCCAGATACTGTCCAGTCGGACTGACCACGCTTCCTTCTGGTTGCTTGTGTCATGGCCATATAGGCCAGCAGTTGGCCTTGCCCATCGGCTACATTCCGCTTGGCTTCAACTATCACAGCGTGACATGCCAAGTTGTCCTTGTCTCCAAAAAGAAAGCTGTAGTCTGCCTTTCCTACACAAAGATAAGGCTGGTCATTCCAAACAATTGGCCATTTCATCGTTGTCTCTCGGGATATACTGACGCGAGCACCGAGTGTGAGATGGCCTTCTGCGGCGAGCGAATTCCAAACGTCGTTGATCGACATACTGGTTTTGTATCGTACCGCCACTTCATTAGACTTCGTAATTTCTGTGTTGATGTTGTGAGTGGCAAGTCGGGGCACTACTTACCGTTAGTACAAGTGACATCTCCAAGTACGCCGTCAATTTACTCACCCAAAGATATCCGGCAGGGTGATATGGGCCCTTGGGAATTGCCACGGCAGAAAACCTCCTACTTCCCTCAAATCAAACGCCTTCTTTGTATCCTGGGTATTCATGGCTGACGGGTTCATATGTGGCAGCTCGGGCGGACCACCGGCGTGTTCAAGAAGAGCTGCTCGATCACCGTGCTTTATGAGATGCAGCAGCCGATCGTACCAAGCCCTTCCCCCATGGGACTTGAAATAGTTCTTCGCTGGGTCTGACTTGGGCATTTTGGATACTGAGTGTGATGTGGGTCTTGGTGATGCTGATCGCAGTCCAAAAGAAGCAAATTCTGCAATTACTGCTGACTCCCAGCTCTTAACTTCGTCGACGGTCAGAATGTCGTCATTCTGATTTTATTGTATGATGCTTGATTATATTGGAAGTAATGTACATGAGCCATAGAGGCTCCACAGGCTACTGGACCAGCACCCTTTATCCGTGGAGATATTGTATCGCGGTAACCCTCTAAACCTTCAACCCCTTCTTTTCCGCCGCAGCAACAGCATCAATAAACAACTGCTTGCAAGGCACCGAACTACCCAATCTCGCACAAAGCAAGAAAGCTCCACTCAACTTCCGATGCAGCGAGTACGTTTCCTCAGGCGGCGGCGCCAACCGCTCCTTGATCATCGTCGGAATAAGCGCACGCACACGGTCTGTGATGGTCTGATTACTGAAATCATACAGATCAGGCGAAGAAAGCATAAACGGTTCCGCGAGGGTCGTCATAGATGAGATATGCGCATCGACCATGGCGGGTGATTCCATTCCGGTGAGGTAACCCAATTCGATCGAGAGGTCGTGGCAGGTTTGCTTATCGTTGCGAGTTGCAGCGACGAGGGTGCGGACGTAGGTTGAGATGAACTTTTCTGGGTAGGCGCGGGAGGCGCCGAAGTCGAGCAGTTCGAGTTTGTTTGTGGAGGCGTTGTAGAGGAAGTTTGTCCAGTTAGGGTCGGTTTGCATATAGTGGAATTCGGCGATTTCGCGGAGGCACAGGCGCATGATTTGTGTGCCAATCCAGTCGCGTTGGGATTGGGTAAAGTCTTGGATTTTGGTTACGGCTACGCCGTTTAGCATTTCCATTGTGAGGACTTGTTTTCCCGAGGCGGATGGGATTGTTTCGGGGACCACAAAGACAGGGTCGTCGGCGAGGAGGAGGCGGAATTTGGCGGCGCCTTCGGCTTCGCGGATGTAGTCACATTCCCAGGCGAGTTCGGTGCGGGCATTGGCGATTGTCTTGTCTAGGTAGAGGCCTTTGGGGAGGAGGCGGGAGGCTGTTAGGAGAATGGAGAGGTTATTTAGGTCCGAGTCGATTGAGTCGGCTACACCTGGGTATTGCACTTTGACGGCAACGGGTTCGCCGGTGCTGGCCAGGACGGCGGAATGGACTTGGCCGATTGAGGCGGCGGCCATAGGGACCTCGTTGAACGTGGTGAAGAGGTCGCGCCAATTAGGACCAAGGTTATCAGTCAGCACCTTGTCGCGTTGCCAGGCGGGCATGTAATCTGCGCGGTCCTGAACACGCTGCAGGACTTGTTGAATTGGTTCGGGGAGCATGTTGGAGTCTTGAATGCTTAGCATCTGTCCCAGCTTGAGAGCTGCACCGCGCATCTTAGACAGTTTTGCAACCATGCGTTCCATATTACCGGCACTGAACATGATCGACCCACTGTCATCACTACCAGTAGCGCGTCGGAAACCTTCTCCGACAGCACCAAAAGCCATCGAAGTAGCCAGACCACCATACTGCCATAACCGACCCAAGCGAGAAGAAGGCACACGCGACTCCAACATCTGGTACGTGGGAGCCTTGACAGTCTCAGCACTGGGCACGACATCCTCAGCAACACTAGCAGCCAGCTCCTCTAGCTTCTGCGCCTCAGATTTCCTATTCACAGGCTTAGCTTCCGCAGGCCCATTCCATTCCCTCTTCGGCGCAGGCTTGCCAGACATCATCCGAGAAACACGCGGGCTGTGGAACAAGCCCTGTAACATCTCCTCGGACATCTCCTCCCCGCCCTCAACCTTTTTGGTCTCCTCCCCAGCAGGCACCGGCGAGTGGAAAACATCCGCGTTCAACCCATCCCCAACAACCTGCTCACCACCCACAACCTTGGGCACCTTCACCCTCGGCAAGCTCGACAAATCAGGCGCCGACGAACTAGAGGGCTTGTAAAAAACATCCTGCTGCTGACTGACATTCAACGAAGCAGGTTTCTCATCGCCGACATAGTGTGCCGTCTGAGCCGGGATTTGCGACTCGGCCTGGCGTTGTAGTTTGCGAGCTTGATCCGGGTGTGGCGACGTGGATGTTACACCAGCGGCATTGGTGGTGGTGGTGGTAGTAGTGGAGGCATTGGCCGAAGTCGACGGCGAAGTGGCTAGATCGGCGGACGGGGGAGTGTGGGAGTTGGCCGAGTCGGTCGGTGGCGAAGGTTCGTCGAATCGGCGCGCGAGAGCGGCGGCGGCTTGTGCGGTCAGGATTAGGCCCTCTGTTTGGGCTTTTATGCCCTTTGTCAGGGAGGAAGTGCGTGTGTAGACATCCAGCTGGTGTTGGCGGATGGAGAGGTGTTTTGCAGCTACAGTTCCGGAGACATTGAGGAATTGGATGGCGTCTAATAGACGTTTACCTGACATGGCGGGAGGATGGAAAAGAGAGACTCCGGAGATGTCGGAGAAAGTAGGGGCGGAGCGGGAGAGTTGTGAGTAAAAAGGGTTGGTAATTGACTGATAGGAACGGATCGGGTGGCACGGCAGTCTCCGCCCACTTTTGATGTTTGAAGTATAAGGTCGCGTTTCTTCCTTTTACTTTCTTTTATCTATTTGGCACTTGATTAATACCCCATATTTTACCCCGGACTATACTAGATACCAGATCATGTTCCTCAAAGACCACAACGAGCTCGAGGCCGAAGTCGCCCAGCTCGAATCGCGCCTCGCAGATGCCCGCGCGCAACTTGCAGCCTCCGAATATCCAAGCCCACCATCCTCACACCCCAACAGCTGGGTACTGAAAGGTACGCTTAATTCCACCCAATAACCAATTCCTATACTAACTGGTCGTAGAACCAACCACATATAAGACACAACAGAATAAGAAATTCACATCCGCCACAATCCCCTCCTCTCTCCACGCCCTCCTCCTCCTCTCCGATTCGGCCCTCCCACTAGGGTCATTTGCATACTCCAGCGGGCTGGAGTCCTACCTCGCCCACAACAAACCGCGCCGGTCGCAATCACCCGTAACATCCTTCCACCGCTTCCTCAAACTATCCATCGCCTCAATCGCCAGCACATCCCTACCCTACGTGCTAGCAGGTTATCGCAACCCAGAAACCCTCGAAACTCTAGATAACGACCTCGACGCCTCTACGCCATGCATAGTCGGACAGCGCGCAAGCATCGCCCAAGGCCGAGCCCTAATCGGCGTCTGGGAGCGCGCGTTCCGGGTTTCGTTTGCTGGGCCTGAGAATCCTGCTGGACGGGATGCCCAGGCAGCCGTGACGGCCATTGATGATTTAAGTGACGCTCTCAAGGCGTCGATGGATGAAGACGATTTAGGACCCAAGGGTCACTTCGCTCCGCTTTGGGGTGTTGTTTGTCGGGCTATGGGGCTTGATTTGCAGGAGACGGCGTATGTCTTTGTGGTGAATCATGCCAAGGCGGTTTTGAGTGCTGCTGTGCGGGCTTCGGTTATGGGGCCGTATCAGGCGCAGAATGTGCTTGCTAGTCAGAGTCTGCAGGATACTATTGTGAAGAGGATTGGGCGGGAGTGGAATACGCCTGTTGAGGAGGCTGGGCAGGTTGTTCCTGCGCTGGATTTGTGGATTGGGAGGCATGAGTTGTTGTATAGTAGAATTTTTAACTCATAATCCGGGAGGGATTCCGGGAATAAATAATAAATTATCGTTGTACTTTCACATTGCATTCGTCATGTTTTGAGGTTCCTCTCCGTACACGTAGTCCTACATCACAGTGAAATCTAAGTAAAACAGTCCAATGCCCGGAGATCAGTATGCGCCGGCCTCAAGGAGAGTGCTAGGACACGCTCATCCCACATGGCGTTGGCTTGGAAAACACAAAAACAGGAAGGGAAAAAGAATAAGCAGAACAAAAAATGGCCCGGTTAGGGCTGACCATACATAACTCGTCAAACGCCGGCCCGAGCCAGACCTGCTGAACCAAACACCGCACCATGAACCCGTCCGAATGTGACTAAAAAAGATAGACGCAAAGAGGAAGTGTCGAAAGAAAAGATATAATACAGGGTGGGAAGGTCGCTTAGAGGGTGATGTGCATGTAGTCGTTGCTTCCGAACGATTTGCCGCAGTTGGGGCACTTTCGAGACCGGGATGACTGACGTTCGTCCACGCATTCTCGGCAGAAGACGTGACCGCATGTTTTGATAGCCGTGTTCTTGAAGTTTTTGCGACAGACGGTGCAAATGGCGATTGTCTAGGCCGGTTAGCGTGCTTTTTTGAGAAAGGATTGATCGATCGACTTACCCTTAACATTTCATATTCCGAGGACGAATTGCCAAGACTCTTGTTCTTCCAGTTGTCCAGGCTCTTCTTGGTATCCGTAAGAGACTGCTTGAGACCAGCAATCTCGGTTTCAGCCTGTCGCAAGGAAGAGTTGGTGCTTCCCAATGTCGAATCCTTGGAGACGGAGATATCTTTGAGCTCAGCCACCTGCTGCTTCAACCCATTCGTAAGGATGTCGCTTTCGGTCAACTGTTGCTGGATCTTGTGTTGCTTGCTGAGAGCTTTGTCTAGTGCCTCCTTTGATTCATTGATTTTCTTGTCCATGTTGGAGACCAATGATCGCGTGGAAGCTTCAGCCTCCTTCAACTGTGACACAATATCCGACGTTTTTGAATTCTGCATTCGGAGGGTGCGAACTTCGACATCGCGTGCTTCTTTGCTTTTCATTGCTGCGAAGAATTTCTGATCGGCCTTGGACTTTTCCGCAGTGAGGCGCGCAATCTTCTCCTCCATAGCCTGGAAATCGGTAACTTTCGAGGACGCCAGCTTGGCAAACTTTGTGTAGGCCGTCTGCATCGAGGTCAACTCAGTATTGAGCATGGCATATTGGCGTTCGAGACTGGTGTATTTCGCTCGAAGTTCTTCCAGCGGCATTGTCTCCACATTTTCGTCAGCCTTGGAACCTTCGATCTGCAACTGTAACCTCTTAGCCTCCGACTCGAGAGCTGTAATTCGGGCCTCCCGAGCATCCGCCAGCTCTTGTAGCTTCAACCCAGAGGTCTTTTCCTGATCCTGGGCGGCCTTTCGCATCTGCTGATCGGCTAGGAGCTCATCGCGAGCGTTTCGTATCCGAGCAAGGTCCGTTTCCGCTCTCATCAGCTGAGCTTCCTTCTCCGCGACGGTGTTATGAATTTCATCCTCCATTTGCATTTTGTATGCAGTTCTTTCGGTGCGATACTTTTCGGCTTCCTCACGAAGCTGAGTATTCGTTGCTTCCAAATGATTGATGCGCTTGACAACATCGTCATATTGAGATCGTAGTTGCTTGAAAAGGTCCGTGTGTGCGTAGTCGTCATCCGTGAGTTTGGAATACTAGACTTTATTAGCGGAGTCATCAAGAAATCTGAAATCGGCATTACCTTGATCTTGATTTCGGTAATTTGGCTAAGCAAGGACGCGTTCTCAGCCTCTAGCTTTTGAACTTGCTCCTTTTGTTTTTCCGACACCGCCGTCAGCTTATTATGAGCTTCCTCGAGTTCGGGGTTGGGCTCCCCCACGGGAGTCCCTCCGTTTGCGGGCGAGTTTTCTTCACGCTTTGTTTGTGTCGCATCGCCAGGGCGGGCAGCCATAAGTTGTTGTTTTTCAAGCTTCAGAACAGTCACACTCTTCGCACGGTCAAGTTTCTTTTCAGCCACTAGATACCGCAGCGAAGCAGCCTCAAGGCTTTCCTCCAACTGTTGCTTTTCCACGAGAGTCTTTTCAAGCTCTGCAATCGCAACCTTTTCCTCTGCCAGCTTCTTTGCAAGGCGACTCTGAACTTCCGAAATCTCGGGTGGCGCATCTCTCGATTTGGATTGGACTTGCGAAATTATCGTGCGAATGTCTTCCGATCGCGATTTCAAGTGCGTCTCAAAAGTCTCCACATCTTCAAATTGTAGGGAACTTTGAAAGTGTTGTTCTATTTGCTGGTCAACGTTTGTATGTGGCGTGGAGTGAACATTTGAACGGACCTTGATCTTCGGCTTGCGATGGCCCGAGAAGTACTTTTACTTCATCAATCAACTATCACAGAGTCAGTTCCGTCTGCCATATGTTGCGATTAAAGGAACAAAGAATATACCTGTTTGAACCAAGTATCGATAACACGCAGGTGATCATTGTGAAACGTGGCAGCTTTGGACATTTTACTCAAACGCGATTCCAGTGACGACTTCTCCCGCTTATACTCTTGCATTTGGCGAAATATCGCTTCCTTTTGGAATTTCTATCCCAAACCCAGTCAGCATCACGTTCAGAAAGCATAACTTGAATTGCATAATCGGAGCCTCCTCCTGGAACAGTTCATACCTCCAATTCATCTTTCCATGGCATATCAGCGTCCGGGTGTGGCTTGCTACCGCCATTTGCGGTGGTAGCCTGTTTCTTTAAAGGCGGGGCCGAGTCATTGTCGGCGGCGGGCCTCTTCCGGTCTTCCATTTTGACGAGACCGGGTTCTGAAGTCGTGACAGGGAATTCGACGGCCGGCATCAGTGGCTAGACTGGCATGAGAGGGGGTTGATATCACCACCGGACCGTCCGTCAGTCAGCCAGACGCAGATCTCGCGACTGTGTCCAATCCTGTCGATGGAGAGTCCGGTATACGGCAATAGCCAGTAAATCAAGAAAAGGGTGGAAGTTAGAGGGGAAGGGGACAGACAAGAGAAGGGGTGGGATGGCAAAGATCCAAGAAGCCTCCTGGCAGGAGGAAAATCCGCTAGCGTCAGCCACGTGATCACAACCCACCTCTCTTCCCCAGTCTGGAACTTTTTCGATCTTCAACCTGCATCGAACAAAGAAATGGGCAGCCATGAAGTCCTTTTCCAGCTCCGTTATCAGTGAGTGTCATTACACGATGAAGCTCGATCGTTCTCTGACGCATCTCCAGATAAAACCGGCAAGAAGTTTGCGCCGAAGGCGCCCGTCCGCCGTGCGCCCGCTGCCGCACCCGCCAGACGGCCCAGTGCCGTCCAACAAGCTCAGGTTCAGGCGGCGCAAGCTCAAACCCTTCCATCGGACAAACAAGACGTGCCAGACAAACGTAGCGATGTAGCCGGGCCTGCGCCGGCTGCCGAGTCTACCGCGACAGAAGCGCCTGCAGTAGCGGATGCTAATCAGCAAAAGGTGGACGCAGCCCCAACTGAATCACTCATCGCTTCAAGCTCTGCTACCCTTGTTGAAAAAGTTGATGTGCCGACTGAACCATCCATTGCTACCCCGATTGCCACCCCGATTGCCACCCCGATTGCGACTCCGATCGCAAAATCGAATGCTATTTCGATCCCCAAACCAAGTACCACCTCAATCCCCAAACCTGTCGCTCGCTCCATTCCTTTTCCGAAACGAAAGGCTTCTGTTGTTGAGCCAAGTTCTCAAGAACCAACCGCACCTCCTACCCCTCCTCCTACTCAGCCCCGTCAACCCACCCCAGCCTCAACCTCGACAACTGTAACCCAGCCTGTATCCACGCGCGATGATCCCGAAGAGGCTTTGCTGGAATACGCCAGGGTTGAAGCAGCCCGAGCCGCAGAGAATCTTGTGGACACCCAACTTCCTCTCTCATCCGACCAACCCCAGCACGAATTCCAAGACAATGCTGCGCCCACCGAGATCCGACCCGCCAAGCGCCGAAAGTCATCTGTAACAACCATCGCGAAGCCAGGCCGGAAGAAGTCCGTTTCGACGGTTGTCACGGCGTCCTCATCCCGTCGGGGCTCTCAGTCAGTGTTGCCGACAATCGAGGATCCAAATGGAACATCCGGCGCATCTGCAACTTCCTCGACCCCAGAACCGTCGCAAGCGAAGACGAAGAAGAGAAAATATTCAAAGGCTGGTAATTCAGACCCCGAAGGCAGTGAGAAGCCAAAGCGCGCCCGCAAGAAGCGTGAGCCTACACCAGAAGGCGCCGAAACAGTTGAGATCTTACCCAATGTGGTAAAGATGTCTGAACTATGCAAGGACCTACGAACCGGAAAGAAATCGAAGCGCGAGACTGAACTACGGAAGATGGAACAGGCCGAAGAAGAGCGAAAGAAGGCTGGAACACCCACACCTGGGACGCCTGTCAAGCAAAATGAACCTGAACAAGATAATGCGGAACGACCTCTGGATTGGAAGCCTCAATCCGGTCCAATCATGCGTATTGTTAATGGCGAGATTGTTCTGGACAATTCCTCCTTGCAGGTAGATCGTCACGCTGATGCTGCCCGAGCCGCTGGCGATCTGGAAGATGTGGTGGAAAGTAACCTGACACGAAAAGTCAACCAAGCCACCTACGGAAAGCGTTCGAAGACCGAAACCTGGGACGAAGAAATGACGGAGTTGTTCTACCGTGGCCTGCGTATGTTCGGCACTGATTTCATGGTGATCAGCAAGTTGTTCCCTGGCCGGTCTCGCCGCCAGATTAAACTGAAGTTCAACAATGAAGAGCGTCGCGATCCACAGCGGATCAAGGATACCTTGCTCGGACCGCGCGAGCAAATCGACATTGCGACATATTCCGAGATGACGAACACCACTTACGATGACCCCAAGGTGGTTCAGCAAGAACTTGACGATGAGAAGAAGCGCATTGAAGATCAGCATGCTAAAGAGAAGCAGTTGCAGGAGGAGATGCTGCATAATCCAACCGGTACCGATGCCAAAGATGAGAAAACCGACAAGGTCCCTGCCAAAAAGTCGCGCAAGAAGCAGGCAAAAGACATGGGTGGAGGAACCGAAGAGGTTCTTGGTACAATCGATGATTTCCCCATGGCTTGAAGGGATGTAATATGCAATTTATGAGGCAATGGTTTGTGCTTTACGGCGTTTTGGTTTGTTTCACAGGATACACATCATAGCAAGGAGTTTGGGCTGTTTGCTATTCTCTGGCTCCTTTCGAATTTACAGTAGCCAGATTGATATTATTATTCATTGGCTTTGCATAGATTTTGTTCACCTGCGCCTTGTAGATCCGAACCCAGTGCTTTCACTTGTAGATGAGAATCGGGGCGGCGAGCGAGACCTAGAGCTGCCTTCGCCGGCATCATAACCTCCAGACCTGAAACCAGACCCAAATCCACTATTGCCACGTCTTCCCATCTGGTATCCAGCTGCAGCACCACCTAGCGCTCCACTCCAGAACCCCGGAGTCCAACCCTGCCGACCAAAAGAAGCATTAGGATCAGGACAAGGACTATACGGAGGCGGAGGCCCTGGATAACCACCACCTCCTCCACCACCACCTCCGCCCCAGAAACCACTCCAGCCCTGTCCAGCAGCTCTGCCACCGCGATTTCTCCGCAGCCCAAAACAATTCGCAATCATAGGCCAAAAGATCAAGACAGCAACAGAAACAAAAAATCCCCAGAAGATCAGATCCCCCAGTAGGGCAAACATCTTCCGATATCCAGCCGTACCCCCCGTCTGTCTCGAAGCCCAGCCCGCATCCTCACGACTCTGACTCTTCCCAAACCTCTTTTCTCCTTGCTCAGTGAGCAAAAGGCGATACTCAACCCCACAGCTCCCCTTCAGAACCCACTTATCATTCGAATTCCGATACCCCTCACAGATGACATCTGTAGCACCGAGCTTGAATTCAGCTGGGAGGGAGGCAGTGCAGGTCCACTGGACATCTTCCTCGTCATAGTCGTAGCCCTGATTTGTGCAGCGCATAGTTTCGATTTGGTATAGATCGCAGATCTTCTTTGAGGGTCCTGTGCAGCTGAGCTGGGGCATTGGAGCCACGCGTCGGGAGCTGGTCATTCGTTGGTCGCGCAGTGTTAAGGTTTGGACATTGGATAGGAGGATTGCATCTTGGCCTGGTGGTTTGGCGCTTGTAGCTGGTGTTATGAGGAGGACAGCGGTTATGGCTAGTAATTGGAAAATGTGCATGGTGGGTGGTAGTGTCTGTTCTTGGGAAGATGGTGAGATAAAGAGTTCAGGTTGTTCAAGATGCATAGGTGTCATAAGCAATCAGATCCTCAGGCTCCAACATCAGTCAATAGTTGAGTGGCGATGCGTGTCCTCTGAGCTGCCAAGATGAGACGAACAGGTCGATAAGAGATAAGCCAACCCTCCGAGGCTTTCGGGAACTTCCTCTTCCACACCCTGGCGATGGCTTGAACATTGTCACGATGGCGCTCCAACAACGTGAGTAAATACGATCATCGTTGAGTACAACTTCTGACGATGTCATAGATGAGCCTGCGCCAATTGCGCCCCAATCCTCGTACGTCTCCGTGCAGCGATCTATAGCATCCCGCTAACCTCCCCCAGCTTGTCATTTACTCAAGGCTTCCTCCTCGGTCAGCTCTCGGTGGTACTACTGATTGGAGCCTTCATCAAGTTCTTCATCTTTGGTGAAGCGCCGCCCCCTCCGTCCCGGGGCATGTCCAATCGCACAACCCACCGCCGCTACAGCTCAGTCTACAACCCACCGCAAGACGGTCAGAAAACGTTACGAGAAAAACCGTCCACGTCAAACGTCCTTCGTCCTGTACCTGCCACCTCTACTAATACCCGCTCCATCCTCCGCAAAACTTACTATAGCGCCATTCCGACCAACCCCACTAGCAAACATGGCCGACACCGCATGCACCATTCATCCCATCAACCCGAGTCACTGGACTGGTTCAATGTTCTCATCGCACAGACAATCGCTCAGTACAGGCAAACAGCCTACTCGCTCAAAGACTCGCCCACCTCCTCCATCCTCAGCTCCTTGACAGCGGCCATGAACAACCCGGAGAAGAAACCCTCTTTCATAGACAAAATCAATGTGACGGACATCTCGCTTGGAGAGGAATTTCCTATCTTCAGCAACTGTCGCATCATTGCCGTTGATGACCCCAACTCAGACGGTGGACGGCTACAAGCCCTGCTGGACGTTGATCTCAGCGACGACAACCTCTCCATTGCCGTCGAGACATCCATGGTCCTAAACTACCCTAAGCCCAGATCTGCGATTTTACCAGTAGCGCTATCTGTCTCAGTCGTGCGTTTCTCAGGCACACTCTGCATCTCCCTCATCCCAGCATCGACCGAACCACTCCACACACCCGCCGGATCACCAGCACAACCAGCAGAGCCGGGTTACAATGCAGACCGCACAAGCTCAGACGACCAGCTCCCGCCGAAAAGTAGCCCAAAGAGCAATGTCGCCTTCTCCTTCCTCCCCGACTACCGTCTGGATCTCTCAGTCCGCTCACTCATCGGATCCCGCAGTCGTTTACAGGATGTGCCCAAAGTAGCTCAACTAGTCGAGGCACGCGTCCACGCCTGGTTTGAAGAGCGCGTCGTCGAACCCCGTGTTCAAGTCGTCGGTCTTCCAGACCTGTGGCCTCGCATGGGCAGGACAGGTGTCCGGACAGGCGAGGACTCGGACGCCGGGTCGACAGCCCCACCACGAAGTGCTGGCTCTGCCGATGGAAGCTCAATCCGCTTCCCTGATAGTCATGAACGAGAGCCAGAGGGTCTAAGGTTCCGAGGAGGTCTGGATGCGCGGTTAGGGCTGGGCGCTGGCTCCCGCACAAGTAGCTTTAATGTTGATATGGGTGGCTTGAGGAGCTCAAGTATGACGAGACAGGATAGTGGTGCTGCTAGTGATCAGTTTGAAATGCCTGGTGCTATGCCGGCCGGGACGCCGGTTCCTGAGGGTGCTTGATTTGATCTTGTTTGCATTATCCAGGTTTGACCTGTTTGACATATATATTCACAGCTTGACTCAAATACTCTATGTATTGCGTAACCAAACAATGTAATAAATGATGCTCAAATATAGGAGAGTTTGATTCTTATTTCTTTGTTGACTTGCTAGGGTGGAATTATATATTTGAAGCTCCGGGTATCATGACCCACACAATCTCGCTATAATGACCAGTGCAGTACATCATGATGTATCCATCAAACAAAGTTTACACTGTGGTACTATCATGTGGGCTATGCTGCTTTGAATCCGCTTAATGAATACATGTCTATAGCAGAGTTTCAGCGGTATCGGCCAAGAGCGTGGGGAAACCAATTAAACGTCCAACGGAGGTTTTCTCTGTTCCAGCCAATCAAACTGGGAGGATATAGTTCACCCTGGAATCTCAGCTCTTCCAGCAAACGAGTCCATGCATGTGCTGTCCCAGCCTAATCGTACTTGTTGTTTGGTTCTAATTACAAAGGCACCCACCTTGCTGCCTTGAAGATATACAGGAACGAGAAAAAGGGTGAATTTGAATAAGTTGCAGTTCAGGGCAAAGAATAAGGGCCCTCTCTCGCTATTATATCAATTCAACCCATTCTCCTGTATTTCACTTGTTTCGTTCAGATCTCTATATTTCAACCTTGGCTCCAGGATTTCTGAACTTCAATTCTCTTGGGTTTCAAGAGCAGCTGTGGGATGCTTTCTTGCTCCCTGGTCACTCGGATTGTCGATGCTCTTTGAAGTAAATATAAGGACCCATATCACACACTTCCAGCGCGCCAGCTACTAAGCCATTTTCATCATACATAAAGATCTACATAAACCTTGAAAGAGGCAAGGAAAGTGTCCACCTCTGCTCCAGTGTGCGCAAAGTTGAAAGTTAAAAAGCCACGACGACCAATCCACAATCCTTGGAGAATGTTATGGAAGTAGCATATCTCACGGAGAATGTCAGCATCGGGACCCACGAAGTGGAGTCCAACACAGCTACCGCAGCCTATAGCAAAAACTTTGTCGCTTTTCCCCTTTTTCTGAAGGATGGCATTCATGCCCAGGCGGGCTCTCTCCCCCAGCATGATAGTTTTGTCAATGGCTTCCTTGGTCACGATCTTTGATGCCGCGACTGCTGCACTCATCGTGAAGATATTGTTGTTGAAAGTACCAGAATGGGATAGCTGCTTGCTACTGTCCGATTGAGGGTCGAACTGTCCCATGATTTCCTTCCTGCTCGCGAAGGCTCCGAATGGCATGCCGCCTCCGATATACTTGCCAAGAGTAGTCATATCGGGAGTGATGGAGAGCTTGCCCTGCACAACGTGGTAGTCCAAGCGAGATATAACCACCTCATCAAAGATCAAGACTGTTCCAAGAATGTTGGCTGCCTCACGGAGGAAGCGCGGGAATTCTTCGCTAGCTGGACGCATCCCGCCAGCACACTGCATTGGCTCCACCAAAATTGCACCTATTTCAAAGTCTAGAACAGAGCGAGTCTTTGAAATGTCGTTGTAAGTTCCAATAGCATACTCGTGTGGTAAGTTGAGTGGGTTTGGCTCGCTGCTAAAGGTAAGCGTTCCACCGTGATATCCCCGGTCAAAAACGAGAACCCGTGGAATGATAAGCCTTTGAACGGGGCAAATTCATGGCGAGCTTTGTAAAATTTTACCTTTTTTCGGCCTGTATAAGCCAGCCCAGCTGCAAGTGCATAAGTGTTTGCTTCAGTACCTGAGTTGCAAAACCGGACGAGGTCAATACTAGAGAACCGTTCTTTGAGAGACTCTGCAAGCTCAGCCTCAAGTTCTGTCACAGCCCCTAGACTAAAACATTGATTACAGCTTGAGTGATAGCTTCTTGAAGTTTAGGGTTCGAGTGACCAAAAAGACCAGCAGTGAAGTCAGACACAAAGTCCACATACACTTTGTCGTCAACCGAGGTGAGACAAGATCCCTTTGTTGATTTGACGGATAGAGGGAAAGGACTCGATTCCAGAACCGACCGAGTGCTACCGTCTGGAAGGCTCTGTCGCACCCGTTCGTTTGCCTTCTTGGAGGCTGGATTTTGCGCCACGTATTCGGCAATAAGTCCATTCAGCTTTTTCTCCAATGTCTCTGAGCTTGTGGGGACCTGAGTGGGCGCCATCAATCTTGATTCGACGTAAACGGTCTTGAGGCCATGCGATGAGACTATGGACGCCTTCGCTCCAGCTGGAATCCAGAATAAAGATACGGGTACCAAAACATGTGTTTCACCGGTCACCTCGTCTTTCACAACAGCCTCTCCTATCATAACCAAGAATGTTTAGCCGAGGAACTCACATAGATGACAGGTCATCGACTTTTACCCTTGACCACATATTTCGCCTCATCGTGCGTGGCGACAAACGGCGAGGTCGGCGTATCGAGGTCAAGGCCCCAAACACCAGTACAAACCGACTTTGTCGATTCTGAGCTTTATTTACGTTAGCAATTGAGACACTATATAACACACCATGTGACTTGCTTTGAACCAATTAGGTCGGAGTATGCGCCAAAGCCCCCGCGATTGCTGGGCTTGATATCGTCAGCATGATGGAAGACAGCAAGGGTAGGAGCACTCGAAGCCATGGCGCCAATGAAGAAAGTCACGATGATGAATCTAATAAAAAGGAAATATGGCGGGACTATTTGTATAGGATATAGGAAAATCACCGTCGGTGGTTTTTATACTTCGGCCGGGATTTTCCCGAGGTCCGCGTATCAATACCACTATCTAACCATACGGTATGCACGTGGGAACATCACGGCACCATATTCCCCTTCCCATTCCCAAGTTAGCCTCATGGATTGCAGCCAAGATACAGCATGCTACAGGACGTTTGCAGAGCCCTTTGAATTGCACAGGAGTGGGCTGGTTCTTTCGGGCCCGGAGAACCAAGCCATTCGATCATGTGTGTAGATTGTTCAAGTGCTTTCTGTTGTGTGGCTAACCTTCTTCGCAATTAAGTGATACACATATCTAGGGTTAGATTCACTGCCATCAATGAATCAGGGGTACCGTTCCTAGCAGAGTTATTAACACTGGCGAAATCTCACCGGAGCATTCGAATTGCCCTACTGGCACTGGCTGGCCGTTTACGAACAACGGCATATTCATCAACCGTATTGGACTCGGCGAATAACGAAAAGTCTCAGCCTGAGCTATGGTCCCCGAAGAAAGCTGCCCTTGAGTCGTATCATGATGCATTGATCGGCCTTCGGGAGAATATTGCTTGTCTGCACATTGCCGAAGCCAGCCACGACGTTGCCCTCGAAGTTCTGGGCTCAGTCTTGCTTTTAACCATAGCTGGGTTTCCCAGAAATATGCATGCTGAAGAAGTCCATGATTGGGCACTCCATGTGGCTGGCATGATATCATTGATTGAATCCTTGGACACGAACATTACAGAGGGCACCGGACTAGGCCGACTGGTCAAGGAAATGGCCGCGCATCTGGATATTGGCGTGTTTTCCCTGGGCCGCCCTGGAAAGAGTAGAAGAGCCTGGCTAGAATGGGATATTTGCCCTCCCGGCACGCCGTTGGAGCTCGATTTCTCCTCCTTGGAGGTTATCGTGGGATATCCAAAGTCTCAGTTGACCATCATAGCCACTGTTTCGGCTGTATTGGAGGTTACGAATTTACCCGAGTGCCCGGGTTCAATCCAAGACCTCGTCAGAAAGCTCTACGACACAACCTTGATAGGCCAAGGGACGGTACCGGGTCATCTGTGCCTGGCCGCATCGCCTCCCCGACAGAGGATACCCATATGCAAATGTTGAATATGTTAGAGATCGTCCTTGTCTTGTGGCAGCCACCAAATCTGCCTCCTAGGATATCCATGCCTGTTGCCTTCGCTCTGACAAGCGCATGGAAGATAATGAGAAAGGCGGCGCTGCTCTACCTATGGAGAGGTGGGTTCAGCACCAGTGTCTTTGCACCAATTTTCTCCGACCGAAAGGATGTCACTGCAAAATTTATACGAGAAATGCTTTTGGGCTTCAGAGTTCTACTTAATCTCGTGCATGAGCAACGCATAACAATAATGAATGTCATGTCGTGGCCTCTTCTCGTCGTCGCGAATGAGTGCGGGAATAATCCTGGTCTCCAGGGCGAGATCCTGTCGCTTCTGCAAAAGATGCAACTGTGCTTTGGTATAGAGCATCTAACGCACTTTCAACGCTGCTACAGGAACTATGGCGGAGATATGAGTCGTACAGTCACAGTCCTGGCATGTTGAGCTCGTCAAGCAACTACCTCCATCTTGACAATCTGAGCCGAGAGTTTGAGCTTTGTTTACCAATCGTATAGCTTGTAAGCCATGCAAGAACTGTGTGTTATATTGAACATGAATGGTTCGTTGGAGCTGATAAATGACTGTGTTTTGTTACAGTATCAGAATAGAGAAGTCAAAATACCCCTGCTCGCAGATCCTGCTTCCTGGTGAACAGACTTCTTCCATGACCAATCTTGCTTTTCCGGTAGGTCTTACCAGGTACTTATGGATGTCTTGTTCCGTCGATTGAAAGAAAGTCCACTGTTTGAGTGCTGCAGACTGAGTCATTGGAATGATACCAATGCCTTTTCCTTTCCAACGATATAGCATCAAAACAGAGACCGAAATGCTCTTAGTATTATAGTCCCCATCGATGATCCGGGAATAACAGAATTTGAGAGATCTCGAACCTCCGTAAGCAGCGGGGAGTTATACCTTTGGCATTTCATCGTAAGAATTGATAGTGCTTCGAGATGTACCTGACAAGATGATGCCAATATATGTGGTACCAGTAAAGGCTGTGCAATCAGATCATCAATGGCCATTATATCGCCCGCGGGAGAGTACTGGCAGAGAGCGACTATTTGCACTACACATGATTGCACAAGGAAATGGACAACTGCAGGAGAAATCCCTTCAAGGTGACCATCCAAACGCTGTAATGTAGGTAAAATCTGTGTCAGGTCAGTCAGAATGTGTCTTTTCCAAAGAGCCACGATGATTATAGACTATCACTGCAGATACATGCGCCTCCCACGCGTGGTTCTTGAAATACAGTATCGGATAAGAAAATTGACAAACCTCCCCCAATAACAGAGATTGACCTAGAGCGTATGGAAGAACCTCTTCCGTGAGAACTTGCGGGTCAAACAAAATATCTACCAAGTCTCGTTTGGTATCTTTGGATCAGTTAGTTGAAGGTCCCCATTTATGTCGACGGGTGTGTAGATCTTAGAAGTATCAGTAGTCCATGCATCCAGATCATCGCTTCCGCCTGATAAATATGTTCAATGTCCTTGAACTTGATTAAAGAGGGCGGAAAGCAAAGGAAAAAGTCTTCGAGGCGGTCGTATGCATCTCTCCAATCGCGGCTCTTCAATTTTGGTTCCTCCAAAACAAGACGTGCAGCACTGGTTTCCATTTCATAAGCCTCTCAACCGGGTATCGTAGATCATGGCATGTTGACCTACCTGGCCAGATAGTTGAACATCTTAAAAAAAAGCCGCCGCCAGTAATCCGCTGCTATCAACTGGTGAGTTCCAGTCGTGCGAGGGCACTTCGGAGGTGTAGTTCAAAAGTGTGTCGGTAGAGCTTGCTTGATCCGTTGCCAATGGACAACCGAAGTGCAGGAGTGAGAGTACTCTGCAATCTGGTCAGAAAGGCTCAAGCAAGGTAGACCCAACTGCGAGGTGCGTTCAATAGATTGTTTTGTTGACAGACCTTTCCTGTAAAACGATGCCCTCAAAAGTCCTATTTGCATGATACCTTATTCAGTCATTGCCCATTAAGTCCTTGTTCTCTGGTAGATTTTCTTGGTAGAGAGCGAGACGAACCGTTGCTCAAGCCATTGTACTGCAGGAACGTCCGTTGTATGATTACGAGCAGCATCCGTCAGAATGACACGGGCTAGAGAGTTCCAGCGCAGTGATAATTCACACAAGTTCTTATCAAAACACCATGTGAAACTGAGAAAGAGAAGGGACATGGCGTCGGAGATATGTGGACGATACTGCCAGGAAAGGTTGGGCATATGTGCAAGGGAGCTCGTCCTGAGCGAGTCTTTATTGCGGTGAGCATGTTCGATCTCTGAGCATGGCAGGCTGTGGGACCGCAGTTCTACTGCAATTGCAAGTAAAGCATGAGTCAGACCCGGGATGAGAAGACCGCCAGCGACGGGATCCTCATTGGCATCGGGGCCTTCAGAACCGTCGTCTGTTAATTTTGGCGGATGTGCATTCATGGGTAGAATGGAGTATATTCCAAGGCTGCGGGGCGGATTGAAGCATAAATTCTAGCAGTGCTGCAGCCTCTGTGGAATCTAAATGGTAGTCGGGGGCAAGTTCAAGCGATTGTTGTATAGCAACCAACGACGAATTTGTCGCTGATGAATGCCGACGGGCTGCAGCCTTCTGTGCGGTCTTTCGCGTTCGGCCCCTAGGTCTTCCCCTGGGCCGAATTGGTCTGTTGGTTGTACATGTGAGGCCCAGCCGCCTGCATCTGGAGCAGGGATCTACAAGGTCACACTGAGTCTTCTTTTCAAGACGTCAGTATTATCAAGAGCGATTAATTGAGAAGACTCTCCATCCAAGTAGGAATACATACAAGGCTGAAGCACCGGTCACAGGTTCGCGGGGTTGCACTGATATTCCATCCCTGAGTTGGTTCCATATGGCAGAAAATAGTGCCTGGAACGAAATGCAATCTTTTCTTATGCCAAAAATGAATAGGGTCTAGAATAAAAGGTGGTTTTGAGTAAAAGCTATCTTTCGACCTGCGGTAGTCGTCATGGCCAGATTTTGCCGACCCCGCCATTACACCCTATTGCTTCACGATGTTAACTAGAAATCGGTCTTCCTTCCGAGCCTCAGCAATATCAGACATATCATATGATGCTGCTTCAATTTACGAGTAAGGGCCGAATTTCGATCACCGTTGTCAGCGTCACAATGTCAGGACACATTGGATAGGAACATAGCCTTTGAAGATCATACTGATAAACGTTTGACGGAACTGTCAGAACAAACCCATGTCTATAGCCTCTTTTCAATCCAGTGTGATTCAATTTCAATGTGACTGCCGTAACGATGAACTTCAATCTTCCTTCCTCGGAATACATCCGGTCTCCTCGAATCTCGTGATTTGACTGTATATCAGATCTCGTAGGTAAAGATCGGATATTTCTCCCCTTGCTTCCTCCGCTGTGCATAAGCCAGCTGCCGATTCCAACTCTCCCAACCCTCAACCTCCTCCTTCAAGCTCTTCAAAACGTTTCGATCGGCAGCAGCCTCTATCTCTAACTCGGAATTCTTTGTAGTCAGTTCCTCAACCTTTTCTTCCAATGCCATCGAGCTAATCTTTCGTGCAAGCTTGCCAGAAACATCAACCATAAAGTCGCCTCCCTCTGCAACAAGTTTGTTCATCGCCTCGCCTAGCAGAGTGGTATACTTCAATGCAACGAACTGCGCAAGCAAATATCTTGCCGAATCACCTTCCTCGGTCGTGGTATAGATCAGTCGAATCGCATCAGCCAGGTATGGGAATAGATCCAGCTGTGTTCGCTGTAAGCGATCGAGAATTTGAGCGAGGCGATTTAGTGTGAACTCTTTCAGCTTTATGAAATCATAATGACAGGCAAAAGAGTAGACTTTGGCATGGAGGTAGATTTCTGCGACGTCGGCTTCTTGTGGCTCGTCTTGTCTGTTGGGTGGCGTGAACTCGTCCGGGAGCCTTACGCCTGGACAATCTCGAAGAGGTGTCAGGGGTCTAGCGATCAAATCGTCTCCCGATTCCGACTGAGAACCAGAGATAGATGGTGCTGATGTTGGCTCGGATTGGCACCGTCGCTCATATGTGGTTTCTATATCTGGGGATGCTGGCTCACTTGCTGGCGACTGCGGTTCTGAGTCGTCCGTCTTGTGTCAGCGTTTTTCTCATGTCATTATATGGATCGTTTGATGTGAGCCTACCCTCTTCTGGGTCCTCTTCTTCTTCTTCCACTTCTACCGCTTCCTCTGGCTCCTCTTCCACCTCTGCTGTGTCTTCATCCTCCGGCTCTTCCACCAGCTCTTCTTCTGCATCCTCAGTCGTCTTTTTCTTGCCTTTGGTGGATTCGGGACTTGGAAGATTTACTGGGTAATCTCCCGTGTAAAGGAAGCTCAAGACGCATTCGACGGTTTGTTCGTCAAAAGCACTCCAGTCAAGCATATACTCGAATTCGATGTCAAATGAAGGACACGCCTCAAGGGCTCCATGATGCACGTAGTAAATCTTATTGTCTCTGCCAACTTCGATTTGGATAGGCTTCTTGGTGAAGATTGACCTATGCAAAAGTAATGGTGGCTTAGGGTGGATACTTTATTAACTCTCTAGGTCTGGGTGTAAATACTTAGCTGGTTTCTCGGAATCAGAAGACATGGTGATAGGCGAGCAGAATCAGAACTTCACTAGAAAATAATTTCAGGCTACAATTTGACCAGGAGATCTTCGGCTTAAGTAGGAAATTTGCTAAGCGCGGGGGACAAGCAAGTAGGATTTTGAATATAGGGCAGACCAATAGGCAGAAATCTTGGCTGGTCAGAAATAGTATCTGGGCATGTATCAATACCCAACCAGCGCAGTTTCATGGTGAGGCGAGATTTGACAGGGGCTTGCAGGGAGGGGTTTGGTACTGGGCTGCTTTGTACATGTACAAGTACCTACTTTCTTTGGATGCAACTGCGCATTCAAGATATTGACCCAATGTATGTGGGGCAGTTCAAGTATCAAACTGATACTTATGTATCGCAAGTACTTAATATTAGTTCAATTTAGCGACGATGGTACTGATTGAAACGTCACTCAAACTGCATACGTGTATGATATACCATGTCTGGTTGTACAAAGAAAACAAGGCTACATTCAAATTGGCCTCCCACGCAGCACATCTCTCCTAGCTACCTCTTATCCTGAATCTTATTTTGTAGTCAATATCAAAGTACCTTTCAAAAGCCCTGTCAGTATGCTCTCTACATTCATGTTCTTTCGCGCTGCGAACTTTGACATCGTGGGCCTCTTGTGTATTGAAATCTTTGTAAGATCTTCCATGGCTTCGTTTTCCAAATGCAATGATGCAAATAATATGCGAGAGTGTCATCAATCAAAGTTTTGTTTGCATTCTATGGGCGGAAAGAAATAGAGAGGCGAAGAAGATACATGGAGCGTTTATTGACCTACCCGCTCACTTTCATGATCTCCAGATCGTGTGTAGTTATCAAGTGCAGCACATGTTACGACGATTCTATGCACCCTCCAGGTCTTGTAACATCAAGATTTTATGCTATGTTGAGTCTCTCAATGGGCGCAGGCTTACGGAATGTGCCAACGGCATTGCGAGGGGCAGTTTTGCCCTCATGTGGTTTGAATCGGGCCCACCTTAGGGCGTCGTTTCGCGCGCAGGCACAGTCGACGGGATCTTGAGGCACAAAGGCACATTCAAGCAGTTAAATTGTAGCATTCTGGAAGCCATGAGCTGGCTCCGTCAAAAGAACAATGACCCCATAATCATCCAACGGGCTTGCGAAGTTGTCGAGTGGTTCTCCTTCCTCAGTTGCCTGATGTATAAACCTGTTACTCCTATTAGAGCATTCTCATGCTCCCGATGTTCAACTTGGACTTAGATGTACGTGGAGAATATAGATAAAATGTGATTGGTTGAATCGGGTACTTGACTCAAACGGGAGCAATTGCGGGATACCCGATCCTCTTCACTTCAACATTCTCTTCTTCCCTCCGTGCATTACTATTAATGCAGACTCACCGAATTGGCAAAGTTGACGGCGCCCAAAGGAGACGAGATGGCTGCGCAGAGTGTAAAAGGAAGAAAGTAAAAGTAAGAAACTCGTCGGTCTCCGCATGAGTTCCACTGACATTGATCTATAGTGCGACTTGAAAAAGCCGATATGTTCACGCTGCACTAGATTTCCTAAAGAGTGCAAATATGAACTAAATCTAATTACACATGGCCTAGATCGGACAAGGCCAATTCGGACAAGGCAGAATGCGAATAATCAAGTCGACCTCGCTGTGAGCCACAGTCTGAGCCCTCTAGCGCATCAACCGACAATCTACTTATCACCACTTCTGTCAACGAAAGAGTCTCAATTTTTCATGCATATTTTCAGTACCGAGACTGCTCCCCGACTCTTTCCTGCAGCCCCTGGCATATTCCTTCAGAGGATTATTGCAAGCTCTCTGGAAACACCTCACCTCCTCTATGCATTATTGGCTTCTGCTTGTAGCCATCATAGTCGACTCTTGAAAGACACAGAACCAGCATCCCGGGTCTCATGTCTGAAATTTACGAATCTGTCAATTTCCAGTCTACGGTCGACTCTCTGTGCCACGGATGCAATGCTGACAGCGGAGACGGTGACTACTGCAATGGCTCTTTGTACGAATGATGTCTGTAATGGGAACATGCAGGCTTGGCGCACTCATCTTGGTGGAGTCATGCGGTTGCTGGCTGGGTTTTTGGATAGCCAGGGCACATTGCGAATTGCGGATCCCTATATCCAGTGTGTGGTTAAGTGGTTCACTACGATGGATGTTATTGCAGGACTATCTGGATTAAAAACGGGTGATATTCTGGGCCTTGAGAATGGGCTGTTGCAGCGGATTCTTGATCAAGACAGTGTGCATGTTGATGACATGTGCGGCTACTCACTGAAATTGGCGCCGCTGCTTGCTAAACTGTCTCATCTGGTGCGGAGGCAAAGTCAAAGTGAGCTTGGGTTGCGCGATCGGATGGAGGAGTCTCAGTCTCTCGAGAATGAAATATATTCTCTTGTCGATTGTCGCATTTCCAATGTTGGCGGTCACATCGATTTGCAGAGCACACACCTAGCGTTTGTATACTCTGCTTTGCTGCATCTTCATCGTCGAGTCCAGATGCTTCCAAGCCATCACGATGTTGTCAAGTCGGATATCAAGAACATTATTCACGCCATCGAACAAATATCCCCTTTCTCGTCGGCCAATATCCTAATTCTTTGGCCAATGTTTAGCGCTGGCTGTGAGACCAATGACATCAAAGAACGAGAATTTATCTACAGGCGAATGGGGGATATGCAAAACCTTGGTATGGGCAATTTTACAAGGGCACGAGAAATATTGAGCAATTACTGGGCGTCGAATAGTTCATTGTCCTGGGATAGTTATTATGCAACACTGGGCTTGGAACTGGTCTTATTTTAAACGGCCCGACTGGCTGACTACGCCAACGGCAGCTTCTCATACTCATCACGCATGAACTTCTTCACACCTTGCAGGCCATTGACCATCACCTCGTGCTCGGGAACATAGCCTACTCGCACAAAGCCACGGAAATCTACACCATCTCCAAAGCATTGGCTGCCAGGTACCAGCAGCACTCCAGTCGTCTCTTGCAGTCTTTGGCAAAAGACAACATCATTGATGGCCCGTCCTTCCCTGTCAACAAATTTGACAAATGCAGTCGTTCCAGCCAAAGGCCTGGTCCACTTCACGGCCCAGCTGAACTCATCCACAAACGATTCAAGCATGTCCAGATTCCGCTTTGCCAGTTGAATATTGCGCTGCAACAGATTTCCCACGCACGGACTTGACAATGCATGTGCAGCTACACCATCATCGATCTGACCAACTGAGATAAGAGTGTAATCACGAGCAGAGGCACATGCTTCAATGATATCGGGGTTCGGCGACACAATCCAACCCAGCCGGATACCGGCCAAGCTGAATGCCTTGGACAGGGAACCAGTCGAAACCACTTTTTCATATCCAAACTCAAGGATAGACGGGGGGACCTCCTCGCCCTGGTTGAGAGAATGGAAGAGAGGCCGATACACCTCGTCAGAATGAATGAGGATATCATGCTCACGCGCAATATCAACAATTGCTTGTAACTCTTCCCGGCGAAGAATAGCACCGGTAGGATTCTGGGGGTTGCTATAAACCCAGTTAGAAACTTAGCATCAATACCAAGTAGAAAAGCACATACTTCAAAATGATCAACTTCGTATCGGGCCGAACCAAATCCTTTAGTTCTTCCATATCCAACCTCCATCCCTCCTCCCCATTCGACCGCCACAGACTGACCTCCGCACCAAAAGATTCGGGCACGGAGTATAGCTGCTGATACGTCGGGTACTGGCAAATAACATGGTCTCCAGGGCCGATATTGGTATAGAGTGCCAGGAAGTTTGCTTGAATAGCGCCATTCGTCACGAGGACATCTTTCGCGGTGACAGACTGGGAATATAGATTCGCAATATTGGTTCGCAGAGCCTCTGAGCCCCGGATCGCACCGTAGACCTGCTTCTGGCTATAGTCCACCAGATTTTTCTTGTTGGAAAGAGACAATAAATCATTCAGAGAGATTGAGGCACAGCATGTTTCGGCTAGATTGTGCTTCGCGTCGTTTTCGTAGAGGTCCATCCACTATGTTGACTTAGGTCTTTGGTTTGAGGGAATTTAGAGAATTGAAATTTACTTACACGCTCCACGGCGAATTCGCTGATTCGGACCATTTGGTGCTCAGGTTCAATGCAAATTAAGTAAAGGAATCACGGGTTGTATAATTGAAGAAAGACAAGACTGTGGATTATATAGATATCTGCCACAGTGACGCCAAATGTGAATGCTCAATAATGATTGGCTGGATCGCTAATATACCCGTGCCAAAGAAATATTTCCAGAGGCTCCAAAATTTATTCATTACCCCAAAAGTAGATTGAATATCCCAGTGTTTCCCATCTGTTCCCTATGCACCCGGATATGCTTGATATGCTGCCCAAGTGGGGGCACCACCAAACGCTCTGATTGGGTGGGGCGCAACAATCTCCCAATCCGGCAACATGGACCCCCGTCAGAATTTTTAGCTCCACCCAAAAAAAGAAAACATGAAAAAAAAGAAACGCTCACTCGAGGACGGTGTTTAGGAATAGCCGAACGCGGGGGTCGAACCCGCAGCCTTAAGATTAAGAGTCTTACGCTCTACCGATTGAGCTAGCCCGGCCGGGCTGTTGAAGGACGATGCACTCTGAGGCATAATATTTTTGAGCACCTACGAGCTGTCAATTGTTGCACTAGTCACCAAACCATTTCCCCCCATGCTGAACATGCTTGTCCTTGGGTGTTCCAAGCAATGGATGTAGTTTAATAGGCGCAATTAGGGACAAATAGGTGATATCAAATCTGCAATGGCGGCTTCAATGATATCATATTATGCGATCATATACTGGAATTCAAGTAAATTATGTGTATACATCATTCATTCAGAGTCATAGCTGGTTTCTTCTTCCTCCAATATTGTTGAAGGCAAGTATCTTTGATCTTCTATCTTCACGTCGAGATAGTCGAAGGGCGGTTCTTGTGGTACTGGATCTATAGCCTCACGTTTCACGGCACGTCGGCGCGGCTCATCTGAGCCATCAATCAGTAGAGCATGCGACAGACCAGTTCCGGTGAAGTATAGGAACATGCCTATAGTTGCTCCGATAAGAACAGCCCCTGTCATGAAGTAGATGAACGCCTGTCCGAGGTTAGTGACATGAAGACCAGAGAGCACTACAAGATCGGATTGATAGAATAAAGCCTATAGCCCGTGACATACCTCTAATCTGATCAAGATGCGCAATGGAAGCAGAGTTATGTATAAAGCAAGCCGTCCGAGGTAGATAACCGGCGATAGGAGGAAAAGAAGGGGTGAGAGCAAATAGGACAGTAATTGAATTGTAGCGCTGAAAATGAACGACACAATAGCCGTTGGGATTGAAATCCAGCTCATGGCTATGTATGATTATGAATGTTTGCTGTTGAGACTTGATCTGCTTCAACTGTTTTGATATCTCGAAGTATCACGCGCCGCGTCGAGCTGCCAAGCCCTATGCCCTAAGCTTCCCGATTGGGCTTCCGGCGTCATCGTCCGCCTCGACTTGTAACTGTACAGAGAGAGTACATCGTCCTGATTACTTTCTCCACCGCCAATACTTCTTGTGAGTCGGCATCGGAAGTATCTTCCTTCATGCTTTCGTTGTGAATCAACTCAATCCCATTCTCGACTACCTGCAAACGATTGTCCAATTGATACCTTTCCCCGCCTTCAATGGGCAACAACCCTTCCAAAGGCCCGGTCGGCGACGCGCCTCCGGCCCATGCTGGCCACCACTCAGGCGAGCGGAAAGTCACCCGTCGGCCTTCTCTGAATGCGATCTCAAACAACAAGGCCACCGCGGCCGATCCCTCCGCCACTAAGGAGACTGCCGCCGGGCACTCGGCAACATACCAAGGATCCCTCCAACAACGCCTCCAGACCCGAAATATCCCTGAAAGCTCTCCCAAGGATATAGAAAGACCAGAGAGACACGATGCACGGAGACCGGAGCCTTCTCAAAGCAAAGATATCCCAATCCGGGACCACTCCAACCCGGTCCAAGTCCCGAGTGCCCGCCATGTCCCAGGGCGCGACCCTGTGGCACCATCTGCCCCGCCCCTCAACTCATACTATAGCGCATCTGCACATCTGCAACGTCCACCGCGGTTGCCATTGCCAATTGGTGATGCTAATACTACACCCGGATCGCCGATGGGCCCAGAGGACTCGCATATCCAGTCGCTTCCTACAGACCAGCTTCTGGATGACCAACTCGATCAGAACAATACGGCTTTGGGTAATACAACAATTGAAGAGGAAGAATTGATTGATGAGCTCCAGCCATACACTATCAGTGGAGTGGGCAAGGCTGTCCCGGTGGTTATCGAATGGACTGCGCCTGCTCAAAAGGTCTATGTTACAGGAACTTTCGTCAACTGGGAGAAGAAGTTCCGCCTACACAGAAGGTTGGCTGAGCATCCAATTTGCAATGCATTAGGGAATGGCTAACGTGATATAGTGAAAATAATCCGTCCGTTATGTCCACGACGTTGAACCTCCGACCTGGCACGCACCACTTGAAGTTCATTGTTGATGGAGAAATGCGCGCAGCAGATAGTCTCCCAACCGCCGTGGACTTTACTAACCATTTGGTCAACTACATTGAGATCAGCGCTGATGATGCTCATGACAGGGACCCCGGCGTTCAGCCTGGAGCCCACCCCCCTCAGACGGTGCCGGATTCATCTAAGCAAGACCAATCAAAAGGACCCGAGGATGACCCTCCGCAGAAGGATGAATCTGAAGAAGAAGAGGTGCCACCCGGTGACTTTGGCAATGCCATCCCTCAATTCCTTGCCGATCTGGACAAGGAAGAAGAGGACCCAGCCTATGTGCAAGCTGCCAATGTCATTGGGGACACGGCTACCCCGCCTAGTCTGCCTCTCTTTTTGGGTAAATCAATTCTCAACGGCACGACTCCCATGAAAGACGATAGCAGTGTTCTCAATTATCCTAATCACACGGTCCTGAACCACCTTGCTACAAGCAGTATCAAGAATGGTGTTCTGGCTACTAGTGTGACGACGAGATACAAAAGAAAAGTTTGTCGACCTTTGACTCATTGCTTGCGATATAATCTAACCAATGCCTTCTAGTATGTTACGACTATCTTGTACAAACCGACTGGTGATATAACAGATTGAGCTATGCTCAAGCACATAAGTGGTTGTCTCATGTGTGCATACATTTTTGCCACTTCTTGCCTCGGGCTGATGCGATCTATCCAAGGTGCAAATATGAAAAAGATTTACAGAATGGGGTCTTTCGTTCGACGCATTGATCTGCCGGTCGTACCTTTGTCTAGGGGATCCTCGGGTACTTTTTTGCCAGCGACGCCCGAGTACCAACTAGACTGCCCGACTAGTTTCAACCAGCAGATGAACTTGTTCGAGGAATGCGCCTCGAGAGGGTCTTACTACAATTGCATGTTTTCTCGGGCGTTATGTTCATGTTGGGTTTTAAGAGTACGTGGAACTTGATTATGCAGGCAATTTACACCGGGGTGAACAGGCGTTCAGATTCACGCAACGGATTTACAGATTTTCTGCAGCTAAATAAACTAGTTAGGAAATAATAGTTTACCTAAGATTCATTGCCCTTTTTCGTATAATATATTGGATCTGACTCGTTCATTTCATTACACATGATGGATCTTTTAAACTGAGGTATGATATAGCAATATCAATTCCGCCACTTGACAAACACCTCGTCCGTCCGGAATCGCTGCGTGCACGTAGACTTTTCCAAGGGAGTCCGATAGCCCGTCCCGTATGCAAGCATACCAGCCTGCGCAATCATAATGCCATTATCAATGCAGAACCGTTCATCCGTAGCATAAACACTGCCACCACGATCCCGTGCCATAATTCCCATCATCTCCTGCAGTCTCTCATTGGAACCAACACCACCAACAATAAGAACCTGCTTTGAGCCAACATGCGCCATAGCGCGCTCAGTGATCTCAACAAGCATGGAGAAAACAGTTTCCTGGAGGGAGAAGCACAAGTCCGCGCGGGTAGGCGTGCTCTCCAGACCCTCATTCGCAGCAATAACGCTCTTCTGGATATTCTTTTCGTCTTCCTTCGCCTTTTCTTCCCCGCCTAGCCCCCACTCTCGGGCGAGACCATCAATTGCTGCGAGAATACCTGAGAACGAACAATCCATGCCTTTCACGACGTATGGGAGGTCGACTAGCTGCTTTCCTTGCTTTGCTAGCTGCTCAATGTTGTATCCCGGTGCTGGGTCGTTGGAGATGTGCAGAGTGCGCGCAAACCGGTCTAGACAGTTTCCTACTGCCATGTCGAGTGTCTCGCCGAAGATACGATATCTCTGTGAGCTGTATGCGATGACTTGTGTGTTTCCACCGGAGACATATAGCACGACTGGATTTGTCGCGCCAGTAATAAGGCGGCCCATTTCAATATCTGGATACCTTATTGTCAGTCTTTCGGTTCTTGCACTTGAAGGGCGTTGAGGCAGTGAACTTGATACATACGTCCAACACAGTGGTTCACTCCGACCAATTCCTTGCCCCAGAGCAGACTCAACATCCGTGCAGCAACTACCACGCTTTGTAGCGGGGCACCCATTCCTGGTCCCTGGGTGAAGCAAATGCAGTCAACATCGTCAACTGATACTCGAGCTTCCTTCAACGCTTGCTTGACAAGCTTCACAACCCACGCGCGGTGGTGGCGCGCAGTGTCCTTAGGCAGAAACCCCTCGCCTGGTGGGGAGACATAGGTGTGACGGATGTTGGCGAGGACCTGCGGGGGGCTGCCATCCTTGGGATGCAGCATAATGCCAATTCCCAGCTTGTTGGCCGAGCCTTCCATGCCAATTGCGATCATGATGGGCAGATTGTTAAAGACAGAGAGTATATGTGAAAGAGGTTATGAAAATGTCGAAGTATGAATGATTTTCGTTATCGTTATCGGCTTAAAGCGGCATCCCGTTTCTCCGAACATTTCCTCTCTTTACTTCCTGACTCTACTTCTTCTTTTCCCTTCCCTCTGTCTGACCATTTCCCTCGCTTCTGTCCCTTTGAACTGCATGATCCTGTTATCTTATTATATCTTTCTCTAATCCTCCCTCCCCTCTCCTCTCCCACCCTCCACCCTCCCAATGTCTTCGACTACCCACTACCCCAACCCCGAGGGCTTCCAACAACAGTCGGACAGTTTCGTTTCCTGGCTGCAAGCCACTCCAGGAGTGAAACTGAACTCCAACCTCAGACTTGCAGATCTCAGAGCAAGTGGTGCAGGAAGAGGCGTCGGTGAGTATTTTGCAAAACACCCCCCGCCAAGCACACAAAAGTGCCCACACAGTCTCCCCAAAAATGGGTCTCACAGACATGTTCACAAGTCACTAACATGTTTTCCCTGCTGTAGTGGCTCAAAGCAACATCCCTGAAGGTGATGAACTCTTCTCGATCCCGCGCGGCGTTGTCCTCGCCGTCCAAAACTCCGAGCTGAAGACCCTGCTCGGTCAGGATGTTGAACAGCTCGGCCCGTGGCTTTCTCTCATGTTGGTTATGCTGTATGAATACCTGCAGGGAGAGAAGTCACGATGGGCTCCTTATTTCCGGGTCTTGCCTTCTCGGTTTGACACCCTGATGTTTTGGTCGCCGGCTGAGCTGAACGAGTTGCAAGCTAGTACCATTGTGGAGAAGATTGGCAGAGAGGGTGCTGAGCAGTCCATTTTGGAGAAAATTGCTCCTGTTGTGAAAGGAAACCCTGCTCTCTTTCCACCTCCACATGGTGTGGCTTCTTTTGATGGTGACGCTGGTGCTGGTGCTCTGCTTGAGCTTGCTCACGTCATGGGATCGTTGATCATGGCTTATGCTTTTGACATTGAAAAGGCCGAGGATGATGATGATGATGAAGGAGAGGCTGCTGATGACAGCTACATGACCGACGATGAGGAGGAACAGCTTCCCAAGGGCATGGTCCCACTCGCTGATCTCCTTAACGCCGATGCGGACCGAAACAACGTAAGCTTATTACACTCTCATTTTGGATGCCGAAGTTGACTTGCTGTAAGGCCCGTCTATACCAAGAAGACGGAAACTTGGTCATGAAGGCAATCAAGCCAATCCAACAAGGCGAGGAAATCTTCAACGACTACGGAGAAATCCCGCGCGCAGACCTCCTCCGTCGCTACGGCTACGTGACTGAAAACTACGCCCAATACGACGTGGTCGAGTTGTCCCTGAGCAGCATCTGCCAGGCCGCCGGTCTTGAAAACGCTGATATTGCGTCCCAACCCCGACTCCAATTCCTCGAGGAACTCGACATCCTCGACGATGGTTATGTCATCCCCAGACCGATCAACGCCAACCCATCTTTGGAAGATATCCTCCCCGCTGAGCTGGTGATTCTCTTGACTACTCTTGCTCTCCCTGAAGAGGGGTTCAAGCAGCGCCAGTCCAAGAACAAGCCCCCTAAGCCAACATTCGAAGCCAACCAGGCTACTATTTTGTCTCGGGCTTTGCAAACCCAGCAGGCACAATATGCCTCGTCTTTGGCGCAAGATGCTCAGCTTTTGGCCTCGCTTTCTCCTTTGGATGTGTCCGGTGCCTCAGACACCTCGGCTCGCCGGGCCAGAATGGCACTCCAGGTGCGCATTGGAGAGAAGGAAGTCATGCAGGCTGTCCTAGGCATGCTAGAGCCTGCAGCCACAGGATCATTGAAGCGCGCTGCCAATGGCCATGACGATGATTCACGACAGTTCAAGACTCAGCGGATTTGAGCCCTACATGAATTCGATCTTCGATCTACATCTCCGACAACCCCGGCGTCAACGACCGAGAAAAGTGCTTTTTGCGAGTATTAAATTGTGTTAGATTTTCTGAATGTTTTTGAGCCTTTTCCTTTGCCCTCCCATTCATCGCTTGCATCATAACTTCGGTTATCCATCATACAAGGCCGCTCGACAACCAGCCATCACCACCGAGAAAAAAAAAGATCATATGTACACTAACAAATGCAGATGCGTTCAAGCCACAAAGTGACTGGCACCTGCGTCGAAACGAAATGTCGAGAAAGAGGTGTGAGAGAAGAGGTGGAGGGGATGCGGAACAGGAAATCGAAAAAAAGAAGAAAGAAATCTCGGGCATCAGTCCAGGACCCTTAGCCGCCCGCGGAAATCGTCAAAAGCATGAGAGAAAGATATACTAAAACTACAAGGGTGTTAAAAGGCGGAAAAAAAGACAAGAGACGAAAAGAAGAACGAAAACAAGCCACGCAGAAACGCCCGCCAAATGCTGTGAAAGGAGAAAGGAAAGTCGTTCAGGCTGCGGACGCTGCCACCGGGGCATTGGACCCGGGTCCGTGAGGACCGTTTTGGTCTTGGAGTCGTCGAGCCTGTACTTGAGCTTGGACTGCCTGGGCTTGCGCCTGCGCATGAGCCTGGGCAGCCACTTGAGCCTGAGCGGCCTGTTCGCGCGCCTTGGCCATTGTGATAGCCCGATGTTGCATGATTTGGATACTGTACGCATCGGTATCATATTCGGGCTCCTCGTCAGAATCCTCTTGGTCGAACTTGAAGCGGTCTGCCTTGAGGGGATCTAGTTCGACCTTGTGAGTTCCCATGTTACGACGGTCGATCATCAATCGGCCACCACGTCCTACTCGTCGTCGGAAAGATGGCATTTTGTGTGGCTCGTCGTGCAATGCCAGGGCATGCGAAGCAAGCTTGTCTCGAGAGTAAAGCGGGCTTGTGACGTCTAAAGAGGTATCCATCTCACCAGAAGCTTCTGATGAGGGAGGAGTGGGCAATTGGGCTGTGAAAGCAGGTCGAAAGGCTGCCACATCGAATGTCCTTTCGGGAGACGGTGATAGCGGAGCACGAGTGTGATCCACGTATCCCTCGTTCCACTTGATATGCTTGGTGATATTCTGCTTGATATCGCGCAGAATCTCGTTTTCCTTCTCTGCTTGAACTTCCTCCAAGAGCTGCAGGTCCTCTGCGCCTTGAAGGCCAGCCTTGAGGGGCATGCGCAATTGGGGAGCATTGGGACGCTGTTGAGGTATCTCGAGCACTCTTTTCTTGGGCTGTGATGATGGATCAGCAAATGCACGTTGTTGGCGATCAGAGCAGCGACGCTTACCTTTTGGTTGATGAGATCCTCGTCGTCGTCCTTGACGTTGAGCTTGCGCTTCATCTCCTTCACCTGAGCACGCTGCTCGAATATCTTCTTCTCCATGGAGAGCATCTCCTTGCGGGCAATCTCACGCTGGCGCACCAAAGCAACGAGCTCACGAGCATCTTCCAGCTCTTTGCGAAGGCGTCGGAGCTTCTCTGCGCTTTGCGCATCTCTACCACGGGTCTTTCGGATCTGGCGGACCTCACGTCTACGGAAACACACGAAGGGATCACTGTCATCGGTATCTTGGCCGGTTTCGAACTGCAACATGTTAGTTGGGCTGGGTCGCCAATGGCATGCGAGACAACTTACCTTGAGCTGTGATACAAGGGGGTTGTTCTGCACAGCCATCCGAGACGACTTCCAGTGCTCATATATTTCCTTCGCGAAGGGCTTCATGGAGTCGTCTAAGCTGGCGTCCATCATGTCTTGCATGTCGGCGAACGACAGTACAGGCGGGTTATCGACCGAGGCATACGGCTGCTTGGTCTGCGCCGTCTCCTCAAAGAAGTTCATGACTTCCTCAAAGATATCCTCCGTGCATGGAATCGCCGACGCGTCGCGTTTTTGGTTCATGATCTTGAGGAAGACGTCGTCCTCCTCGGTCATGTTGTACGGACATCCGCAGCAGTCCTCGACAGTCGAGGAGAAGCGAATGTATGTCGCAGGTTGCGAGAAGATGGGAGGGTAGAGTTCGTCATATTGGAGATTACTGAGAATGGTCTCAGGGGTGGGAATATGTGCCTCATTTACTTTGCCCTGGGCAGTGGCATTGATTGCAATTTGCAAATGGATTTCCTAGACGCGGTCTGGAGTCAGCGTGTGCCACTTTATATTGGGGTGAAAATCTCGTGTCATTTTGGCGATAATGTCACGTGATGGGGACGGGGATGAGGCTAAAATTAGTGCGAAAGATGGACTCACCGACTCCTCGGCCTTTTCGACACCGGTTTCAATCTGCTGTAGGGAGTTCTGGATGTCTTCGTCGAGGGAATCGATCTCGTGTTCGCGGACGACGGGAATGGATGCCTTGGAGGTGAGCTTTTTCGGGCGCGTCCTCCCCATGCCCCCGTACCGAGTCATAGCGTCGGGACGCGCAATGGAGCAACGACCATGGGCAAGGACCAGGTAAAAAGGGGATCAGTAGAAAGGTTAGATCATGCGCTTTCTCGTAGTCGTATTTTTGAGATGAAATTCGATGGGGAAGGGGGAGATATTGACGGCTAAAGTTGGGGTGATTCACGGCTGGAGGTTGGGTTGACGTTGCAATGTCAGCCGGCGGTGGCCTGTTTTGGCCGAGTGCACGGCCTCAGGGGCTCGCTTGCCTGTCCGGAAGCGGTTAGTGCGGGGCTGGGCGATATCAGATTCTCCGCCCTTGGCAACTCTCTCCTCTTTGGTATCTTGTGTTTTGTTGTCAATCATCAGTCTGCTTCATTTGTTCACTTCCACCTCTCTTTCAATTGCGTAACTCACAACCCCGTCACTTCTCCCTCGCTTCCTCCACTTCCTCACCATGGAGCAACCCAACGAACCCAACGCCGCTGCTATCTACGATGCGCGGAGACGTCGCGGCTCCGTCGGTACTACCCAGCTCTTTGATAACATTGTGTCTACATCCAACTGTGAGTTTTTCACCGTCGCATATGGCTCCTTGCTGGTGGAGTGACCGGGCTGACCAGGCGACAGTCAATAGAGATGAGGTGGACCGTCTGCGCAAACGCTTCATGAAGCTTGATAAGGTTGGACAAGCTGTCAAAAGCCTCGAAAGGCCTCGTCTTACTGACATCTCATAGGATGCCTCTGGTACCATCGACCGCGATGAATTTCTTTCCCTCCCCCAAGTCTCGTCCAACCCGCTCGCTACGAGGTTCGTTACCCCGGACATCACACCACCGCCTTGACCATGTGAAAAATCATCTAATACACCCTTCCCACACAGAATGATTGCTATCTTTGATGAAGACGGTGGCGGCGATGTCGATTTTCAGGAGTTTGTGACTGGACTGTCAGCATTCAGCTCCAAGGGCAACAAAGACGAGAAACTGCGCTTCGCATTCAAAGTCTACGACATCGACCGCGACGGTTATATTTCCAACGGCGAGCTTTTTATCGTACTCAAGATGATGGTCGGCAACAACTTGAAGGACGTGCAGCTGCAGCAGATCGTCGACAAGACTATTATGGAGGCCGATAAGGATCAAGATGGAAAGATCAGCTTCGAGGAGTTCAAGGATATGGTGGAGAATACGGATATCAGTCTGAGCATGACACTGAGTAAGTTGCCCTTGATGTCTTTGGGTTTGGGGGACGAGTGCTGATTGTGTTCCAGATCAAATATGATTTCCATCTCACTGGTTGAGTGGATATATATCGTATTCAGTGGGTGTTTCGTTTCTGCGCTTGAATATTTCTCCGTTTCCCTTGGTCTCAGCATGACATGACTCAATGATCAGCGATGTGTATGTAGTTTATTTCTCAGTCCCGATATGGGCATCAACATTGGATTTGGATTTCTTTTCGTCTCCACACATCCCATACCAGTTCCTACTAACCTCCACAGCGAACAGTCATGAAACAAGGGGCTGGAGAAACATCGGAAAGTATATCCCCACCCCGAGGTATATCAGTGTCTAGTATCCACCTCACAGCAACAATCACACCCATACCCACGCCACACCCCGGACCTTACCCAATTCATGGGACACAGATTTCCAATTCTCCCATTCGATTCACTACAACCGCCTCACCAAAAAATGGCTTCCCGTTTCAGCCGTGCATGAAACACTTTATTCCCATCTAGGCCAACTCCATTCCGCACCCGCATTTTCTCAGTCCAAATCCCAAAACATACCTCGGCCCACTACACCAGTCCGCTCTCTTTCCGTCTGGGCTGCAGTCTCGTGGGCCGGATGACTCCTGTCCAACGAGTCGGGTGCGGGTGCAACCACAGTACAAACGAACATCCCTGATTAAGCTGCAGCAACGTCGTGGGTATGTGGGTGTGTGGCCGTAGTAGAATTTATACCTGTAGTCGTATCGGATGTGGTTATACCTCGGTATACTTGAGCTGCAGCCACTCAAACTACTAATTTTCCTTTAGCGCCGGTGCAGCGCGACTGTGATTATACCTCAACACTAAACCTGTTCTCAGTCCTCCTCTCCGGATCTTCCACCTGGAGCTGATTCCAAATCATATCGTACGATCGCCGGTGCAGAGATGCACATAATTGCACTGTTTACTGCCCTCTTGTGGAGTACGCGTCGATATATCGAGCTCCATTGATGCAAGCCACTTTGTGCATGGTAGCAGAGAAATATTTGATTGGCAGTAAGGGATATATCTCCCATACAGAGCAGATCTTTCACCCTATTGTGTAGGTTAGCTCACAACTCTCCCTCTACGGCAGGGGATTCCCATTCAAGAGTTATAAATCAGACGATATCCCTAAGCTCAACTGCAGTATCCCGCTTCATTGATTTCGAAACTTCTAGGGGACCGAGGTGCTTACTGTGTATGTTTCCACTTCACGTAGAACGAATCTGAATAATCTTCTGATGATCCACTGTAAGTGGAAGACGCACAGAAAGTGAGTTCCAGAAGTGCTACTTTGGATGCGACGAGAACAACATCTGCAAATCGTCCAAGCGAGGAGGTGGAATTTCGGATTCGAAAGAAAATTCGCGCTCCCTTAGGTTTTGACTTGAATTTCTCAACGCCCACGCTCCATTCTTTCATCGAACTTGCTTCAGGGCTTGTGTTGATCTGTATACTTGATCTTGTGCAATAGAAGTCCTGTCTTCTAGATACTTTCAATGGGCCTACTCTGTACGTTGGAATTAATACAGAAAGATTTTTTTTTTCTAAACAACATTAATATTCTCGTAGCTACTTGACTGACTGTGTCTCGTATCCATTTTCGCTCTTAGCGCCAGGAACACTCCTCGCGAAATCTGCAGGCGCGTCATTTCTGCGCGTCAATGTCATCGACACAAAGATCCTGCTCCCCATGCCACCATCTAACAAATAATCGAACTATCTGGCTCCAAGGGTTATTAGAACCGTGTGGACTAGCAGTATGCAGTAGATTGCGCTAGGGCGGATCATTAGGTATTACAATATCTATCCCACTAGATGCCATTCGCGTTCAATTGGTTAAAATAATGATTGATAGGCTAGGGAAAAGTAGGTAAGTGTTTGTTTGTACAATTGTTTGCGTCAATCCGACGCGTAAATAGATACCAAGTTGGGAATTAGGAGCCGTGGCTAATAAAAATAGCCTTATGCAGGGCTCCTTGGACAAGGGGCACACAAACACAGTCCCTAGATCCATGAAATAGATCTAGGCTTGAAATAAAAGGCGATTACCAAAAGTTCGAGGCCGATCCCATACATTACTAGATCAATGGAGCCAACATATGGCAGAATTGAAAAAAAAAAAAGAACCAACGCGTGAACAGCAATTCCCACCATCCCGGTCCTCCCCTTAGGTGCATAAAGCAAACGTGCCTCAGTCCCCGGTAACTTACCCAGTGTATGTACATGTACAGTCTAATATGCATGCACCCACACCGATATGGAAAACAAAATCCCAAAGGTAAAAGGTAAAAGGTAAAAGGTTAAAACCGAAGTATATAATCCCCACTTCGACAAGCAGGCCCCTCATGGTTAAATTTATTCCATTCAAGTTCTTCCATCTTCTCTTCCATTCCAATCCATCACCGCGTCAGGGCGTCCGTGCTCCCGACTGGGCAACTGGACTGGAAGAGCGTGGTGAGACGATAATTTCGGAATTCCGAGGCACTGGATTCGCTGGGTCTGCAGTCCGGGTTGGAAGTCGTACAGAGTGAGGCACCGGCTTTGGTTTGTTGTTTTGATGTTATGGAGGAGGGGAATGGAAATGACAAAGTGAAGAGAGGAAGGGAGAATGGAAAGGAGAAGGGGGTGTCATCTTACGCTCTCTACTCATCTCTACATTATACATTCCAGGGTAGCACTCGCATGGCCATATGGATGGGTAAGTGTTTCAGCCGAGATTTGTACCTAAAAGCGCCCGTCGGGTTGTAGAAGACTCCGGCCCAAGCTTTGAGTAAGATTAGCTGCTCTGTCTGACATGTTTGAAGATATTCATATCTGAAACGTAGCGTGGTATGAGCCTACCTTCTGTTGTTAGGGTGTGGAGTGTGTGTAGGTGTAGTATACTAACAAATGTTGATTATCCACGCATTTGTATATTTGCTTTATCGTAACTAGCAAGTGCATCCATAAAACCAGTTCCAGCCTCGTGTTTTGTGCTACCGGGTGGTCTATCCAACGTGTCGGGCTGGTTGATACCGATGACATCGAGTCCACCCGAGTCCCGGTCTGTTTTCATGTTTCGGGGGATCTTCTATGTTTTATTTCCGGACGTCACACATCTGCAGGAGATTGCATCATCCTGTCCTGTTTCGGTGGACTCTCAGCCTATGAGAGGCGAGTAGATCCAGGGCGCAAAATGACCAAGTGCCAAGTGACAAAAGTGCGAATTCCCGGATCCAGGAGACCAGTTTAGCTACATGTCAATCGGGATCGTCGTCGCATCCGCGAGGTGCAAAGTGGGTTCTTCCATAGTGTCGGATTAGGGCATGGATAGATCACATTGGACCCACGGCAGAACACGTAAACAAGAACAACCGAAAGCAATAGAATGACAATACATATTATATATACATATATAGCATACTAATACTAATAGTAATGCTAATACAAATACTTGTAATTGCTTTTGCCCCTTGAGACCTGAGCAATCAGAAATAGGAAACTGACGTATGTAGCTGCCCGTCAGGGCGTTGGCAAACAAGGCCCACACGAACTAAATAGATTCGTCCACTATGCTCATCAGCCTCACTTCGAGTCGGTTAATCTCCCCGGAATGTAAAGGGCCCCCTTTCTTGGGATCTGGTGGATTATTTTGCTTTTTGATCTCCCCCACGCAAGGGGATTTGTCTCAAATGTCTTCACTATCAGCCCCAGAGAGGGTTACACGCCAGAGAAAGCAAAGAAAGGTCCACCTGACCTCGACAGCTGAACCCCCTTTATTATAACGCAAAACATTCGGGAGCCAGGAACCAGAACACCGGGTTCCCGATGAGAGACCGAATGGAGTTTAGGCGTCGATCCTGATGTATATGCGTAGTCCGAGAGAGGTATAGTTCCCTATGAAGCCCTACTCTCTTTCCCCCTTGGATTCTTCGTCCTTGAATCTTGGATCTATCCACACCATGAGGATTGTTTCTTAATCCTCAGCTCTAGATCATTGATCCACTCTCGCGTTCTCTATATCTACCTAATTCGTGCCTAAGCTTGGTATCTGTTTCTTGTTATTCCTGACTGATACCTGATCCTACCTGTCACTGTTACCTGTTTATTCTTAAATACCGCCGCGCCTGCGCCAGAGGACAAGATTTGGATGTCTATGTGAACCAGGATCACCTCTTGTTCCTTTTACACTTCCCCTAACCCAGAAGGAAGAGTTGAAACAGACTTGAAATCCCGTCTCATTCTCACTCAACCATCCAAGCTGGCATTCTACGTGAGCCCGCCGCTCTCCCCCAAGCATTGGGCCCTGGATCAACGATCCTGGAACCCAATGGGTGGCGATCAACGAATGAAGCATGAGTCGTCAAATGCTCCCAGAGCACCTGGCCGTGCAACCGATCGTTTTGAGGCCACACAACCACGTGGAGACCCAACGGGGATGTCGCAACCGGAGCAAGCCCCGATGTCCTACGACTACGGATACACAGGCACCTACGGTTCCTTGCAGTCCAACGAATTGCAGTACCCGGACTATGCACAGCAAGCCCAGCAAGTCCAAGCACCGCGAGCTCCCAGACGACGAGCACCAGAAGCCTTCTATGAGTCCATGCTGTACTTCAACCAGCAGGGTCCAACCCAAGGACCTTTTGAGGATGTTCCACAGTACCCGGCACGGCAGTCTGCAGCGATTGAAGCACTCAATCAATTTGCCGTTCCACAGTATTTCGAGGATACTGCAGGGTCTGGGGCCCCAGTGCTCTCGTCGTATCTCAACCCGATCACTTATAATCAACCGGGCCCCATGCGCCCAACCACCCAGTTTCCAACCGGTTTCACCATCGGGCCCGAGTCTATGAACCGATTGGAACCCGAGCTATCACTGCAGTCCGATCCGTCGAATCTGGAGGAGGCCGTGGGTCGATACCAACGATTCCTACGTCGCACTTTCGACCAGACGCGAGCCGGAAGGTTGGTAGAGGCTGGTGGATTGCTGCTGGAAATCTCCGAATGGCTTGTGACCAATGCACGGGATCTAGGTAAGGATTTCCTCTTTGTGTGAAGTGAAAGTATACAAGAGCAAGGGACCTTTGGCCATTTCCTATGGCCGTAGCACAGAAGTCGCACTCCCGGCGAGACCCTTGGAAGATGTCTCTTTTATGACCTTTTATGTTTCCCCGCAGGCCCGCGTCATGCAAGCATAATCTGGCATACTAACTATGTGCCACCTTAGGGCTCCTCCGCGACGACAGCGTTCATTACTCCGACCGCCTCAAGCTCTGGAACGACTTCAACTTGTGCTGGCTGGCATTCTGTCAGAAGCAAAAAGATCTAGTGATGGCTATGGTTGCCGGGCATCCATCACATATCAGTTTAATACGTCGAGATCGTCTGGAGGCCATGGGAAAGGACCTGATTCGACTTTGCGATCAGCTGGAACAACACGGTCTAGTGGATTACCAAATGGGCATATGGGAAGAAGAGATACTATCCGGTATAGTACAAGATACCCACCATTATCACCATATCTAACAACCATCTATACAGTCCTGGGCCAATGCCTCGATCTGATGGATAGCAGACCCGAACTCCCGGATCCCACAGGCGCACGCCCGTGAACTCAGCGAGAGCGAAAGAATGAAATGAAATGAAACCCATCAAAAAAACAAAAAAGACAAATCGCATCCCAACTTGCCCTCCGCCAAGACACGGCTCAGCGATCGGAGACTATTCGCAAATCAAGTCCCAGCCACAGTGAGCTATTGCTCGCTAGCGTCGCGCCATTCCCGATGTGCTATTGAATCTATCGCCCAAAACTAGGGCTGACTGTGCTTTCAGAGAGAGAAAGAGAAAGAAAAAGAAAAAGAGAATATCTTTTTCCACTTGAGTTGGGCTGCTATTCGCTGCCCTGCTCTATTCCATGACATCTCCACACTCTCGCCTCATTGGCCTCATGTGTGCCTTTTGTGCCCCAGTGGAGATCTTGATGACTTCAGGCCGTGTCGTCACCTTCCTACTTCCTCTCTATCCCCTTACACTATCTATTCTATATCCTAAAATGACGAATCTCACGAGTTGTACATAGCGCTATGTTTCATTTTTCTGTGTTTGCTAGGTGGTTCTCTGCTTTGGTCTCATGTTGTCTCAGGTGAACTTCCTTTCTTACTTTTCTCCTTTCTCTATTCTCATTCTCTATTTCTGATATCTTATACTGTACTGGACTGACTTGGAGTGGGCGTGGACAAAATGAACGGAAGGAAAGGAAAAGAAAAGGCCGGCGCAAAGGTGGGACGATACCGATGTAATGGAGTTCTTGGACTTTGTTTGGCTTTGGTTTGATAGTGTGGTTGAAATTTGATATTTGAAAGAGAGTTCTCTATCTAACTTTGTATACCTATGCTACGCCTGGTCTTCCTAGAGCTGAAAGGCGGAGATGAAGATTTAGATCGAGCCTGATATTAATCGGACCCGCTGAGGCTTGTTGCCCGTCTGCAGTGATCTCTGTTGGGTTGGTTGCTTTTGGGTATCAATCTCACGTTAGGCTTCGAGAACTGAATTTATCCACTCGCGGAGTATTACTCAAGCCACTACATAGAACCAATGAAATATAGTTCATCATATTCAATTCAATAAACCTTGAAATCCCCATATGCATTGAGAGTACAGGATATAAAAACAAGTCGCGAACTCGGGGTGCCATGGCTGGTGGAATAATACAGTGTAGAAACAAGAAGGGAAAGAATCCAAAGATGCCAATACGCTCGGTGTACAATAGGGAAGCGGAAAAGCGCAATATCCATCCCTTAACGCTTGACCCAGGTAGGCATCTTGCGGGCCTTGACATGACCAGGCTTCTTCCTCTCGACACGACGAGCATCGACAGTAATAGCACCAGCTGAAACGAAAAGTTAGCAACAGACATGCCAAGGGAAAATAGAGAAAACATACCTTTCCTAAGAACACCCTTCAAACCAGGCTCATGAACCATCAAAGCCCTCGCAGTAGCCAACGTCACAGCCTCAGCCTGACCAGTAACACCGCCACCGCGAACAGTAGCCCAAACATTATACTTATCCATACGCTGCGTACACCTCAGCGCCCAAAGCGCACTCTCACGATCATGAACACGCTTAAACGCCTCAACAAGACTCTTCCCATTAATCAGCACTTCACCCTCACCCTCAACAAGCTGCACAACAGCCGAAGACTCCTTCCTCTTCCCCTTACCACGCGCACGCCCATTCTCATCAAGCGTAGCCGGCTCGTTCTGCACCGCATACGGATTTCCAGGACGGAGGAAAGAACCGAGCGTTTCGCGGACTTCGGCCGGGACAACGTCTGGCTGGATGCGGTTGAGACGCTGCAGGATCTTGACGAGGGATTTGTATTTCTTCATCGGGACTGGCTCGCCCACGTAGTCGCGGAACTGGGCCAGCTTGAACCATGCCATGCGGGGTGCTTCGCCTGCTACTACTGTGGGCAGGGAGGCGTATTTCGCTTGCAGGGATTCCAGCTTCAGGACGTGGTCGATGAATCGGGGGCTGCCGGAGAAGTAGGCTGGGGAGGCGGGGATGATTCGGGCGGGCTTTGAGGAGAAGGTTCCGAAGTTGATTTCTTGGGCTGCCGGTGCCGGTGTCTTGGTTGCTTCGGCTTCTGTTGCGTAGCTGCGGCTGTTGCGGGCGTGGGTTTGGAGGGTGGAGAGGCGGGAGGTTGGTTTTGGGAGGGCTGTTAGGCGGAGTGATTGCATCGCTTGCGCGACGTTCGGTTTGGTCCACGCCATTATGGGTGGTTTCGTGGCAATTGGTCTGGGGTTCCGTGTTCGGGATATAGATGGACTCCGGAGTGTCATGTTTTTTGCTGGTCATGTGACCTGGAAATATCAGTTACTCCGAGCGCCGAACTACCAACACCGAGTGAAGGCTATATTATTTACTGATTTCAATCAATAATATTACTACTAAAGGAGTAAGGAATTGAGTGAATAGTTCCAATATTCGAATTCAAGCAGATGAAGGACGAAACTCCAGGAAATCGAGCAACTCATAATATCACACTAGACAAGACAAGTTCTCAACCTCAACATAAGGCATCAAGGGACACAATTAAGGCAGTCTACTCTGTACATCAACTTCTACTTGATCAAATTACTTTACGAAAGTGTGATTACGAAAGAGTAAGAATTTGCAAGAAAGAGTTTCTCTGTTCTTCATTGCTAGAGCTAAACTAGCATCGACCAAGTATCTGTTACCCAGCACTTGGTCGGATCATTCCGCATCGCAACGTATTCATAACCGTGAACGTGAGTTAACATCAACACGTAAGACCATAAGTCAAGGGGAGGTATTTTAGAATCCCAAAAGATTTCAGGCAGAGGAAAGAAGAGAATAGACAGGATGCGTCGGGATTGGCCTCGCATCCCTCATTCGGGGTATTTGGGGAGGAAATTTTAATGAGAGGAGCCACACGCTTATTTGAAGACGTGGCCATCGGTCCACTCGAGGGTCTTGCCCTCGACGGTGATGGGGACATCCTGGGCCCACATGTCCTCGATGACCTTGCGGTCAGCCTCGTTGGAGGCGTCGAGCTTGGTGTAGGTGTAACCCTCCCAGTCGGGGCCGACCTGGAAAGCGGGCTCCCACTCCTGGCCACGGACCATGAAGGCACCGTTGACGACACAGTCGTAGTTGACACCGTAGACGGACTGGGCACCGAAGAGGTACTTGCGGGAAGCCTCAAGACGGGCGTGGAAGCCACCGATCAGGTTGTTGGCCATGAAGGTGAGCTTGAGCTCGTTGTTGTACTTGTAGTCGACCTTCCAGAGGGAGTACTCATCGGCCTTGAAGTTCTTCCAGAACCAGGGCATGGCCTCAGTGCGGGGGTCGTTGTTGGAGAACTCGCGCTTCCACTCATCGAGGATGAGGGTGGGCTTGCCGAGAGCCTCAAGGGGGTGCTTGGGCTTGGGAGCCTCAGCGGCGGGCTTCTCCTCAGCGGCGGGGGCAGCAGCCTTGGGCTTCTCCTCCTTCTTGGGGGGAGTGTACTTGATGCACTCCTCAGCGAACTTGGGCTCGGGGAAAACGGCCTTGAAGGACTCCTGGTTGACGAGGGTGTTGTACCAGCGGGTAACAGCGGGGTTCTCCTGGCGGAAGGTCTTGTCAAGGACAGTGGCGAAGGCGCGGGTGAGGAGAGAAGCGGCAAAGATATCAGCCAGAGTGATACGCTCACCAACAAGGTAGGTGTTGGCGGTGAGGTGGGACTCAAGGACGGAGATGGCCTTGAGAGCGTTCTTGGCAGCCTCGTCAACGGCCTTCTTGTTGTAGCCGTCGAGACCCATCAGGGGGCGGTACCAAGCGCCGAGCTTGGGCAGAACCTCAGCGTTCGCAAAGGAGAGCCACTTGAGGATGGAAGCATAATCCTGCTTGGTCTTGCCGAGAAGGGTGGTCTTCTCGTTCTGGGAGGTGACTATGAACAGGACATGTTAGTCAAGTTGTTTTCAACCCGAGTGGATCCATAATGGAGCAATCAGGGGTGCCAATGGCACAATGTGATCAAAGAAAGAGAGAAAAAAAAGGGGTATCCAATTTTTCTTCTCCCAAAGCGGGGTAGCCAATTTTTTTCAGAGTGCGTGTTCCTCAACAGTATTGTTCTGACAGGGATAACTATAATATGAACTCATCATAAAAGATGAAGGCTTGGGCTTGGAGATTCTTGTGCATGGAAAAAGTCTTCGCTTACCATAGACGGCAATGGCAATGGCCTCAGAGAGAGTGAAGCCGTTGGCACCCTCGAAGGCAGGGATCTTGCCAACGGGAGAGATCTTGCGGTACTCAGCACCACTGTTGAAGGTGGCGGCAGAGTTGGCCTCGGTCTTGACGAGCTCGAGGTCGAGCTCGTTGTGCTTAGCAGCGACCAAGATGGCCAGGGTGCGACCGTTGTCCTAGACAGTGTCAGAAAGGAGCTAAGCAACCAGAGAACAGGAAACGTACGGGCAGACCGTAGAGCTTTCCGAATGCCATTATGAATGTAAGGGGTGGATGGAGAGAAAGAAAAGAAAGGAAGAGGAAGAGGGGCTGGCGAGAATTTTGTGCGGATGGCGGCCGCTTCGGCGCTCGGAGGAATGATCTACCGGGTCACGTGGTGTGGGGCTGTCAACACCTCTTTTTGCATAGCAACAGAACTATATAGAAGGAAGCGAAATTATATTCAATTTACCTTAGCTTGTGTTGCACTAATTGTACATCTGAGCTAGCGAGTGAACTGCAGTATCATAGTATCCCGCTTAAATGTCCATAGGGTTACGATATGCATCAAGCCCCAATACGTCGAAAATATAGGAAATATAGACAATAATGGTATATTATGGCTATGCGAATACTATTCAAATATGTACCCCCAGACAAAGCAAAGACACGAATAGAATAGCCTAGCACCGTAGCTATTCTTCCCTTTCGTCAGAATAATCAAACCCCCAAAAAAAATCAATACTCAACGCTTCATACCAAGCCCCTCCTCAAGCCGATCAAGCAAAGAATTCTGCGACGCAATCGAAGTAGCCGGTGACGGCGATCTAGGCTGATACTCTGGTTCAGAATCCTGCGCAGCATCTGCATCCACACCGGTCACTCCACCACTAGTCTCAATGTGTGGTCTTGATTCGTCGCCTTCAGTGACACTTGAAGCAACATCAGCGGCAACAGTGGCAGTAGAAGCAGAGGTAGAAGATGTCTCTGGGACTATAGAGTCCGTAGCACCATCGAGAACTTCCGGTAATTCATGGGATATGGCATGTTCCTTGCCCTGTAGTCGGAGACTGTATTTGTGCTGACGAGGAAGGCGTTCCTTCTTGTTCGAGCCAGTAGTAGCAGGAGCAGTAGCAGCAACAGGAGCGGTGCAATCAACGCTTTGATCAATATCCAGATCAGCGACTTCTGCAGCAACCTCAGCAGCAGCCTTCTGATCCTTCTTCGACTGAATTTCAGCTTTGCGAGCCTTCTGACGTTGTTTCTTTGCTCTCCGAGTAGCAGCCTTCTGCTCTTGTTTTTCCTCCTCTGTGAGTATCGGCTGCTGGGCTTTGGGTTGCTTTTTCTCACGAGAAGCAGTGATATTGGCAGTGACAGGGACGCTAACTTCAGTAGGAAGAACCATTCCGCCATCTTCTAGGTCGAGGTCGTCCATAGGACCAAGGTCCAGATCGAGGATATTGCCTTCTCCTTTCTCGACGCGCTCGTTCCATACGCGGAGAACCTTGCTCACGTCGTCATGGTGGGAGAGGATATCGAGACGGTGCAGTATCTTCGCAAAAAGAGTTGATTCGTCGATGTTCTGGTCGTTGGTGAACTCTGGGATTTCAAGAATGTTGAACGGCTCGCTGAGGGCTTTGATCTTGCTGTCATCGATCAAGACGGTGTTTGTCTGGTCCCATCTGTGACCGGGTTGGAGGTTCTTCGTCTCGGTCTTTGCCTTTAGCTTCTCCGTTGCCCTTTGCACCATTGCTCTTCGATTAGTAGTGACTGGAGCGGCTGGAGCCTCGCGTAGAGCTTCGTTTCCTGGGAATGCACTCTGGATACTGGGGGTGTCCCATACTTTGTGGAGCTGCTTGTAGACCTGGAGCTTGTTGTTGTACTGGCGCTGGGTGAGGCCGAATTTATCACGGCCCCACATTGCAACGACCTTGTCGTGCATCGCGCCTGGGAAGATCTTCTCGCAGACTGCTTTCATAGTCGGCGGCTGAGAACTCGTCCAGACCATCACGGAGTAATTCTTGATCAGCGAAGCGAGGAACTGGTCAAGGCCAGCACGGCTAGCAAACTTAGGCGGGAAAATGCGCTTTTTCCGGAAGATGAGAGTACCATTGAGATCGAGGATGATAAGTAGTGGACGCTTGGAAGGAGACTGCTGTGGCTCCTGTGATGATTGCTGCATGTATGCCTGTGTCGGAGATGGAACTTGGACCGGTGGTGTTTTTTCTCTGGTTGGTGATCTTGTTCTTCGATGGTCTTGTACTTGTATGATGGGTTGTTGTGGCAGTCCAGCCATGGTACTCATCGGCCGAACATTCTGGTAAGAAAGCGTTGGATTCATAGGAGGGATGAAGGGAGGTGCCGCGCCGTCGAGACCTTGGTTCATCCACGGCATGCTTTGTGCCATGGTAAAGAAATTGTTGATGTCCATCGTGTTCTGTGGTAAACCGTTGAACGGGTTGACGGGGTTGTCTGGTCTGGACAATGGGAGTTGGCTTTGCGGCATACTGCGGCGATTTCCTCGAGATTGAGAAACACGAGGTTGACTATTCTGTGCATTTTGGTGTCGACCACCTGCTGGACCTGTGGCTGGAGACGGAGCGTAGTGTAGCGGGGGATTGGTTTGCACAGAGTAATCCGCATGCTCAACACTGGGATACACATTTGATGAAGGGTCCCAGTTATTGTACGACACTCCTGGCGGGCCACCCTGACCCATTGGTGATGATCCAGATCTCATGTTTACTGCATTGTATGCCGAAATCGCATAGCGTGGGGTGTTGGATAAGTAATTAGAGACCGCGGCGTCAGACGCACGCTTCGGTTTTTTGTTTGCGCGAGACAGCTTGAATGCTTTTGAGCGTGACAAAAGAACGGTAGAGAAATTTGCGCGAGGTTTGCAAGCGAGGGACAGTTTCGAGGAGAACTATTCGCAGTCAGAGAAAGTGTACAACGGTTGGGCGTCTGATCTGTGTACCTGATTGGCGGCGTAGTGTGAAGACTGAGGGTAGCACAACAAAAATTGTGTAGTGGTGTAATGCGACAGGTCTCTAGACCGCAACAAATGCAGGGACATAGGGTCAAAACGCAATGCAAATGAATGTTGTCTGTCTGGCGCATCGGGAATCGCAAAAAATATCTAATCAGCCTTATCGCACTCACCGCCCTGGTCGGCAATATTTTTCTTTTTTGGCCGATCGTTCTTCTCCCGAGTTCACAATCAACCAGCAAAATGGCTGTTTCAGATATGCTCAATCGCCGAGTGCGTGCTCGCCCTGACGAGGAGGAAGATTATTCAGAAGCCTCGGACTCCGACGACGATGTTTCACAGCAAGGCATTGGACCCGACTCGGACGACATCCAGTCAGAGGTATGATATATAGTACACATCTACGATCCCCCTGCTCACAAAGTAAATAGGGATCAGACGAGTCCGAAGACGAAGGCAAGAACACCCCAGATTCAGACTCCGAGTCCGACAATGAAGAACCAGTTTCAGACGAAGCCTCCGACTCCGACAACGGCGAAGACTTCAAATCCAGCCTAGCAAACATATCCTTCGGCGCATTAGCCAAAGCTCAAGCCTCAATGAGCAAAAATAAGCGCAAAGACCGCCAATCCTCGAACCAAGAACCCACCGAAAACGCAACAAACACTCTGGATGACATCCGCGCCAAACTCCGCGAAGCACGGGAACTGAAAGCGTCAGCCCAAACCAGAAAAGAAAAAGAGCGCGAAGCCAAAGAAAAGAAACGAGCCTCCAAACACGCACCAATGGAACAATCCTCCAAACGCGCCGTAACCCGACGCCTTACAGTCATCGAACCAGGCAACGCCCCGAAAGCCCGCGATCCCCGCTTCGACGCAGCAGTAATGGGCCACAGCGGCGCAGGCAAGCATCCATCCGGAGGCAAAGCCTACGCATTCCTAGATGAGTACCGAGCGTCCGAATTAAAAGAGTTGAAAACCCAACTTTCGAAAACAAAGAACGAAGAGCAGAAGGAGGCACTCAAGCGTCAGATCCGGTCTGCGCAAGATCGGATGCGCGCTGCTGCGAATAAGAAGCGCGAGACTGATGTTCAGGCTGAGCATAAAAAGCGTGAGAAGCAAATGATTCGGGAGGGGAAGAAGGCCACGCCTTATTATCTTAAGAATTCTGAGCTTAAGAAGCAGGTTCTTGAGAAGAAGTTTGGGGAGATGGGGAGTCGGGAGCGTGGCAAGGCGCTTGAGCGACGGAGGAGGAAGATGGCTTCTAAGGAGAGAAAGGAGATGCCTTGGGAGCGGCGAGGGTTTGGGGAAGAGGATGGTATGCCTAATGGGGGGAAGAGGAGGAGGTTGGAATAGGTCTTGGGGTTTGTCATGTCTGTATGTAGATTTGAAGGTTGGAATTGTGCATATCATACGGAGTCTTCATCTACCCTTACTGTATACAGCAAATATTCCAACGTCAAGGAAACAAGTGCATTAAAATTACCGAATCCAAGACTGATTATGGTATTGTCTGCAAAGAAGAAAGAAGAATAAAGAAGAAGAGAAAAAAAAAGACAACCAAAACAGACAGATGTATGTGAATTATGAGAAAAGGACTCATTACCAAAATGCTTTATCCCCAAAAGCAAATTCAAAAGGTATATTGCGAATCACGGAACCCCCGACGCCCAGAGCAAGTAGAAAATGCCAACAAAAAGCAACAAAAGTAAAGAAGCAAAGAGAGCAAGAGCAAGATTTTACAGGGGACATGGAGCGGACCCTGACCCTGCGAATACTGTCGTGGCATAGATAACATGAAAGAAATGCAAGCATCATTTCTGAAATATGATAAGGACCCTCGGCTCGATCATCCAGGATGAGACGGGGATGTAGAGTGTATGCACGCGTGCCCAGGATAACAATTGGTATTGGACTTGCCAGACCAATGAATGGACTTGTAAGATCATGAGGATTAAAGAACTGGGCGGCGATGATATTGACAATGCAGCCAATGCCACTCCATCAGGTGTATGTGGGTCGATCACAGATGAACAAGCCCAAGCAAGTTCCATCATTGCTTGAGACTGCAGACCTCTGACAAGATATCGCTAGACGACAAAGCAAGATAGATGGTATCACGAATGGAAAAGATCCCAGGCGCGGGCGCAGAGACCCAGGAATTCATCCTTCTTTCTCCGCTGTGTCTCGGGCGAGTCTCTGCCTGCGCCGAAAGGTCCAGGAAATGATGTCTGGAGGCCGGCCGTGGAAGCTGGGTTGGGCCGGTATTGGGAGTCTGGGCCATTGCCTAGCGGTGGGCTTCCATTATCCCGCTCGTACTCGCTTCGAGGGCGTCGGCGTCCGGCGACATCTGTGGGCAGGTACATGCCGTGTGCTGGGGGCGCACCCGGGGCTGGTGGAGGCTCCGGAGCCATTGGGGCAGTCTTGGGACCTGCGTGGAGGATCTGGGGCGATGGTGGGGTGGGAGGCTGGTGGCCACCATAGTGCACGATGCGTGGCAGCAGTTCCTCCCGTCCGCCAGACATCTCCTGCACGGCCTCCTCAGCGGAGCGGTACTCTCGGGGTCGGTTGGGGGTGTGGGATACGCTGGGAGGAAGGCCGGGAGAAGGCATTGGCGCCAGAGTGTTGGATTGCGAGGAGTTTGTACTGGATGCGTTCAGATGGATGTTGGCGGGGCCTGAATCCCGGTCGCGGCCCAAGGCATCCGATCCGAAGACATCGGAGAGGGGAGGAAGACGGTTGTTGGTCTGTGTGGCTGGCAATTGATGCATGTGCGAGGTTGCGCCCAGAGTCGGGCTCTGGTTGACCACATGGCGAGTCAGTGGCTGCGGCTGGTAGCGACCAGTAAAAGTCTGGTGTAGCGGCGCGGATTGGATCACTCGCTCGTTTGCGAACTGGGAGGCGGACGGAGGGACGATAGACAAGCCTGGCGGAGGTCGTCGCTTGGAGGTTCCTTTGGGCATGCCCATGAGCCCCGATTCCGATGGCTTGACGCCGTCCGGACCATCATCCTTGGCCGATCTCTGCATGCGCTGCTCAATTATCGATCGCTGCTGATCCCGCACGGAAAGGCTGCGCTGCAGCTGCTCCCGCATGATGGGATCGTGGGTCTGGAATCCCGGCGATAGGCACGCCAGGCCGACATCTTGCATCGTCACACCATCGCGAGCTGTCATCGAGCCCTCCCGGGGGGCGCACAGTCAAACCGCTGGAGGATGGGAGGCTGGTCGAGAGATCCAATTTCCGAGGACGAGGGCGACTCTGCATGCGCGGCGGTGATCCGGGTTCCTTTTTCACTGTGATTCTCGGGCCTCCTTGGGATCTGGACAAAGTCAGTACTTGGTCTCAATCGGCATCAGCTAGTCTTACGGAGACGCGGGACCTTTCTTCTCGGTCGGAGAGCCCTTTGCGGCTGAAGCATCTCGGGGGCTTGTGGACATCCGGGGAGATGAATTTGAGGGAGCACTAGCCGGCAAGTTTCGCGGGCTGGGGTTGCGATGTGGATGCGGTGAGGACAGAGCCACGGAAGCCACTGCGGTCGACATGATAAAATATTCAGATCCCCGTCACACGCAAGGAGAGCATTGAACGTGGGATCGAGGAAGAGAAAGAGAGAGAGAGAGAGAAAGAGAGAGAGATCCAGGGGGAAAAGTACCAGGTACAGATGTTCCAGAGACCCAAAGAGGGGGATCAGTTCGCTGTGGCGTCTCCCCCCAAAGTACCTGATACTTGAGTGGATCACGTATTACTTTCCTGAGACAAGTGGTGTTTGGAGCCCTTTTTCTTTGTTTCTTTGTCTCTACTCTGTACAGTCTGGCTACTCTACTCTGTCCTGGGTCTATAGCGTACAGTAGAGTACTCTGTACTCTGTACATTTCCGATCACACCAACAAGCCGCGGGCGCTTATACAGGCCCGAAAAAGAAAAAGATGGCACGGTCTCGGTTTGTTCACTAGTGCACGGAGCTAATCTGCCGACTCAGTTGGTCTGCCACTTGAATCAAAGGGGCCCACACTTGTTTCATTGGAGTTCGAGGTTCGTGTCTGACAAATTATTGATAGCCTGAATTGCTGAATCTAGTCTTGAAATTCTTGAACATCTTAGCCCAAGCATTGTACTAAGTACACTATATTGCATACACTCCGGTCACCCGACCCCTCCTACTTTAGCGCTTCCTTTCATTGTAAGCGCATCCGCTGTCTGTCATGTTACCTGTAAAATCTGATGCAGACTCGAAGGATTGAGTTACGCGAAACCCTAACTATGTGGATTGGAGGTGTTTCAACCCTGAAAACTTGCCATTTGATAATAAACTTCTACCTATAGGGTCACAAAAATTTGGAAAATGACTTCACCCTGTGCTGTCCGAGTCCCAGCTACAAAGATATGGTATCTTGTCCTTGTCAGATGCGTAGGTACGGACCATGTTGGAGGTTATCAATCAACACCACTGAAAAAAAAAGAGAAGAAAAGAAAAAAAAAAAAGTCAAGCATGAAAACAACAAGAGAGTAGTATACTTCATGATACAGAACAAATAGCATCAATCTCTACTGTAGCTGTGTAGCTAGACATACATGCAAGAGCCTATAGATGACAAAAGCAGCAGGCGGTGAGACCGACTATCGATAACCCACCTTTTTTTCTGCGCAATACCTCTTTAACTCGAAGATCCAGCTTTGCGCAAATTGGTCCCTCACATAAAACCAAACGACCAATTCAAGTTTCAATAATAACGACAAGGCTGTGCGCGGCAAATTTTTCAACACAGTCAACCAACTACAGCCCACTCCCCAATCCCATACCCAACAACCAACCCACCCAAAATGCCCGGCTCCGTCCACTCCCAAGATCAAGACCAGTCCATGGTGGACGCCGAACAAACCGTCGAACAGGTTCCCCAAGAAGTCACCCTGGACGAGAAGCAGATTGTCGTGGTACGTACATCCTGCCCATCCATACCTATTCAACGAGCGGGGAACAGGTAGATCCGCATGCCTGGAAACACGCATTCTACAATATGTGAATACCGACTAACTTACTCTCCCTACGTCCAGCTCCCCGGCGCCACCGAAACCGCCGCATCCTTCCAATTTGAAGGCGAGGGCCACACAATGGGTAATGCGCTCCGCTACGCCATCATGAAGAAGTGAGTGCCATTCCATCCGCAAAGAAGAATATACTTCGCATGCGAAGAGGGAATACCCTTGCTAACAGTGATGCTGTCTAGCCCCGCTGTTGAGTTCTGCGGATATACCATCCCCCACCCCTCAGACCCGAAGATGAATGTTCGTATCCAGACTACCGGTATGTTATTCCCTTTATATCATTATATCACCTAGATATAAAATAGAAAAGGAATCTGGTACTGACTCTATTGGATGCAGACTCCACTACTGCCCTCGAAGCCCTGGAGAAGGGATTCAACGACCTGATGGATCTGTGTGATGTTGTAACGGAGAAGTTCACAGCTGCTCGGGATCAGTTCAATGAGGAGAGTGGAAACCGCATGGAGGCATGAGTGTGGAACCTAGAGTCATATTCATGGATGTCTTTGGATATCCGTGTTTGCATATTTGTATTATCTATGGCGTTTTTGGTTAGAGGGAAAAGTACAATATTTGATCTCAGGCATGAGACCATGAGATGTTCGCTTATATTTGTTATATAGCTTGAGTTTGAAGTTGAGTATATTGAAGATAAAACGTTTATTCTTGTTCTTGTTCTTATATTTCGTGTGGTGTGTATACTGCGTGCTCTGGTTCACTACTTACTTTGGTAAGGTACTGAGTCTAGCACTGACACTTACCTACCTAGGTATAAAGCTATATAGTCATAACAATATAGGAAATAGAATGACTTATTCAGACAATATGTACACATCATGTCTATCGGCGGCAGTCCCTGCCACACGTGGACCAGAAACGAGGTAAATGGGATAGGAAATATCGAGAAAAACAGAAAGAGGGTCTAATTGCGGCCCTCAAGGAAACCCGAGACAAAGTTGCGGGGTAGCCGCGCGCCGGGGTCCTCTTCTGGGCGGAAGTACTTCATAACGTGGGAAAGCTGCTTCCAGTAGTTAAGGGTTTCCTAGTTGAGGTGTTAGTATGTAAGCTGGCAATGGCAATGGCAATGGCATGCAGGATTACTGCGACGGTAGATAATCAAATAAGAAATCAATGGCGAAGGAGTGGTGACCAGCGCTTATTGATTTCGTTCTTGCTTTGATATAGATATCCCCGAAGTCGTGTCATATACCCCACGCATGGCAGAATGGTAAACTAACCTGGAACTCGGCGTGGCTCTTGTAGAGCAAGACGTCAACGACGGAAATTTGACTGACGTAACGGTGCTTCTCGAACTCCTGGCGGATCTTGGTGCGGATAGCGGATACGGGCATGCCGAGAGAGTACATGGTCTGGATCTCGGGGGACTATTGGATATACCGTTAGCTCGCAAGCTCCAGATATCAACCATCACATTCGAGGCCAAGAAGGCGAATAGATGAGGCTGGTTCCTCGAGTGACATGTAACACTCAATGTGTATGAGGCGCAACAAGGGAGTGGTGTGGAGTGCTATATAGGATCGGGGCAGACTAACCGCACGGAGCCATTCGCGGTAAGACTTGAGGACTCGGTATTTCGCATCGCCCCAGTTGACGGCTAACAAACAACATTAGCACCTATCTCGACAGCAAAGATGCCATTGACGATCCCGGGTAGACGGCGGAATAGATCGGGGAGGGACGTACAGGAGCGCGTGCGCTGCGCCAGGAAGGTAGGGTTGATAGTCATATTGGCGGAGAGGAGGGTAAGCCGTGTAAACAAACCCTGAGAACAGAGACGGGGGAAGAAATTGAGCGAGGGAACCGGGCAAGCTCAACGGTGGAGGTTTCGATCTGAGGTGGTGGAAGTGGTCGGCCTCACCGCCTGCCTTTTCAAAAAATTTCTTTTGCGAATTTGGGGATTGGACCATCGGCGCGACGCTTCTTTGCTCTCATTTTTCTCAGTCACTTTTTTTTTATTTCTGTCGTTTTCCGAGATTAGTTGTCTCGCTCTTGAGTTGCTGTCGTCTTTGCAACTCTTTTCTTGCTACGTCGTCAATCTCTACGTTCTCTCCCACCTCAGTCCACTTCGTCCGAATTAATCGTCTGTTTTCGCAACCAATACCAAATGGCGCCTAGTATTTCCAAGCCCGCTCACAAGGGCGCATCCTCTGGAGGCGCAAAGGGCGCAAAGGGCTCCAAGCCTCTGGGATCTGCCTCGCGTGTCAACAAGAAGAATGCTCCCAAGCGTCCCCCGCCAACGGAAATGAAGTCCAAGCCTCGGACTATGCAGTCAAACATGCAGAAGAAGAAAAAGAGGGTATACACTGAGAAAGAACTTGATCTGCCCGAGTTGAACGCCATCACACCCGTCGGAGTTGTGAAGCCCAAGGGGAAGAAGAAGGGCAAGACTTTTGTCGATGATCAGGTATGTCAAATCTCCATTGCAATCACCAGACCAAGTACTAATAATCCTCATAGGAGGGCATGATGACCATCCTCGCCATGGTAAACGCCGAAAAGGAAGGCCAGATCGAGTCAAAGATGATGAAGGCCCGGCAATTAGAAGAGATCCGCGAAGCCAAGAGAAAGGAGACCGAGGCCCGCATTGCAGAGAAGAAGAACAAGCTCGAGAACGTCAAGGATTCAATCCGGAACAAGAAGAAGGGCAAGAACGCCGACAAGGCGGAGTCCTCCACGAGTGTCGCCAAAACGGCCAAAGGAAAGAAGAAGAGCGTTGCATTTGCTTAAATCCAAAAAGTCCAAAATGGTGTATTGTCTATATACTTTGTTTATGTACTTAGATGTCGGGGTTCGGCGTTCTCACCGGTTTATCTATGTCTATCGAATTGAACCATCATCATGAAGTTGCGCTTTTCCCCGCTGTAATGAATGCCGCGTCGCTAAGTCGAGCATGTTGTTGCAAATTGTTGGAGAACTGTCTACTGCCCCAGAGGCAAGGCGAGTTTGCGTCGCATAGGGTTGAACTCGGGCTTGGGTGCCATGTCGGGATCTTTGTTGGGATCATCGTGATGGGCGATGTGGCCAGGGAGCTTCCCGGGGTGTTGGACAACACCAGGGATCTCAGTGTCGATTTCCCGAGCCATCTTGTTCAGGAAATTTGTCACCTAAGCAAATTCAGTATGAAATCGCTACTGTCCATGTTTGATGTATCACGTACCGGCTTGACAAACCATCTTGACCCTCCAAACTCGAACCAACCCAAATGACCACCCCAGGAAGTAGTCAGCATGACTCCATAAGGTGTCTGGGTCATTTCATGGAAGGGGAGACTAGCCCAGCAGGCGATCTAGTCACTGTTAGTACCAATTCGTCTTTGTGAATGATCATGACTTACTGGGTCATCTTCTGCTTGAATGCTGAGGAAAGGAATACGGATTGCAAGCATGGAATCAGTGGAAGCGGCATCACGGTAATACGCCCCCTCGGTAGGGTAGCCCCAGCTTGGGCATTGCAGGGCTCTGTTGATCTATGTTAGAATTGTATTTTCAATTTTGATAGAGACGGCATACCGGTCGAATTCGTGCAAGTAAGTACTGTTTCTTACAGCGTCAATGTCAATGCGAGGGTTCTTGGAGATAGCATCGACATGTCTGAACTCATTGTTAGATTGAATTGGATAAACGATGCAATGGTACTCACGATTCAAAGAGCTTTTTCATGCTGGCGCCCATCGTCTTGCTGTATACCTCCTTGCCAATCCAGGTGCTTTGCAAGTATGAGGAGCTGACGTCCAAGTTCCATGGGCTTGCACAGAGCACGGCTGCCTTCAATTGACAGGCATCTCCCTCTTCTCCCAGGTACTAGAAGTTGTCAGTATATGATCGGGTAGTCATTACGAGGAACATACATTAGCGAGGATATTGGCACCAAGTGAGAAGCCAATTCCGAAAAGAGGACGATTGGGGAACTTTCTCCTGATCCATTTCACAGACTGGCGAACATCCCATGTAGCTCGAGCATTATAGAGCACGCCAGTACTAATCTTGGTCTGCGAACAACCTCTAGAGTTGACAACACAGGCCTCCCAAGCCCCGTCCTTCACAAGTGGCGCCAGGATATGGCGCAAGTATACTTCGTGAGAGCCGCCACTCAGACCGTGAAGAACCACCAGCATAGGCTTGGTATCATCAGATGGCAGATCAGCAAACTCATCCTGTGTGAAGAACGAGGTGCGAGGCGGCATTCCAGAGTCTTGAGTATACTTCCTCGCTTGATCAGTTAATTCCGGGTCCTTGGGCATGTCGTACGGTGCAACCACGAAATCGATAGCATACTGCCCCGTGAATGCAGGGCTGTCCGACTCGAACATCTTGCGTTTGTAGTAGACCGGAACGTTGTCATGTTTCAGTACTGTCCAGAATGTCTGCAGATGTCCATTGAACAAGAATGGGTTCAAGTTGCAAGTGTCTGGTGTTGCATCCCGACAGACATCAACAAAGGTGGTCTGTTTTTTGGCTGCAGTATCAGAGACCTTCGTCAACGTCAACTGGTTATCATTGGAATGGTAGAATGATATGCGGCCCTTAGGACGAAGCCATGAGAGCAAACCCATTGCAATCAGTCCTGATAAGAGAACCGATAGGGGAAAAGATTCAAGGAGAGTTGATTCGAGACCGTGCATGAGGATTTGAACGAGATGCAAAACGCTGGAATCAAGTCTTAAATGACAAGTATGTTCTTGAAATATGCCCACGAACAATCTCGCTTCTGCTTGTCTCTCAAGAAGGAAAAACTGGCTTGGGACATAAAAAGCAAAAATGCTTCAAGGGACCTCGGCATAACCCAATTGGGATATGACTAAGCCGTTCTTATCGCGATGATGGAGTTTGTGAAACTTATCCCACGTGATAATCGCGTGACTCAGCAATCACATGAAAATCACGTGTCAGCATCGACATCTGACGGCAATCAGTCATCTGAACTGTTTCAAGTCAGTTGACAATATCAGACTAGGCCTGAGCTTAGATATTGACTCTCCATCTCATCTTGCATGGTGAAAGCCACGGCGTTCTGTTGCGAAAATGAAGTGATGATGCTATGATGCTTAATGCGGCAATATGGCTTCCGCATCCGGAAGCCCTTGATCACTTCCGGCATCAAATGCAAGGAGAAATCCCCAGATTTTCCGACAATAGCTATGTCTGTCTGAGAAATGTTTCTCCAGACAAAAGCAGTAGATAATGAGATATCCGGCACTGTGCATAGGGATCATCGGACAAAGAATGACCATATTCATATAAGCCCTATATGTAATGCCGATAACTTATTGTGACCTTGTCCCATGGTCCGTTTTCGTGCAACTAAATCATTCATAGGACTACTTGAAGGTCAAGAGATCCATCTTTCTTTTCTTCTGTCTTTTGTCATGCGCGCTACTTGATTCCGACATAATACCTCAGTGACACCCATGCTCACTCCCAACTCTTTTACTTCAGATAAAGGCCGGCCTCGCCCCCCATGACCTTAATCAAAGAGTTACCCTACACCATGTCCGATCAGTTTTTCCGCGCCACAGAGAAGGTCAAAATCATAATCAAGATGAGACCCTGGTCGCCAAAACGCTCCAAGAAGCAGGAGGATGGCTCCGGCCGTTGCTATCTCATGGAGCTACCCACCGAACTACTACTAGAGATCGTATCCCATTTGACAGTTCTCCCGGAGGCAGCCCTTGCACTGACTTGCAAGCGCATGTTCGCCATCTCCGGTGAAATCCTATTCTCGAAATCCCTCCGATTTTCTCGCGACTTTGCGCCGCTCTTCCATCATTATCGTAATGGCCACAATTTCGTCACCCCACGATGGTCATTCCTCACCCTACTTGAGAACAGCCGCTGGAAGCTTTGCTCCATGTGTCTGAAGCTTCATCCCCGAGCCGCTTTCTCGCCGAGAGAGTTGAGACGCAACCCAGACCTGCGGATATGCAATGTTGGCGAATTGGCAGGAATCGTCGACCTTTGCCCATGCAAGAAGTTAACTTTCCGGGATAAGCTGGATCTCGTGGACCATGTTCGGGTACGACAGATCACACTGCAAGCTTTGAAATCAGAGTTTGGAAATGCCGTCGACGAACGTTATTGTTGGCATACATGTACCGAGCAGTATGGCCCCACAGAGCTGAAGACTTCCCTCTTCCCAGAACTCGATCACAAGAATGAGCTGGTCCTTCGCACGGAATATCAGCTCACCACTGAACCGGGCCAAGTTGGAAAGGAAGATTTCATGACACCACGATTTGGATGCGCACATAGATCAGTTGATCTCTGGCTATCAAGCGTCTACCAAACCACCATCTGCCGCCTCTTCGATTCATTCTGCTCATCGTGCAAGCGTATCTCAGTCTGCAGTGCATGTAATACGACGTTGAAATGCCCACGGAAGCAGCCCTTCAACACCGAAAAGTCGAACAGGGCGACATATTCATTCTGGACCGAGCGGAACCTCGGTGGCACAAGTTCGATCCCCGATGCAATTTGGGGAAATCAGAGAATTCACCCGGCTGAGCCATCTATCAGTGTGGAGAACTGCAATGAGCTATGCCCGTGGACAGTGCGTGAGCACCCAGCCCTTTCCTTCACTCCGAGTTTGGGAGAGGAGATCATTGATCCTGCCATGGGCAATTCGCCTATCAATCAACTTTATTCATCACTGCGCAATCTTTAGGTATTGTTGCATGGGAGGCGTTTGGGTTCGTACAAGCATTTTTGGAGTTGGAGGCGCAAATTAGGGCTAATGTTGCCCAGGTGGGCTTTGGCATTTTGTCTTTGTATAGTGTGCATCGGTTCAGCGAAGCGGGTTTATTTGGGTTTCTTATAAATCAACAGTCCTTATGATCATGGTTTAGGCAGTGCAAATTGATTATTTGAGCCGTATTCTTGCTTTTGGTGTCGTCTTTCACTTTTCTCCTTCCTGCCCTTAGTCTAGAGAATGAATTGCCTTCACACCAAGGGGACAGAAAATAAAAATTTTGGAGGGTTTGAACAGAACATTTCTGTCCATTTTTTGCGTATTTCTTGCCTGCTAGGTAAGTTTCTTCACTGGTCCTTTTTCTAGTGATAGCTCCCTGATCTTTAGCTTCATTATCGGTCATTGTTCATGTGACAGATCACTTCAAAGTCTGCTTATCGAGTTTTCATGTATGGTTCTCCAGTGTGGCTGCGCACCTGTGTTTCAAAATTGGTTGGTTTGTTAAATATTTCGGGCCATGCCTGGAATATATATATGCTTCACTTAAATGAGAAGCAAGCAAGAAAAGACTCGATCATGTGCTGCTCGAAAAAACGATTAAACACGATTGAAAAGAGAAGAGAAAGAAGTAGAGAAATAGTGTCGAGTCAAACAAAGCCAAGTCCAAGTCCCAAGTACATTATCGCATCCTTATCAGCTGACCGCCTGGGTTTCTTCGGACCACACCACTCACGCGTCAAGTACTAGCTTTTCGCTTTCATGAGCAAAGCATTTCGGGATGAGCTTCCCACCTCCTGGCCACGGGCAGTATCCGCAGTATATACCACCGCCGTATCAGCATGGGCCTCTGCCCCCGCAGATGCTGTATAATGCTGGTCCGCCGCCAGCGCCCTATGATGGCTATGGGAAGCCGGGGATGTATCCTCCCTCGATGATGCGATACTCATATCCATCGACATATACTCAACCCCAGCAGCAGGTACAACCGCGTCATCCATCACAAACACCCCCGCAGCAGCCACTTCAATTGCAGCAACCTCTCCAACATCCGCAATCCCAACCACAACCGCAACCACAACTTCTCCCTCAGCTACAGTCACCTCAACCTCAACCTCAACCTCGGCCTGCTCCTGCTACTGCTCCTGCTCCTGCTCCTGCCCCTGCATCTGCACCTCCCCCTGCACCAGTGCATGCGCCCGCACTTCCACGGATTCAACAACAAGTTCGGCAAGAGGACTTGCAGCATCAGTTCGTGAATCCCGCGCAATTATTTGTGAATCAACCTTTGCCCACTGCTCCGCGATCCCGATACACCCAACTCCCTCAGTATGCCGAGTCCCCTATTATGCCAACTGCAAGCCCTTCACAAATACCCCCGGAACCCTCGTTTGCCCCACCAGCTGCACCAGTCCATGTTGCTCCGCCTGCTGCTAGCTCTAGGATGCAGACTCCAAGCAACAAAGGACAAACAAACATCCATAGTCAGCAGCAACCTGCTCAGGTACCGAAACCACAATCTCAACTGCAACCGCAACCGCAGCCTCAGGCGCAACTGCAGCCACAACCCATCATCAAAGCCGAGCCCAAGCAACCTCACATCTCCCCTAAGGTTGAAATACAGCAAATTCATGCATCTCCTATTGCAACGCCGAAACGACCTCAGCCAGCTCCTTCGCCAGTGACACTTTCTCAGCCGCAAGTTATGGTCCCAGCACCCTCTCCCGACGTTCAAGCAAAAATACGGATGCAGAACCAGACACCGAAGAAGCAGCAGACCCCGCAGCACGTGGAAAAGAAGCGACCGATTCAACATCCTGCCGAAAAGAATCTGAAGTCCCCAGCTCCTAAACCTGCGAAACCTCCAGTCGACTATCAGGTTCTCTTGTTGTCATTGGCCGATGAATATCTTAACGCTGCTCATTCTCATGGAACAACCACGTCTCTTGCTACTAGCGGGGCGGATGTTGAGGAATACTACAAACTAGTCGCTACTGGACTGGGCTGCTTAGAGGCTGTCTTGAAGGTTTGTACCGCCTCGGTGTATATTCTGCCGTCGAAAGCTAATGAAAGGTAGAACTGGCGGCTGCAACCACGCAAAGAAGCGCTTGTGAGACTTCGCTATGCGCGTACGTTGTTCGAGGAAACGGACAATGATATTGAGGCGGAAACTGCATTAAGCAAAGGAGTATGTTTATTCCCCTTGATTTCGAGAAACAGAAGCTTACCCGAAATAGATCGATCTTTGCGAACGAGTCAGTCAATCAAACTCTTGAGATGACATGTCGTTGGTTACTGACTTTTATAGAACCGTATGCTTGATTTGAAGTACAGCATGCAGCATCTCTTGGCACGAATGATCCACAAGTCTAACCCGAAAGCATCCTTGAAAGCTGTCGATGGTATGATTCAGGATGTGGAAGCGTATCGGCATGCTGCATGGGAGTACGCTTTCCGTTTCCTTCGAGTAACACTTTCTTTATCATCTCCATCGCACCAAGACTCGGTACAGGCACTACAGCACCTTCATAAGATTAAAGCCATGGCAAGTCGGAATGGAGACAAGGCTGTCTCGGCAATGGCGGCTGTCATCGAATCACTGGCACACTTGCAGCAAGGAACAAACTCGGACTCGATTGAGCAAGCGCAGCGTGCCGTGGCTGTTGCGCGTAGCCATCAACTAAATGATGAGCTTCAACATATTCCCCAACTTACAACCTTGATCCAGATGGTTGATATTTGCTGCAGCCTTCTTGAGTATGATGTCAATCAGTCCGGCCAAAAATTGAAGATTATGCAGGCTTTGATGGATGAGACACTTGGCGACACTAACTGGCGCCCCGATGGGTCATTCTCCGTCCCACTCAATGGAAAGTCGGCTGGACCCTCATCAATTGATACTGGTGACATCTTGCTAGTGCAGAATGGGACATTGTGGTTGAGTTTTAATTGGCTCCCTCAGCACGACCTTTACGCGCTTTGCTACTTCCTTAGCTCAATCACACTCAGTGCAAAGAACTCATACGATGGCCGGAAAGCAGAGAAGTATCTAGAGGAAGGTCTTCGTATGATACAGGGCAACTTCAGGGCCCCTCAAGAGATTTCAGAATCCATGGTCAATGCCAACCGCAGAGTGCAATGGCGTCAATCTCTCTACTGCAACTTCCTTCTACAAAAGGTCTTTCTGGCGTGCTCTCGAACCGATTGGGAGCTCGCTAGCCAAACCCTAAAAGACCTGCAACAGGTCTTCCAAGAGCTTGGGTCCACACTTCCGGATACGATCGAATGCTTAATGGAATATGCGGCCGGTACCATCGCACAGGCAACCGGTGACCTCAAAACCGCACTGGCTATCTTCCAATCGCCGCTTCTGTCGCTCAATGCATCAACCAGCAAGACAGCACGAAACGAGCCATGTCGTGACACGCGCATCCTCGCTGGTCTGAACAGCGTCTTGATAATTCGCGATCCAACCCATCCATTGCATTCCCTCTTACCAAACGTTCTAGCCAACATCGAGCCCTTCTGCCAGAGCAGTCCAAACAAATACATCCAAGCCGCCTACTATCTAGTCTGCGCAACCTTCCAAACCGAATCAACCATCCAGACCAAACAATACCTCCAACAAGCTCTCCAGTCTGCCACAGCTATCAGCAACTCCCAGATCACCTGTATGACCCTCACCTTCATGAGTTGGAAGTATTTCCGCGGCGTAGTCGGCGAGCAAGCCGAAAAGAGTGCCCGCGCCGGCCGCGCCATGGCCAAACGCGCAAACGACCGCTTATGGGCGAGTGTCACTGACGACATGCTGGCCGAGACTCTAGAACGACAAGGCAAGAGCGAGGAAGCCCAAGGTGTTCGCGAAGAAGGCCAACGCTTGGTGGCAGGTCTTCCACCAGGTCTGAGACGTTTTGCTTAGGATCTCTCTCATGGTCTTCATTTTAAAGTTATTTTGCTTTATTCACAACCACATCTGTCTTGTCTTTGCTTTTTTAACCTTTGTGTTTCAAGCTTATTGTTATAGGAGCGCTTCGTTATGATACCATTTGATGGCTACCCAGGGACGGCGTTTTGCTTTTGCTTCAGGGAGTACTTCAACCTGACATTTATCTTGATATCTCAAATAATGGAACCAAGAACCACATTTCATGCCACCGCGCCATGATTCCATCCCAATTACGAACTGTTCAGGTTTTCTTTCCACCGTAAGATGATAGTAGATTCACTTGAATATTCACTCAGGTGGCACCTCGAGAAGACCATGAATTGCTTCACTTTCACATGTTATAGAAAAGGAAAGGAACATCCGACACCATAATGTACAAAGCTCCTTGGTATACCCCAGCCAACAGCAACAAACACAAATGCGATGCAAAGCCTGCACGCAGACGAGAGCTCGAAAGCTCGAAAGGCAGAGATATCGAAAATATCACAAAACACCACCGGATTAACTCCATGCCCTCAATACGCCCTGGACTCCTCTTCTCAATCAGACAATCAAATGAAAGAAGAAAGAGAAAGAAAAAGCCACAAACAACCCACCCAATTAATAAACCCATCTTAAACAGGACGCACCATCAAATGAACAGACCCTCAAATCACCCCAATCCACCCCAAACCCCGCGAATCCTCCTCGCAAGCTGAATATCCTTCTGCATTATAGTGACACGCCTAGCATGCAACGCGCAAAGATTCGTATCCTCAAACAGATGAACAAGGAAAGCCTCGGCAGCCTCCTGCAGTGCCTGGATTGCATGCGACTGCCAGCGCAATTCGGCACCAACGTCGGCGGGGAGGAGGTCGAGGGCTACTTCGCGGACCAGTCGGGCGAAGGGGAGTTTTGCGATGAGGAGCTCGTAGCCGCGTTGGTATTGGCGGATTTCTTTTAGGGCTTTGGTGCCAGGTTTGTAGCGGCGGCGGCGGCCTGTTGGGGTTGGGTCGCCTGCTGTTTGATGTTAGTTTTGGGTTGGATGAGGGGAAGGGGACATATGTTTATGAATTGAGGTGGGGTTTTGAATTGGATTGAGTCGAGAGGAGGGGGAGTGAGGGTAAGGTATGTTTGGGATAGACATACGCTGGACATCGGCTGTTGTATTTGCGGGCTTCTTCCCTTTTGCAGCTTTGCGCGCTTGAATTGGTGAGCCATCTGCCGGAGCTTTCGCAGCTGTCTTGCGACCCTTTTGGGCGCTACCTGGTGCTGACTTTCGTGCCATCTTGGGTGGCATGAGGAGGTAGAGGAGAATGCCGTGTGCTATCGCGTGTTTGTTTGGGGGTTGACACGCGATCAATTGAGGGCCAGGCAGCGAGGCGAGGCGATAGCTTTGTGTTTGTCTTCCAGTACTGCTTCTTCGAGTATAGATGCGCAGACAACCTCGGGGGGAAGATAAATCTCAATATGAACTATTTCGGCATTAGCGTCCCAGCCCCCGTGTTTGTTCACGCGTCATGGCACGTGATATCTGGCCTTATCGAAGGACACCTGGAGATCTACAACTCCGCTCTCTCTTGCATCTTGCTTTCCCCTCAACATGGCTGCTCTTTGGGAGAACAATGGGCAACCAGGCCAATTCCCCCTCGAGCAATGGTTCTATGAAATGCCCCCGGTCACCCGGTGGTGGACAGTAGCCACTGTGGCAACCTCGTTGCTAGTACAGTGCCACATCGTGACCCCATTCCAGCTATTCTACAGCTTCCGCTCGGTATACGTCAAGTCGCAATACTGGCGGCTCGTAACAACGTTCCTCTACTTCGGACCGCTCAATCTCGACTTACTATTCCATGTCTTCTTCCTGCAGCGATACTCCCGTCTGTTGGAGGAATCCTCCGGCCGCTCCCCGGCTCACTTCGCATGGCTGATTTTCTACGCCATGACCTGCCTCCTCATCATCTCGCCTTTCCTTTCTATCCCATTCCTCGGATCGGCGCTGTCATCCAGCTTGGTTTACGTATGGGCCCGTCGCAACCCCGACACTCGTCTCAGTTTCTTGGGATTGTTGGTTTTCACCGCGCCTTACCTGCCTTGGGTGTTGATGGGATTCAGTTTGATTGTGCATAAAACTGTGCCCAAGGATGAGATACTGGGTGTTGTTGTTGGCCATATCTGGTATTTCTTCAATGACGTTTACCCGCCTCTGCATGGGGGCCATCGGCCATTTGATCCGCCTCGGTGGTGGCGCCGTATTTTTGACGCTAGACCTCCCAGTGAGCGTGGTCCGACAACTCTGAATCGGGAATTTGTGGCGGCTGCGGCGCCTGAAGTTCGATGAGCAGTCAACTGTGGATAAACTTCATTTGAGCATCAAACCCGATGTCACCAGCATACCTGACAGAGAGACAATCGCATTGATATGGCAAAGACACCGATGCATCTATGTGGGGGCTCTGGCTTTATATGACAATGCTTGGGCTTGTGGGGCATCTAGCAGGAAGCGGAACAATAGCCAAAGAGCCTCGCCCGACCCGCGCCCGGTGAGAGTATTCCAAGAATGAACAGAGCTGGACATGTATAGCAAATGCAGCACCGCTAGATTTACCGAATAACGATGCGATCGAGGTAACGAGAGGAAGGTCTGCGATCATTTGTCTGATATTACATGTGCTCTTTGACCCCAAGCCCCATGTGACATGTGGAAGGACCCCCAGGTTAGGTTCTATTCCTCGAGAGCGTGTTTGTGTTTAATTACCATTGCATTAAAATCGCCGAGATACCCAATTATTGCCATTCAACCAAATCAATCATCGAATCAAAGTACCATTTGAATGCAGGTATCCCCTAAGACACGGTAGATAAAAGCACATGACACAGGCATTTGACATCGCACGTCCCTTGGTTTATTATTTTAAAGTAAATTAAAGCCCAAACACGGCGTGATTCATGCATTAAATCAAACTCCTTACAGCCATGTCAAGGGAGGAGACTACCTCAGATGGGTACATACTGGCTGTACAGTACAGCCTCAGGCGACCTGCAAGATAAACCTGATCGACGCTGACATTGACGTAGTGCAATTCTTAAATATAATTAGAACAGAATAAGCTGCAAGTGCATGTACTGTAAAGCACTCTACTGAGCCACAGCCGACAGTATAATTATAGATAGGCAGATACATAATTCAACCCAGGATGGATCTCATGTTGATAATCGCACGGCAGGAATCTGCGATACACCGGTACTACAATCAGTGATAGGACCGTGAGACCTATGCATATAGTGGATGCTGGTCAATGTACTGTATATCTGTATACATGTACAATCTCTATCAAGTTAGCAACAGGGACAATCTAACGCTTAGCCCCCCAATTCCCCAACCACCCACGTCACAACGCTGATCCTAAACCTGGAGTCTGGAGAATATGCCGATCTCGGCAATACATGCACGTCAAGATGGTGTGCAAAGTAGAAGTGCAGTGTGGCTGTTCGAGTGCAAGAGTGGGTGAACCGTGGGCAGTGGACTAGGCTGACGCCAGCCTAGCGGGTTTGTGGGGGCGGTGGACGTACCAGAGCCAAGTGATTGTGTGGAGTGATAATTGTTCCCATGGAAATCGTATTCGTATGTAGTAGTAGTGGTACACTAGGCAGGAGTTTTCTTTTTACATGTACTCTGTAGTGTGAACTATGGTTTATTGTTCATATCCTTGATGTCCGTGTGGATGTGGCTGTACCTTTATACGAATACGCTACTATTTCTCTGATTATATGGGGGCCCCACGCTCAACGTCTGGTGGCGTACCGACAAATCGGTGGTTATTCCACCGGTATCTAGGCGACCGGATTATTGTAGACTGGGAGGCGTTCTTATCTCAAGACTACGTGTACATGGCGCTGTTTCAAAATTACATGTAGGTGACTAAGCGGCTCAACGTGCGTAAATTCCGGGGCTGTTAGTGGACCACACTGGAGTACTACTGTATGCTGGGCACATTAGCCCAGCCTCGGCTTCGTACTTGCCTGAGTTGGTAGTGGAGATCCCCGCAGCTATTTCAGTACGCGACTCCTGCCTCTACAACATACTTATTCTAATATCAACTGTTCTGATACCATACTGTTGGTATAAGCACGAAACCCTAACAGTTGCTCAGCCCGTTCCCCTAATGCCATTGAAAATACCCGGCAAATGATGTACCTGTATGGTATTGTACTCAACAGTTTTAAAAGTTTATCCCCTGTGTCGACCCACCGCATTAGTCCTGTTTAGGCCACTCAGCCACCTCAGCCTCGTATGAACCTTGGACCCCCTGTACAGTACAGTATTCCCCCCTATGTCAATGGGGCCCTTTTTTTTTGCCTTCACTCACTCTTTTAGTCTCCCCACTCGTCACTCCTTAGCTGTTTAGTCTTCTTCCACTTCACACGCCTCTCCTTTTATTCACCTTGATTCCTCGGAATTGGCGCTCCTTCCATCCACCAACATCACCGGCCTCTGGGTCTGAACTTCGACACGACTTGACGGGCATTCAATTGGTTGCGCATTGTTCTCTCCATTCCGGCGATTGTCTGCTACACCTTCATCATGCGGCGCGGTCTCTTAATCTTTTGTCTCGTCAACCTTCTTATTCTCTCACTGCTCATCCGCAGTGTCTCGACTCTTCTTTCACTACTCGTCGAAGATGCCGCCGCCGACGCGATTCACCGCGCTGAGCTGCCCTCGCCCAACTCCAGTCTGATCGAACAGCGACCCCAGATCATTCCTAAGATCATTCACCAGACATACAAGAATGAGACCATTCCGGAGGTTTGGGTGGAGGCTCAGCAGAGTTGTATCGACTTGCACCCGGATTACGAGTACATTGTATGTTTACCCCAACCGTGTCCCCAGCGCCAACTTTCTAATTGTTTGTAGCTCTGGACAAACGAAAAGTCGCGCGACTTCATTGCTGCTGAATACCCCTGGTTCTTGGCCACCTTCGATGGCTACAAGTACCCTATCCAGCGCGCTGATTCCATTCGGTACTTTATTCTGGCGCACTACGGTGGAACCTACATTGATCTCGACGATGTATGTATCACCACGATATCTATGTTGTTTATGAGCTGACAAAATCAGGGCTGCAACCGCCGCTTGGATCCTCTCCTCGCCTACCCCGCTTGGGTTCGCCGCACAGTGCCAACCGGTATCTCCAACGACGCCATGGGCTCCGTGCCACAGCACCCCTTCTTCCTGCGTGTGATCGAATTGCTGCAGCAGTACGACCGTCACTGGCTCCTTCCCTACATCACGGTCATGTATTCGACGGGTCCATTGTTCCTGTCTGTGATCTGGAAGGAGTACATGCAGGACAAACCGAGCGAGGCCGGGCGCGTTCGTATCCTCATGCAGGATGAGTACAACAAGTTTTCGTGGAGCTTCTTTACCCACCACCGGGGTAACAGCTGGCACGGCAAGGACGCGCATCTGATCTTTTGGGTAAGTCAATGTTTCGTTCAATTCGAAGGCACTCCGCTAATGTATGATAGATGGGCCAACATTGGGTCTTCCTCACGATGTGCGGATTCCTCGTTGCTGGAATCGTTGGATTCTGCCTCTGGTGGAGCTACGGCCGCATCATGCTTCTCGGTGCGCAATACCGCTACCGATACACAAAAGTGCCCACCCTCCTCAGCCCGTCGCGCTTGTCGACGTCCCCAACACGGCGCTCACGACTCACCGTACCAACAATCCTCCGCCGAGTCAGTTTCAAAGAAGACGAAGAATCAGGCGGAGCCACCGAAACCTCCTACGAACTCGGTCGACGCGACGACTAAATGCTGATTCTCTTGATTCGATTCGACTGATATCTGCAATTTTCGATATCTTCTGCATCTCACTGTATTTGTCTGTATCGATACGGCCTTGGACACGATCTCTGCATCAGCATTTACTACTGTATACTTTTATTCTTTTTCTTTCTGCTTAGGAGCGCATGCATGGTGTCTCTCAATCCCGTGGCGGGATCCTGGATTGAATGCTCACCTGGAGCAAATCATTGAGGTTTTGTCTTTTTTTATTACTCGCTCGCACTTGGATATGTGCGCTACGCTACTGCGCTTGCTACCGTCATCGGTGTCCCGATGGGCTTTTTTTCTGTCCACGTTCGCCATCCCTCTTCACTTTCACATTTGCCCCTATTGATTTGTAAACAAGCTAGATTTCGATTCTGAGGATGGTGGATGGACTTCGGGCTTCTTTTTTTTTTTTTTCTCTTTCTTTCCATATGTACATGTTGATACGGAGATCTCCAGCGGAGAATGATGAATCAATACTCATGGCTTGAGTCCATATGATTTTTCTGATTTTTCCTTAATATTTGGAGTAACCTACTAAACATAAGTTAATACCAATCAGTAAACCAGCAGAGAAGTATGCAAAATGCAACCTCACCATCTGCAACATGATACGTCAACCCAGCACCAACCCCAAGCAAGCGTTTCAGTACTCCTGAAACAACAAATTCACCCAATGACAATACCCGCGTGCCTTGCATAGACAATGCAGTCATAGCGGCCCTAGCCCATCAACCTCAATAAGCTTTTCGACTGGCTCCATCGAGCCGCGCAGGGGGCGAGGTCACTTCACGACTGCACTACATTTCCAGAGATGCAACACTTCCCTCTTCTACCTTTCCTCTTTATTTTACACTTTATTAGCCTGTTTCATTTCTCATCCATGCACAAGTAATAGACTAGTCATCTGTCGTGCCTTGACTTTATTTGGATTGGGGGGTGCCGTCATTTACATACTTCGCCCGCACGGCTGGCATTCTCCGCGCCTAGCCTGTGTCTACTATGTAGGAGATCACATTACAGTATGTACATGTAGGCTACACGGTATTCGCCACCACTTCTCCTTTGTATGTTCCCAGCTTCTTTGTATTATGCGCCAACACCCTTGTTTCATCGGTGGTTCTTGCCTCTGGGGGGTATGTTGGAGGCAGGGTTTATAAATAAGGACCTGGGGGCCCTGGTTCTGTAGTTGTTTATCACCTTTGACTATTGTCTTGAGTCGAGCCTTATTCTGGACTATATTGTTCCTTTCTCTGTCTTGATTTGGTTTATCTTGGACTATCATTCCATCAACTATATTCTACATCATCAACCACAACCACCCACCTACACTACACTACACAACAACAAATCAACAAATCAAAAGACAGCCCGTCAAAATGCACCTCCCAACCCTCCTCCTAGCCCTGACAACCCTAACAACGGCAACCCCCCTACCCTTCCCCTTTAACTTCAAAGCCTTCAAACACGCCGACGACGCAACAACAATAACCCAAGCCCAAATGGAAACCATTGCGCCAAAATCAACCTCTTGTGACAACCCACCCGCGAAAGATGAATGCGCAACCGGCAAGCAAGCCGCCAAGTTCACATCCCAGTCCTTCGATACCTACAAAGTAACCAACAAAGCCGAGCAAGCTGCGATCATCTCGCTCATGGCGTTTGAGAGCGATGATTTCCGGTACAACAAGAATCATTTCCCGGGTGTTGCCGGGCAGGGAAGTGAGTATTCCATTTCACCTATCCATACCATCCTCTCCATACCTTAACCATACCTCGTCTCCGTATATGCTAACCTGATATGACCACAGCTCGAAACATGCAATCACCAGCCTACAACAAGAAATACGCATCGTCTATCCCAGCACTGAAAGACCAACTCGCCAGCGTGTCCAATGACCCGGCTGATTTGTTGGATTTGTTGCGCAATGATGGTGCTTATGACTTTGGGTCGGGCGCTTGGTTTTTGACCACGCAGTGTTCTAAGGATGTACGGACTGCTCTTGCTAAAGGTGATGAGACCGGTTGGAGTCGGTATATTTCGGATTGTGTTGGGACTTCTGTTACCGATGAGCGGAAGGAGTATTGGGAGAGGGCTGTTAAGGCTCTGGGGGTTTGATTTTGAGGATCGTTTTGTTTGGGTTGGTTTATGCTTTGATGTTTTGGGAAAGGGCTTGAATTTTGCTTCGAGGTTATTTGCATCTAGTCGAAGAGCTGGCTCTTTGATGTTGGATATGGTGTTATGGCGTTACGGTTAAGTCTAGTTGGTTTAGGCGTGACATTAAACAACTATGCATGATCAAGTTATATCATATGCCGTAGCTCATTCATTTCATCATACTTTTAAATCTATCTCTATCCACCCCCAACTAATTCTCTTCAAGACTCTTCCCCTTAAAGGACACCCTTGGTGCTAACAATATCACCAGCGCCAACCTGTCCCTCAACCCGACGCTTACAAGCAGTGCGAATGGCAACAGCAAGCGCCTTAAACGCACTCTCAGCCCGGTGGTGATCATTATCACCATAAGTGCAACCAACATGCAAAGTCACACCAGCAGCCTGGGCAAAGCTCTGCAAACCATGCGTGATCATCTCAGTGCTGAGATCGCCAATCTTCTCGCGCTTAAAGCCGAGGTCAATAACAGCCCATGGTCGGCTTGAGAGATCGATAACAGCCCATGAGAGTGCCTCGTCGAGGGGTGCGTCACCGCGGCCGAAGCGCTCTAGCGATTGGCGTGCGCCGAGGGCTTTTGTGAAGGCTTCGCCGACGGCGAGGAATGTATCTTCTGTTGTATGGTGGTCATCAACTAATAGGTATTAGTATACTGGCTGATTGCAGGCAATTGATATCATAATGGGTGACTCACTGTAAAGATCACCCTTGGCGCGAACAGCCAAACTCATACCGCCGTGCTTGGCCAGCGCGTGCAGCATGTGGTCGAGGAACCCAATGCCAGTGCTGATGGTGATTTGCTGGGTTGGGGTGAATTGCGTGGCATGGCCGGCGTCCTTGGGGGGCACAATGCCCTTCTTTGCGGCTTCGGCTTCTTGGGGGTCTGCCGGGGCGGGGAAGTGGGTAGTTGGCTCGTAGGGGGGCAGGGGGCCGCCGTCGAGGGAGAGCGAGACTTGAATTTTGGTCTCGTTGGTTGTGCGAGAGATCACCGCTGTGCGTGTGGAGAGAGACATTGTGGTATGTATGATGGTGATGTATGTACAGTACTCCGTAATCGGGTTTCTTTTTTGTCTGAGTCGTCGGGAGAATTGTTGATCCGGTTATCAAACACCGAGATGCTCTCGTCATTTGCTTTTCTCTTTTCATATTCAGACTCTGGCTGGCCCAGGCATTTGTTTAATATTGTCAATTCGACTTGTAGTCTTGTTCTGCATACATTCAGCACAGCCGGCACTTCACCTCCATCTCCACCTACTGCACTTACCACTTATCGCACCCCGCGGAGCTTGACCGATAAGGATACAAACAGTTGAACAGCTCTCGAATCTATCAATATGCCACCACCATCAAATCAAAGGGCTGAGATTGAGCCTCCAGATGAAATCACCTGGATTGCTGCTCAGGGCTTCATGACCGGCGCATTCCGCGTATGTCAACCAGCTGCACAACAGCAAACCCGACCTCAGCTAACACCATCCAGTTCGGCTCCGTCTCTATCCTGGCTCATATGATCATGAATCTCCCCCACCCCTTCGTCTTTTCTGCACCAAGTTCACCTGCCCACCCCGCGACACAACCCCGTCCTCGTCCGTCCATCTTCTCCCGCGACTACCTTCGCTCCCGACTCTTCTACCGTCCATTGGAGGGTTTCTCGGAATGGATCTCCCCAGGTTCCAAGGTCTACCGCGGCTTGACACCCCAATTCAAAGTCTTCCTCCAAATGGCAGCTGTGACACTGGGCGGATGCATCTGGGCTGAGAAACGCGTCACAGAGTATATCAACATAGTTCGAAAGATTAGGCGCGCAGAGCGGCTGCAGGCGGAGAGGGCGCAGGGGACACGTCCTTAAGCAGAGAATACGAGACGTTATCCTTGTTTTCTATTGGTATGATACCTGGGCTTGACCGCTTCGCCAAGACACGACGTCCAAACATGATATCCCTGTTTCGAGATCCCGCTTCTTCTCAGGGGAGATGAAAGGCTTGCTCGCCGATCTCGTTTTGTTTCCGTCATCGATGACGCCAGGTTTCTGGGGATGATGAGCTTCCCCTTGATTATCGTGCTGATCTTATTGCGATCTCCCTTTGGACCACTTTGAATGCCGTAGAGCAGCATGGTGCGTGGAGCGCCCGTCGATCTTTCGGTGGATCCTGATGCACATCTTACTGTACTGTACAAGAACTTCAAAGAATGCGGAAGTAGTATACGAAGTGTAGTTGTATACTGGCCTATGCTTAGGCTAGTTGGGCACAGGTACAGGTACAGGTACGTTGCAGGTACATCTACAGGTACCAGGCACATAATGGCAAGGATCATTTGATATGCAATAATCCCTGCTCTTTACTCTAGTCTACTATCAAGCAGTGGATCAAGCCTCTTACGTGTATTCCCTCCGGATTCGACTTGTCGCGAATGTCTCAAAACGCGGGCAAAAGCGCCGGTTATACTTCCCACAATATTCAGTTCAACAGTAACTTAATTGGACAGTAAACAGTACATTGTCAATATAAAATTGGAATGAAGAAAGAGAAAGGAAATGAAAATGAAAAGGAGTATGAGACTCAGAACAAGTAATAGAGTAACGTTATAATAAAATCGAGTAGTGAAACACTTCAGTGTTGGGGCGAATCTTTAGCTGCATCCGTCCATTCCTCCTTTTCCCCTCAACTTCTTCAGGTGTTCCCTTCCCAGACATCTGTTCTCGTCATTCTGCTTTCGTCTTCTCTCCTTCTTGCCCCTTGATCGCCTTTCTGATCGGCTTGATCTACTCAATTTGGCTTTGTGACACGAACTATCAGACTGGTCATTCCGTTCCGGTCTATTGATTTGTGGCGAGCTCCTCTTCCGGACTGCTCGCAACCAGTTTGCCACATTGTTGATAGGTGCCAGACGCGTCTGGGTTCCTAGATATAGTCGCAGGTCCCGCTTTAGGATTCTCCTGGTGTTGGCAGCTGATTGCTTCCATGGCGCCCTGACGGTTGATTGTATGTACTACCTTCCCCTCTCCACCTGCTTCTGATCTGGCCATGTCTGGAATCATTGTTAACCGGCCTCAGTACGAACGACGTTGAGGTCGTCGAGATAAGCTTCCTTTCTCAGCACTCGCGCCGCTGCTCTTCACTTAATACCCCCTCCTGTGTTCCTGTACCATTTCACATTACCGACATGGCCGAAATCATTGGCAAACGAGAACGAAGAAAGAGCCTGAGCGTGTTCAGCCCGTCCTCCACACCCGCGCCCCCGACCCGGCCGTCTCTCCATGATCGAACACCCTCGGACGATGTCCTGACCCGCGAGAAGAAAACCCGCCGCAATTCTGGCTTCTTTGGCCGATCCCAGAGTCCGAACAGATGGTCTACTGCGCCCAAGACTCGTCCTGGCACAGCAGGCTCGGAAACCACTGCTTTACCCCAGCTCTCCACGTCAATTGAGACTCCTCGTCCGCGGAGAAAGTCTTTACAGAAGAAACGAACCTCGGTATTTGGATCTCTGAGATCGCTACACTCTTGGGAGGACGATGACCCTCTATCTGCCTCCGTCGCATCGGTGGGAGATGATCACAGTACGGCTAGTCCCCGAAATGGGATTTGGTCATCTGCGATCCTCCACCATGGGGAAATCCAAACGACCGGGGGGATGTGGAGGAAGAAAAGCCAGTACCTCGTTCTTACCGACACCCATATCATTCGTTTCAAAAACCAAATCAAGGCCGCCGATGCCTTTACTTCAATTCCCGCTTCATACAATACACGAGCGCCGGCTTCACATCGCCAATCGATAGCGTCAATCAGTTCGTTACAGGATATGCAATCAATGGCAACTGGTGATGCATCGGCTGGAATCCCATTGAACAGCATTATTGCAGTATACATGTTGGAGGATGCGCGACTCTCACCCACAGTCGAAGTGGCCTACCTGGACGAACGTACCCATAAAGCCACATTGGTCCAGATGCAGACATCCGATTTGCAGGAATTGAACCTTTGGATGGTGGGCATACGTCAAGCCGCCAAGATGGCCAGAGCGAACTACCCACTACCATTTAGCAGGGCTTCAGTCGAGTACGCAACTCGTATGCTGGAACACGAGCGAGACTACGACCCAGAGGCGTTCCGCATGTTCCGGGTTATTCAGATCGCCTCCAGCAAATCAATCACCCGCTCCTCCTCGGACGATCTCACCAAGCTGTCGCCGACAGGCTGCTACCTTGCCATTGGCTCGCACAAGCTTCATCTACTGCCCATGCAAAAGACTAACAATCGGTCATCGGTGGTATCCTTGTCAGATTGGGAGGCAGGCACTTCATTCGGTCTGATGAACTTGACTGGATTGTCCATGGAGTATGGTGATGATAGCTTGCATCTCACGTTCAGGGTTCCTCTCAAGAAATCTTTCAACGTGTTCCTTGCTTCCGTTCATTCCGTCGAAGTTGCATGCTGGATCCGACAGCATACTGAATTTCTACGTCCTCTGTGGACCCGACAGCCCTATGATTTTGTTGTTCCAAAAGAGCTGCAGGATGATAACAATTTCCCACCCGTGGCTCTGGACGAGGATTATGGATGCTTTGACCGAACGCTGGTCGCCTATTCTGCTAGCTACGACATTGACACTTCCAACATTCGATATACCATCGATCACGAATGCGAGGATGCGCCATGTTTCCGTCTTCTCAAACCGGCGTCAACGAAAACCTCGCGGTACAATGCATCGGAACTCATTGCGGTCATGCGGGCACTTCGCTACAACGAATTTTTCCGATCAATCTCGTTCCGGGGTGTCAATCTTGATGCACTGCAGGGTCTGCGTGATATACACGGAGTTGATTCAGACGTCCACCTCGACCGAGGAGGATCCTCAGTGAACATCCCAGGCCAAGCAAACCTGACCGTTCTCTCGCAGGAAGTGCGTGCGCTGGCATTGAAGAGTAAATGGCTGCGCCGACTCGACTTTTCATACTGTCTCACCCGCACACCAACGCCGACTTTGGAGAAAGGCACTCGAGATCCCGGCTGTGGCATTCCAGAGGCTATTTTCCCTGTTTGCCGCCGAGAGTTGACCAGTGTGGACTGGGTTGTGCTCAACGGTATCAAGCTCGGTGAGTCTGATCTGGACTATCTTGTCGATGCCGCGTCCCAAAGACGCAGTCACCTGCGAGCTTTAGAGGTTGGCGACTGTGGATTGTCCGTGCATGACCTTGATCTTCTTCTCTCAACAATTGTTGCCCAAGAATCAACACTCGAGGCGATCAACATTTCAGGTGTGCAGGGCCGATTGAACCCAGACGTGCTCCAGCAGTACATCGGGTACTTCGGCCAAATTCGCAAAATCAACTTGTCTCGCATTGCACGGACATCCGGTGCCGAGCCGCTTATCACAGCTGAGATGCTGTTCAACTGGCGACTCGAGGAGCTGGCTCTTAGTCGGACGGCTGTCAACCGCGCGACCGTTGACGCTATCGCTACTTACCTAGCTAGTGATCGGTCTCGGAATCTTCGTGTGCTTCGGCTTGATCAGTGTGGTTTGACGGGCGAGGATGTGGCTATGTTTATGCACTCGATGTCGGTAGAAGGTCCACGGAGTCTCCATTTGCATGTCAATGAGAACCGTCTTGATGATGGGTGCTCGTTCATTTTCAGTGCGATTGCGAAGAATCAGACTCCATCGCATGTGTCTATGCGGATGATTGATTTCAAGAAGGAAGATCATTTCCGCGAGTTGGTTGAGTCGCTTCGGAAGAACCGCACGCTTAAATTCTTGGATATTTCCAAGGCTTCGCTTCCTTACGATGCTAGTCCTGAAACCTGTCGCTCGCTGCAGTTGATGTTTGAGGAGAATGATACGCTTGAGGCTTTGGATATCAGTGGAGATAACGCGCATCTTGATGTTGCGCGCTTTGGTATTGGACTTAACCTTGCGTTGACTGGTCTGAAGAAGAACAAGTCGTTGAAGGTTTTGCGGATTGAACATCAGAAACTTGGTCTCCAAGGTGCGAATACGCTGGCATCCGTCTTGGAGGAGAATGATTTCCTGCGTGAAGTACACTGTGAGAACAATGATATCAATCTCCAGTCCTTTACGGTACTGGTCAATGGCCTGCAGTGCAATCGCGCTCTTCTTACCCTCTCATGCATGGACCGAGACCGCCTTCATTCACTGGAAAAGGTGCGCCGCGAGGTTGACAATATTCGATGGGATGCTAGCGCCAGCACTCAAACTTCTACGGCGAACTCGATCCGTCGATCTCTGTATGCTGCAATGAGTGTTGGACAATCGCAGGGAAATCGACTGAGCAAAGCGCCACCGCCAAGTGTTGCATCCGCAATCGAAGCTTCACCATTTGCCAACCACAATGTTGACCTTGTTCTGGAATCGCTGAATCAGAGATGGGACATGGAAGTCGCACGCCTTCGACGTTATCTCCTACGCAACTACAATGTTGTCCATGGACTCGAAGACGCCGAAATTGATGACACAGCCAGCGATGGTCGACCTGCTACAGCAGCGAGCCTAGGTACAATGTTAGACAATCTCAAATTCGACGTTGCGGTCTCAGCAGACGAAATTCGCCCATCGCCACCAGACGAATCCCCAGCCCTTTCCCAGCTTACTACAACATCCTCCATCCAATCTATGCAAAGCATCGAATCCACCGCCACAACTCCAAAGCCACCCTCAAAAATCCGCCCTCACACTGCCCGTGCCATTCCATCCGACTACAGCTCCACCTCATCCTCCCGCCTCGCTCTCCCCGTCCCAGCCGTCCCTCCAACAGTCCAAAAGCCAAGCAGCATCCGTAGCGCTCGCAGCTCATCTAGTACCGTATCCACCGGTACAGGAAGTGGCCGCAGCGCCTACGGTATGGCTTCTTCCACACTTCGAGGTTTCCTTAGTGGAACAGCGTTGAGAGAACGTCGCCGAGCAGACGCAGCGCGTCCTTCTCCATCGCCTACGCCTGTGTGTGTCACAAATGATAAACCACCACAGCTAGAGTGGGCCCCTCCGAAGCTCGACTTGGGGGAACTGCAATAGCTGGACACCGAAACCTTCATCATACCACCACATCACCTCTCCATAACCTCTCCCTTGTATAGAGCTCCTCTCTCAGCACGAAGCCTGGCTTTACAGCTTGCAATTCATATATACGACCCCAGGTTTCATGTTCATACCTATACTTCTCTTCATACATCTTTTTTTTTCCCCTTTTTTTCTTCCTGTGAATCCAATCCATTCTCACACGGCCAGGAGGCTTGATACCGATACCCTGGCGTTCATACTCTGTCTTGATTTTGATTCAGGCGTTTCATTCTATTCCATTCATACATTCTGCAAGCTTTTCACTTACCTTCCACCTCACATTCAAATGTCATCGATGCCTCGGCCATTTCCATTTCCATTCCCATCCCACCTAGATGTTGGGGCTTGCGTTTCTTTTTTTTTTTTTTTTTTTTTTTTTGTCGGGTATTGAATACGTGCCCCTTTGTTGTTTGCTGCTTGCTAATTTGCTTCTTTACTCATTCTTGGCGCTTGTCTGCATCATGGCTAGTTAATGTTTATGTGTGTCAGCTGGGGAGGTTTCATCCAATTCACGGCGTTTTTTGCTTGGACTTTTTTTTCCATAGTAAAACACTTGAAGTGTACTTAGTAGATATTCACATGCACAAGGAAGAACATAATTAGATAAAATGATAGTGTTAAGTCCAGCCTAAATCCGTCCATTTAAGTCCGGGTAAGTCCGACTACATCTATAGACACAACCAATTTATCCAGCATCTTAGACCAAGTCATCAAATTGTTTCTCATCCACGTAGGATATAATCATCATCTTCACCATCGCAATCAGATATATCCTAAAATGGCAACAAAAAGCCAACAAAACGCCCAAAACTGCCGCGACTTCACTAAAACCCTTCACAAAACCCCCTACCCAGCCCTCCTAAACCCACCAGACAACCTTCCAAAAGAATACACAATCTGCATCCTAGGCGGTCATGGCGCAGCTGGAACAGGTCTAGCAAAAGCCTACACGCAAGCCGGCGCAACAGGAATAATACTCGCATCGCGAACACTCTCCGCCCTAGAAGAAACAGCCATCCAACTCCGAACCATTAACCCAAACATCAAGATCGTCATTGTGGAATGTGATATCTCATCCAATTCAGCTGTACAACAAATGGCTCACACCGCTGCACGCGAGTTCAATTCACGTCTCGATGTCGTTATCGTTAATGCTGGATTCTCTGGGCCGATGGGGACTGATATAGTGGCTGAAAAACCGGAGTGGTTTGAATCTGCGCTGGGGGTTAATACCCTCGGGACATTTTACGCGGCGCATTATTTGATTCCTATGCTGTTGAGGGAGGGGACTGGGACTGGGGATGATATTGGGAGTTGTGGTGGTGGCAGTTTCATTGCTATTTCTTCAATGGCTGCACCGACTGTTTCTGGCTTTGGGGCTCATGCGCATTATTGTGTTAGTAAAGCTGCTCAGGCTAGACTTGTTGAGATGGTTTATGAGCAGTATGCTGGTCGGGGGTTGTTTTGTGCTAGTGTTCATCCTGGGGGGTTGAGGAGTGAGTTTTCGAAGGGGATGCCTGAGGAGTTTGTGCATTGTGAGTTTCTTCTTTCTCAGTTTTCTGTTTTGTGTATTCATAAATGGTTTGAACATGTTGCTAACTTTGGGTCGATATAGTATTGAGTGATAGCCCCGATTTGGTGGGTGCATTTTGTGTTTGGCTTACTAGATCTGGAAAGCAGAAGGAGGCTTTGAATGGTCGTTTTCTTTCTTGTAAATGGGATGTCAAGGAGCTTGAGGAGAGGTTCGATGAGATTCTTGAGATGGATTTGTTGAGGTTTAGAATTGCTATGATTTGAGTATAGTATGGCTTATGTTGCTACTGTTGAAAGACGAATATTACGGTTATATCATTGAAGGAATGGTCTAAACTTCTCTTGGATAATGTCAAGCAATGAGACAGATAGAACGGGCCCATTTCTAGCACTGCTTGACTGTAAAATTGCGTTCGAAGTAACCTTCCTTAAATTCTCATCCCGAGATTGACCACGGGCATTAACTGTTTTGCCATGGATGGTGGCGTCGGTGGATTCGTTGCAAAGTATGACTTGAATGTTGGTGCTCTTCACGGTAGCTTTCACGAATCCCGCCCTTTTTCAGGTTCTTGAAGTTATCGTGATTGAGTTTCATATTAAAAGCAGTGAAGCCCTGGTTAGGAATGAGGTCGGGCTTCAGATTCATAGTGAGAAGACTGTCGGGGCCATTTTCCCCTTCAAATTGTACTTCCACGGAATCACCCTGCGAGGCAATTTCAAACAAGCCTGAAAGCTGTTAGTCTCATGCCAGACTTCCAGAATAATACATACAGGTCGATATAGACTCCCATGCGAGGAGGGTCATCTGATGGCCACGAGCGTCTAGGTATAGTCTAGCCATGATACAATTTCCATGCTTGAAGAGGCAGAATTTGCCATTTTGGCCAAGTACATGGATTTTGAAGTCCATCGCCATCGAATGAACCAGCGAATGATTCGACCGATTTATAAACACCAGCGACTGTAATCCCAAATCCACCGATTACTTTACCCGTCACCATATCAAAGGTAGGGTACCTTTGATCACATAGGGCCCAATTTGCCGCTTGAATCCTGACATCGTTTGTTAGTACTCCCGGTAGACACGGATTCGAAAGGGCACATACCTTTAGGGGCGGCCATTGTCGAGAAAGGCTATCAATTTGTGGTCTTTGAAGCATCGAGGAGATAAGTATCAAACTTTTGAAGAGCCATTATATATATTTCGAAGATCCTAGGTGCATTATACTGAGAACAATCCATTTATTCTGGTTGGCCTGGTCCTTTACTTCCAGCCTAGGTGGCGAGCTGAAGTCTGGATATTATAGGTCCACTACACATTGCTACCTGCATAGATAGTTTAAATATGTTGCCGAGAGGGCCAAATGATGTCAAGGAAGATGGGCTCTTTGTCAGAGGGACCATGTACTCAAAGAACGCACAATTCAAAACGCAAAGGCGCATGAATCATGCATGTCTCTCGGCCGATCTCGGTTAAACACAAAAAGCAAAACGCAGCTGAATAGTGCAGCATGTCGGTGCGGACGATGGGCATAAGCTGTGTAATAGTTTCCGTAGCCTCAATGTGAGAAAGCGGGTCTTTTGCGTACCTCGAGCCTATCAAATACACACCTCGATGTCCATGTAATCTATTGATCTCAAAGTATGCACGATTTAGAATTTTGAGATGAGATTATGCATACATATGATTATCCAAGACAGTCAAATGACAACAGATCAAACGGAACCAAAACTTGCTTCACGTTTGATTTAGAAATTGCGCACCAAGCCTGGTTCATGAATATTTTATTACCATCTCGCTTTGCGTGCCGTGGAGATACAGTCTCAGATGTAGATAACCTCAAACAAATTAGGTTCGGGTACGGGCCGAGAAGCAAAGTATGTCTTCAAGAAACGACACCCGGGATTTGCTGCCAATTAGTGTTACATGCAGCAGGTAGACAGGAGTTCAAAAAAAAAAAAAGCCCAGACTACACCAGATCGAATGATTCCCAAAAGAAAAAACGCCTGTACGTATGTTTAATACTATATATAAATACTTAAAACCAGGAGATATCCTACTATTGTACAAGATGGCTTCAACATCCAACCCCAGCCCCGCTCAACATTCAATCCCGAGAAACGGGATCAGAGTAAACAACGATACCGTTTCTGCGATCCCTCTCATTCTCCCTGGCACGGAACACACGTCCCTGTTCACTAATCTTCCGCAAACGATGGAGGAATTCGACATTCTCAGGATTGGCTTCGTCATCATCCTTATCCAAGACCTTGCGGCGGCGAGACTTGCACATTTGCAAAAGGACATTGCCCTGCTTCGGGTTGAGCTCGTTGATCTCGTAATCGACGGTCCAGGTGTCCCTCTTGGAGAAATTCTCGGGGCGTTCGACCAGTTCGCCGTTGACGTAGTTCTTCGTAAGAAGGGTCATGGCCAAGAGATTCGGGTCATATTCATCGGTCACCTCTTGTGCTTCGGCTTTGGTGGCGCGGATTTCCTGCGTCTCGCCAGGTTCTGTAACTCTATCTACTAGCTTCTCGAGTCCCAGAAGTTTGTTTTGGAGGGCTTCGATCTCGGCTGAGTTCTTGGTCTGAATGGCGTGGATTTGCTCGTCCGTGACGGGCTGGGCGAAGATGTACATGAAGGGGTTCACGGCCTCGCGAGTCTCAAAGTGGAAGCGCAGGGATTGCTGGGGGAACTTGGCGGTGGCTTTGTCCATGATCTTCTCCCACAATGCCAGACTTATTTTGAACTCGGAGTCACCAAGTGTGGTGTCCAGCTGTCCATGCAGTGACTGGTCCATTTCTGGTAGGCTGACGTATTGGAATCCGAAGATACGCTCGATGTTGTGGTAAGCCACGAAGATTCCATCCATGCGGCCAACGCGCACCTGCAAGGAGTACTTGAGGAAGGCAGCACGCATCATATCGAAGTATTCACGCTCGTAGGACTCCCAAGTGCCATAACGACCCTTGAGCTCATAACCGACTCCCTTCTCGTGGTTTGTCGCATCCATGCGAATGGAAACGACAGCACGGGTCTTGAGATCGTACATGCCAGTGCCTGGCAGCCGAGGATCATAGGCATCCAACTGAGACCGCATGAGGAATTTACCCATGGCGGTGTAGTGATAAGATTCTGGAATAGCTTCTTCTTCTTCGGCAGTGATTTTGTTGGCGCTGGACCGGCGGTAGCGTTCGAATTCCTCCTTTGGTAGCGTGAGTAGCTTCTCCATTGACTTTCCTAGGTTCATAAGAATGTTGGCCGAGTCAAATTCTTTGTCGGCATCAATTGCGTAAACATCTTCTTTCGGCTTGTAATGAACGAACATAGCAGTCGGTGCACGAAGAAGACGAGTGAAGGTGCGTAATTTCTCAGGGAATCCCTGGGAAACATTGCGAGTATCGATAGTTCGCCATGAGGACAGAAGATAATGGAAATGAGAAAGGGCCGAGGTCATGCTTGATGAAGACCCGTAGTATTTCTTCTGGGTCTTGTGGGCCATTTCACAAAGAATAGTATCCTTCGAAGAGGTGACGTATGGCTTAAGAGTGTCGAAGTCGAACTCTGTGACAGGCATGATTTCACCCAGGTAGGGGTCAAAATTGTAAACACGAGACCGAGGATCGCGAAGATGGTAGACACCGGGGTTGAAAAGCACACGGTCAAGGCCAAAGGAAACACCTGGAACAGGCGACATGGGGTAATCCAATGCAGTCAACTGCAATGCTGTTGATGAAACAGACCCGGAGTCCTTGTTGAGAACGTGCCTGGCAACATGTGCCAATGTTTCCTTGTCGCCGCCCTGGCTCTCAGCCCCTTCGGTCTGATTCTTCTCAGTCTGACTTGCAGACTCGCTTTTCTTGGTTTTCTTTCCTGGCACTCGACCTGCTCGCAGGATTTCCTCCACCACATTGCTGGTGGACTTTAAATTAAGCGTGCTGCTTCTCGCCGGTTGATTAGGAGGCGCCTGGTCTGATTGGAGTTCTTGATCCGCCTGCGGTTGTGGGACCCCGGGGTTCCCTGAGGCATCGGCTTTTGCGATAGCAGCATCTCGCTGTTGCGGTTTGAAATCCGGGTTGGCCTCTCGGAATCGTCGTTTTTGTCGTGGATTGAGTTTTGAATAGGGTCTCGTTTTGATAAGGGGCGCTCCGCTTTTCCTATTTTCATTCGATTGTTTTGGTTGGTGTGGGTTTCGCTTGCGTTGTCTTGTAGAGAGGTTGTCCTGTACGGTCAGTATGATATGGTCGCAGGGATTGAAACCGGTAACATACTAGAGATGATTGATCGCTTGAAGGCGACACAGCCTGTTTTGATGCGTCGACTGACCCAAATTGGGACAAGGGTGCAGACGTCCGATAGAATTGCCGCAAGCTGGCCGGCGCGGACCTGCGAGCTAGATAAGCAATGCAGACCTGTCCACGCAAAGGGTCTGAAACAGACCGCAACGAAGCGCGAAACATTCAGAAGACTAAGAAGAAACCGAGAGGATATAGGATCCTCAATGCAGTCAGGAGAAATCGCAAATACTGCGGACTTTCGGAGCCAGCCCTTTTTTCTGCCATGATGGAGTCACCGCTTTTATGTCTTGTTTCTGCCGTGTTTCTGAGGTGTCGAGAGGATAAGGCTGAAGACTTTTTGTTCAATGAGATTTTATTACCAAAAGTCTAGAGGAAACAAGTCTTGATAAAAGTTTTTATTGTCTAAGTAAATTATAAACTGTGAGTTAGGGCTAGACTATACATTATGCTCTACACTACTAAGTATTCGTACTAGTTAAATCTGTTATTTTTACAAGACAACATTAAACATTATTTCATATAAATCATAGGCTGGTATAGTCATTCAGACATAGATATACATCGATATAGACATAACTATACAAATAATCAACTCTTGTAAATATCTCAATGCCGAAATCGCAATTCTGGGGTCGGAGAAACACGCCGCCGGAGAAAAAAAAAAGTTACAACTTTGACTTCACATTCGACACCCCCAGCGTGCTTCTCAGGTCTCAGTGAGGTGAGTGATCCCAGTATCTTTCTTGTTATACAGTCCTTTCCCAATGACTCTTCATGTCGCTTCCACAATGCCCCTCCCTGTGACTTAATTTTCTTGGAGGGGCACTGCATACCCCGCGGAGGTTTCCCACAGTTGCCAATTGCAATTCTGATCCCAACTGCTAACACATACCCAGTCACTCGAGACGCAGCTTCTCCACAATGGCTTCCGAACAATTGCGCGTTCTCATCGTCGGCAATGGCGGCCGTGAGCACGCTTTCGCCTGGAAGCTGAGCGAGTCCCCGCTGGTCGACATTATCTACGTTGCTCCCGGAAACGGCGGTACTGGTCTGGGTGCCAACAGCAAGATCACCAACGCCAATGTCAAGGGTGATGATTACCCTGGCCTTGTGGCCTTTGCCCAGAAGAATGGCGTGAACCTTGTGGTTCCTGGCCCCGAGGCCCCTCTGGTGGATGGTATCCAGGGCTACTTCCAGGCCGGTAAGTCACAGATTTCGAGCGAAAAACACGATTGATTGTGTCCGGATAAACTAATATGACCTATTATAGTCGGCATCCGCTGCTTCGGTCCCTCCAAGGCCGCCGCTCGCATGGAGGGCTCCAAGACCTTCTCCAAGGACTTCATGCAGCGCCATCAGATCCCTACCGCTCAATTTGGCAACTTCTCCGACTACGAGACCGCACGCCGCTACCTCGACTCCGTTTCCCACAATGTCGTCATCAAGGCCGACGGTCTGGCAGGTGGTAAGGGTGTGATCATCCCCGCGACCAAGGAGGAGGCCCACCAGGCTCTGAAGGAGATGATGCTGGACCACCAGTTCGGCAAGGCCGGTGACGAGGTTGTCATTGAAGAATACCTGGAGGGTGATGAGCTGAGCATCCTCACTTTCAGTGACGGCTACACCATCCGCTCTCTTCCCCCAGCCCAGGACCACAAGCGCATCTTCGATGGTGACCAGGGTCCTAACACTGGTGGTATGGGCTGCTACGCTCCTACTCGCATTGCTCCCAAGGAGGTTGTCGAAGAGATTGACCGTACCATTATCCAGCCTTCTGTTGACGGCATGCGCAAGGACGGTACGTTCAACGATACATTCTCATATAGAACAAATTTGCTGACTGCATATCAGGCTTCCCCTTCGTCGGTATCCTATTCACCGGTCTTATGATGACCAAAAACGGACCCAAGGTCCTCGAGTACAACGTCCGTGGTGGTGACCCCGAGACCCAGACCCTACTCCCTCTTCTGAGCAAGGACACCGATCTGGCCCAGATTATGGTCGCCTGTGCTGAGCACTGGCTCGACGGAGTCTCGATCAAGGTCGAGCCCAACTTCTCCACCACAGTCATTGGCGTCGCCGGCGGCTATCCCAATGCCTACGCCAAGGGCAAGAAGATCACTCTGGCCCCCGAGCCTGAGGGAACTCTCGTCTTCCACGCCGGTACCACCATCTCCAACGGTGAGCTCCAAACCAACGGTGGCCGTGTGATCGCCTCAACCGCCACAGCCTCCACACTCGAAGAGGCTGTCGCCAAGTCCTACGAAGGCATCAAGACCATCAGCTTTGAGGACATGTTCTACCGCAAGGACATTGCCCACCGGGCCTTCCGCCAAACCGCCAGCAACTCCCTCACCTACGCCGCCGCAGGCGTCTCGATTGACGCCGGTAACGAGCTGGTCAACCGCATCAAGGCTTCCGTCTCCCGCACCAAGCGCCCCGGAACCGACGCCGTCATCGGCGGCTTCGGCGGTCTCTTCTCCCTCCCCGCCGCAAACTCCGCCTACCACCCTCTCTCGCCGACGCTGATCGGCGCCATCGACGGCGTCGGCACCAAGCTCAAGATCGCTCACTCAGTCGGCATCCACGACACAGTCGGCATCGACCTCGTCGCCATGAACGTCAACGACCTCGTCGTCCAAGGCGCCGAGCCCCTCTTCTTCCTGGACTGCTACTCCTGCGGCCACCTTGACGTCCCAACAGCAACAGCCTTTGTAACAGGCGTCGCTGAAGGCTGTGTCCAAGCCGGCTGCGCCCTAATTGGCGGCGAAACAGCTGAAATGCCAGGCCTCTTCGTCGACGACTCTTACGACGCAGTCGGAGCCGCTGTCGGCGCCATCAACACCGTCGGCGACAACGCCCGCAAGATCCTCCCTCACACCGACTCCATGCGCTCAGGCGATGTCCTCCTCGCCCTGGCCTCGTCAGGACCCCACTCGAACGGATACTCGCTCGTGCGGAAGATCGTCGACCGCGCCGGTCTCTCCTTCGGTGATGCGGCCCCCTTCTCCATGCCAGGTCTCGAGGACGGAGTTTCTCTCGGCCGTGCCCTGCTCACCCCTACCCGTATCTACGTCAAGTCCATCCTGGCCGCGCTGAACGCCCACGGCACCGCCATCAAGGGTCTGGCCCATATCACCGGTGGTGGACTTACCGAGAACATCCCCCGTATGCTGCCTGCTACGCTTACCGCTGCTGTGGATGTTGCTGCTTGGAAGCAACCTTCTGTTTTCCAGTGGTTGCAGCGTGCTGGTAATGTCTCTTCTGAGGAGATGGCTCGTGCCTTCAACTGTGGTGTTGGTATGATTATTGCTGTTGATCCTGCTGAGGAGGCTGCTATTCGTGCTACCTTTGAGAAGGCCGGTGAGACTGTTTACCGGGTTGGTGAGCTGCGTGCTCGTGCTGAGGGTGAGGAGGGAACTGTCCTGTCTGGACTTGAGGCTTGGTCTGCTTAGATTGAGTCAGGCTAGACTTTTGGATATGATTCACTTGTGTTATATCTTGGACATGTTTTTGATTTGTTTGATTGATGTTGATATGGGATGGATGATGAAAATGGGTTCCTTGGCTACGTCGTTATCTTAGATTCTTTTTCTTTATTGTTTGATTTTTATTTTGGTGCTTGTGCTTGTGTTTCTTTTTCGTATGTCCCTCTGACGGATACAAAATAAATAGGGCTGTTGGATGAGTCCTGATATGACTGATGCCGATTCCTGTATTAGGAAATGATATACACTGTTTGATATGACTGGACTAGATATTGTAGATTTGACTTGAATTCCCACTACATGTACTATTAGGCTGAAGAATAGTTATTTGATAGCAATTCATTCATCTCATCAAAAAGCTACATATGGCCACTACATATGGATAGATGAAAAAAAAGATACGAGTCTTTAAGACACAGAGAGAGCAATTTGGTCGAGATCTGAACGAGAAATACGGAAATCGGCTAGAATAATTGAAAGAACACGACCTGAGCCAACTCCTGTACATCCTCACCTACACGTACAAGGACCCCAGGACCAGGACCCAGATTCGCAACTGAAAAAAGTGAAAAAAGAAAAGAGGATGGATGGATAGAGAGTAAGGTAAGATAAAAAAAAGAAAAGACCGACTCTATTCCACTAAAATCAGGGTTCCATTTTCAGGCTATTCGCTTGATAATGCGAGTCCAACAACGCTTGCAATCCACCAGTGCCACCATCCTGCCTTTTGATACACCAGGAAAGTACGAGCGAAGACGAGTAAGGCTAAGGAGCTTAGAAGCACTTGCGGTGAACGATCGAAGGACCGGACTCGTCGTACTCCTGCTTGGAGATCCACATCTGCTGGAAGGTGGACAGGGAGGCCAGAATGGAACCACCGATCCAGACGGAGTACTTGCGCTCGGGGGGAGCAATGATCTTGACCTTCATGGAAGAAGGTGCAAGAGCAGTGATCTCCTTCTGCATACGGTCGGAGATACCGGGGTACATGGTGGTGCCACCAGACTGAAGAGAGTTAGTCGTATTCGCAAAAAGCAGCTGTAACAATACTTACCATGACAATGTTGCCGTACAGGTCCTTACGGACATCAACATCACACTTCATGATGGAGTTGAAGGTGGTGACGTGGATACCACCAGACTCGAGACCAAGGACGTTAGGCTGGAAGAGAGCCTCAGGAGCACGGAAGCGCTCGTTGCCAATAGTGATGACCTGTCCATCGGGAAGCTCGTAAGACTTCTCGAGGCTGGAGCTCTGGGAAGCGGTCTGGATCTCCTGCTCGAAGTCGAGGGCGACGTAGCAAAGCTTCTCCTTGATATCACGGACAATTTCACGCTCGGCGGTGGTGGAGAAAGTGTAACCACGCTCAGCAAGGATCTTCATCAGGTAGTCGGTCAAGTCACGGCCAGCCATGTCGACACGCGAGATAGCGTGGGGGAGAGAGAAACCCTCGTAGATGGGGACAACGTGGGTGACACCGTCACCGGAGTCGAGAACGATACCAGTGGTACGACCGGAGGCGTACAGGGACAGAACGGCCTGGATGGAGACGTAGAAGGCGGGGGCGTTGAAGGTCTCGAACACGATCTGGGTCATCTTCTCACGGTTGGACTTGGGGTTGATGGGAGCTTCGGTCAAGAGAATGGGGTGCTCTTCGGGGGCAACACGGAGCTCGTTGTAGAAGGTGTGGTGCCAGATCTTCTCCATGTCGTCCCAGTTGGTGACAACACCGTGCTCGATGGGGTAACGGAGCGTGAGGATACCACGCTTGGACTGTGCCTCATCACCCACGTAGGAGTCCTTCTGACCCATACCGATCATGATACTGCGCCCATGTTAGTATTCCGTCTTTTCGGATCATCCTTGTTTGACGCAGTGGATGAACACCGCGCTAAAAATCAGAAAAAGGGGGGAATGATTTATTTACCCATGGTGACGGGGACGACCGACAATGGAGGCTAATGAAATTGTCAGTCAATTCGATTCCATCAAATATCACCTCCCAATCCCAAACAGAAGGAGGGGGTCATCCGACGCAAGGGTTGGCGTTGGCGGGATGACGGCCTTTGCAGGGAGGGGGAAACCAGTTCTGTGGGGTTGGACTTACGGAAGACAGCTCGAGGTGCGTCGTCACCGGCGAAACCGGCCTTACACATACCCGAACTAAACCGCAATTCATCAGTATGATATTCCTTGGAATCTTTGGAGCCCAGCTGAAGATGTGTGGCAGGCGTTGGGGGGCCATTGAGCTGAGAGGCATCCTGCCGTCGTGGCCGATTAGGGGGCGATGTGGCAAAGCAGACCGCGACCGAGTTGACTCCCCCAACACATACACACACACACACACCAGACCTGAATAGCATGGGCTCCGAGGTAGAATTAGATCACATACCCATTGTCGATGACGAGAGCAGCAACTTCCTCTGTAATGACAATGTGTTAGCTGTCATTCGCAATCCGAGTTCCAACAGGGGGGGGGGTTGACAGCTGGGATAAGCCGAACAAGCAAACTGGCTCAAAAGAGTACGTACCTTCCATTGTGACGGATTGTAAGGAGAATTAAGAAAGGGAGATGGATGTTAAAGGGGAGTATAGAGATGGGGGGAGATTAAGGAGGGAAGAAGGAAGAGAGCGAGAGAAGTGGAGAGGGGTTTGTGATGGCTGGGATTGTGCGCTGCCTGAGGCGTTCCTTCCCCTCCGACTTCACATTTGACTTTATATCTTGATATGATATTCAGGCAGATTCATTCTTCTATTTACTTGATTTACGCATTGTCTTTGTCATTGCATGACTTGGTTGAGGTGATGCCTTCAGACCAGCTCCGGTGCCCGGTGGATGGGGAACACGTACCTCTGAACACTATGCAGAGTACAGGCTCAGGGTTCAGTGTAAGCACAACTCTACACCTGCGCAGTCTAACACTCTCAGGCAGCATACATTGTTCAGGCTGATCAATTTCTCCCTTGCCTTTTCCCTTTCTTCCGGAATGTGTATACGCATGTGGCGCAGGCTTCCACTTTCTAAGTATAGAGGCCCCCAACACCCCTCCGAACCAGACTTCAGCGATTGGGGTTCACTGGGTACACTTGGGATGTTCTGGACACGGGACATTTGGGGGGGGGGCCAAGGCAGGTTTCTGACCCTGTATAGACAGGGCGGGACTGGACTGGGTCGACAGTTATCATATTTACCGCCATTTACCTCCAAGACTCCAGACTGGCCAGAGTGTCGAACATCGGTGAGTGGCGGCTGCACGTGACGGAAACCGCTAGTCGCCGCACGAATCACCCACGTCAGATTATGTCAGCGTCTTTTTTTCCGTAAAATACTTCTATCAGAACGAATTCAGGAAGTGCTTCTGTCATATAATTCAATTACTTGCGATCTCATATATAAATACATCCTGTTCGCATATATTCCGCGAGTCATTCCCCGAAACCACCAACCTTCCAACAACCCCATCAACCCCTCTACCCCGCCAACACCATGGCCATGGACCCCCAGATGAACAAGCTCCTCAAATGGAGTGTCGCCAACTCTCAGGTCTCTGAGGGTGCCGAGAGTGGTACTCCTACTGCCCCCGAGGCCGCCAAGGGCCTCACCCCGGATATGGTCAGAACATTGTTCGGAGGACCTTCCGAGGCCGATCTCATGCGCGCTGCCATGGAGGTCGTGCACTCTGACGAGGCAGACATGGAGAACAAGTTGATCGCCATGGATAATTTCGAGCAGTTGATTGAGGGAATCGACAACGCGAACAACCTTGAGCCCATGGGTTTGTGGACCCCGCTGGTGCAGTTGCTCAAGCACGAGGAGGCCGATCTGCGACGCATGGCGGCCTGGTGTATCGGAACTGCCGTGCAGAACAACGAGAAGGCCCAGGATAAGGTATGGAACACTCATTTCACATGCGATAGGATTCCGCTAATAGGTGCAACAGCTCGTTCTGATGAACGTTTTCCCCGATCTCGTCACAATCGCCACAACCGACTCCAACCCCGCTGCCCGCAAGAAGGCCATATACGCCATCTCCTCTGCCACCCGCAACTACCAGCCCGCTTTCAACGAGCTTCTCAAGTGTCTTCCTGAGGGATATCCCGCCGACAAGAAGGACGCTGGCAACATGGACGACGTGGACGCCATCATGGACAAGCTGCGGGCTCACCCCATCGATGCCTCGGCATGAAAAGGTCTCGATTGGACTGGATGAGTTGAGAACTGGAATACCCAAAATAGAGGCAGCAAGAAGCTGCTGAATGAAACACCTCTCTTGGATGGACAGATATCTACCGAGGGGATTGTCGCTGGAAGTGCGATAGGCAACTCAATCGGCCGTGATTGCGCTGTGCACTGATGACGCCGAAACAATCTTTCAATTGGTGCCTGTGTCACTGACCTGTGTGGATACCCGAAATGGTTCGGCACTGTGATCTTGGCTGCCTGGGTTGAGTTGATGATCTACGCAATCCTGTACTTGGCGTGCAAATATTGACGTTTACATACCCAGGACTCTGTTCCTACTGTTTACATTATGCAATTACGAATCTTGACGTTTAATGCTAAAAGTTGATACCTAAACTCTTCCATGGAAATCGCTGTATGCTTCGCTGCCTGCCTAAGTTGGCATATTTGGAGTGATGTCTCTGATTACGAGTCCATCAATCGTTAAAGAAACAAGAAACATAGCTAGCATATAGAATGAAACATGAAACATGAAACATGATACAATGAACTAAATCCACAACATCCCGAGGTCATGTCTTGTCTTGTAAGCCTACAGGTACTCCACACTCCATTGCCAACATCATATCTCGGCCCTACGTTTCTCCGACATCCATCGTCATGGACTGCAGCTCTCACCAGCTCAAACCTCAACACTCCCCACAACCATGGACGTCTCCAATAACCGCCTCTTCCGCTTCTCCAAGCCAGAATGGCTTAACAACTCCGCCGTCCGCAATAGCGGCGTCTACGTCTCTGGCGCACTGGTTAGTCTCAATGCGCGATCCGATCCACCTCCATTCCACCTCCACTCCCCAAGGCAATTCCAGCTACCCGCCCAAGAAGAAGGGTCTCGGAATAGGAATGGAAATTGGAACACCCCAAACCCATATCTTCTTCAATCCTTCCAACCCAATCCACATCCACACTCATCTCCATCCCCAAACAAAAGCACCCAAATCCCATCCCATCCAAAACTAACAACCAACCCAGTTTGCAGCAGGATTCTTCTTCTTAATCGACGTCGCCTCCTTCTCCCGCAGTCCCCGCAACGGCTCAGATGTCCACATCAAATTCGTCGACTGGATCCCCGGTATCTGCTCCGCACTGGGCATGCTGGTTATCAACTCGATTGAGAAGTCGCGGCTGCAGGCTGATAGCTTCAGTTATAGTGGGAGTGGCGTTGCATGGAAGGCTCGGTTTGTGCTTTTCTTGGGTTTTGCGTTGCTTGCTGGTGGTCTTGCTGGTAGTGTGGTATGTATTGCATCCTTGCATCCTTTGGGGACTGATTCTTTGGATATGATTGGAGCTTGGAGTATGAGACTGACTATGTTCTTCTGCTGTAGACGGTTATGGTTCTCAAATATCTTATCAAGGATTATCCTATCCAGACGCTCTACTTTGGTATTGCGAATGTTGTTGCTAATGGTTTGGTTATGCTCAGGTATGTCTATATTATTTCACATCCTTGCTCTCTGTTCTCTGTGCCGGTTTAAACTAACTGTTCTTCTTTTTAGCTCTATTGTTCTTTGGGTCTCGCAGAACATTGAGGATGACTATACCTACAACCTTGCCCTGTGATCTGCATGGCTTGAATACAGTATACTATAGCCAGCCTTTTTGTATTCTACTCATTTTCTCTTGCTGATCTGATGAATTTTTGAACTTGTTGGGTGCGTTTGGTGTGCATCCGCTTTTTTTGCTGTTTATTATGGCGTTTATCATGAATTTATTTCTGCATTCTGCATTCTGCATTCTGCATATTACTTGGGGTTGGCTCGCGGTGTGTAGTAGATGGCTTATTTGGATGTGTTACTCAAAGAGTACTGGTATATGCCACAGTTGCAATAATAGACGGCAGCAGAAGTAAAGCTAGATAATGCAAAATAAGTGAAATATGCTTTCAAGCTATGCAAACAAAAGTCCCTCGAACCGAAAAAATCAAGTCGCTAGACAAAAAAAAAAAAAAAACCAAAAACAAAATATAACCAGTACCTAACCCAACACCAATTCAATATATGCAATCATCAATCATGAACCTCACCCACAGAAACCCCAAACCAAACCTCAATGATCCTCACAGAACAGTCTCAACAACTCATCAATACAAGTCATAGCCTTCTCCTTCTGCAAAAGCCCAGGCCCAGCCACCGACCCCGGAATCGCAATCTTCAAATACCTCCTCAACGCAAAAGCAGCAGCCTTATACGTAGCATGATACATAGCCTTGAATTCATCATCATCAGCAGAAGTACCGGGCGCTGGCGTCTCAGCACGGAAAGACTCAGGCGCTGGCGTCGTTCCTAAACCATCGGCTTCTGCTTCTGCGCCTCCGCTAGGTGGCTTGCTCATTGAAGCCGTACGTGTACTGTTCGCACGGTGGAAACCGTAGAGACGCATACATGTTAAGATAGTGCGTGTGATCAGGTTCTTGTTTTCCGATATTATCTTCTCGGGATCTTTGGATGGTGAGGCTGGTGTCGAGGTTGCTTTTTCTTCTGTTGATAGAGTCGACGGTTGCTGTTGCTGGGATTGTAGTGTTTCACGTCGAGAACCGGGTCGAGATCCAGACCCAGAATCCAGGAACGGGTTCGGGGTTGGTGCGCGCTTTTGCGGATCTGCTGTTGCACGACTGCCGCGGACACTACCTGGACGATGTAGATTCGCGCCGATTGATACGGACCGCGAACGGCGTGCATGCGCTATCCGGTCCAAGGATGGAAGGGAGGGGTGCTCATCATCTGGCTCTCGCTTTATGCGTAATGATTGTAGATTCTGGGATGAGGAGAGAGGGCGTGAAGGGGCCATTAGTTGTGAGACGGCTTCGCCGCCTCGCTGGCGGACGCGGCGGTGGTGCTGTGCTGCGACTTCGAAGAGAGTTGCTACACGCTTGCGCTTTGGGCTTGGTGAGCTGATGTCTGGGAGGAACTCGGCATGGCGGGTATTCTGTATGGCGTATTCGCCGTCTACGCTTGGGGGTGGGGATGGGTAGGCTTGCGCCTGAGTGAGGCGGGAGGTTGATAGTGGTGCGGCATAGATGCGCAGTTCATATGGTGCACGAGGTGATGTGGCTGTTGGGTCTGGAAGATCTGAAGGGGAAGAGTGTGGTGGTGTAGGTGGGCGTGCGTACGTTGCGCTGCCCAATACGCCGTAGACAAGGAGGTTTGTTGTGGCTGCGCCGCCTGTTTTTGTATTGCCGTCGACGCTGACCAGCAGGCCGACTGGGCATTGTAGAGATTGCTGAAGGGTTGGGTCTTCTTTGTTCAGCCAGATTGAGCCAGTAAGCTTGTCCTTGAGCCATTGTGACGTTCCCGCATGGTTTGTGTGTAGTTCGAGGTTTGGACCTGCGCGTGCATGGAGTGGGATGAGCGCTGGGTTGACAAAGCTTCGGAGGCTTAGCTGAGAGTCTTTTGATAGTTCGGACTGCCAGTGGGAATTTGGATCAATTAAACGAATCCCTAGTTATGTTGTCAGTGGTAAGTATGGTTGCAAGACGCGTGCGGTTTACCTTCTAGGTTCCAGTCCGAATTTGTTGTGATGGATCCTGACCAGACATTCATTTTGCAATCTGGATCCAGGAGAGACTTTCAAGTGTTCACCATAGTCAAAATTAATCGTCGTTTGTTGTGTTGTTAAGTGCTGATATCTCCGATCTCTCGGACGCGCTGAAATCGTGCGCGGGGTCACGTGGCGTATAGATCTAGTCAAACCACGCCAGACAAAGAAGAAAATGATTATTCTAATGAAAATGGAACTGAATCAAATGTTAGGAAGTTGCCAAAAGTTTCTATATATCCATTGTGTTATAGTACACATAAAGTAGCACGGCCAAGTATCGAGCTACGGGAGCCATGGCAGCCATGAAGCGATCCAAGCTAGACCCGCGTCAAATACAGATCACTCATACAAAGCATATCAAGCATACGCTGAAGTCAAAAGAAATAGTGAAAGACGGATATCATGAAGTCTGAGCCCGCGAGGTCATTTGGCCTACAATATAATCCATGTAGTCCAAGAGCCCCGCATGCCAGTTGCGATCAGAACTCTTCCTGTTCCTGGAAGAACATTGAGAAGCTAATAATAGTTCCATAAATCAAAAGACCTCCGAAAATAGACATGATCATTGCGGGGATCTCGATCGCACCGCTGTGAGCGAGGATGACAGGAAGGGCTTAAGACAGTTAGCATGGTAAAAGATGGAATAATAGAACAGATATATCTGCATGTCAAAGACCATATCCGGATCAGACTGATCAAATAGCATTCCCCTCTTGAGGGGCTATTGCGATAGTACGTACCGATGCCAGTCAGAACCAAGAATCCAGTCATGAAGCGTCCAAAGTCCATCGCAGAGTTGCTCGAGCTGTCCATGAAATCATCGGGGTTTGCGCATCGTTGGCAGATCCAGTTGGGGAGGGGCGCAACAACGTAGATACCAACGACCAGCAGCGGCCAGTACTTATGCCATAGCGCGGAAGAGAGGATAACGAGGAGGAAGCCAATGGCAAGAACCTAATTAGAGGTTAGTAAGTCTCTATTCGCTAGAGAAGCAGCCAAGCTCAACATACAAATGAAAGCGCGATGATGGTCTTGAGTCCAGCCGCCATGATTGCGGAATCTCCGAAGTCCGTGAAGTTGAGGTGAAAGGAGGTGTTGAAGGGTCTGGAAAAAACCAGAAGAAGATGTTAAGAGCAGACTGGTAATCACTGCCCCATTGGCCGAGTGTAGGAGAGCAGAGAGAGAGTAACAAGGCGTCAGTTGGAGATGAGCTCGGAATGAGTGACGTTGGCGCCTGAAGGTCACTGGATGTGGTGGCCTCAGGCCCCAACAGCTCATGCTTCACACCGCGTCACTTTACTGCCTGCTCCAGCTCCCCCATTCTCTCTCCATCTCCGGTTTATCCCTCTGGTGTTGCTGTTTATCTTGATTCTCGAACCCTTCTCCTGCGTCATCTCTATATCCATTCAGCCACTACCGCCGCCATGTTCAGAAACAATTACGACAACGATGCCGTCACCTTGTAAGCCTACCCCGACCTTCCTCCGATCCATCAGATGCTAACTCGGCGATAATAGCTCCCCACAAGGCCGTATCTTCCAGGTAGAATATGCACAGGAAGCAGTGAAGCAAGGATCCGTCGTTGTGGGATTGGTGAGCAAGACACATGCCGTGCTGGTTGGACTCAAGGTTCGCAAAACACCACCGATAAATACCAGCGAGTCTGAAACTAACATCCGGACCCCCACAGCGCAACGCAGAAGAGCTCTCCTCGTACCAGAAGAAGATCATCGAGATCGATTCGCACATGGCGATCGCCATCGCCGGCCTGGCATCAGACGCCCGCGTCCTCTCAAACTTCATGAAGCAGCAGTCCCTCGGATCGAAGATGACCTACGGCCGACCTATTCCCCTGGACCGAATTGTCGCTCAGATCGGTGACCGCGCGCAGACCAACACCCAGCACTACGGGAAACGGCCATACGGTGTAGGACTCCTGGTGGCCGGTGTTGACGAGGCTGGACCGCACTTGTTTGAATTCCAGCCCTCGGGTCTGACCCACGAGATGGTTGCTTGTGCTATTGGTGCGCGCTCGCAGATGGCGCGTACGTATCTGGAGAGGAACTTGGACAAGTTTGCGGATTGCAGTCGTGATGAGCTTGTTCAGCACGGTTTGCGTGCTCTTAAGGAGACTTTGTCTCAGGATAAGGAGCTTACGGTGGATAACACTTCCGTTGGTGTTGTGGGTATCACAAATGGCAAGAAGGAGAGCTTCAAGCTGTACGAGGGTCAGGACACGGCTGCGCTGCTTGAGGTGCTCGAGCAGTCCGAGCAAGGTGGGGAGGGCGAGTCCATGGAGGTTGATTCATAATCATCTGATTTGTTTTAATGATGCATAGACATGAAATCTGCTTATGCTTTGTCTTTTAATGGTCTCCGTTATGTCAGTCATCAATTCGTAAGACTGTTCTAATGAAGTAAATCTACTTGTGTATGTTATATCCAGTCCTTGAACGGCCAAGCACCCAAACCCCGGAAAAGACCGAAAGACAAGACCGGAGTCTATGCATATTGAGTTGATCGTCTCATGGGAACAGCTCACTCCTGTCCCCAGTTCAACCGCATCCGACCCTGACTGACTCGATAAGCCAACAGCCTCGGGAAAACCTCCGCAGGGTCCTTGGCCTCAGCCAGAATCTCCCCATTATCAGCAGAGATATAGCCCTCCTGCACAGCATTGCGCACCCAGCTCAACAACCCATCCCAATACCCATTGATATTCAACAAAACAACACCAACCTTATGGATTCCCAACTGATTCCAGGTAGTCATCTCCATAACCTCCTCAATAGTCCCAAAGCCACCAGCAAGCGAAACAAATCCAGACCCAGGCCCACCTTCCAGCACCTTAGTCGCCATCAACCGCTTGCGCGTATGCATATCAGGAACAACAGTAGTCATGCCGTACTCGGACTCGGGGATTCCATTCTCCTCAATAGAATCAGAGATAACTCGCTCAGCTGTCTTGCCGCCGGACTCTGTGTTGCCGTTCTGGTTCTGGTGGTCGCGCATGCCGCTGTCTGTTGCCACCTTCACCAGTGCGCGGGGGATGATACCGTGCACGGCTTGTGGACCGGACAGCTTGACCAGTGTGCGGGCTACTTCTCCCATTAGGCCTGTTGTGCCGCCGCCGTAGACTAGTTGCACGTTGTGCTTGTGCAGCTCTTCTGCGAGGGTTCGTGCTGCTTCCATGTGGACTGGGTTTTTGCCGGATACTGAGCCGCAGCTGGTTCCCCGTTTGGAGGTTTGTTAGCTTGGGATTGCACCAAATCGTTACGGGAATTTTATATTGGGCAGGGGTAGAATGGTAGGGCCAGGATGCGAGTATCTGATGAAGGGATGGGGTATTGACTCACAACACGCAGACCACGGCTTGCTTGGTTTCTGAGTCCGCCATTTTGGACTTCGGGTAGTAATTGAAGATTGGGAGTAGAGAGGTATATAGAGCTTGTAATGTCTTTGACAGAAGATGAATGAGTAGGAAAGAAGCAAGAAACGTTGGAGTCCAAAGCAGGGGAAACCTTATCGATAAGAGCTCAGCCTCAACTACACTCTTCTATACTTCATGTTGATCACTACGCTTTGAATCCGAGCAAGACTACAGATACAGATATAGCTCAATTCTGCTAAGTTTCAGGAGCACATAATCCAAATGGAAGATGACTGGTGGCTAGCGAATGGAAGCCCACGGAGTGTCAACGACATACAATCATGCAGATATGCTATATAATAGTCAACTTTCTCCACCATATTCGCCAAAGATGATGTCGAACAAAACAATGATCTCAAAGACATGCAGATTGCGCTTGATCAAAACTCGACCAATGTTTACACTATGTGGGATCACCTTGAAAATTTATCAAAATGAGAAGTCCCTGGGCACCGAGTCTCCAGGTATCTTCCGGGTTCTGTCCGAGCAAGGGTTTTTTTGATTGATCTTCATCGCTCTTTTCGTTTTTCTACAAAATTGTATTTGCTTGTATCTTAATTGAACAAATTGAAGTACTACTCTAAATACAAAAGGTTTTTTTAAAGGAGCTGAACCGGGTAGATCTTAGGCTTCGAGCTTCGTTTTTGGAATAGGAATCGTTACTTCAGCACTTGTAACAATAAATTGCTGTGACACCTGCCTGGAAGTAACGAACATTTGATCGTCTTGACATACCCAACACAAATATGCAAAGGCCGAATAGCATTCAGACATAATTACATTCTATTGATTTAAAGTGGTGATTGGCAGAAACACACCTGTCATCGAAAGGTTCGCAAGCTGAAGACCCTTACTTAAAAAACACACATGACGATAGTGCATGGAACAGCACACTCACTGGAGGGATCTTCAGGGATTTGCAGTCCATAGTGTGCTGCACCCATACATGTAGCTGAAAGCCAACAATATCAATTGAGTTCTCAACATATATAGACGTATACACTGAGATGTACAATTAAAAACGCTTATACCAATACTTAGTCAAATGTTGAAGATTGACTGTCTTGCTCGCTTCAGCTCAAGGTATTCGTATCATGAAAAGAAATGCTACAGCAGTATCCTTCAAATGGGCGGCTCTTGTTACTGCCTGTGCCCCTAATGTCTCTCGAAAACATGATAGGACGGTCAACAAACTACTTTGTGAAGACGATTCCTCAAGGTACAGCAGAAGACGTGGGAGTTTCCATAAACAGTAGTCACTTATCAGAAAGAGTCTTCCGGTAGCCAGAACACATTAATCCGAGCTACTTGAAAATATCCTTTTGATTGCCATGCTCTACCTACTTCAAAGGATTAACCACAGAGGATTCCCATAATTCATAAATGCTCTCTCTGTTCACATGGCATCAGTAACATTCCCCACCTACCTAAGCAATGCACAAAACGCCCAAAATCCCAAATCAAACAGGGGTATCAAGCAAAAAAATCAAACCACATTCCGACTCTTCTTCCTCTTCCCCCGATCCCCACCAGAGCTAGGCGGCGAAGCACCTTTATCAGAGCTCTTCGGCGTCTCAACACGAACCTGCGGCGTAGTCGCACGTGCCGGTGGACCAGCGGCCGGGACAGTTAGCGAGGCCCCTGCAGGCTTAGGCGCGGCCTGTTTACTAGCTCCACCATCGCCCCCGGTTCGTGATAGGATAAAAGAACCTGGCTCACCGGCCAGGGGGTTCTCATCCATGAACTCGTCGCCGTAGCGTGTTAGCAGGTTAAATGATTCCGCCAGACTGCGAGTATCTTGGTAATTCGAGCTGGAGGCCGAGACACCCAGGTTCGATTTGGATGTTGATTGCGAGTCACTAGGGGCATCAGGCATCGGTGTGGATTCCTTGCTTTGTTGGGAGGATTGTTGGTTTGGTTCTTTGCTTCGGACTCCGGGGGGCATGTATGTGTGGCCATAGGAGGGGGTGAAGGTTGGTAATGTTGAGGCTGTCTTCATGAATCGGGATAGGGATGTGACGGCTGAGAGAATTCGATTTCCGACGACACTGGCAACTGACGGTGCCATGTAGATTGCCTCGCCTACGACGAAAAATGTCGATATGACGGATACTTCATCTTCGAATCCACTGCGCTTTCGCCGGTTTTGTTTGCGGATTACCCAGATGTTGGAGGGTTCGTGGGCGAAGCTGGTGTTCGTCTGTGCTGCTGCTTGGAGGGGGTCGTAGTGGACGACGAACTCTAGACCCTGCATCGTCTTCAATCGGCCCTCGAAAGCTTCGCGTGTTTCGACGAAATGGCGGAAGGCCTCATTGTAGTTGGCTTGAATGGCGAGGGAGGCATTATTTGAGGTCGCGTCAAAGAAGGGAGACTCGGCAAAGTAAAAAAGAACTGATATAAAGGATTGTTAATTTCAGTTCTGGCTTGCGAAGGCTGCTACTGACTGTTGTTCGAATGGAGGAATCCTCCCATCATCTGGACGTGCGGGGGAGACCGCCACATGATCTCCTCCATTGGGGCACCTTGAGTCGCCATATTGGGCGCTTCAGAAGAAGAATTGGGTGTAATGAGACTTATGAAAAGTCACCGACTCTTAAAGAAGTGACAAGGAAGCTCGGAAGTTGAAGCGGAGGAAAGATTGTTTGGTTTGTTTGCACCGAGCTATGTAGCGATAAGAGACAGAGTTAGATGTCTACCTCATGTATTTCTTTGTTGAAATTTATATGCAATGTTAAATACAATTATATACCCAAACTCCATCGCTGAATGTTGAATCGAATCTCTATCCATCTTTATCCCATATACGTAGATCCGCATGTTGAAAGCAAAGCATGGATCATAATGCAATCAGGACAATGACAGTCCAAAGCTGAAAGAAGGTAGACAAACTAAGAAGCCGGAGCTGTCTTCTCGATTGGATCGAGGGGCGTGAATATGTTGCAGACCACACGCAATTTGGTGAGCATCTCTTCCCATTCGCCATCTGCTGTGCTAAGCATGGTGATAGCTCCGCCGGCACCAATGCGCCAAGTCTGCTGGTTGTTCTCAGTGTCTTGACCAGACGCACAGGTAAACGCCGAACGGATCAATACTGAGAAACTTCCGCCGCCACCGAGGTCAAGGAACCCCATGGCACCGGAGTAAATACCGCGCTTGCGGTTCTCAATTGTTCGCAAGTGCATGCAAGAGCGCTCTTTTGGAGCACCAGTCATGGAGCCTGGGGGCAGGCACCGCTGAAGGGTTGTCAAGCCGTGAACAGCCATGTTGGAGGTCTTAAGCTGGGAAATATCCCGAACAGCAAAACCGGGTTGGTTAGGGCGGATCTTTCCCTTGACGTGCGTGATCATCGAGTAGACTCGCCCGTAGTCTGCAACCTCCAGTAGTTTTTCAACATGGACGCCACCGGATCCACAGATACCATACAGATCATGGCGGATCAAGTCAGCGATCATCAGGTTCTCAGCTATCTCCTTGGTCGAGCCTAGGATCTCACAGGCTTTCTCGAATGTCATGTCTGGCGATTTGCGAACAGTGCCTTTCATTGGCTTCATCTCTAGCGTGGACTCGCGGTCCCAGTTAAGGAAGCATTCTGGGCTGCTGCTGGCGATTTTGGTATCTCCCAAGTCTGCAAAGGCGCTGAATGCAGAAGGGTTGTATTTCATCAATCGCTTGAAGAGTTTCCAAGGAAACGCGATTCGATCGGACTCTTTAGATGGAACTGGCATGGTGATTGAGGTTTCACAGCTCAAACACAGCTCATAAGATTCACCAGCCTGAAGTTCTTTCTTGCAAGACTCAATCTGACGTTTGTACTTGTCTTCCTCTGGGAATTGAATTTTGGCTTCCCGAAAGATCGAGTTCAATAATGGATCAACTGTTGAATTGCTCTCCACGGAAAACTCTTGAAGCAACTGCAGATTCTCGTCAAGCCATCCTGCAGGGGTATTGTCGTCATCGCGAGTGGACTGAATGACAATTTTGCCGGTGACATTGTCCAAAACGATACTTCTTTCGCACCACAAAAGACTGACATCAGGCGGGTCCGCAAATGAAGTGTTGTTATATGAAGGTTGTTCAGCTGACATTTTTGAGGCCGATGCCTGCGGACGCTCCGAGTGAGGAAGACATGTTAAACCAAGTTCGTAGGAGAAATAGCCAAGGAAGCCACCCCAGAAAGGAACATCGGAGCTTCCAGAATGGACTTTCTTCATGTCCATCAAGTAACGCAAGGCATCCCAAAGTTGAGCCACGGCAAGAGTACTTTCATCGACCTTGCAGTCACCATACAGCTGAAGCATGCGGAGTTTGTGTGTCTCGACATGATACTCAAACCGCCAAGAGTCCGGACTGGGCACAGAGGCGATTGTGTAACGCCCATTAGATTGGAACAGAACTGTAGGAAAACCTGGCTTGTTGAAGAGTTCACTAATCACCTCTGCAGTCAAACCATCTCGTTTGAAAGACCGAGAAGCTGAAACTGAAGAAGTGGACTTGCACCACTGCAACATTTCATAAGCAGCTTCAGGGAACGAAGTAGCAGCTATATAAGGCGTGATGACCGTCTCGGGGAGGGGCTCGTATCCTCCACGACCATTGATCTTGTTGTATGCAAGAGCCTTCTTCCACCAGTTCTGTAAGAGTGTCCTGCATGCATCTATTTCAGATTTGCAGGACTCGGGGTGGAATTGGACGCCCCAGAATGGCTTCTGCAAATGTCGCACGGCCATAGGAATCTGTGCATTGGGAAGATCCTCGAGAGATAGCCACGCCAAATATTCCAAATCAGCTGGGGTTGAAGCAGCCGCATTGGCATATAAGGAGTGATAAAGAGTGACATCAACAACCGGGAGAAGTTCAAAGATATCCTTCGAGGTAGTCCGAATCTTATGGATCTGTCCATGAATCGGATATGGCAATTGCTCAATTGGAACGCCATGATGAAGACAGAAACTTTGGAAACCAAGACAGATACCAAAAACCGGCAGGAGCTCCGAGTCCTTGAGGTTCCAGATATCGTTCATGATACCCACATCGGTGGGCTCATTCGGGTTTCCCGGTCCTGGTCCAAGAACAATTGCTTCATAGTGTTGAAGAAACTCGTTCATGTTTGAGTTGGGCCATTCCGAGTCGATGGTCATCACTGTGACTTTGACGCCCAGCGTTTCCTCGAGCATGGCGACCACATTGTATGAAAATGAGTCATATGCATCGACATACAAGACGTTCTTGGGTAAGCTGGTATTTTGCTTGGACACGGGGCCCCCATTGCTGGGATCATCCCAATGGCCTAGCATTGGCGCCATGGTATGATGCTGTTCAAAGGGTATGTATGGAGTGGGGTAGTTGGTGCGAGATTGATAGACCCCGCGATGAGCCCTGAGGTCAGTCGGGCAATGAGGCTCTCAGAGACGTCTGCAGCTCAGGCCCATCAATTTCCGAAAATGGACCCTAGGAGATCGCCGCTAACTTGTCAGACAGGGTCGGAGAGTGGCGATATGTGCCAGACACGCCCCGGAGAATATGAGGGATAAATGATTGGGCAGAGATAGAACGAGGGTGAACAATGCAGCTGATCACCACGTCCAAGGCCAGCGAGTAAAAGCTAAGAATGTATGAGAACTCAAGAAATGAGGCAAAAGGCGCGAAAAATTAAGGTTGCGAAAAGGGCAAAGGCGGGTACCAACGGATCTCCCCCGAGTGGCAAGACGTGTTGTGTTGTGTTGATTGATGACCTGCATATACTTCTCTGATATGCCGGTACTTTAATTCAATTCAAGCATATATAGATTTTTTCCAGGCAAAATTTTCATGTATAGTCGGACTTTGTGGAAAACCGAATAAGCCGAGTGGCCCGAGTGGCCTAAAAGGGGAACCGGAGAAAACCGTTAGATCCCTGAAAATGCCGTCTACTACTGTGTAGGTTTGAACTGAGACATTCTACCATTCTAGAACATCCTAAAGGGTCCACTGGAGCGAGACTACTGACAGGGAAGGGACATCAGGACATAGGTCGAGTCAATTAAGCAAATCTGACACCGAAATACAAGCAAATATCACATTAGGGTATTGAAAATTGTAAGGAATCAAGTCTGTCTAGATGGCGACGCCTGAGCAGGCTGCAATGAAGCAAGCTTAATAGCAACCTTGGGGAAATACTGCGCCACAAAGCCCTCGGTGTAGTAACTATGCGCCGAACTATGGTCCCCGACCAAGTTGTGCGCCAGCTCATGGCAAAGAATCACCCACCAATAAACAATAGCGTCAGAACGGTCGGGGGCGGAACTCTGGAGCAGGGATTTCTCTTGCAACTGCTGGAAATAGAAGTAGTTGCAGAAGATACTGCCTGCCCGGTTGAACGCGATGGTCTTGCCCCCTGGGTCGTAGAAGATGCTGAGACTGTCGGCTCGCATCGAGAAGATTGATCCGCAGTCGAGGATTATGGAAGCAAAGAGGTTGAAGCCTGCGCGGTTGGTTGCGAGGAATGCTGATCTTTCTGTGACTGTCCTTGTGAATAGTACGTTGACGCCACTGGGAAGTGTAGCGACAAATTCCAGGTCATGGCTTGGACGTTCGTCACAGTATGACTTGCTTTCGGAGACTTGGTTCGTCTCCGGTCGGCTGTACACATCGGAGGATCCGTGGGGTCGGCATGCTTGGACCGCTGAAAGAAGCTCAGAGTTCAAGCGATGCGGTGAGTTGACGTTCACGGGTTGTTCTGGGCGTGGTTTCTGGGGGTCGCTGGGAGAATAAGGTGGTGGCGGAGGAGGAGGTGCAGAGGATTCGGGCAGCGTTGATTTGGATTGTTCTCCAGAACCAGAGGAGCCGGATTTGTTACCATCCAAGCCAAATCGCTTCGACAGGTTGGCAAACAGGCCGCGACTAGGACGTTCGGGCATAGGCTCAGGCGGAGGAGCATGTGCTTCCGCTGGTAACATCTTATTATTGTTCGGTGATTCTGGGAAAACACCCGGCATCGCATTTTGCGCCTGTTGCTCATGTCTGTTTTCTTCCGCACGTTGAGCTTGAGTCGCAGCCCATGCGGCTTCTTGCTCTTCCAAAGCACGCCGTTCTTCTTCAACCTGCTTTTGTCGCTTGTCTTCTGCCACCCGAGCTTCCTGGGCCTTTTGTCTCAGAATTCGTTCCACATTGTAGCCTCGGGCCCGAAGTTCCAGAAGATCGGTTTTCAGCAGCATCTCTAAAGTAAGAGTTGAATGCAGCTTAGGTCGCTTCAAGATCAGATGCACCAATGACTGACTGATCTCGTACAGATCATATCGACCCGGGGTAATGCACATGCCCCAGTTCCTCCCCAACTCAGAGACGATGGCGTTTCGCTTTTGAGTGTGTGCAACTCGTCGGCCCTTGAGGGATCTCGTAAGCGATATCGAGGTCACAACCTGAACTTTGAAGGAGTGTTCCAGCCACCGAGTTCCATGAAGGACAGATTCGGCAGGTTGATCATGCAAGAAGAGCCGCGCACGCTCTAAGATTAATTTGTGCAGCTTGACAGCCAGTGTTTGGTCGGGTGCAACGCCACCAAATCGCGCTTGTTCTTCCACGAGGCCACTCAACGGAATGGCACCAAGGGCAGAGTAGAAGTTCTCCAGTGCTTCTTCTTGTGGTGCAGCAAGAATGTGCTCTTTGAACAGATTGAAACTCTGGAAGGCATCTACTACAACAATGTCCTTGGCAGAAGTTAAGCTCCACTCTCTGATATCCAGATCGTCATCTTCATCAAGAGGTTCCTTAGGCTTTTCACCCTTATCTGTGGCTTGGGGTGGAATATCTCGGCTAGCCATGAGGAATGGAGCCCTCTTCATCTCAATAAAAAGGTCCTTATCCTTCTTCAGCGTTGGAAGGTGCTCCGCAAGAGTTCTGAGGAGCATCAAGTATTTCTCAGAACTTTGGAACGCGGCAGAGATCCGAGCCGGTTCTTTAACGAGCATTCTTGCAATTTCGATTTTAGTTGGCTCTCGTTTTGAGCCAACTGCCATGAGGAAGAGATTCGCTTCCTGGCCGAAGTCAATAAAGTCAAAGATCCCCTTATAGTCTTCTCCATCTCCAAGATAGCAAAGCCTAGGCGCCGCAAGGCGGGTTCTAGGGACTTTTTCGGCTTGACTATGCACAGCAATGGGAACAACCGGAGCCTGGCTAATACGCGCAATATCCTGTGGGTTCAAGTCAGCTACTCGGCCTGCCAAATACTTGAAGACAATCCGAGCATCCTTTTGGGTAGTAGGAGGCCGCTTTGAAAGAACTTGAAGACATTCTGTCATAGGAGGATGAGACTTGACTCCGAGTTTTGAGGCATGGGCGTGCAGGTCTTTGCGAAGAATTTTGAAGCCAAACAGAGCTGCACCTTCATCGGTGAAGCATTTCTTTGGCACACTCAATTGATCGCTGTCTTCGATGGGAAGGAATGGCACAGTGACCGCACTGATATCGAATGCTGCGTATCCATTTGTGTAATACTCGTTAAGGAAGTACGACAGAGCCTTGGTTGCTCGGCTGTCCTTCTCTGTGCTTCCGGTGGTCATGAGGCGGATGAGTTCAACAGCTGATGGGTAGCTCTTCAGCCCCATCATTGTAAGGAATTTGCCCTCATTACTATTGTTGGTGTAGATGCCCGGCCACTCGAGGACAGGTAGCCCAAGAGCCCGAAGAGAATCCTTTGGCTCATATAGTTCGGAGATCTTGTACCGTGTTCCCTGAGAACCGCTGTCGTTTTCAGCAGTACAGATACTCGTACCTTTGAGCCTCTGAATATCGTTTACAGGAATGTCTTCCCGCACAGAGGTAAGGTATCGAATAAGATCAACGTGGTTCCATTTTCTCGGAGCGGGTCCTTTGGCATCACTGGACGTAGGAGTGTTGATCAAACGATCAAAGATCACGCCAAGCTCAACCGTTTTGCGAACTCCAAGTGAAACCAAGATCTTCTCTTTCACGCCGTTCAGCCCATGGACCACGGGAAGATCATCAAACAGGCGCACAGATGCAAAGTATGTCTGGGCAGGCTGCTTCATTCCAAGTCTCGTTGGGATCACAGTCTGAGGTTGAAGTATTGAGACAACCGTTTGTTTAGAGGCCTGGCTGAGAGGCTCCCACTGCTTTGATAAAACAGGCAAGACCTGTCCGGAGAATGCTGCCGTCTGTGTGATATCTTGATCGATAGAGAGGACATTGCGGTCTCCAGCATTGTTGACGAGCCAACGAAGCCAAGGAACAATCTGCAGCTCGACCCAGCCGAGCGCCTCCAGTTCTGGTTTGCTTAGAGATTTGGTAAATCGGAAGGGAATCACGCTAGGCGGCACGGGGAGGTCTGCTGGAATGCGCTGCGGATTTAAGAAGCAAGTTATATCCGCGAAGATGACCAGGCGAGTAGGATGTCCTTCCTTATCTTCGTCGTTGGCCACCGCTACACGCAAAAGACTCTGCACCGACAGTCTATCAAGCTGGCCAGCAACCGTTTTGCGGCCAAGCCAGGCAATGAACTCAACGATTTGGTTAGAACGCAAAGTGTTGGATTCTAGCTCGCGCTTTATGTCTGACACCGTTATTTCTGTAACGAGCCCGAAATCGGTAAGCCTCTTCACAAAGTCTTTGGCGTTTTTCACAAAATCGTCAGGCAGAGCAGGAATTGAATCCATAAAGCTCAATTCCTTGGGCGCAATGCGAGTTTGATGACTGGGAATGACACCACAGGTCGAAAGGATCTCGATAGACGCATTTTTGTTGCACATCCAAAATGCATCCTCAATCGTCTGACCCAAGACCGAAGATGGGGTGGATTCACGGAACACAAATTGATTTGCTGTGTGAATAGCCTCAGGCAGTACATCCACGATGTCTTCCTTTCGAATTTTTGAGCGCGATGGTCCAATTTTTGATGCTAATTTGGACTTGATGGTAGCCATCTCTGCAGACCAGGCAATTCGACAGACGACACCAACCGCACGCAGCATCTCGAGATTCCATTTACTGATATACCGAGTGTTGAGATCAATGCTCTCTCGTTCAACAGTAGGAATCACAGATGGGGCAGATACGTGAGCATTCAAGCCAGTGGTCTGCTGTGTGGGGAATCCAATAAACACCCTTCCAGCTTTGGTAGGTAGAATAGATGATAGGATCTCTGACTGGGAGGAAGATGCCGCGGTTGCTATATTGGCATCATATGAAGGGGTCAAAATGGCGATGGTGCATCTCTTAGGGGGAGGTTTTCTTGTAGCTCGTTCTAGTTCCTTGCTCAGCGAGGAACTAATAGAAGGCTGAATCGATGCCGTGTTGATATGCAAAAAGACGGATGCGGTCAGCATGGTGTTCATGTTGCCTGATTCTTCCTGGCGCTCATGCTCTGGCTGTTGATTAGTCTGCTTTTCTGGTTGACCGGTAAACTTTGAAAAGAAACTTCGCAGCGAGCTTGTTGTATCACGAATATTATCCAGACGGAAAATGCTTGCGTTTGGGTTCCATTCGACAATTCGCATCCAAGAGGCGTCAACCTGCGCAATTTCTCGGGTGACTTTAATAATTTTCATTAACCCGTCTTCAGTCTTGGTGTCGATGTCTCTGGGAATTGCAACATCAACACTTGGGGCAGTCCTCTTCGATAACCGCAAAAGATTCCAATCATCTAGCCAGAGTTCTATCTCCTGCAAAGAGACGAACGTGAGACTGCTTGATAAGAACTGACACAAATGCAATAACGATGGAATCGGAGAAGAGTCATTGCGGTAGTCCAAAACGAAGGTGGTATCCTGGCTTGCAGCTTCTCCGAGGTCCAGTCGACGTGTGAACAACGCATTGCCTTTCCAATAGAACGCCATGGCCTGGCTGCCAGAAGAAACAAATGGCTCCTCGCAGTCATCAAAAACACTATAAAATCCAACACCAAATGCACCAATCTTGGTCTCATCGGGGTTTCCGTCTGCAATACGCTTGAGTCGTGCCCAATCCTTCTCACTAAATGGGGAACCATTGTTTGAAATCAGGAGTCGACGAAGGGTATGGTTGTTTATGGTGTGCTTGAGCTGTGTAGTCGGGTCTGTCGTTGATGGGGACGGTACTGTAGTTGATGGAAGAGTCTCGAACTTGATTGTGACCTTTGTTGCAGAAGCATCGGCGGCGTTTTGTATCATTTCTCGAAGTACAGTCCTGTTCAAGGGTTTACATGTGAGATTTGATTCAAAAGATAAACTGATTAGCACTTACCATTTGCCAGAATATCTAGCAAGAACCTTGGAAATCAATCCTCTGGTATCAACTGTCACTGCTTCCTCGTCGGCTCCAGACCCCATGGTCCGCGCCTTCAAGGCATTGAAATCCACATTCATAGCCATTTCGTAGTCTATATCGTTGACTCGTGAGAACAAGACGCTTGATTAATATAATGAAATGTAATTCATGGTGCGGCAGCAGAGGCAAATGTAAGATCGAGGGTGGTCTAGGCTGCAGCGGTCTCGACACGTCTAGGGAAACGATAAGTGCCAGAAACCAGCAGCAAATCAACACCGGTATAACGCTGAGCAATATCTAGAATCAAAAAGGAAAGAAATAAAGCATAAGATGACGGAGAGAGAGAAAGGAAGTCGACAAACAACTCGGAGATGCGGAGTTTACTTATCTCTTATCGTGAATTGCCCTCGGCGGCCGCCTTTACGTGAGCTGTACGTAACTGCAAGGTATTGGTACTTGTCCGCCCACACTAAATCTGTGATGATTGAAGTATCCCATGTATACATACGGTAAGCCAAAACCCCCACGTATGCAACATTACCTCAGCCATTTGTTGTTCGGAGCTCAACAGAGAAACGAAGCACGTTGCTGGCCTTGACTCCAGATATTATTTGAGTGCAAGAATTTGGGCCTGACGCTTCTCCATCTCAGGTCCTGTTTCTGCATCACCAACGCATGACGTCTGGAAGCTCGATTTGAGTGGATGCGGGCTTGATATCGAATCGCCTGCTCAATAGCTCTCGACAGCATGGGTGTCGACCCTCTGTCTCCAATTGCGCCTGTGCGCCTCAGAGCTCTCCTACTACCCATTGGAAGGATTAAGCGCTCGCGCTTTTTGAGTTTCGCTGCCCGACTACAAGCCGAGAATGTAGTTCGATTAGGGGATATCAGCCCCGATGCGCGGCCAAACAGAAGTATGCCACCCAATCGCGAGGAACCAGTGGTGGTACCATTTGGCCACAATGTATACTAATTTGCTATTGTCTAGACATGTTCTCGCCGCTGGCGTTTCCGACCGGCATGATCCTCTACGACCTTACGTTCTCCGTCCCCCCCACGTCGCACCTCGAATTGTTTCCTTTTGAGATTTACAGAGAGCCGTTGGTGGTCATTGCGATAGCAGACGGAACAGAACTGCCAGCGAGTACAGGAGGGAATAACCAAAAGTACCCAACTCCAGAAGGACTCGATCAGCTGTTGGAGGAGCTTGATGGGTTGAAGGAGATGAACCCCCGAGCATTGGTGAACCAACTTTTGGTATTCGATCATGAAGGCATGGACAAGGTCACGAATGGACCCGATAACGTTCTTTGGGTTCCGCCGCCTCAGGCCTCCAAGGCCACCACGATGAAAACCGTCTTGTGCGATATCACCTCGGTCTTGCTCTCCGAATTGGACGAGTTTGCAAAGACCATTCAGAGTATACCGTCAATTGATTCGCCAAAGGCATCTTCTTGGGGCCCGCACCGAAACCCAGAGCTACGACCACGGCCAGTGGACCGACTACTAAATACCTGGAGGATGACTATGCCTGCGCTTCCCTCTAATTCTAACGGAGCACCTGATACCCCACTGAGCTCCAATGCCAGTTCGCCAGCTCCTAGCGATCATGAGACTCCTACGACTTTTGACGAGATCACACGTTCAATTCATCTATCCAGCCGCACAAACTCAGGCAGCAGGACTCCATCAATAGCATCGCCAAAAGAGCATAGTCGTGACCGCATGTCGGTCAGTGGTATGAGTGCCACCGACAGGACTAAGAACCGAATCAAGGGCCGAGCTGGTGTCGTCGTTGGAACTCTTTTTCTGCAGGCAGGAAGGTGGCCAGATGCCCTGAAGGAATTGACCGAAGCCGTGAACAATGCCCGAGCCGGTAGTGACTATGTCTGGCATGCCAAAGCGCTTGAATCAATTTTGCTTTGTCTGCTAATGTTTGGATGGGCGGGCATGGACTTCCAGGTATGTGTATACCCAACCCATGTGCTTTGTCGCGGCAAACTTACGTGTCTACTAGATTCCATCGGTTCTGTATCCAGTCGCCGACAAGTCTTCTAAATCTTCCCGGGATTCTACAACGCCCAGTAGTGCTGGAAACCGGGTCATCTCTCTGCAGAATCTAGCCAACCTCCTGCCAGATCTCGCACACAATATTCTAAACCTCTACAACCGTGCTGCCAATATCACGGATGAACCTCTACCACAATTGGTGTTCTCGGAGACAGTCATTCGATTATCACGGTTGTTGGTGTCAGCTCGCGTTCGCGACGGTGCTTTGGATGACAATGCCTTGAAACACATCGTGATGAACGAGCCACTGACTCCATTGTTCCACTCAGAACTTCCTCGGGGAACTGTTATTCTCCGCAAGTCTGAAATTGCGAATTTCCTATACCGGGCATTGCCACTTTCCCCTAGTGCGGACTTACCTGCGACTGACGCTGTGCCCATCATAGTTGGTGTCGTATCCGTGCTTAACATTCTTGATCTACCAAGAAAGAAGGCTTTTATTATGCGCGAACTTCTTTCCGTCATGGTACCAAGCTTGGTTCAAGCACGCAAAATTGGTGCGGCAGAGGTCGGAATTCATCCCGCTGCTGGGCTGGCATCTCTCAGCGATGCTGCTTTCGATGTCAATGCCCTCGACGCAGGCTCTGGGAACATGGAAACGAGTGTGCGCCTCCTTCTTGCCACAATTGGAGAGATATATGGAGTTCAGCCCTCGTCATTCTATGAATGGGAGAAGAGATCAAGTCAATCATCTGCAGTCAGCGGACTACAAGAAGGCTCTGAATATGATTCAGTCTACAGTATTGCTGAAAGGGCATTCCGTCATGTGGTCTTAGATCGTTACGGTGATCTAAACTTGAAGATCGATGTTCTCAAGGCTTGTATCAACTGCTGCGAAGCTCTTCCAGATTTCAATGGTGTTCTCCGCTTCACGGTCGAGCTTTTGCAGACCATCCGTGGAGATATGATGCTGGGAGAGAATTACAAATCCCAGCCGTATCTACCTCAAGATGAACAAATCCGTCTTCTCAACAATATCAAGCGTACTGTGGGCGCTGGTACCAGACTCGGTGCCGCTGATATGGTTGCGGAGTATTGGGATGACTTCTTAGTCCGTGATGTTCAATTGTTGGCACTTCCAGATCCCAAACGCCCAGTTCGTCGGAACAAGACAGAACTAGACGCTGTTACTGCAGGCATTGAGAAGTCGAAAAAGGACCCATTCCTGTACAACCCCTTTGCCAAGGTCAGTAGCAAGGCATTGGAATTGCTCACGGTCACGGATGAGTCTGCCTCGTTCCGAGTGACACTTCAAAATCCTTATGAATTCGAGATTGAGATCGAGCACTTGCAATTAGAAAGTAGCGGGGTATCGTTTGATGCTGTCGCAGAAAACATCACACTTGCCCCTTTGTCTCTTCAGGATGTTACCGTTCTCGGTGTCGCTCACGAGCCAGGTAGTCTTAACATCACTGGCTGTATCGTGAAGGTGCGACACTGTCGTATGCGGAAGTTCCCAATCTTCAAGACATTCTGGAGACCCGAGCCTGATGTTAAGTTCAAGCGCACAGGATTAGGAGCAAAGAAGCCATTGACAGAACGCCCGCTTTCCTGGAGCTCGACAACATCAAAAGATGGCAAGATGGACATCAAAAAGGGGCCTGAGACGGCGACTTGTGAGGTCAAAGTGATTGGCAAACAGCCGTCTCTCGTCATTGAGTCTATGTCTCTGTCACAATCGGCCTTGATGGTGCTGGAAGGTGAAGTCAAGACATTCAATATCACACTCCAGAACGCATCGTCTTGTCCTGTGGACTTTGTTCTTTTTACCTTCCAAGATTCAACCACCAGGCAGCTACAGTCTGCTCTCAGCAACAAGGATCTTTTGCCTGTTGAGGTTTACGAGCTCGAATTGAAATTAGCAAACAAGCCTGCCCTGCGATGGCGCCGTGAGGGTCCAGAACCCAGCGACTGTTCGATTGGAGCTAACCAGAAGGCAACCTTCACTGTTGATGTTCTGGGCAAGCCTGGTCTGCAGGATACGACTGTGCAAATTGACTACTCTTGCGTTGGCGCGACTCCTGGTGAACTGCCTGATGTATTCTATACTCGCCAACTGTTTGTTCCATTGACAGTCACAGTTAATGCAAGCGTGGAAGTCGCCCGGTGTGATGTCCTGCCGTTCAGTGGTGATTTTGCCTGGAAGAACCACATTGAACCACCTGTCGACTCTGAGAAGCCGGATGCACTGCTCTCTACCACTGATCACGAACCATTCTCCCAGGTCTTGACCCGTCTTGGTAACGGAGCCTATGGACCTGATCACTGTGTTGTCCTGCTAGACCTACGTAACGCATGGCCAAGTCCTCTATCTGTATGGCTGCGCGTTAGCGAGCACTCCAGAAGCGTCTCACCGGAGGCTACTGAAGACAATGCCAGTGGAAAGTACTCCGTAGGTGGAGAACTGCAACCCGGTCAAGTCTGTCGATTCGTCCTTGTCCTGCCTCGCGTCTACCTCGACAATCCTCATGCACCCATCCCCGTCGTCAACACCGGCACTCGGAGACAGTTCGTTGTGAGTGCCAACAAGCTCTCCTTTGAAGCCGAGGCAGCCTCACGCGAAGCCTTCTGGTTCCGCGAGGAACTACTGAAGAGAGTCCTCGGCGGCTGGAAGGAAGCCGCCACAGGACGCGAGGGACGCATTGACCTCCGAAACGTCCGACTGAACAACCGCATGGTCGAAGCCATGCGTCTCGAGGACATCGAAATGACCTTCTCCTTGACCTCACCAGCCTCGTCGGAGACAACCACAGCAGTAGAACAAACAGGCCGCTCTCGCTTCCGCGTGAAAACTGACGATCTCCTTACCCTCACCGTCACCGTCCGTAATCGATCCTCTCGCGCCATTCACCCCCTCCTTCGTCTCCAGCCCAGTCTCTGTCATCAACCAAACAACGTTGCTTTAGACCTGACCCGCCGCCTAGTCTGGACCGGCATGCTGCAGCAAGCCCTCCACATTTTGCCAAGCGGCGAGTCCACCACCGCCTCTGTTGGAGTGACAGTTCTCTGTCGCGGAGAGTACGAGTTCGGCGCTAGTGTTGAAGAAGCCCGCCTCCTGCGTCCATCATTTGCCGATGATGACGATGCTTATGCTGGTGATCCTGCTCACAGCCATGATTATGATGGTATCAAGGATACCTTTGGCGCAGATGTTGTGCGTCGCCGCCGCATCTGGCATGCAAGAGAGCTCTGTACCATCCATGCGAACGACTAATTATGTCTCTTGTCGGCCTGATCATACATGAGGATGAGCATAGACATGGTTTAGACTTTTGTCTTGACGTCTTCTCTTTTTGTTTGTTTCTTGTTCTCCTTTCAGCCTAATTCGATGATGATTATGTCCAGGTGTAGCATACCCTATCCCTCCCATCTTGTATAAAGCTCTCCCTCTATCCCCTTGCATTGTACTGTTTAGGATATGCATGCTCTCATGAATAAACATGTTTCGATACTTGTCACAGTCCGTAGGGATTTCCTAGGTAATTACCGAGTCAGTCCTATACTGGTCTTGTAAACACTGCATCATGATAGTCAACCTGTAATATATCATATCTACTATAGAACACTACAAATTAAATCAAACAGCACCCTCCCTCCCAGTCAATATATGATTCCGATTCTTCTCAGTCTCCCCCCTCAGAACCCCAAACTTAGCCCTATGCCACCTCTCACTAACCCCATGCTGCAGATAGAAGATCTCCAAGCACTTACATAGCTATTTACTACACGAAGCCCACGCAACCTACACCCTACACACTGTAAAGAGAGACGACTTGGGTGTTATATCCCCGGTTTTGCTGGTAGCCCGTTTCTCATGCACACTATATCTCAATAGTCCCTTTCAACATGACAGACTGCGCATTCGTCCCAATCCACACCTCCCGCGTGCCTTCAGCAAGAACCCACGACCGGTCTACCTGCCTCCAGAAACTCAACTGTCTTTTAGAAATAGGAAAGGTGACCCTCCTGGCTGCACCGCGAGACAACTCCACGGAGTCAAACCCAGCAAGAGACGATACCGCAAATTGGACTCCGGGGTACTTCTGCGCAGCACCGGAAGGAGGTCCAATATACAGTTGCGGTACCTCCCCTCCGGGTGCTGATCCGGTATTCTTCAGGGTGAAAGATACATCAAAGGTCGAGTCTGTTGTTTCAATTATATTAAAATCACTGTAGTCGAAGGTCGTATAAGACAGTCCAAAGCCGAAGGGGAAGAGAACTGATGTATTCGTGCTCAGATACCAGCGGTAAGAGGTATTGATACCTTCAGAAAAAACGGCCGTGTCATTTTGGCCGTCAACTCTGTTGGGATAATCCGGGTTGCGCGTCATGCTGCTGTTTACTGAAGCTGGATATGTCACAGGGAGCTTCCCTTGGGGATTGTGCTCTCCGAGAAGAAGGTCTGCGATAGCAGCTCCCCCTTCCTGGCCAGGGTGGCCCATCCACAGAACGGCAGAGACTTTGTCCAGCCATGGCATTAACACTGGGTCTGCATTGTGCAGGACGACGACCGTCTTGGGATTTGCTTCGGCGACACGTTGAATGAGCTCGTCAAAGCCTTCAATGAGTTGCATGCCAACTTGGGCTGGGCTGTCGGCATGCGCGAAGACAATCGGTACATCAACTGCTGAAGCGCGTTTCACTGCGTCCTTGATGTTTTTCTGGCGCTGTTCTGGGGTGACCCAGTGAAACCTGATCTCAAGAGGCTCACCGAACATGGATGTCGCTGCGACACTCAGATTATGTGTACCAGCTGTGAGGTAAACATCTGTCCCTGCCTCGTCCCAGAAATCAGTAGTCGGGAGCGGCGAGCTCCAGGGACGAGTCCCCCCATCGCCGAGAATACGATATCCATCAACTGTTTTCTCATCAACGCTGAAATAATCGTGAGAGAAGACGCTATAATCGGTACTATTAATCGGTCCCCCGGGGCTGGGAAATCGGCGCTGCAGAGCAAGCCGGTAGTAGCCATCCATGGGCGCAATCAATTCACCCGTCCAGGTATAGCTGACATCTGCAGGAAGAGAATTCTTACCCTGGAAATTGAGGGTGGAATCAAAGTGGGTTCTTTCCATTGAGTCATTGCGAATGAGCCCATGCTTGCCATCAACGGTTCTCAGGGCGGACCTAGGCACAAGTGTGCCATGCATATCGACGCCGACTGCTGAAGACACTTTGAGGTCTTTGAATGCTTGCTTCAGTGCATCAACAGGTGCAACCTTGCGATTTTGAAATCCAAAGGCCCTTTCGGCGAAGCCGGCACCATTGGTTAATTGCAGCCCCGTTGCACCAAGTACCGCAACGCTCAGGTGCTTCCCAAGAGGCAAAGTACCTTCGTTCTTCAAGAGCACACCTGATCGAACTGCGATATCATATGAAGCGTCCTGTCCAGTTTTGACTGTCTCTTGGGGCAGATCCTTTGAGGCGAGGAGCAATGCAGTAGAGTTCTCTTCAGCGCCGTTGCCATCTAGAATCCCGAAGCGGTCATACATCGATAGAATGCGGTGGACTGCTCTGTTGAGATAAGATTCGGATAAGTTTCTTTGAACATAGATCTGATCGTATAGGGGCTCAGAATAGTAGGCATCGGAGCCCATCTCCCAGTCCAACCCGGCCATGATAGACGGAGCCGTGGAATGAGCTGCCGTCCAATCACTCATCATGGCACCCGTGAAGTTGTAATCCCCACGAATAGTGAGGTTGAGAAGCTCGTCATGTTGGCAAGCGGGAACTCCATTGATCTGGGCGTAGGAGCACATCATGGTTGCTACGCCCGCATCGATGAGTGGCTGGTGAGGGGCCCAGTACACTTCATGCAAAACTTGGAGATCAACTTTCGAGTTCGTGTCACCGGCGCTGGCTCCAGTACTACTAGGGCCTGTTTGCTTCGAGTTTGCCATAGTTCCTTGATCTTGAATTCCTCGTACTGCTTGTGCACCCAGCTGTCCATTGAGATAGGGGTCTTCGGAATAACCTTGCCAGAAGGAACCTTCGAAAGGGTCGCGAAGGATATTCACGCGAGGAGCTAGGAGAATAGCTAAATGCAAGGGTATCAGCTTGGATCATTTTCGCTTTCAAGAAAGAACACACAGGCATTCAGCAGTCGGGCCTCACTACCGGCAACCGCACCAGCAATATAAGCGAGTTCTCGAGAGAATGTTGCTGCAATATTCAACTGGCTAGGAATAGCTGTCGCATTCAAGACTCCATTGACTCCCCTATGGCCGCACAACAGGTTAACTTTACACATACACAAAGAAAAGAGAAAATTGCAACGAGTTTCATACGCTTCACCGTCAGTCATCTGAAGTGCGGGTATTCCAAGTCTCTGGATTGGCTTGATGTAGCCAGCAAGGTTTTGACTTCCTGGCCACAGAGTATGATGGACCAATGAGATCTTTTCCGCGGGAGTCAGCGCAATGACGAGGTGATTGACCTTTGCATTATTTGTTTTCCAAGGTACCTCCAGAAGAGCTTCGGAGACATCTTGAGCCCAGGTGGTGCTAATATCAGCAAGCGCACAGGCTGCCAGTAAGAAGGGCGAACGCATCGTGCCTGTCACCTCAGTCTCCAGTCCTCACTTTAGTCCTGAAGCTCTCAGCTGGGGTCGTCTTTGATATAGCTCTCTTTTATGTGGGGTAATGACTGGGGTAATTCCTGGGGTCTTGCTTTTGATCACCGAGACCGGCACCGGTGACAAGTCAGGCCAGTAGTTTGCATGGCACTAGCCCAAGAAGACGACACGGCTCGCAGTGATAAATGCGGTGCTACCTCGGCGACAGTGAATGACATAGTCTCTTTGCTATACATGATGAGGCGCCTACCATGGTAGATCTTTCCCCTGGTCAGATTCCATTCCCCCTACAGTGTCCTTCGTCTATGAAGATAGCCACATAGTTTCTCTGAAGCTCTAGTGAAATATCGCAAATCTCCTATTGCCATGATACAAGGAGAATACCGTCGGCATGTGGAGATATCGCGCTACTTCCCCGCAAATTCATGAACTAGGGCAAGGTCAAAGCATAGGAGCCGAAGAAAAGCCGACGGCCACATTCCGCACCCCTAGCTCTTCTACGGGCAATTGCATCTTATCTCCGAGTGAAAGGGTTCGGAAGGCACTATTATTGGTTCAAAGACGCTTTGGCGTCCAAGGTAATTCTTATTCCTTCTCCAAGGATCCGACGTATAATATCGTGTGCTGGACTGTCACTAGTGAAGATCCTTGGCAAAGTAACATCTGTTCATGTAATATGAACTTAATTTATCACCCATATTAGAGGTTGATTGTTTATGTTGGAGGATCTATCTCGGCATTGGATTAACATTTTAGCTGATGGTCGATTTCTCTTCTGTACCTCGGTTCTCTGGTATATAATGAAGTCTTGAAGTCGGGGGTATACTCTAACAACAGATACGTAGTTACTACAGCCATGTCAAGGGTCCAAGCAAAGGGCTTTGTCCTCTGAATAACCTAATCTTTGAATGCTTTTTTAGCATATGCGCGCCATTGTCATGACCCAGATCCTTGCCAAAAAAATTAGGCACGGACAAAGACTCACAATAATGCCTTTCATCACAACCATTATTCTCATTCAGATGTATTCTCCCTTTATCACATCTAATGGTCGCCAGCCCACAGCACTAACAAGCCAGTATAAAGACCACCTTCTCCCCAGCTCATCTCGACATCTCGACATTTTTACATCTTTATATCCCATCTAAACCCCTGCAGACTATTGAAATCTCTGAAAAACATAGTTGCAAGGTAAGCCCCCAACACCAAACGAAGTAACAACCCTCCGGATAACAAACCGAGTAATAAATTACAACCACCCAACCAAAATGTCTTTCCCGAAGATCCGCCGAGAGCTAGTCCGCAGAGATGCAATAGGCGCTGAAAAAGAATACCTTAACATGCGTGCAGACTACCTAGACTCCCTCCGCGATCAACACAGAGACCTCCGCAACCGAAAGGATATGACACCAGAGAAACGCGCAGAAATCATAGATCACCTCCACCAACTAGCTGACAAGAACGAAGAAATCAAGGTAGCCGGCCTTGCTATGTACGCCGAGCAGCCTCTGTGTCGAACTGTCTGTGAGAATTTTATTGGATTTTTTAATGGTGGGGTGAATTCTGCTTTTGCGATAGGCTGTAAGAGGAACCGGAAGTGCATTCTTGCTCTTGCTAGCGAGGTAGCTTCTGAAGGGAGTAATGGGGTTAAGTCTGAGAAAATTGATGGGGCTTTGCTTTTCAGGGGATAGTTTATTTTCTTTGGTGTTTTTTTAAACTTGGGCTTTGAGCCTGAGATGTTGTTCTTGTCGAACTTTCTTTCTTAAGAAGAGCTGCTATACATATCACACCAAATTTATATTATGTTTCAAATATATTATAGATTATGATCGCAGAAAAACAAGTAACTATTGTCGTAGCAGGGTTTCGAATCCGTAGTCCTTCGTAGTCCAATGTCGTTGCCAAAGAGGTGTCCGACAAATAAAGTAAACAACTATTAGTACACGAAAGTTGCAATTTCTTTCTAGTATGCAATATTAAAGGAAAAGTTATTCATGTCAAGTTTGTAGACAGAGTTAAAAAAAAATCGAGCTAAATCAAAATGAATAATGGACAAAAGATAATCGTCAGCTAGAGGATTCGACTCGGCTCGCGAACGGACTTGAAGGGATGAGGTCCCTACTCGTCGTCACATGATGCGCTTTTGATTTTATGTGATTACCGTCGATGAAAAATTGAATTGAACCCTGGACTCGATCAATTTATAATTAAAATAAGCAGAATCGCTGAATGTTGAGGTCCATACTGTTTTGCTATTCTTTCTCTTGGATATTCCACAGTATGCAATAATTGGTTGTTGGGGGGATATACTACGCTATATATATATATTCACGCAGGGCATATATCATTGACGATAATCAAGTACTATATGCTGCAAACTCCACAGCCCCTCGCTCAGTGTGTCGGATCTCAGTCACCATCGTAGATCAATTATTCGATAACAGTATTGCTTCCTATCACCGACGCCTTGATCATATCATCCCTTTATTTCGCACGGCGAGCTTCTGACCACGAGGCGGTATCTGGATTCTCTCACCCAATCGTCCTCGGAAATGAGCTTGCTTCGTCAGTGGACGCGACTAGTCCAATGTTTTCTAGAGTTGCTCGAACGCATAGTCCTACGAGATCTAATAACTCCCCATTGCGTGATCGCGTTCGAACAAGGACAACTGAGTAGAAAGGTAGAAAGCATTCCTTTAAATGCCAAGATAACCTATGTTCCCACCATAGCTCAGTTTGACGCACTTATATATAAACAAAACGCCAGTAAACCGAACATAGCCTCCGTCAGAGAAATGAAAAAGAAGTAACTTTATCTTTAAGTCACAGCCGTGTTAGAGGCTCAACTATGTCTGTATGCCCGATCCATCTAGGTGGATTTTCCAGACCTGCCCGAAAAGGAGACAAGAGCATGATACGACTCAGTCAAAGGCCACAAACCCTGAGCGAAAGTTAGAGCGCCAGCAACCAGAAGCACGTAATAAGCAATCGTCCACCCAACACCAAGGGTCCCATCCCCAATTTCAACCGAGCTGCCTTCCGAGTCTTCTTTCCCACGAGTAAAAGGCGGACCTAGAGGCTCACCAGCCTCCACCCGACCCCAGAACCTGGGTAGACCACACCAATTGCAGAAGCTGTGGATGACAATAACAGCCAACAAAGAGCCAGTCCGCAAATAGACGAAAGTAGCATACCAGCCAAAGATAGTGGTATACCCAAACTGGAAGAGCGAGCGGGCCAACGCCGCCAACGCCGGTGTATCAGGGTGCGTCAGACGGAACTCATAGAAGTGGTGGACATGCGCGATACCGAAATACAACGGCGCAATGAAGACAATGCGACCTGGCGATACATGAGCCAGGAGATGCAAGGGGATGATAGCCGAGCGGAACATGACTTCCTCGGTAATAGGGCCCTGCAGATACATTAGTACGGATGAGATCATATCTCAATGGGAGAGAAACAAACCGCAACATAATTTCTCCACCCGATCCAGCCACCCAAATTCTCAGAGAGCTTACTACGCCGGAACCAGAATCGCCATTCCCCTTCGACGATTCCTCGTTCGAAGAGCGGGCCTGTGAAGAGAATGGCGGTTAAGACGAGACTGCGGAAGATCTCGAACACGCCGACGGGCCACCAGCCCAGGAGTCTTAGCCCGGCTGCGACCGAGGTATTTCCTTCTTCGACGGCTAGCCAGAGGACGACTACTGAGCTGATGATGCAGGAGCCTGTGACGGCGCGAATGCGAGCCCTGATGACGGAAGGTGCGTCGCGACTAAGACTTGGCGATGGTCTCGTTGTTGGGGAGAGATAGAATGGGACCACGTAGAGTAATGTGAGTAAGACCTGTTTTTGTTAGATTGATGTTGTTCTTGCTGTTTTTGCCTTTTTCTTTTCTTTTCTTTCCGTTGGGGTGTCTCTACATACAGAGAAAAGAGCGACCGTCTGGTTTGACAGTGCTGGTTCATCTGGCAGTGTTAGCTGGGACCTGTCAACATGGTGATAGGACATACCTTGTTGCTTTGTGTACAGACTCTTGATGCGAGCCAACAAGCTGACAGGAGCCATGTTGAGAACTAAGTTGGGGAAGTATCACGAGCCGCAGCAAGAGCGAAATGGTTCTGACGTTGCTTTGTTGTTGTTACCATACAGAGGAGGCTATTAAGGGGCTGGTGATTGGCCAGGCATGATAAGTTACAGTATGGTATTGTCAGAATGAGCCATGGACAGATGAATATTTATCTTTTCCTTGTGTTGACAACATAAACATTGATAGATCTAACGTGTATACTTCTATACTATACTTCGACAACTAGTATATGGTTCACTGAAGGAGAGGGAGAGATCTATATATATCTCAAACTGGTGGGCCGAGCGTTGTGATCTCTCATCTCTTCCCCCCCTTGAGTCCATCTTCATTTTAAACTGAGTCAATGCGAGGGGCTCGTGGAGGATAAATCTCCGATTCACGAGAAGACCAGCAGGTGGCAGACACTCAATAATTGACTGAACATCAGATTATTGCCTGTCAAGGGCGTTGGCAGCGAGGGCAAGCCCGACACACAGCGCTAGCCAAACTCATCTGAGTCGAGCCAGCACACACGTCTCCACACTGGTCTATGAGCACTGGAAATGGGACAATCGTGCATACAGGTACGAGTTACCTGCGGGTCCGATACTCTCAAATGTGTCAGTCAAGTGGCACATCTGCAAGTCCGACGTAAAATCATACAGGATACTCCGTAGTCGACACCAAGTACCAAGTACTGTACCAAGTCTGAATCTTGAACGCGTCTCGACCTATCGAGTCAAGCCTCCAACGGTTCCTCAGCCCCGGAGTAGTCGGAAACTGGAGCCAATGCAAGTTGCATCACCCCTTGGGGTCTAGATCGGGAGTGATAGGCATTCGTTCACCGCTGGGCAACAAAATTCCTCACCCCCTTCCTTCCAGTGTCTCACGTCTGTTGTTGTCGTTACTTCCTGTCGTGTGCTTTTTGTTCTGCTTTAATGATTGTTTTCGTCCCTCTTTTAATGGTTTTCGATGTCTGAAACGAACTAATTCGACCTTGACGACTGCACGTCCCCACGCTCTTTTTTTTTTTTTGATGAATTTCGGCCTATAGACCCTCGATCTCGACTCCTGGGTTGTACATTCCTTACATCGGACCATTCGATTCTATCTTCCAATCTAGGAAAACGTCAACAACCCCGTCATTCTTTTGGTTTTGTTTACCTATTAGCAAGCTCATTTCCTGTTGACTGCCTTGTTCAATGCCGTAAGTTGTCGACGACCATGTCTTATCCCCGGACCTCGCGCGTGCGGAGGGCATTGCAAGAACGCAGTTCAGCTCACAACAATGAAAGATCACCAAATCGGTCGTTGCGCATGGTGTCGGACCAGGAAGATGTCGACATGTATACCACGACGCCATTCCCGACCAAGCCGGAGCAGATTCTGCTGCCCATGCCCGGCAAAGGACAGCAAGAGTACATCTCAGACACTGGGTTTAGTTATTCAGATCACCACCTAGGACCCTCCACGTCTGCGTATTCTTCACCATCCTTCAGTCAGAGCACCGCCCCCAACAGCCCCCACAGCCCGCGCGATCATTCCATTGGGGAGAGTTGGGATGTTTCGTCAACTGTGGATACCGGCCACTCGCCGCCGCAGCTGTGGGATGAGGATCCATCTTCTAGCAAGTCGTCTTTGCCAGATCTTGGTTCCGGTAAAGCGCGGGACTGGAGATCCGACAGCTCGGAGCCAGAGTATTCTGACGATGAGATGATTGTGCTGCCGACAGCCACGCCAACTATCAAGGCAGTCCTTTCGGAGCCACCCACTTCGCCAAAATCTTCGCAAGGCTCCGCGGAGTCGATGGGCTACTCCAGCCCGAATCTCGAGCAGATTGGTGCTCCGTCAAGTCCTAACTTTGTAATGCTGGATAACTCGAGCATGAATTTCCACCGTCCTGCCACTGCATCCTCAGAGTCAGACCCCAGAACCAACTCGCTGTCTTCGTACAACTCCCGCGGTACCGTGGTGAGACACGCCGGCGCCGCTCCCTGGATCAACACAGCATCGTCGGAGCAATTGAGCTACCGCTCTCCATCCTTCCGGTCCAGTCCCCCTTGGCAATCCGTGGCGTCCTTCCGTTCAACATCGCGCGCACCATCAGGCAGCCGCTCGCGCTCGGCGACCTCGTCCTCACGCAGCCTCCGCTCAGTATCTGACCTGCAGGCAGCCATCGACAACGGCGTTCCAATTCAATACCCGCGTATCCGCGCGCCATCGTCAACAAGCTCCCGCGCCGCCAGTTCAGTCAAACCAGAGCGCGACTTTACGCCGGGTCCAGCCTCTGGCCGATGGAATCCTCACCTGTCCACTGTCTCTTCAATTTGGTCTGCGGAGGAACTGACCAACCTCGCCGCGCAAGCGGAGACCACCTCAGACTCAGAAATGGCTGAACCATCGCCACCGCCAGCAGCAGCGCTGAAGAGCGAGAATACACGTTCCTCCGTATGGCTCGTGGAGTCCTCCAACGACAGCGACGAAGAGCGCTTAGACAGTCTGACAAACCTCCCAGTGCGGCCAATCTTCAGCCAAAGCCTATCCTCTGGCTCAAAACGAAGTAATAGCAACCGCAGCTTGCAACGTCCAGGCACAGGATCCAGTACAATCCTCAATATCCTGCCAACCTGGGCCAAGGTTTACTACCTGCGCGAACCAATGGGCCTGAACTCAACCCTGTCAATGATCGACGCGAGTCGGCCATCCTCCACTCGCCCCGGAACATCCAACTCCAGCAACTTCAACTTCAACCTCATGCCAACACCCTTGAACATCCCCAGACCCAGATCCCCAGAAAGAGAAAGACCTGTCTCCCCAGAGCGCGCGGCTAATTCAATCCCGCAACGCCGCATCGAAAGCGATCCTCGCGACCCGCGCGCTCACTGGGTGCCATCTCCAGAACCAGAGCACGGCGAATTCGTCAATCAACGCTACAGACTCCATCACAGCTGGTCGCCACATCTCTTCCCAGACCGACGGGTCTTGCAACATTCAAATAGCATCTGGAGACCTCCCTCCCTGGACTCACGCAATGAACCGTTCTTGGGACGGAGGAATGTCCAGGTCTACTCGTTCTGTCTGGGCTTCATCTTCCCTCTGGCTTGGTGTATTGCTGCTGTCCTCCCTCTCCCACCGAAACCGAAGATGGGCCCTGAGATGGTGGAGTATGAGTCTGACTCGGATGTTGAGGCCGCGCTTGAGGCGCAGTGTATGAATCTCCAGCAGCGGCGTCATGATAATGCGCGCTGGTGGAGGAATCTTAATCGGTGGATGATCTCGCTTGGTGTGGTGGTTATTGTTATTATTGTGAGTGTCCAATCTGCTTCGTTCGTTGAAGTCGTGCTAATTGTCCCAGATCACTCTTGCTGTTATCGGTACTACTACGGGCTTCTAATGTTAAGCTCTATACGACAGACAGTATCTCCCTCTGGGATATGGTCGTGCCCGACTCGACATCTCTCATTTCATGCTCTCATGACTTGGACTTGCTTTCTTGTGGCTTTCTCAAAACCTTCTTTCTGACGTCTTTTTCTTTTCTCTCTTTTTTTCCACCGTGATTTGAATCATTCACTCACATTCACTTTCATCCTGGGCTTGTAGCCCTTCCCAACAATCCCCGTTTGGCTGGTTTCTTTTCTTCCATGTCCTGTTTGATTTTAATCGTTTTCGGTTCGTTGATACTACAGACACCCTTTTCTTTTCTTTCTTCTTTTTCGGCTTTGGCAGTGTTCTATCACTTCACTTCACACCCCTTCATCTATTCTTATAGCCCTCTTCCGTTGATTTCCTGCTTTTCACTTCACTTCACTTTCCCTTCATTGCACACATTGACACGACCACGACACGATTCAACGCACATAATATCCCCATTTGTTTCTACCTGCTTTTACATCTCTGGGATTCTCTTCTTCGGTATGCATGGCGCCTATCAAGCTTCGCTGATGTCCATGTATTGGACATATGCTTTACTCTTTGTGACCTGTTATTTTTTGATTTTATTGAATCGTTGATTGATTGATATTGATATTGACTCATTGCTCGGTGCCTTTATTGCATTATTTACCTCCTACTCTTCAGTATCCATCCGGTGTTATACCTTGAGGTTTCATATTTTATTCACTCAATCGATTATTTTCATATTGTTAAGGTTTACTCCATTCTAGTCTGTTATTGCCTTTCTTCGTAACATATCTCACTCTCTACTGTTTTAACATTTGCTTGCGAAAGATGAGATCAACTTGATTCACCCATCACCATTGTCACCACCATCGCTATTAACGGTAAAGCTAGACGCAAAGATACAAAGAAAGTCCGACGCTCAACGCTCCAACGCACTTATTTTCAAACGACACCCAAGTCAAGTCCATCCAGCAAAACAACTCTAATCCAACTCCCATCTATCCAATAATCCAAATCAATCCATCTACCTCCAAGCAGACGGGAAAGAATCTACAGCTTCCGCCCGATCTTCTCCTCAACAGCAGCCTTCAATTCTTCACCAGTAGGCATGGTAACAACACTACCGCGTCTCCCCCTAGCCTCAATCTCATTTTTGATTTCCTGAACCGCTTCATCCAAGTCACGTTCCGGATCATTAGGCAGACCCAATACGGGCGGACGAACCGAGTCCGTGCTGACGGTTCGGCCGACGTGTGGACGGGTGCGACGCTTCAGGCTTGAGACGAGGTAACTCCTCAATGGGGAGAAGGAGGCGAAGGCTACTAGGGAGAAGAGTGTGTTGGCGATGCCGTAGAAGTAGACTCTTGACCAGACGGTTATGGAGTCGTTGAAGCTGAGGAGGATGAAGGGGAGAACGGTGAAGGAGAGGGTCAGTTGGGTTGCTAGCCAGCTGAGGATGTCGTAGTAGCGCTTGTTTGGCATTGGGGCTGAGCCATCTGGAGTCAGGAAGAAGGGGCGGACGTAGCGGCGGAAGTCTGGTTTGGTTAGTTATTATTATGTGCGAGTTGGAGATGGGGTGGTACGTACTCTTTGCTACCGTTTGGATGAATGATCCCAGGACAAAAGTCATGTAGTATCCTGGGTAGAAGCCGTGCCAGAGGGCACTGGTGGCAAAGGTTGCCAGGCTGGCGCGGAAGCCGGGCTTCTTGCCCTTGGGGGTCACGCGGAGGTAGACGTAGTTGCGCAGCCAGTGGTTGGTATTTTTGTTCCAGCTGCCTAGGTAGGCGTGCGAGTTTTGTGCTGTCTCCAGACGCCATGGATCGACGTTTTCGAGTCGGTTCCAAAAGACTTTGCCTGTGGTCTGGTCGAAGCCGTTGTATCCCATGCCGGACAGAATACAGGCACCCTCGGTCAGAGACCATACGCCGTAGTACTTCAGACGCGCGGTGAAGCCTACCATGTGGACAGTAAACACACGACGAAGGAAAGAGTACTGCAGGAAAGACTCTGAAAGCACAAAGTCGGTGGTAAAGTACGCGCCAAGCTGGATGAAGGCAAGAATCCAAGCCAGTCCAATAACCAGCTTCTTGACAGCAGGGGTTCCACTGCGAGGGATCTTGCGCTTCTTGCGGGTAGGTGGCACTTTGGATGGGTCAGTTCCTGGCGGGACTTCAAACAGTGTGGTGTCGATCCAGCGGCGGTAGTCCACATATTCGAAAGACGGGCCGGCGAAGAGCGAGGGGAAGAACATCACATAGCCCAGGTAGTCCACAATGCTGGGGAACTTGGTGATGGCAGAGTACTTCTGCGGATCTGACAGCTGAGCCTGGGGCAGACGACCGTCGTGAACATTCCAGCAGAACGAAGTGAGCTTCATGACCAGAACCATCTGCGCGCCGGTAATATCAACGGAGTGTGCTTCATCGATCATCTGGCGAGAGATGTGGTTGACCGACATATGGCCCATCAGGAAAGTAAACCCAATCCAGGGCATCAGAGATCCGTCCACGTAGTATGCGATCGCGTATGTGCCTGCAGCACTGTACATCAAGGTGCGCAGACCGTCCCAAAGGTCGAACAGGCCAACCAGGTAGAACAACGACACGCCGATGATGAAGGCATTCTTTTTCCAGGGCTGGCCATCGGGGATGCGCTTGAGCAGGGCGGCGAGTGGATAGGAGAGGAGGAACGAGCCGATCAGCTTGACTGGAGCTGTGGTCAGAAAGTGCTAACAAGGTCGGAGATTATGGAGACGGAGGTTCGTACGCTCATCAATTGATGCGCCAGTGAGCCGAGCTGGCAGCTCGAATACTGCGGGGTGTCGAGTTAGTCGGGGAGCTTGTCAGGAAGCTTGTCAGGGAACGAACTCTGGTCTATATAGGGCAACATGTTGACCTAATAGAGAAGACGAAGAAAGGCGAGGGATCAGAGCATGAGAAGAGAGAGAAAAACAAGAAAAGGAGGACAAAAGGAGCTTCGTCATGTGGAAAGCGGAAGTCCCCAACGATTTCCCGAATCCCGCCATCTCCACATTCAACTCATCTTCACCAGCTTTCTTGTCACTTTGTTGTTCACCAGTTATTTGTTTGGTCTGGCATCTGAATTCTAGCTGCTTGCAGTTCTTCTCAGCCCACCATGGATGTCGTCGCGGCCGCCTCGGGGTACATCTCCAAGATGGTCACCGTGGGCGAGTCCTCAGGAGCTTCCAAGATGAAGATCTTGCTTCTTGATAGTGAGACAGTGGGATCTACTCAGCTGATACTTGTTGTTCATCGCTGATTGTCACAGGTTCCCATCGTCTCGACTGCCATCACCCAATCCGCCCTGCTTAATCACGAGGTCTACCTCATCGATCGCCTGGACAATGCCGCGCGCGAGAAGATGCGCCACCTGCGCTGTCTGTGCTTCGTGCGCCCATCACCCACCTCGATTCAGTTTCTGATTGACGAACTTCGAGATCCTAAATACGGCGAATACTATATTTACTTAAGCAACATCATCCGCAAATCCTCCCTCGAGCGGCTCGCAGAAGCCGACAGCCATGAAGTCGTCCAGTCAGTGCAGGAACAGTTCGCCGACTTTCTGGTCATCAACCCGGATCTGTGTTCTTTAGGTCTGGGCTTCCCCTTGAACCGGATATGGAGCCAGTCGCCCGATATGTGGAACCCTGATTCCCTACAAAGAGCTACCGAGGGTGTATTGGCCCTGCTGCTTTCGTTGAAGAAGAATCCCCTCATCCGATACGAGAAGAACAGTTTGTTGGCCAGAAAGCTGGCGACAGAGGTCCGATACCACATCACGCAGGAGGAACAGCTGTTTAATTTCCGCCGGACGGATACACCGCCTATCTTACTTGTGCTTGACCGCCGCGATGATCCCATCACCCCGCTGTTGACCCAGTGGACATATCAAGCTATGGTGCATGAATTGCTTGGCATCAATAATGGCCGCGTGGATCTTCGGGATGTGCCAGAGATCCGACCAGAGCTCAAGGAGATTGTCTTGGCTCAGGACCAGGATCCCTTTTTTAAGAAGAATATGTATCAGAACTTCGGTGATCTGGGGCAGAATATCAAAGAATATGTGGAGCAATACCAGACCAAAACGCAGAGCACTGCGAATATTGAGTCTATTGCGGATATGAAACGTTTTGTGGAGGATTACCCCGAGTTCCGCAAGCTCTCGGGTAATGTGAGCAAGCATGTTACTCTGGTGGGTGAGCTTAGTCGACGCGTTGGCGAAGAGAACCTCCTCGACGTGAGTGAGCTGGAACAGAGCTTGGCTTGCAATGATAACCACTCCAACGATCTCAAGGTATGTACAAAGACTTGTGTTTCACTCTAATACTCACTGTTTGGTAGTCACTGCAACGGATTATCCCGTTACCGAATGTGCCAGCTGACAGTAAGCTGCGCCTGGTGGCTCTCTACGCACTTCGCTACGAGAAACAACCCAACAATGCCCTCGCAATCCTCCTTGATCTCCTTACCACAGCGGGTGATGTCCCAGCCAACCGTGCGGCCATTATCCCCAAGCTCCTCACCTACCACCACTCCCTCCAAGCGCCACCAGTCGCAGGCGGCTTTTCAGACCTCTTTGAATCAACATCCTTCTTCGGCGGTGCAAGAGACCGCTTCAAGGGTCTCAAGGGAGTAGAGAACGTCTACACCCAGCACTCACCTCGTCTGGAGGTAACCCTACAAAATCTCATCAAAGGACGACTGAAGGAACTACAATACCCCTTCTTGGAAGGCAGTGGCCACACAAGAGACAAGCCACAAGATATTATTATTTTCATGGTCGGTGGTGCCACGTACGAGGAGGCCAAGATGGTTGCCCAGGTCAATGCAAGCTCCCCCGGAGTGCGTGTTGTCCTAGGTGGCACCTCTATTCACAATAGTACAACATTCCTAGAGGAGGTTGATGATGCTGTGGGTAGCTGGCCGGAACCGGAACCCTCGACAGCTGCAGGTCGGCTGCGACGGGAGGTTGGTCGATAATTGATTCAGCTGGTGTATATGGTAATGGAATATGAATGTATCAGTTCAGTCCCTGTAGGTCTACCATATGTCAGTTGGCTTTAGTCGCTTCTGTTAAACTTAATACTTTCACACTGTTCTTAGAATCATCGAAGTACACTTGGACATTCGTCCAATTGGTCACAAGCAAGGCCTGCTGCAGTCAATCGCACTGTAAACATCCCACTTCCCATCTTCCTCTATCATCGTTTCAAAATGCCGAATATCTCCCCATCTGTGGAATACAAATTATTCCAAAGCTGCAATGGCAACTATCCAGAACAAACCCTGATATTCCACAATGGCCATTCATGGTGGCTTCAAGTCGCAGTAGATTGGTCTCTACCAGAAACAATCCGGCACCTGGGCTGCTTGAAAGAGCGATCTTTGTTCCGGCAATTCATCGAAGCGATCGATCTTAGCAAACTTCCACTTCTGGATGATACAGTGACAAAAGTCACTCTGAGCTTGAGCTTAACCAGACAAAGCCAGAACTCCATCCTCATCTGGGATGGGCACCATGAAGCTACGAACTATTACATCTCTCTCGCCTGTCAAATGGAGTATAAGATCATGGAAGATTCCAATCGGGCTATATACCCACCCCTAGACCAAAGTTAACATCAAGACATGGAATTCATGATGGAAGAAATCAACGTCCTGAGAAAATTCCGCGGAATCCCAAATATCGCACAACTCGCAGGCCTAGTTATATCAGAGAACCCATACAAACCAAACCCGTGCACCAAACGACCAACTGTCGTCACCGGGTTCCTTGTTGAATATTACCCCGGAGGAATTCTTCAACAAACCAGCGAGAATAGAGATGAAGTTGACGCTGACTTGCCAATGAGATGGACTGTACAGATTGGAAGGGCCTTGGAGCCAATGCATGAGAATGGTCATGCCCATCTTGACATGAAGCGTGAGAATGTCGTTTTGGATGCCGAGAATCGGGCTATTGTTATCGATACTGGCAGAATTGGGGGATGTACAGAGGAACAGCTCTCACCGGAAGCCTATGCGCTTCTTGAAAGCCATGAAATATCTCCTTTTGATATGTCTTTTGGGGGCGCGCGTTGCTACGGACTGTTGGGCTTATGGACGGGTGCTGTTGGCTCTTGCTGAGAAATTTGGCAGTGGAAACTTGCGATTGGTTGCTGAGCAATTGACGAAGATGGAGGCTACAGAGCGCATCTCTTTATGTGATTCTCTCGAAAAGCTAGAAGGATAAATAGGTATAACTTCATACTTGAATGGCCACAAACGGAGATATGTAAAAGTGGGGTCTCGGAGAATGCGGAGAGCCCATTGCCATTTCTTGACTTCGACTTTAACTTCTTCCTCTCCAAGAGACAATGGATACATCCCCAAGAGGTACCACCTCGCCAGCACCACGCGAACCAACACTCAACCTCCCCTCAACAACCGACCCTCCAACCCCCCAGAACCCCCCGAAACCGCTCGTATGGCTGGTAAGCTCACCCCCCACCAAGCTCCTTCCAAGCTTCCTCCACTCACAACCCCAGATCTTCGGCGCAACAGGCCACATGGGCCGCTCGCTGGTTAAAACAGCCCTCACCCACAACGATCTAGTAGCAGCAGTAGGACGCACCTACGAAAACAGCCCAGAAGCAATGCGCGAGCTAGAATCCGAACACGAAAATTGCATGGGACTCCTCTGCGACGTGCGCGCCCGCGAAACCGTCAAGCGCGTCATCGACCAGACAATCGCGCGCTTCGGGCGCATCGATGTCATCGCCAATTGTTCCGGGTACGGCGTCATCGGCGCCTGCGAGGACCAAGACGAATACGATATCCGGAACCAGTTCGAGACAAATTTCACCGGGACGCTGAACATGATCCAGTTGTCTTTGCCGCATTTTCGTCAGAGACGGGCTGGGCGGTATCTTATTTTCAGTTCGACTAGTGGTGCCCTTGGTGTTCCGGGGTTGGGCCCGTATTGTGCGTCCAAGTATGCTGTTGAGGGCTTGATGGAGAGTATGCTTTATGAGGTTGATAGCTTCAATATTAAGGGGACGCTTGTTGAGCCGGGACATATGCGTCGTGATGATATCGGGGATTTGGTCTCGCCTTCTGCTATGGCTGCTAATCCGTCTGAGCATAATTTGTCTTCGCCTCTGCCTTTGTATGGCCATTTCTTGGTCAAGCCGCCCAGTGAGCCGTATAATACGTCTACGTCGCCGGCGGCGCATGCTCGACGTATGTTGATGTGGCTTGGGGATAAGCAGCCTGCTAGTGCAGTCAAGGCCGCGCATTTGGTTTGGCAGCTTGGTCATTGTGCTTATCCGCCGCTGCGCTTGATTCTGGGGACGTATGCTGTGGAGAGTATTCGGGATCGGTTGAAGTGTATTATTGAGGAGATTGAGGATTGGAAGCATCTGAGTTTCCCGTTGGGGGAGACGCAGCCTACGAGGGATCGATCTTCTTTGGGCGAGGGAGCTGATGCTGAGTGAGTGGTGGCTGATGGTTTGAATGTTTTATATGATACCCGAATTGCTAAATATCTGAATGACGTCCGATTACTCTACGTTTATGCGAATTACAAAAATCGGAAGTGCTCGAGAGAGCTATATTGACAAGCCTATCAACCCTTTTGATTTCTTGCAAAAGTCATATATATCCTCAAACCCCAATTTCACCATGCCCAAGCGAACACTGACGGCATCAAGAGCACCATTGCAATCGTAAGAATTGGAGGCGACTCTCACACAAAGGTGATTCATCGGCAACGAAACCGGGAAAGCTCCCTCATGTTTGGGATGTTCACTGTTCGGCAATCTTGTCGGCTTGAGTTGCGGCAAATAGATCGATGTGTCACGTTGGTACCTATATCTCGTATGGTCCTAGAAATCAAACCAAAGACCAAAGACATCGATGTAATCTCGGGACATTCGCTGGAATATTCGCTTGTTGGTTCAGCATCTCCAAAGTCGTTCGTAGCAGGCATTATTGCTCTTTTTTGCATGGAGGTGTCTAGGATACCGATAACGCGGCACCTCCGTAGTGCTAGTCAAGCTCGCGGAAAGCTCGTACACATTGATTTGTTTTGATGAGACGAGTAAAGTGGCAGCTTGGGTGGCTTGGGTGGGAGGAGATATGATCGGCCTGAGTTGCGGAAAACAGGGCCTCATGTGTCGCGCTTGTGTATGTATATCCCATGGGTCCAGAAGTCGAGACCCTGGGATACCGATATAGTGTCGCACGAAGAAGTTCGCTTGCCTTGATATATCTAAAGTACTGATTGAATCTGTAGATATATGTATATATACATAGACATCCCCAGACTCACATTGCCGCATGTGAGTGCTTATATCGTACGGTTTTCATGGATTGAACCTGTTCGCTGTTTTGTAGTATAGATACCTGAAGAATAAGGGTGAGCAGACAGTATGTAAACTTTAGTAAGAAGACTCACATTTCGTGCATGCAAAGCACTCCAAGCACAACGAGATTGAGGGCATTCACTTGGTCAATTCCAATTCGCATCAAGCGCACTTGATGAAGCTTTGTCCCAAGGCTCCTTGAAAGCTGTAGCCTAGTAGATGCTGTTGTGCACAAACCAGAGAGGGTATATATACGATGGTATAAGTTTCCTGCCGGTATACGGGAGATCAAAAGGGCAGGACGGCCATGGATGGCGAAAGTATTGCGGAACGTGTGAGTGTTGCAAGCATTGTAAATAGTGAGAAGACCGGAAATAGTGAGAGCATAGTGAATGGCGAGTAAGCTTAGGTAACAGCTTCGATGAAAGCTCAAATGCATGCTCAGGCGAATGCTCAAACGGATGCTCAGACAAATACCCCAACAAACGCTCCAATAATTGCTCGAAGGAACGTTTCGACAATCGCTTTGAGAAGCACTTCGTAAACAGCAAAAAAAGAGGCTTTAACAAACGCTGCGAGGAAAAGTTGTAGATAGAGCAAACTTTGTGAATAGCGTAGATATTACAGTCGGGAGCGAGTGACACCGGTGTGAATGGCGTAGATTGATGCCGGACGAATAATGTCAATCGGAAAAGTAAATGGTTGCGCTTGCTGGAGATAGTCGTACGCAAACAGGCAACAGTGACTGTAACCAAAAATGCCCAGTCGACAAGGGCTTAGAAGACGAGGAAATTGAGAACATACATGTTCATTCGAGAGGCTGTGAGTCGACAATGGTTAGCCATTGTGGTAATTGACCTGCAAGATGCGAGATGTTAGAGGAAAAAATGATGGAAAGGTCACAGAAGTCGAACTTTTTGGTAAGCATCACGTTTCATTCTCGAACGAGAAGTGAACGTAAGGTCAGAGTTATTGATGTTCGGTATTACGAGTAAAAGAAGAAAGTCGTTAGCTAGAAGTGCTTTCATATACCTCGAGAATAGGTAGAAAGAGAACTCACAAGAGGCTTTGAAATCGCCGCAAAGAGGGCAATTCACTTCAAGGCTAATATTCATTTACCGTCGCGTAAATAAGCCTGGAAGCAAGAATAAAGAGCAATTAATATAAGAGTCAACCCAAGCAGATTCAATGCAAATGCATATTCAATAATATACAAATCTATGTAGATATAATAATACAACCCAACCCCATCACCATCCCCAGCATAGTATACAACAGGGTCAAACAATCAAAAAACAACGTTAACCAGCTTCCCCCCCTTAATAACAATAACTCTCCTCCTCATCTCCCAATCATGTTTCTCACAAAGCCACAATTTCCCCTCGGGAGTTTCAAGCACACGACCAATGATCCAATCCTGTTCTTCCTGAGTAGGTGGGGAATTCTTCCCTGCCTTTCCAGATGCAGAAGACGACTTCATAGACGGGATCGTAACAGCACACCGCGTCTTGCCGTTAACCTGCACAGCGACCTTTTGGCCACCGCGAGCGGCGAGGGTCTCTGCTTCTTCCGCGCTGAGGAGGGTGCTTGGCCAGGGTGATGTGAGGATTGAGGGGATTTGTTCCGGTTTGGTTGATTTGTGGAGGATTTCCCAGGATTCGGATGATAGAGCTGGGGCTATGGGAGCCAGGAGGCGGAGGAGAGAGGAGATTGTCAGGTAGAGGACTAGAGGGGTAGATGCTGGGGTTGTGTTGAGGGTGTTTGTTAATTTTGTCAGATCTGAGATGACTGTGTTCAGACTGTAGGGGTTGCTCTCAATACAGGTTGTGACGGATGAGATGGTGTTGTGTGTGGCCAGGATGGCGTCTGCGTCTGCGTCGCTCAGATCATTGAGGGATGATGGTAGAGGGGCGGCGTGACCAGTTAGTGCGGATAGGCTTTCTGCTGGGATGGAGAATGATGACTCTGCGAGGGATTGTTGGGTATCTTGGACGAGCTTCCAGAGTCGGCCGAACCATCGCTCCATACCGACGATCTTTGATTCGTCCCATTCTAAGACTTCGCTGACCGGGGCAGCAAAGAGGATCTGTGCGCGTGTGGCATCGGCGCCGTACTTTGATGTGCATTCCGTTGGGTCCATGCCGTTGTATTTACTCTTGGACATTTTCTCAAAGGAGATGTTGGGCGTGACTTGTGTACCCTTGATCAAAGGCTTGTCTGGGTTGGCGAGGTCAACTTCCTCTGGGCGGAGGAATCGACCCGTGGAGGGCTCAGTGAAGGTCTTGCCGTGTACCATGCCTTGGCTGAGGAGAGATTTGAATGGTTCTGCAGGCCCAGAGGTTCCAGTTGGAAGTAGCTCTGACTGAGCGAGGAACTTGTAGATGAAACGGGCGTAGAGGAGATGCAGGATAGCATGCTCGACACCGCCGATATAGACATCTACTGGCCGTGCCACAGCAGGAGAGAATGGAGCCTTTTTGTTGGCTGAGTCGAGGAAGCGCAGGAAGTACCATGAAGAGTCTACAAAGGTGTCCATGGTATCTGTGTCCCGCTTAGCTGCTCCTCCGCAACTGGGGCAACTCGTGTGGAGCCATTCTTCCGATGATTCGAGGGGATTGCCCTTCTTGCCTTTCAGCCAGTCTCCCTCGATCTTCGGTAGCTTGACTGGGAGGTCCTCCGCAGGAACAGGGACAGCACCACAGTCGCCGCAGTGGATGATGGGGATAGGGGCGCCCCAGTACCGCTGACGACTAATCAGCCAGTCACGCAGACGCCAGCTCTCAACAAATTCAGCTTGTCCAACCTGCTTAAGGTCATTGACAATCCTTTTGGATGCCTCCTTGGAGTGCAGACCTGAGTACTTCCCGCAGATGGAAGTTAAAAAGCCCTCTTGAGTGAAAGCCTTGGAATCAGAAGCTGGGACAACACTTTTCGCCTCATTACCTGCTGCCTCAGCCTCAATAACGACAGAGATAGAATGGGGGTTCACATTCTCCTTGAAGAATGACATATCCCTGGTATCGTGACCGGGAACTCCCATGACTGCTCCTTCACCATAGTCACCAAGGACATATGGTGCGACAAAAACAGGAAGCTTCCTCGACAATCGAGAGCTCTCTGTATCAATTTTGAGCAGCGGATGAGACACTTCCACATCAGATAGCCTGTACCCAGCTTTCGAGTCTGGCGTAAACGACGAAGCTTCTCCCAGGAACTTGCGAAGAGCCTCGTCTTTCTCGGCAGCCTTGAGCACAATAGGATGACTCAAAGAGAGTGCAAGATATTCAACTCCATACAGGGTATCAGGACGGGTAGTAAAAACATCCACATTAACCTGCTCGCCCCCATCACTGTTGACAGTAACGGGGAAAGTAACCTTGGCACCATAAGATTTACCAAGCCAATTCCGCTGCATAGAGAGAACACGCTCCGGCCAACCCCCAGAAAGAGAGTCGAGATCTTTCAACAGCGCTTCTTTGAATTCAGTAATACGGAAGAACCATTGTTTCAAGTTCAATTTCTCAACCTTGGCACCAGACCTCCACGAGAACCCATTGGCATCAACCTATCCACAAATTAGACCAAACAACCATATACCCCGAAAACCAAACTCACCTGCTCGTTAGCCAAAACCGTCTTATCAACCGGATCATAATTAACCAGCGCCTCAGCCTGATACGCCAAATCCTTCTGGTAGAGCATGAGGAAGATACGCTGAGTATGCTCATAGAAGTCAGGAGAACAAGTCGCCAGTTCCTACACCAACAATTAGCCAATCCAACCCCCTCAAACCAACCCAACAAGTGATGAGTAACATACCCTCTCCCAATCAAACTCAGCAGAAATACAACCCAGCTGTTCCTTCATCTTCGCAATATTACTCTCCGTCCAAACAGCAGGATCAATCCCCCGCTCAATAGCCGCATTCTCAGCCGGAAGCCCGAAAGCATCCCACCCCATCGGATGGAGCACTTCGTGTCCACGCATTCTATAATACCGCGCTAGCACGTCGGAAATTGTGTAGACGCGTAGATGGCCCATGTGTAGTGTTCCGGAGGGGTAGGGGAACATTGAGAGGATGTAGGATTGGGGTTTGGATGTATTTGGAGATTGGGATTGTGGCTGGGTGGTGGTGGTGGTGACAGCACCCTCGGAAGTCCATTTTTCTTGCCATTTCTTGTCGAGGGAGGGGAGATCGAGTTTGAGCGTTGTGCTTGCGTGTCTTAGGGTGTGGGTGTATGGGTATGCATTGTAGGATTTGAGGTTGTTTGGACGCGCGCGGAGTCGGGATTGCGCTAGTACGCTTGGGAGGCGGGTTCGGAGGAGGGATTGCATTGTGCCCTTTTTTTAAATTATTTCTTCATTGTGGGCTCGGTGGGGGATTGGGATTGGGGGGTGTGCTTTGGTATTGTGTTGCATCTTCAATTCTCCCGGAGGTCGGAGAGCTTTAGACCCGATTTGGATTAGCGTCTTTCATCATGATATTTTGGCTACTGTAGTGTAGTCAATTGAGTTGCTATATTATGTTGTTTTGGTCTTCAATATATATATTTTCTAGTATTCAGTATACTAATATGTAGAATATTCATGAATGTAAATCTATATTTATCTTACAGTACTCCCACAATCTAGTCATCTGTCAATCACAGGGCAGGACAGTCTATAATCTCAAAATATCCCCAGACCGATCAATTCCACCACGGAAATGATCCGTAACAACCCTTCCCCCGAAAACAGTCTCATCAACAATACCCTGCACATGCTTCGGCTCAACACGCCCATACCAAATCCCCTTCCCAGCCAACGGATGTAGCACGGAAGCATCCTCACGAGACATCATCTTAGGCGGGATATAGACAATAACATTACCAGCATATTTATGACCACCAACATGGCTAATCAACCCGATATTCGCATGGCCTGGTGCATCGATTGTCGCCTGTGCACCTTCACTGCCAGCGCTAAACCCGCGCGCTTGGAAGACGCGCTGGAATTCGTTTTCTAGGGCTGGTGCCATGACGCCGCAGCGCATGTCTCGGCCGCCGTGGCCACAAATTAGGATTGTGGGCGAGTGGTTTATGTCGATTGCGTCGGGGAAGCGGGAGGCTAGTTCGGGGGCGCGGGTCATGTCTCTTTGCTTTGAGGCTGAGAGGGAGGAGTGCATTTCGTGTAGGCGTTTTGGGAGGAGGTAGGCGCGAATAAAGGTGACGAGGTCGGGGATTTGTTCTGAGGGTGCGGTGTTCACTGGTATTGAGGGGATGTATTTGAAGCTTGGGAAGAGGAAGGCGGAGGCAGTTGCGGAGGACGTTGTTGAGGGGGCGATTGATGTGGCTGTGGTGAGGACGTTGTTGAATGGCTTTTATGTGTTAGCAAGAGATTACATTGTCGTTAGGTGGCTGAGGGTTGCATACATCAAGGTAAGGCCCGCCACGACCTAGTAGCCGCTTCATTCCTCGGAGGAGATTTCCCCAGCCTTGGTTCTCGCCATCTTCATCGATGCGACTTGTCCAGTCCCGTTGTCCTGTGCAGACAAGGAGCTGCTGTGTGTAGGCTGCCATTGTCCCGTTTAATGTTTGCTCGTGGTCGATCGGTAGGCCCTCGGGCATAGCAGGTGTCGGGCAATCGCAGCTTGACCCGGGGCAGGTTTTCGTCACGGGAAATGGAGGTGGGATGTCCAGACGCACGCGCAGTCTGCTATTGTGGTTTCGAGTCGTGGATAGCAAGCGTATGCGACATGTCTGTCCAGTCCAGTCGCGCGCGACGGACTGCAGCATTGTTGGTTGCAATCTCATCGCATAAATTTACAAGCAGCCAAGAATGCAAAATAAATTAGACAGTCAAGTAAGAGTAAAAGAGCGAGTGTTGATGAGTATTAAGGAATTGCTATCTCCGAGCGCAGAGTCCGAGTCGGACCGGAGCTCGGTATTATCAATCGCCGCTTGTCATTCGCTGCTCTCTCTCGCCTTGTGTTCTCCCTCCTTCCAAACATTCAATCCAAACATTGTGAAATTGTGTATGTCGAAATACGAATTTCTCTTCAATTACATCACATTCAATTTTAGTTCCTGATTCTCGGATGCTGTATATCCGAGTCCACGGTTCTCATGGAGATAGAACCATCGACTGACCACTCCAGCGCACCGAAGCTAACCGATTGAGATCAAAGTAAGTGATTCTCTGACGCATGAAAGTCGTGGAGCAATTCGTGGTGTATTCGGATATACAAGTCAATGCTGTCGCAAGGTCCCTATGCACGAAGCGGAGGTTTGCGACCTAGAAAATAACCATCAGTACGAGAATTAGTGTCCCAAAATTGGAGAGGTCAATGCGACAAAGAAGCCCATCAGAGCACGAAGCGTGTCCAAACAAGCCTCTGAGTTGCCCCGCAGCTGATCATGCGACAATTCGAGGATACGCGCCGAAGTCTCGAACCTCGTGTGGAGTATCCCATCGCACTACACTGGACATGAATGAATATTTGGCCTGTTGTAATCATCGGAGGGGCAGTGAAGTGTATAGCGCTGGTGATGCGCGGATATTGCTGCTATATTCACATTGTCAAAGACTGACTCTCGGACACTGTGCTAATTCTGGCATTCATCGTAATCAAGTAAGTCGCAGCTGTTCAATTGAACCCAGACTCCTGGCCGAACCTTGGGAAATGGAAATGACAGACACGCAAGTCAACTCGTATCATGCAAGGCAATTGACGGCGCAAGACAAACACGACGGGCAAGGAAGTTCGCGGGTGATGGTGGATTAAAACAATTCACCACCCCCTCTTCATTCTTGATCCGGTCATGCATTCCGGCCTGAATCAAGTTGGAAGTGCAGTGGACCCGTGCGGACATTTCTCCAACCTCCTCAGAAATCTCCTCAGAGGAGGCATATCGTGGCGGGTCACGGAATTGGAGATGAGGGAAGGCCGACTTTCGGCAGAAGCGCGGGTGTAACTCGGCCTGGGTTCCGGGAGATAGGATGGACGGCCGATGGGCAATGGACAAGCGGGTAATGGTCTCCTTAGTGCCTTGTGGGATGGACCAACGGACATGAGACTTGGAGATTGGATATCAACAGATTCATGTAACTTGTTTCCCTGAGTCCGAAATCTACCCCTCATTAGGTCAGCGCCCCTCTGCGGGGAAATTTGGGCTGAGGTAACGGCTGACTACTCCCCCTGTCCAAGTCACTTTCCAAGGAAATAGGTAGAGAGATCTATAAGATCATATTGCATAGCTTATGTTAAATGAGATATGGTTGCTATACTCAATTATAGTACATGCTGTTCCTTCGAAGTGATCTATTAGGAACAATATAAGCTTCAATAGGTCATATAGTAGAGTCCTTGTCAGATGGGGTACCAATTAGCTAACAGTAACATATGCGAGCTGCATGTAGGATGTAGGATGTACGATGTACGATGTACGTGGGCCCGTATCAAGGTTCGGAGGATCAGCCGGAGAGTGAAACCCCTCGTGTAAAGTTGAAAGTGTCCCTCATGCGGAGACACCAAAGTGGAAACACCAGTTGCCGTCCAGTCCCGCAGTTGGAGTGTACCTCTGTAGTGCCAGTCTATATATTGTCCTCGGTTTGCTGTCTCAATCTGGCTTCCTCATCCTCTCTTCATCTCATCTTCATCTGGTAAGTTCAAAGCCCTCAGTACTCAATCTTTTGTTATTTTTATATACATCAGAGCTCCCCGCGTGCCCCACTCTCCCCGCTGCTTTCTCCAACGCCGCTTTAGGTTGATTGACTTCATCGACTGCATCATATAAGACCACAGGCTGACCTCCTGTAGATTCCATCTTCAACTTTATTTTCACACATTCACAATGGTATTTATTCGTTCCCTTTCCCGTCAAATGAGACGGCCTTTCCTGTCAGGCCTTAAAGCTACCCCGTTCGCTCGGGCGACACCTTTTTCTATCTCCGGAGCACGAACGCTAACTGCCACCGCCAATCTACAGGGCAAGGTTCTTTTGGTTCTTTATGACGTAAGTCTTTTAACTCCTACAAATCCACCAGCATTACTAACATAACCTAGGGTGGTGAGCACTCCAAGCAGCAGCCTGCTCTGCTTGGAACTACTGAGAACGAGCTCGGCATCCGCAAGTGGCTCGAGGATGCTGGCCACACCCTGGTCACCACCTCCGACAAGGAGGGCGAGAACTCCACCTTTGACAAGGAGCTCGTCGATGCCGAGGTCATCATCACCACTCCCTTCCACCCCGGTTACCTGACCGCTGAGCGTCTGGCCAAGGCCAAGAAGCTCAAGCTCGCCGTCACTGCCGGTATCGGTTCCGACCACGTTGACCTCAACGCCGCCAACACCACCAACGGCGGTATCACCGTTGCCGAAGTCACCGGCTCCAACGTCGTCTCCGTCGCTGAGCACGTTGTCATGACCATCCTCCTCCTGGTCCGCAACTTCGTTCCCGCCCACGAGCAGATCAAGAGCGGCGACTGGAACGTGGCCGCCGTCGCCAAGAACGAGTTCGATCTCGAGGGCAAGGTAGTCGGTACCGTCGCTGTCGGCCGTATCGGTGAGCGTGTCCTCCGCCGTCTCAAGCCCTTCGACTGCAAGGAGCTCCTCTACTACGACTACCAGCCCCTCTCCGCCGAGGCCGAGAAGGAGATTGGCTGCCGCCGTGTCGAGAACCTCGAGGAGATGCTCGCCCAGTGTGACGTCGTTACTATCAACTGCCCCTTGCACGAGAAGACCCGCGGTCTCTTCAACAAGGACCTCATCTCCAAGATGAAGCCCGGCGCTTGGCTTGTCAACACCGCCCGTGGCGCCATTGTCGTCAAGGAGGACGTCGCCGAGGCCCTCAAGTCTGGCCACCTCCGCGGATACGGTGGTGATGTCTGGTTCCCCCAGCCTGCCCCCAAGGACCACCCTCTCCGCTACGCTGAGCACCCCTGGGGTGGCGGCAACGGCATGGTCCCCCACATGTCCGGTACTTCCATCGATGCTCAGGTCCGCTACGCCAACGGCACCAAGGCTATCCTTGACAGCTACTTCTCCGGTCGTGAGGACTACCGCCCTGAGGACCTGATTGTCCACAAGGGTGACTACGCCACCAAGGCCTACGGCCAGCGCAAGTAAAAATGCTGAGTCTGTTTATGTTTTTCTGTATGAATGTTCATAAGCCCTGATGGGCGATGCTGAAAAGGTAGCATCATTCACGATACCAATGAAATAATATTTAAGTGATTTCTTTCCTATTTGAGAAGCATTTGAAACGTGATGATCGGTGGAGACGTCGATCCCAGTGGAGTCTTAAGCATTCAACTTCGGCTTCCCGATACTGTAGAAAATTTATATACTTCAACGGTTAATCTCTACAATATTAGTCTAACTAAGTAATGTCGACAACAGAAGTGAACAAAGTGATATAAAACGCCAAACCAATGCAATACAGAACGCCCAATTATGGATATGTCTAGAATAAACCCCATACCCCAGAAACCCAAAAACTAGAACGGTTTCCACGGGACAAATTGCTAAAATAACCACTTCACTCCACATCCTCAACGCCTCCCAATCCCATTCCCATTCCCACTCCTCTCCTCATCACTCTCACTATCGTCCATAAAACCCACCTCCAACTCCCGACTCAACCTCCTCTCAGTCCCATCCCCACGTCTCCCCTCCAAAACCTCCCGTCTAGCAGCATCCATCTCCATCCTCACCAGAATCTCCCCCTCCTCATCATCAATACTGATATTGTCATCTTCGTGGTGCATGTGATGCGCCCCCCGCGAACGGAGAAAGAAGCGCATTAGCTTGTCGGCTATCCGGTCTCGGAGGGAGAGAGTGTGCGCTGATATGTTGTGTAGTGGGAGGTATTGGCTGTAGCGGGTGTGGTAGCGTCGGAAGAGGGGGAGGATTAGGCAGGTTGTTAGGAGGTAGATTGTTAGGGCTATTAGGGCTGGTATTAGGATTGTCTGTTTTTGTTAGGATTGTTTGTTTGTTTGGGGTTTGGGGGTTGGGTTCTTTGGGTAGAGGGGTAGTTGAGGGATGAGTGGGTGGTGGGTAGGTGGTCTGGTCTGGAGCTTGGGGTGTTGTTGCTGGGGGTTGATGTATGTGCAGGCAGAGGTATGGATGCTGGTGTATAGGGGTGAGCTTACCTTTGCGAAGACGCCTGATGATCCCATGTTGGGCCGAGTCGCGTGGGCTTCAGGGCGATAGGTATGCGCTGGGTATGTATTAGGTGTATGGTCTCTTGTGCATGCGACTAGATACGGGGTAGAATCGGAGTCCGGGGCTCAGGCTCAAGCGTGCAGATCGCCGCGAGACCTTGATAGAGGTTCAACACGTGACCGGACCTAATGTTTCTCCGGAGCCCCCTAATCAATAGATGATTGACGCTTGGGCTTGAAGACTAGACTTGACTGCAAATCTTCTTTAATTTCCGTTGACCTTCTGAGGGCATGTTTGTACATGTGTATGTGTCCTGAATCTTTTCTCGCTTGACCCCTCGGTAACTCCGTAGTAACGGGAACTAACTCATCCCAGGGACACAAACAGACCGTTTTCGAATTGAATGTCACCACGCCCTATAGATCCCCATAGCTAGCGCTTTGGATCCGATTTATTGTTCCTTTGCATCTGCATCTCAGAGTGTCGAGGGAGCCCCTATGCTGTGCCCCTCTAATTGAAGCCCGCCAATATGCCGTCCAGCTCACACGCCGACAAATCGAGGCAAACGTCGGCTGGAAAATCGTTTTTCGGACGCAAGTTGTACAAAGAGAAACCTGCGGAGGATCGATATGATAATTATGGCGGTTCCTTCGACAGCCTGGCTCCCCCGGGGAGTGCCGCTGGCTCACGCTCATCCCGCTATTCAAAGCGGTCTTCAATCCAATCCGTCGATATGACCCATGACTTAGACACAGGTAGCCTCGCTCCCACTGCCGGTGTGATCACTTCCATCCCCTTCGAAAGCCTTCCTTCCGACACGCGCACGCCCATCTCAATCGACAGCATGTCCCGTCCGGATTCGCGCCATGAACCCTCGCCCAACCACCTGGGTAAAGCTGGAGCGGACTTCCACCAATATCCTACCTGGACCTCGACATCTGCGCCAAATGGCTCGCCTTCACATCCCTCTGGCCCGCGTCCTCCCCCGCATGGCTCAAACACCACCATGTCAAGTAGCCAGTCGGGCGCGGGCGGTGCCAGATATCAACAATGGGGACGACCAGGTAGTTCAGCCGCGAACATGGGTCCCAGCCATAATTCCTCTTCGATCGATTCATCCTCCAACTCGCGCACCTCTCTCGACCAAACAAGCCTTTATTCCTCTGTTTCGTCGAATGCGCGGGGTTCAAACTACTTCGCCTCGGACGGCTCTTCCCGCACCCTCACACCCTCACATTCAAGTGATCGCAACATTGGTTTCCCTCAAAGCTCTAATTCTGGCCGCTTGTCAAATGCCCCATCAACACACCAGATCTCGCAACCTATACCGGCCGCTGTACCCCGGCCACAAGATAATTATCTCACTCGACCGAGAGACGACCGGATTGTGGATCAGCTATTTCTGGAGTTGATGCAGAAGAGAGGCTGGCAGAATCTTCCTGAGCAAGCGAAGCGGCAGATGTTGTCATACCCCGCCTCAAAGAAATGGACGCTTGTACACCAGGATCGTCTTACTGAGTTACAAGGCGAGCAGAAGAGACGACAGAATGCCCGACAAACTCATGGTCATGATGGTCTGTCTGGTTTGCTGGAGCGTGCTGACGAAGATGGTAGTCCGGAGTGGTATGTGAAGAAGGTTATGGATGATACTATTACTTCCAAGCAGCTTGCCAGCTTGAGCGTGAGCTTGCGCACACAACCTATCAGGTAAGCTTTTCTTCTTTGATGTTGTTACACACACTAACCACTATATAGCTGGGTGAAAGCCTTTGTTGAAGCTCAAGGTCAAGTTGCATTGACCAATGTCCTCTTGAAGATCAATCGTAGGAAAGCATCTGGTCCTGTACCAGCGCCACCAACGGGAGATAAGGATCTCGACCGCGAATATGATATTGCCAAATGTTTGAAAGGTCTCATGAACAACAAATATGGTGCAGATGATGCTCTAGAACATCAAAATGTCCTGGTTGCCCTTGTCAGCTCCCTATCATCCCCCCGTCTGAACACCCGGAAACTCGTCAGTGAGGTTCTTACCTTCCTCTGTCACTGGGGCGATGGCCAAGGCCACCAAAAGGTCCTCCAGTCCATGGACAAGGTCAAAAACGACCACAATGAAACTGGCCGCTTCGACGCCTGGATGCGTATCGTCGAGGTCACCATCGATGGCCGTGGAAAGATGGGCAGTCTGGTCGGTGCCAGCGAGGAGTACCGCAGCGGTGGTATCGGCATGGAGAACCTACTCATGGAATATGCCGTGTCAACCATGATCCTGATCAACATGTTGGTCGATGGAGCCGAAACAGACCTGCAGCTACGATGCCACATCCGCGCACAGTTCACATCATGTGGAATCAAACGTCTGTTGACCAAGATGGAGGGCTTCCAATACGAGGTCATCGACAAGCAAATCGAGCGGTTCCACGATAACGAAGCTATCGATTATGAGGATCTCCTTCAGCGCGAGAACAGCAGCGTCAAGGATAGCATCGAGGGCGAAGTCAAGGATATGAGCGATCCCATGCAGATCGTTGATGCAATTTCGTCCAAGATCAATGGCAGTCGCTCTCACGACTACTTCCTGTCCGCCATGCAGCATATGCTTCTGATCCGGGAGAACTCCGGTGAGGAGGGGCTGCGTATGTTCCAGCTGGTGGACGCTATGCTGAGCTACGTGGCTATGGACCGAAGGTTGCCCGACCTTGACCTACGGCAGGGGTTGACCTTTACCGTGCAGAGCTTGTTAGATCGACTGCATACCGACGCTGAGGCGAGACGGGTATACGATGAGTCTCTCGAGGCTCGGCAGATTGCCGAGGCTGCCATCGCCGAGCGTGACGAGATGAGAGCCCAGGTTGAGCTTGGTGCAGAGGGCCTGGTCAAGAAGCTGCAGAAGCAAATTGAAGAGCAGGCTGGCATTATCGAGCTGCAACAACGACAGAATGAATCTTTCAAGGCTGAGGTTGCGGAAGTACAGCGATTGCGTGCGCAGGAATTGCAACGCAATGAGTTGGAAACTAGAGAATTATACCTCATGCTCAGAGATGCTCAGGATATCGCCGCTTCAAATGCTCGCAAGGCTGCCAATCCTGAAGCCGAGGCTGATCCTTCCCAGATGCCTGGTATCATGGATCGGGAACGACTCATGGAGCGTCTGGAGCGTCAGCTCGAGCGGACCAAGACCCAGTTCAAGCTTGAAGGCAAGGTTTGGGGCCAGCATGGACCATCTGATCGCTTGCGTGAATTACGTGAGAAGATGGATGGCGAGGGTGAGGACAGTGATGAATTCGCTGAAACTACCAGACGCAACCTGGACCCCGGTTCTCTGGGCTCTGTCTATCGCAAGCGCAGCCATGTCCCTGAGATGGATGCTGTTGAGGATGGAGAAGAAATCTTGGACAACAATGGCCAGCCGATTGATCGGGCTCGTCTTGCTGATCTATACCGTCACCGTCTGAACCCTGCCCAGGCTACTGGTTTACTAGGCGAGATTGCGTCTAGGGTTCCTAAGTTCGATGCTGAAGATCCTGATGCTACTCCGACTGCACCTGATGCTGCTGAAGGTGAGCAGACTCCTGTCGCAGCTCTGCCCCCTCCGCCTCCTCCTGGAGGCAAGATGGTCCCTCCACCACCTCCTCCCCCCGGAGGCTTGGCTGTTCCTCCTCCCCCACCTCCGCCAGGTGGCAAGATGGTTCCCCCTCCACCTCCACCACCGGGTGGAGCAGCTGGACTGCCTCCTCCCCCGCCGCCTGGTGGAAAGGTTGGACTGCCCCCTCCACCTCCGCGGGGTGGTACCAAGGGTGTTCCTGGACTTCCACCACCGCCTCCACCCCCCGGTGGAAAGGTTGGAGCACTCCCTCCCCCGCCTCCTCCAGGTGGTGGTGGAATGGCTCCTCCCCCCTCCCCCACCAATTCCTGGTGCCAAGGGTCTCATGCCTCCTCCGCCTCCACCCCCCAACGCTCCCCTTGGCTCCGGCTGGCGAGCGGCATACCTGGTTGGCGATGTTTCACCTGGTACAACCATGATGCCTTCTATCCGACCTAAGAAGAAGCTCAAGGCTCTGCATTGGGACAAGGTCGATACTCCTCAAGTGACTGTCTGGGCTGCGCACGCGCCCACCGCCGAGCAGAAAGAAGAGAAGTACACCGAGCTCGCTAAGAAGGGTGTATTGGACGAAGTCGAACGACTGTTTATGGCAAAGGAGACCAAGATCTTCGGAGCCAGCACCGCCGCCAAGCAGCGCAAGGACAAGAAACAGATCATCTCGAACGATTTGTCCAAGAACTTCCAGATCGCCTTGGCCAAGTTCTCTCAATATCCCGCCGAAGAGGTAACCCGCATGATCATCCACTGTGACAAGGATATTCTCGACAACATGGTCGTCATGGACTTCTTGCAACGAGAGGAGATGTGCAACATTCCCGAGAACGTCGCCAAGCTCATGGCACCATATAGCATGGACTGGACCGGCCCTGGCGCAGCCAGCTCTGATCGGGAACAAGATCCTACTGAGATCACCCGTGAAGACCAGATTTATCTCTACACTGCCTTCGAGTTGAACCACTACTGGAAAGCAAGAAACCGAGCTCTTGCTCTGACACGCTCATATGAACCAGAGTACGAGCATCTCTCAAGCAAACTGAAGGAGGTCGCACGAGTCAGCGAGTCACTGCGTGATTCCGTTTCCTTGATGAACGTTCTCGGTTTGATCCTGGATATTGGTAACTTCATGAACGACGCAAACAAGCAAGCCCAGGGTTTCAAGCTGAGCTCCCTTGCTCGACTGGGCATGGTCAAGGACGACAAGAACGAGACGACCTTTGCTGATCTTGTCGAGCGTATCGTTCGTAATCAGTATCCTGAGTGGGAAGGTTTCCTTGAGGAGATCAGTGGTGTCATTGGTCTGCAGAAGATTAATGTTGATCAGCTGCGCACTGATGCTAATAAGTACATCGGCAATATCAAGAACGTGCAGTCCAGTCTAGATGCTGGTAACCTGAGTGATCCCAAGCGATTCCACCCTGAGGATCGTGTCAGCCAGGTCGTTCAGCGGTCTATGAAGGATGCCCGGCGCAAGGCTGAGCAGCTGCAGCTCTATCTCGATGAGATGGTCAAGACGTATGATGATATTATGGTCTTCTACGGTGAAGACAATGCGGACGAGAATGCCAGACGTGACTTTTTCGCCAAGCTAAGTGCGTTCTTGGTTGAGTGGAAGAAATCCCGCGAGAAGAATACTTCTTTGGAGGAATCGCGGAAACGCACAGAAGCATCCCTCGCTCGCAAGCGTATCAACGTTAACCTTGCCAACAATGGTCCCCCTACGGAAACTGCCAATTCGCCTGCTACAAGTGGTGCCATGGATTCATTGCTTGAGAAGCTACGTGCCGCGGCGCCTCAAGCCAAGGATCAACGAGACCGTCGTCGTCGTGCTCGTCTCAAGGAGCGCCATCAGGTCCGTGTGGCCTCTGGCCAGAAACCGCCGTCTGATATAAATGACGCGGAAGAAGAAGATGGGACTGAGAAGCCGGCTGATGGCGAAGGCCGTGCTGACGAGAATGGTCATCTCAGCCCTCCAATCCCTGAAGACGAAGATGGCAAGCAAGAAGCTCAGGTTTCTGAAGGGGAGGATGTTGCCGATCGTGCTGCTAGCATGCTCCTCGGTCTACGGAGTAATTCTGATGCAGGCGGCGAGCGCCAAAGAAGGAGAAGAGAGAGCGCCGACGAAGAGCGTCGTAATCGCCGCATGAGACGCCGCAATCCTGCAACGAGCGGAAGCAAAGATAGTGCCGATGGCGGCCTTCCCACAGTGCAAGAACCTGCTTCTCCAACGCGGACGGAATCCGCAGTCACGGATGATCCCCCCGCCAGTCCACCCGACTCTCAACCTCCACCTTCGATTGTCGTCTCAGAGCAGGATGACGCATTATCACAAGACCCTCCCTCGGAGGGTTCCTCCCCCAGAAACCAATCGATTTGTCGGACTGAGTCTGCCGACTATCTCTAATCTAATGTTTGATTGTTCGATAGATTCACCCCGATGTCATCCTCTTTCATCACTACACTCTCAACTACCAACTACTCTACCATACATCCGCCCTCGATTGTATAATACCCCACCAATACCCTCCTTGAACCCGCCCTCTCCTTGATCTTGATTTGATGAGCCGAGCATGGTGTCATGATACCATTTCCTTGTTTCTTCTCTTCTTTTCTGCTTTCCTTTTTCCGTTCCCCTCTTTATCCTGCTCCCGCTCTATCTTGCCAGCATCCATGCATGTTGAATCTTCTTTTCCTTTCCATTTTCATTTTCATTTTCATCTCCATCATCATCTTTACATACCCACTTGACATTTCTGTTCTTCGTGCGGTTCTCGCCTCATCTCTCTTTGTACATAATCGTTTCTCTTTATTCCTTTTAACATGTTATGCTGCCCGTTATGGAAATGCTGCCATGATTTGAGAGTATATCATACAATTGCATTTGAGCTGTTTGTTCACGCTGCATTTTGATTTCTGTTTTCTCCTTTTGCCTTTGCATGACTAATTTCTGTGTGGGTTGTTTTGACGGGTCTGCGTACTATGTGTCCAGACTATATAGCATCAGACTATAGAGTTGCGTTTCATGTATTTACATTGCGCTTCTTGTTAGATGTATAGTTGGTAGATGCAATTGATAACATGGTTTCTTTCGAAATAAGCAATGTCTGACATGCAGATGATTGATAGCTATGCTGATAGATATCCCCAGCATTGACCAATCTCTATAGATAGTCGCCTTTTATAGTATTCTTCTTGCCCTGGTAATTGTTATAAATTCACTGAAGTCAAGTATAACGATACTGATTATATTGGCTCTAATTTCTCACGATGTACTATCGTACGGCGCATGTAACTTGTAATGTATTATCCATTCTATGGGTCTCTAGTACAATGAATACCCAAAGAGCTATGCTTAAAGCCACAAACGAAGCTCCAAACAAGAAGCCCAAAAAAAGAAATAGTAGGTGAAGAGAACTTAGGAATTCTACAACACAAAGCAAAGTCTAACAGTGAAGAGAACCAACTATCTCTTCAATGAAGAAGCCACATGGAAGAACAAGGATGCTGCCAGCCTGAGACATGGCTATTCATAGCACACCCTGCACCACCCTCCATCGGCGGTTATCCGACAGATACCCTCGCCGAATTTCAAGATAGCAAGAAGGTGCCACCCGTGCCCCTTTCTTTTTGCAAGACCAGGAGACCAGGGGGGAGGGGTGACAAAGCAAAGGGCCCGATTTGGTTTTTGACCAAGGCTCTCTGTGAAGTACACTCGGGCTCAGTTCCAAGAGGGGATGATGTGGGTGCTTCTGCAGGGGAACAACGTGGGTTTCTTATTTTATCTTCGGGGTTAGATTCGCCCATGTGGTTTGTAATATGCGACATACGATAGTGTGATTGGGTAAGCGAGGATCTGGTGATTCTGAATCTCAGTCTCCAATCTTCTAGAAGGGAAGATGCAGCCAAGTTATTCTTAGATCTGACATGATTTGGAAAGATGTCGGCAGTCACCCCTGGAAGCCCGATCCATGGATGAAGTAGCCCAATAGGGGAAAGAGTTAACTCTAAGATTAACCCCAAACCATGGTTCGGTGGATCTCAAAGAAGTATGTTTCAACCTCAAACTTGAACGGGCTCTTCTCAGCTGAAAGAGCCTCGTTCAGCTGCATTGCGCAGATATTATACCGTAGCATCGGCTCTCAAATGGAGCGAAATTCCGTCCTCCTCGGGCCTGATCTGGAAGTTTAGGGCGTGCCGAAATCTTGTATCGGTACGTCCGGCTGCCTGGCTGAGACACCCGGTCTACCAAGTACTCCGTACGGAAAGCTAGGTAGCCCCAGAGCTCTGACTCAGACAGCTACCATGCTTGTTTGACAGGAGGCTGGCCTTTACTTACGAAACAGGGAAAATTACTTGCGCAGAGACAAGATCGATTTCTCCAATTGAGCTGAAAAATTCAAGGCTGCTGGACAATACGAAATTCCGGAGCAATTATCTCCAAGTCCGGACTGTATTTTGTTCTATTGTGGGATAGAAGATTCTGGGTGCCTGAATGATTCATCGCGTTCCTGGGACCGGGGACCAAGGCAGACAACTTTCAAAGGGATTTCTTATAAATATGGACGAGTGACGCGGGAATTGGGTTCGCTATTATCATACAATATTAATTTGGTCATCTGTCTATTCATACAAGTATACAAACACCGCTATATAACAAGCTTAACATCTCGAGGTGGTTTAGCAGTTCGGCACTTTGAACATCTTTCTCTCCGTCTAGATCCTTTTGCCTGATTTCGCTCTCAGCAAATGTCTCCTACAATGGGTCGAGGAGGATACAACACCCCGGCGAACCACCCAAGCCCAGAGCCTGCGTCTCCCAGTCAAACTTAGACTTGGATAGCTCGTCATGTCAGAACACGCATAACAGGCATGAAGATCATCTGCATCTCAATTGCAGCCTTCAGCCAGCCGATATCATGACTCTTACCGAGCAAGATCGACTTGGACAGTGTTGCAGATCAACATGATCTATCGGAAGCATACTCCAATCGGGCCATTCACTTGCCGACACAGAATCTGCAATATCGTCAGCTCATCATCCAGACTGGAGGACCCATTGTCTCTATTGGACTTACTTTTCAAAGACAACTCCCAATACATCCTCGACATCTCCACTTTCGCCTTTGCCTGTGATCTTGGCCAACATATCCGCTGCAAAGCGAAGATGTTCTGCAGCAGTGACAATATCGATTTCGGACTCGTGGTCAAGAGATGAAAGCCCACTCTCCTGTGAGTCGGGGGATTTGACGGAAGAGGCTTGGGACATGAAGTCGTCCAGATGGCCGAGACAGATTTGTAAATTAGAGCTTTGGCGATGAGTGACGCCAAGAGAATCCTCCCAATACGAAAGATCATATTGAGTAATTCCATCTTCGTCCATGCCGAGGGGAGAGGCAATCTGTTCGAAAGTCGAGATTAGACCGCGTAGGAATCCTTGTAAATTTCCAGGGTCTGTAGTAGTCGCAGAAGATCCACGCTGTGCCTCTTCGCAAGAAATGGCAAACACGCGATCGGCTGGTACCGCTGGGAAGATCTCATGGATCGTATTAGACAACGACTGTGGTACACCACCGGTCAAATCAGGGTGTAGCTTGTCGCACTTGTTAATCGCCACAAGAAGACACTTTCCCGCATCCACGCAGTCATTAACCGCATCGAGGACCTCCGGCTCAACGAAGAGACGAACTCCATCATTAGAGTCTTCCAAGGAAACCACCACGATAACAACATCCGACTCCAAAGCTCTCTCCCTAGCCCTGCGAATGCCCTCCTTCTCAACAGCTCCAATAACAACCTCTCCATTCCCATTCCCATCCCCCCGCTCAGCCCTAATCCCCGCCATATCACCAAGCTTACAAAACCACCCGCCAAGATCAACCCCAACATCAACGATATCCCGAGTAGTCCCCTGCTCAGTACTAACAATAGCAGCCTCCTTTCCAACAACGCGATTCAAAAGCGAGCTCTTACCCGCATTCGGCGCCCCCAAAAGCGCAACGCGAATCCCATTTCTCAGCAACTCCCCGCGCGACGCATTCCGAATATGAAACCCAATTTGCACACTCAACACACCCACCTGCGCCGCAACAGAAGAAACCAGCTCCTCAGTCGACTCGTCGAAATGCTGATCCTCAGAGAAATCAATCAACGCTTCTAACTCGCCGCGCGCGTATAGCAATTGCTGTCGCCAGGTATCATACCGCTTTAGCAATGCATCGCTGGATCCGCGCACGGCCAGTCGGCGCTGCTGCTCTGTATCTGCGGAGAGTGTATCGCTCAATGCTTCGATCTGGGGGAGGCCTAGGCGGTCGTTCATGAATGCCCGACGGGTGAATTCGCCCGGTTCGGCGTAGCGGATTTCATGGCTTGGGCTGTTTGTTTTGGAGATTGCGGCGAGAACTGCTTTGACGATTGCTGGCCCGCCGTGGATGTGAAATTCTAGAACATCTTCGCCTGTCACTGTTTTTGGATTTGGGAAGAAGAGGACCAGAGCGCCTGCGTCGAGGATTGTGTTTTGGGATGGTGGCTTGGTTGGATCGTATAGGGTGCGGAGAGCTGCGAGGCGGGGTTTCGGGAGGGGATTATTTGGGCAGAGGGCTTTGTATATCTAGATTGTGTTGTTAGATTGTGCTATGTGGTATGGAGGGGTTGCGCGATTGCATACTGGTACACTGGCTGGGCCGGAGACGCGTACTACAGCGATGGCTGCTCTACCGGGTGCAGTGGAGAGGGCGTAGATTGTGGAGTCTGCATCTAACATAAACCGAGTTGGTAAGGTCGACGAGAATGCACGAGCTTGGCCGCCCGTTCTCCGCAGGACTGGCGTTTTGGGGGAGAAGACATGACGTCGGATATGGGCCTTATTCGATGTCGCAGTCCACGGTCGACTCGTTGCTTGACCAAAGGGGACGGCCCAGCGCAATAGTCGGTTAGATGCTCGCATGCAGAGATGGGCCAAAGGCGAGTGAATGTCGATGTAGCTGATTGTTGGATTCCTGGTCAAAAACATCGACACCTCAGGCGTACGCCCGGTCGGGCTATTGTTTCCCCGAAGTATAGCAGTAGCAACAGATGATGAGAAAGAGAACAAACTAAATCAGGAATAAAGAATGAAGAGTGAGTCGGCACTCTAGTTAAAGTCAAAGTAGGAGTTGTATGTTCATCTGAGAGCACAAATTACGGTGTTGCAAAAATATTTGAGTGTAATGGAACAATTATGGAAGGTCGTAATTGTCGGAACTTGCTGTCTTCCGTAACTTGCTCAGCCAATGAGGGCATTCAAATCTCTGTCATTTATTACTTGCTATTTCTTGCTATTTATGCTATGCTCATCCTTAGTAATCCGCTCATTCGGAGTTACTATAATTCCGGTTCTCAATCCGTATTCATGAATGCAGCACTGACAGTAATTCATAGCCATAATATTAAGATACATGATCTTGTCTCCCCGGTATTCCTCCACTGTCAATCGATGTGAAATTTGCTGTGCTCTCCATCTCCTTAAGATCAATTCATTTACCTCCCTGCTTCATCAAACCCCTCTCACGAAAATGCAAACAAAGAACACTCCTTCCTGCCCTGGTGTATCTGGTCAACCAAGTGAATGCTGATATAGGAGCCGAAAATGTGAGAGTAATGAAAACGCAAGATTCTGATCCGCACCATTCCCCCCTCCCCCCGTGTAGATAGCTAGTCAAGTTCCATCACATCAAGTCGTCGACGGTATCCGTACCGTACGCATGGTAGTAGTCGAGGATAAATTTTTGCAAGGCGCCCAAGCAATGGTCAGGGTGAAGGAGGTGCTGGCATTCATTGCTCCTCTCAACATGGTAGTATACCTGGGAGATCTGCTGGAAATAGACCCCGCATGTGTAGCAAAAAAAGGGAAATTGATCAGTGATCTTGTTGGCGCACCAGGCGTATTCAGGAGTCTCAAAGACGAGCTCCCTGATGCGGCCGTACTTGACGCACCTGCCTTCTTCCCAGTGGTGAAGAATGCCCGAGAATCCGACGAAGCAGTTCTCACAGAACCAGCACTTCCAGTGGTGGAGATGCGGGTTGTTGGACGTGGCACCGGGGCCCATGGTCGCCATGATGGTTGATGTTGGTGGTGATATGAATGGGGCTGAGTGGAGAGTGGAGAGTGGATGGTCGTGGGTGAGGATGAGTGTGAGTGTGAAGATGTGAAATGTTAAGGTCAAATTCTCAAAGGCTGAAAATCTGAAAAGACGAAGAACATGGAGCAGGGAAAAGAACAAGAAGAAAGAAATGAAAGCGGCGGTATAAATAATCGAGCAAACATGAATTAGGAAATCGCGAGATACTCACAAGGAAGGCACGACCACGGCCCTCCAGCAACTCAACTCGTGTTTGCCTCAGATTTACAACACTCAAGTAATGAAACCAGCTCTGAAATTATTCTGATGGAATTTATGCAGTCATTTCATATGGTCCGCTTCGGTGGCCCATCCTTGAGACAGGATCAGTGTCCATATCTCCCTCAGGTGCTGTATATACAGAAGATATCGAAGCCGAATCTGAGTCGGAGTGATCATCAACGGTATCTTGAGTACATTCAGACAATTCTTCGAGCCTCGGAGTCGGAGCATCGCTTTCACGCCGAGAAGGAGCTGTTCTAGGAACGCGACTCTCTTGGCTTTGATCCTGTGACTGCACTGGCGTATCCATAGTGGCAGAGCCTCCAGCCTTCGAGCGGCGAGATGGTATCCCCGAAGATCCCTGGGAAAACTGAGAGGTAAAGATGGGGATTTGTCGAGGAATGAAAGTGGCCGACACCGGTGGTTCTTCTCTGGCTGGAAGCCGGCTTGCAATCCTCCTAGCAGGATCCTGTTCGGGTTGACGCATAGGAGATACCTCACGAGAATCATTGCGAGCAGAATGAATTTGCCCGTTTACTAGCGGTAATATTTGCTCACCGGGTCGCATACGGATATGCGACAAGGGGTTGATGGACTGTGGAGGTTCAGCTCGATAGCCACGCTCAGGAGTTGTTGAACGACTGCTAGGCAGACCTTGCTCCAGAGTTGCGGGGAGCTCTTGAGGTAAGAAGCTTTCACCGTCTCGTAATTTACGAGACGGTAAATATTGAGTGGGAGAATTCCCCTGGTTCACAGTCTGGGGCATAATTGGGGCATGACTTGAGGGCATCAGACCAGACTCCGCCAGAGCCTGATTGAGAAGTTCTCTCACCCGAGCCTTGCAGTCGTCAGAGATAATGGCATCTGGCGAGAACCCGATTGTCTCCGGCATGCGAATGATATCTGGGACATCCATGTCGGGTATACTAGTGCGAGCCAAGAGCGTCTGAAGAACATCCAGATGGCCATGATATGCCGCATAGCGGAAAGGCTGCCAGCCGCCCTCGTCCTTTTTGGATGCCGATGCGCCGCGCTCTAGTAGTAGCGAGACCACAGGTAGATGGCCTGCCATAGCAGCCAAGCATAGAGGAGAGTCACTGCGGGACGTAGCTTGGTGCTTCTGATAGAGAGGAGATCCTCGATCCAGGAGCGTTCGCACCGCAGCCACATGCCCACAGCGACATGCTACACTTAGAGGCCGGTCTCCAGCGCCGTCCCGGGCATCTAAAGAAGCTCCTTTGTCACAAAGAAGATTCAAAAGGTGTGTTGAGCTACGTGCTGCTGCAACATGCAAAGGTCTTTGCTGATGTTGATATTCCGATGCTTCAATGTCAGCACCTTGTAAGAGCAACAGTGTTGCTATCTCGATACTGTCCGCCATACAGGCATAATGAAGCGGAGTAAGACCTGTTCCACATTGGCTGTTGAGGTCGGCCCCTTTACGTAGTAATGGCTCAACGACAGCAAACTGTGTTTGAATAACGGCCAAATGCAGAGCGGTTCGTCCCATTGCATTAACCTTAGCCAGAGATCCTTTCTTCTGGCTGAGAATTTCGACCGTCTCTTCGTGACCATTGTAGGCAGCCCAATGCAGAGCAGTCATCCCAATGTCATCTATACCACTTAACGAAGCCTTTTGTTTAGATTTCAATAGGAATTCAACAGCCTGGGACCGGCCTGCCTCGGCAGCACATATCAATGGTGTCTTTCGATCACGACCGGTCGCTTCTATATTAGCTTTGTGAGCCAAGAGCACTGCAATAGCTTCGACATGACCCGCTTCGCATGCATAGTGCAATGCCGACATCATGGTAGCGTCCTTGGCCTCGATATCAGCGCCATTTGACACAAGCATGTGCACAATTTCAGCATCACCCTGCTTTGCTGCAACGTGCAGAGCAGTCATTTGATTCTCAGCACGCATATTGACTTTTGCATTATGCATAAGCAGCACTTGGAGTGCTTCGTGTTGGCTACGATCAACAGCAACTCGCAGTGCTGTACGACCTTGATAATTTGGAACCTCGGCAATACTGCCCTCCTCCATAATCAAACTTATGACACCGCAATGCCCACGTGAAGCCGCAAGATGAAGGGCTGTCCAGCCGGAGCCATCTGGTACATCTAGTCGAGCATGATGTCGGATCAAGAGCTCAACAACGTCATCTTTTCCGCAGTGCGCAGCAACAAGCAATGCATTTCGACCCGATGCTTTGTGTCGCTCTTCGATGTTAATCCCATATTCGATGAGTCGTGCTACCTCGCCTCGAGATCCGGCTTGGGCGGCCTTCACAATCTGTGGAATAGAAGCAGCATCCGCGCCGGTCAGGTCAATGCTGATATGGGGATCAGGCTCTCGTCTAGGCTTCCCTCTTGTGAAAGGTATGCCATTGCCTACTTTCGGTGAGCCCTTGGAAGATGAAGAAGCAAGGTTCAGACGACTAGAGGTATTCAACCGAAGTAGAACAGAGATTCTTTCAAGCTTAGAGGCAGATCTTTCAAGTGTCTTTGATGTCTTGGTATCTGACTTGCTTCGAGGCATATTTTGCAGGCCTGGACGCGGCGCATCTTGGTAAGATGTTGCTCTCCTGTGAGCTGGATGTACCGGCGCTGATGGAGTACTGGGCAAGAGAAAGTGATCTTGCTGCGGCGAAGGGGCATCAAATGACGGCCTTGTAACGCTGCTATTGCGCGTAGGGGTACCTGCATAGCCCTCATCTGTGAATGGACTACGGCCACTATTGGTGTCAGTCTGGCTACCCGAGGCCCCAATGGATGGCTCGAGTTGCTGAGGTGACCTGCGATATACCAGCGAATCTGCGAGGGTCTCGTTGAAATCAAAAACTCGCTCACTAATTGTGAGACTACTGTTCCGCGACATGCTTGCCGCGCTAGATGTAGCCTGACTCCGTGCGGATATCAGTGTTTCGGTATCGTCGCGAACCCTGCGCATGATGCGACGGGTCGTTTCCTGTCTCAAAAGGCGGATCTGTTCTTGTGATGTATGGCTATAAAGTTATAAGCTTGTGTGTGGTCTCCAGAAACGGGGAAATATTCTCACCATTGACAGACCTGGAGTAGTAGCTGCAACGCCATGACTTGCGCATGTAGTTTCTCCTGATGTCCTTTCATGACATCCTCTTTCCAAATGACTCTAATGCGCAATCTAAACCCAACGGTACCGTCATTGCGACTGCCATGAACCAAAGTCATCACTTCCTCAGACAGAACCTCCATGATGATTCGACAGCCGCCCATGGCGGTAACCAACTGTTCATTGAATTCGTCCGATACCATCAAATTGGAAAAATTAAGCCGATGCCATTCCTTCAGACTGGTGAGAGCTGTCTGGATACAGCCCAGCTCCTGGATAAGCGAGTGAATCGTAAAGTCAGCATCGCTGAACTTCCCGTGTAGTTCGTAGAGGCCATGAATAGTCGACGTAAGTGCGCCCAGAACCTGAACAATTGCCGAAGCAAACCCGATCGCAGATACAGGGTCCATGGCAGACTTGAGACCTGAAAGAACAGAGACATCGCGGGGGCTGAGGGTGGCTGAGATGATTAGCGCCAAATCACATGGGGGGGGGGGGGTTAATAACTCCGCGAGGAGACACAGGCACAGACGGGAAATGGCGGCAAAATGGTCAATTTAAGGTTATCTAAGCCTCTTTGGCAACCACGGAACTGCCTTGTTGATTTATTCATCAATAAGACATAGTTCATATTGATGATGATTATAATAACGACAGGGCGATTCACATTCCACCACGCATAGCCGCAGTTACAGCGCTGTAAAGGTATCTATCTCCATACACTACGAGAAAGCAAAAGCAAAAAGACGGACAGAGAGACAATGACAAAAAGCAAAAGCAAAAAAAAAAGAACATACAACAGTAAGGATTCGCTAGTGGTCACCCACCTAACTACTAACTTACCGGCGTGTGGCTTAAGTACGGCTGAGCGGACGGGAAGCCCTGTTCTCCACACCCTGTGGTCGTATGTATTCTTTATACTATTAAAAATATATATATAGAGATTTCAGACGTTAAGACCTCACAACGCGTGTGGTTTACATCTGACAAGTAGCCGAGTTGCTGTGCTATATACAGGGTTGAGAATCACCAGTTATGTAAGTACTTCGCTGACCCTTCCAGCCGAATGATAGCAGAATCATATTAGATCATACCCTCCCCCTTAGAAAAGCTCGGAATCTTGGCATTCATACATGAACACAACTGGAAGCATTAACGTATTCCCCAAGCGAGCGCCGCACCCAAGCGAGCGCCGCACCCACCCATTATATCTACTATTATTATTCAATTCATTCAACCACAACGCATTCTCAATAAAATTGAAGCTATTCAAACCTCTCTGGGCACCTATTTCTCTTATGTCCAGGCGTTTTACAGATGCTGCATCGCTGTGGGCGCCTCCCATTGGTCGGATTCAGCGTCGGCGTTGCCCCGCCGGCTTGATCAGATCTCGCTTCTTCGACCTCTCTAGGTGTTGAAAAACGCGATATAGCTTCTTCAACCAATAGACTACCTTCATGCGCTATTCGAGCTTTTGTACGCCGCTTCTTACGCGTAACTTTCGCATTGGCAGCGAGCAATTCAGTAATTTGCTGCCTCGCGATAGTGAAGCCGTGTATCGCAAGCTAACAGCCCCTCTCTATCTAGTCTACCGCATCACCTAGACGCCTAGGATCATCGGTAGCGAGTTTCCTAATAGATAAAGCCTATCTCCGTACTTCTTTTACTGTACGGGGCGTTTTTGGGGTGAAATTCTTGCTTAAATCGCTATTATTGCTTAGTGGTCTTGGAGGGGTGACCAAGCGAATATTAAGCTTTGAAATAACGCGCTGCGGGTCGAATAGCTTAATACTAGCGCTAGCGAAGCTATTCACAATATTACTATCTATAAAAGCTTTGATTCTAGCCTTAATATATGCCTCTAAGAAGTCATTCTTATCGACGCGGTATATACCAAGCTTTGTCTAGGACTCAACCACTTCACTATATACCCGCTTTAACACCCCAAAACAGCCAATATCGAGAGGCTATAAAAGGTGGGATAAATGCGCTAGCATACAGACAGTGATAATATTGTTTTAAGCGCAGACTTCGTCAAATTGAGGCGTAAGATAGCTACCGTATCCGTCGAGGACGAGGAGACGATATACCCCCCTTATACGGCCTATAGTCGATGGGATAAAGACCCTTTGAAGCTATTAGAGGCTTATAGTGTCCGTTGTCCATCCATTATCGCTGACTGCGAAAAGCCAGGTCCTCGGAAGGTCTTTATCGCCGAACCAGGCTTTCATAAAGACCTTACCCTTAAAAATAACGCATGGCGGCAACGCCCACCCCGACGCGCCTATAGCCTCAATTGCCGTTACCCATTGGCGATTTCCAGGCTGTAAAAGAGATCGCCGACCGTAGGAAGTTCGTGTTACAACCTTAGCAGTAGCCGTAAGGCCGAGAGCGAAGCTAGTCTCGTCGAAATTGTAGATATCATCCTCAAGGATACCGTATTTCATAATCGTACGTTAAAGGAAGTTAAACCACGTTGTAATTGTCTTCACGTCTTCGCATTAAGCTCGCCGGTAATCGTAGGATCGTGAAAATCGAGTAGATAGGCCTGGATGCCGCTGGACGTAATTATAGACCCAGCCATTGCCGACTATTTCGACCGGTTCACTTCCACGGTCTTCGAGTAGTAGATTGGCCGCCTCTCGTACAGTATTAGGACGAGGAGCTGCTCCGCGTATATCTAACGAGATAATCCAATTATAAAGCATCTCCTCTTCTAAAACAGTCAATTTATGGCTGTTGGCGCGGGTTTCTTCGCGGCTTTTGACACCTACTAGGCGGCGGCGTAGCGTACGGTCGGGTACGTCGAAATCGCGCGCCAATTGACGTAAAGAGCATTTTTCTCCATTTTTTTGAGCTTCAATTGCTAACAATATCCTGCCCTCCTGTTATGTACGTTTTTGAGCAGATTCAGAGCGAATTGGTGGCATGGTAGGTGTTTAAGAAGAGAGAGTTGAGATAAAACGCGAGAATGATGCGGGGTGCGGCGCTCGCTTGGTTTACGTTATACAGCCGGGCATTTACAAGGAGTCCTTTAACTCATGGCTTGCTTCGCCCTCCTGATGCTGTCGAACACGACCGTCAATTTTTAGCCCTGAAGGCTGCTATATGGGATCTGCACAGCAACGAAAATTACAGCATGGATCGTGATATGTATAGATTGCAAGAATCCTTACCACTACCAATGAAAGAATCTCTATAGAAAATCCCGATGCCTAAGATCTCAAGATTTCTACAACCTCGTCCAAAGAATCAGCCACAAACTGTGGCTTCAATTCCTGACAGGCCTCCTGATCTCCATACCCATACCGACACCAACAAACTTTACCCCCAATGTTCCTCGCGAACTGAATATCCGCCACTGTATCACCTATTACCAGCACATTCTCTGGCTCAATCTCTACCCCATAGCTTTCACGTAAGGTGGGAATCAAGACATCCACGAAGCTAGCAGGATCGGGCTTGCGCTTTGCCCCAGGGGTCTTATCCCCAATAATTAAATCCTCGGGTACGTATCCATCAAGACCATTTCGCTGTAGCGCTGTTTTCACAGCCGCTACACCCTTATTGCTCACAATAGCAATAGGGACTTTTTGAATATTAAGCTCAGCTAAAAGATCCTTAGCGCCAGGGAAGGCCTTGATAAGTTGTTGGCCATGGGTGGCATAGAGAGCGCGGTATTTTTCAATCCATTCGTTCTCAATAGTGGAATTGAATTCACCTGGCGATGGATACAAGGCTCGGAAAGTATCTCCTAGGCCAGCACCGCTGGCAATAAGGCGGTGGATCTCAGTTTGGGGAGATGTGTGGGCGGAAAGCGCATCGAAAGTGAGTTTAATAGTATGGGATATGGACTCATGCGTATTGAAGAGGGTGCCGTCGAAGTCAAAAATAGCAAGGGTGAACATCTTGGGGAAAAGAAGTGCGAAATTTAAATTAGAGAGGTAGAGAAGTAGATAGGATGAAACAATTTAAAAAGCCCCTGAGGGCTCGATTAGACCTAAGATAAAGACAACCGCTAACGTAAGGTTAACTCATAATAACCCACATGGGAATTATATCCCCCTGTAATGAATTACAATACTCGCTCTAATCAGGGGTTTTGTTGTGGCGAAAGATGGCCATGGTTTAATACGAGGCTTATGCAGCTAAAGTGCTATGGTTACATCGAGATACAGTGCAGATACTAGTGCCGCGGAGAGAGAAGCCGAAACTTTTGAAAAGTAACCCCAATCACTAGCGCATAGCCCGGTCGGACTCCGTGGTGGCGAAGCACTAAGGATCATGGAGCTGGTGGTAGACCTGGGCGCAGATAATACTGGAAGTGTTACTCAGTGATTCCACATCCCAGTCTAGTCCTTGCTGTCTCTACTGATCAGGCAAAGTATAATCGCAATTACAAAGTCGGTAGAAGAAACTAATGTGACATCCCGCCCACACATGAAGCTAGCCAAGTAACAAAACGCGTTCCATACATGCATACATACTTCCAACCAGCCTCTCACACATAAATTTAGGACTTAAACCATCTACACTTCAACTTCTCATATAGCTCCTACACATTCTGTTCTTTTGATCATCACAAAAAGCAGAAGAAAATGGCAGTCTCAGCTCCCATCATTGAAGTCCGTCAAACACCAACATTCACCAGTCTAATGACCAAGTTTTGCTCTGCATCTTCCTCCCACAAATTAATGCAAGACACAATCCATGCCCTGACCAACGAAATAATATCCACGGCAAGATCCCATGACAAAAGCCTCATCGGATCTCCCACGACAATGATACCCATTCTGCGCGGAGCCCTGCCAATGTTTGTAGCCGCACAGCGTCTTCTCCCCGCCACCTCCTGCATCTTGGCCCGCTGCAGCAAGGCAAAGGGGACTCAAAATGTGGTGGTTGAATGGCTAGGCCGGCGACCCTTCCCGGCTGAACCCGATGACGGGAAGATCGTGATACTCGATACGATTATTGCTACTGGCGATACAGTAGTCAAGCTTTGTGAGGAACTGTGGGAGATGAGTGGGGAGCAGCCTCGTTCTGTGGGGATACTCTGCTGTTATGCAGCACCCGAGGCATTAGCGAGGATAGTCCAGTGTCCAATTGTTGAATATGTGATTGTTGGGAAGATGGCTGAGACTTGTGACAAGAATGGATATCTTGTTCCTTATACGAATGGGGATATAGGAGATAAAATTTACGGGGTGCGGGATAAGGTGAAGGAAGGAAAGCCGGTTATTGCGGAGGGAGAGGACGTGCAGAGCGTCCTGCTGGGGATAGAGGCATTACTTGTTGACAATGGGGGATTGTGGGAATTGACCGAGGATGGATTGGGAATTCAACGAAAAATTGATTTCTCTGGGTTTAGGCAGGCCTGGGTGAGTTATATTTTTCAGTTCATATTCAGGAATTTGCTGATCTGGAGGGTAAAAAGACATTTATGGAGCAGGTTGCAGAGTTCGCGACTAAGCACCGCCATCATCCCGAATGGAAAAATGTATGTCGCTCTCATTCTCTTCCCCAATTGAGGTATGCAATGCTTACTGTTGAAAAATTTCAGGTTTATAACAAAGTCTCTATCCGCTGGACTACTCACCATCCGAAAGGGTTGACCAACCTGGATGTTACCATGGCTAGGCTTTGTGATAGTTATGTAACAGATATCTGTGGATACAGTACTTGCTAAACTCTCAAACTTTTTTCGCGATAGACAGTCCTGCAAGGAAAACCCTAGCCGCAGTGAAGAAAAATACACTTGCCACCATCATTGCACCGGCCCACACCTGTAATCCCCAATATGTCTCGTTTTGTTGACTCAAGATTGCTCCAGCAATGGGACTGCCTGTGAGCGATGCGATACTAATGCAAGTAAACAAAACACCCTGGCGAACACCGATCTTGGTTACGTCGGGCGATATTTGGCCCAGTAGTGCGGGTACCATGCCCACAAACGCACCCGATGCGAATCCGTAGAGCATGCTGAAGACGATGTAGATGGCCGCATTTCCCGGGGCGAGAAGAGTGCCTGGAAGCCAGAGGGCTAGAATAACAACGGCGGACAAGGAACACATAGCGATCATGATGTTGAATCTGCCTAATTTGTCGCCGAAGTAGCCTGGTAGAATTCGGCCAGGGAGACTGTTGGCAAATAAGTTTGTTAATCAGGACTCCCGAAAAGACAAGACAAATATTACTCACCTGGCGGCATTGAGTATAGTCAATAAGTAACCGGCTAGGTCGCGGTTGATTCCATCCTCCTGGGCCTCTAGAATAACATAGTTGATTGGCACAAACATAGCGAAGAATCCACAACAAGATGCCAGCACCAGCAAAACGAACGGTACTTCCGTAAATGGACTCGTGTAATCACTCAACTTGACAGGCCGAGGGACAGGTACAATTCTTGATCGGACGGTCAGGTTGGCAATTACTAACAAAGCAAGGATGATAAATCCAGAGATGCGTAGGGACCACCCGAACCCGATAGTAGGCAAGAGCCGAGACAACATGGTTGGGAAGACGACCCCACCAAGCGATGAGCCACTGGACACGATACCAAAGGCCAAGGCTCGTCGCTTTTCGAACCATGTCGCAGTACAGGATAGTGCGGGCGAGAAAACAAAGCTTGCACCGAGCGGGCTGCAGATGCCCTGAGCTAGGAAAAATTGATAGTACTCAGTAGAGATGGAGGTCATCATGAGGCCAAAGACGTGAAGAAAAGTCCCAATAAGAAGGAGCCACTTGGGACCATAGTTATCGAATACCTGGAGGAAGGAAGAAAGTTAACATTTAAATCCTAGGCTTGGTTGATGGGACAGACTCACTCTTCCGATGACAAGTCCAGCAGCGAAGAGTACAAACGGCTCCAACGATAAGATCCAGGAGATGCTGGACGATGAGTAGAAATGTAGTTGATTATTCTGATAGTACTCCTGAAAAATGCCAATGGCTAGTGGTGTGGTCAATCGTCTCAGATTAGCTCTGGTCTGAGAAATGGAAGAATAGAATCAATCTTACCATTGACCCAGCCAAAGGCGCAGAATAGACAGCACCATGCTCCAATGACGACCGTCCAGGCGCGGATTCCCCCATCCACCTGGTCAGCCGGATCTTCTTGGGTGTCACTTCGGTCACTACCAGAATCAGCCACCGCGCCTTTCGACTCGGTGACAAATGTTGTTGTCATGTGCAGGTTTGAAGCAAGTCTAGACAGAAAATTGCTGCTATAACTTTTCAAGAAGTCGGGGAATAAGAATTATTAAAAAAATGGAAGATGAATTGTCAAGGGAGAAGCTAACTATCTGAGAGATAACTACTTTCCAAGTCGGAACCCTGCCACGTGACCTCAATTCACGTAGTCCGGTTTGCCAATTGCGAGAGAGAGGGAGAAAAAAAAAAAAAAAGGGAGATAACACCATTTGGTTTTTATCTCTGCGGCGACACCGACTACACTCCAGTTGGCTCTTAAAATGGGGTTGAAACAATCAGGGATCAAATATTCTTCGAAGACTCTAGACCTTGAAATTTTCTTTGTTACCCCTGTGGGGCTGACGCGGCTAGCCACCAAAGGCCATCTCATGTTTGCTACTTATTACGCCAAGAGACTAGATAAAAGCTAGACATAGGGCGGGATCAAGTGTGTTTTTAGGTGTATTACTGTATTCGGTAATTGCCAAGGGTTTCCGGTTCGCCACAGTCGGTCTCCGGGCCCGCCCCGTCCCGCCTTGGTGATCGCCACTCCCCACAGAGCAATGTGGAGTTCAAATATTCTAAATTGACCACAAATCTTAAAGAGATCACTTATCACGTTGATGCTGTGATTTACAACTGTGCTCTTTTGGATGCGGAGTATCAATACTTCCATGGCAAAAGAATATCAGTATCTACGAGACTACGTAGAGGAATCCGACGGCTCCACGATAATCACACTGATATGGAAGACCCAGGAGGGCCGGGGTTACATTGCATAGGAAAACCTAGCCAATTAATTGCAGAGTCTGAATACAGTGAGATCAAAAACATGCAGTTCCCCGAGCGTTCCTTTTTTTAGGCAGTGCGGGGTTCTACACCAGATTGAGGCTTGGGAAAAGAGATAAGGCTGGCAATTGTTAATTTTACATAAAAGTATCTACAAAGCCATAGATGAGAACAAGAAAATTGACGGAACTTGCATAGAAATTCTTTTTCTTTGTTTTTTAAAATAAGCACCATTCTCAAAATAATGAAATTCGCATCACAGTCAATTATATGTTTCGAGGAACGGCGAAACATACGTTGGCCGTTGTAATTCCCCGTTAGAGAGGTTTATTCAGAAAATTGACTCTGCTCTCTGCCCTATGGCTTGGACAGTTTAGATATCCATGTTATTCTTTTTAATCTGTTTCAAAGAAAGTACAATGAGTTAACTACGAGAAAAAAAGGAAATACATTGCACTCTAGAGTCACCAGAATGCCTTTCCGCGAATGAACCAGCGAAGAAAAATAATTGACAAAAATCTTGAGTCATCTCTCCTAGTATATCAAATTTTTTGTGAAAAAGCAACATGTAGCGGAGACAAGAGGCTGCATGGCAACTGATACGGTCAAAGCCCCGTGAAGAATGGAAATTTTTGCCGCGGAAGATCATGCCAGGCTTGAAAAGCACTGCATGCAGGACAAAATTAGTAAAGGATGTAACCCCTACAGAATACGAGGTCTTGCATCTGATGTCATGCGCGAAACCATGGTTGTAGATTAGATCCTCTATACTCGAACGCCTAGAAATTAGCATCCTAAAACGGAAGAGGTAATTTAATTTTGAAAGCCCAAATCTGACATTTGTCTATAAAGGTGCAAGCAACGGATATTGTCTGTAAGTGAATCCAATGAGCAATTCCTAGCTCTGTCAAAAGTTCACATTTCTCAATATGTATTCAATCGCCTTGACATTTCGAACCCTTCTACAGGAGTATCTCTCGAGCTCACTGTCTGTACCGTTTGCCAACAAGGAACAGCCACCGCCAATAGGACAGCCGCGGTCGATTCATATTTTGTCAGAAAGATCCCTGTGCCCTTTTGAAGATCTACCCCCTGCCTATGATCCCTCAACATGGTGGTTAGATGGCCAAATCCCCGCGCATCCTCGACTATGTGATGAGGAAAGAGTTCGATTCCATATAGAGGCCATCAAGAAAGCACTGTTTCAATATATTTTGGAAGGGTGCAAACTCCTTCTGGAGAGAGAAAACAACAATTTGCTGCTCTCTTCAATAAAACAACATGAATCGCTTTGGAAAGCAGCGGTCTCGGCACAGAAATACGGAGTTGTATACCTAGCCGCACGCTCAGAATGCCGAGAGGAATTTCTGCCAACGATACGATGCAAACTCTCTCTTTTTGCCGAGGTCGATACTTTCCTGTCTTACAACAACAATGCTATTCGGGCTATCAATTATGGTGTCCATGAACTGGTGAAAAGCTCAACCTTCACTGTGGACTACCAGACAAGACTCATTCCTCCAAACGCCATATCAGCAATTGGCATCAGACACATTGCCGTCCGAGCAAAGGATTTCCAAGAAGCAAGTACTTGCATGCTTGACAATTACTCTCCTATTTGGGATCTCCATGATTTCGCCCACCTCTCGGCGGCATCGGTAGCCCCAAATCTATATGGGTCGAAATACTTCACGGATCTCATTAAGCTCCCATCTAAGCTGACGGCCTTGATTCGTAGTCCGAAAATGAAGACCGCGGAGCCTGATCCTCTGTTCTCGGATGGTGTTGTCTTCAGTGAGCTTCTCACGCCCTTGTTTACATCTGAGATAGAGGCGGCGCAAAGGCAGGAGAGGGTGCATACCTATATTTCCCTTACCGATATTTTGGCCGAATATGTTGCAGATTATCTTATGGGCATGCGTGAGCTCCAGCATCTGACTACTGGTGCAATGCTGAGAGTGAAAAGTTCCATACGCCCTGTTGAGTTGGCAACTCTCGTGCAGAACAAGAACTATGAATTGGTAGCGAGCGAGATTGAACAGCGGGTGTTTACGAGAGGGGGTCCTGTTGGGGACTCTAAGGATGACCTGGACAAAATGTCGGGGCTTGAGAAAATCAAATTTCTTGCGGGGTGTCGGAGGTGGTTATATTTTGAAATGAGAAATACCATTAAGCATCGCGCCCACAAGCTTGCTTACCAGAAAGTGGCTGAGCGTATGCTTGCAGCGGATAATGGAGCATCGATCACAGCCAGCGATCGTGTCCTGCTAACAAAGGTTCTAGAGAATATTCGCTATCAAGGATGGGAAAAAGATGAAGTAGTTAATCTTTGGCAAATGTGACTGATCAGGGGAGAGAGAGGGTAATTAGGGCATGTCTGCCATATTTACACGTCAGAATGGTTTCAAATGTTTTAGCTCTTGTTGAGAATCGTGAGAATGAGCGAAAATACATGGATTACGCCTGCCTCGGTTGGAAGGCTATTGATACGCGGCAGTGGGGACCGGCATTAGAAATTAGGGGTAAAATTGGTATAAAACGAGTTTGGAAAAAAAAAAGTACTACGATTATAGTGTAGTGGAGAAGATGAATCTGCCGATCTTGACTGCCTGAAAGGGAAGTCTTGTTTTCTCAGAACCGAAATGCGGGGCCCCGTGTCACGGGACACCCGATGGGTGACCCGTTAGTCAGCCGTTGGCTTAGTCAGATATCCAGGAGCTCGACCTCATGCCCCTTCATAAGTAGGTCGAGGAGCCGTCAAAGGTAATAGGATCATCTTCCTCTTCACCCACCTTTTCCCACTGAGCCTTGCTACACCCCGCGTATATTTTTCCGTACTCCTCGCAAAGTATAAACGGTAAATCTACTCCTTTCTATACCATTTGATGTTTCACGCAAGCAATTAATTGCTCTTGTTTTGATATGCGGGTTGCACTCTTCCTGGCTGGCTGTGCGGCCGCCAGCGCCTCCAATGTTTATGCTGTTCGAGGTGCCAATGAGAAGCATTCTTTCCAAGCCGACTGCGATTCGTTTCGACACAAAATTAACGTACCTGATGCTGTTGTGCATTCAGTGACATATGTCCCGGCAGGGGCGAACATTTCCATGGCCGATAATCCTAGCGTCTGTTCCTCGGGCGGAGCGGGGGACACCAGCAGCACCTTTGAATTTTGTCGTGTTTCGCTAAATGTAACAACCTCAGCGAAGAGTCAGATCTTCATGGAGGCCTGGTTGCCGAGCAATTACTCGGAGAGATTCCTCAGTACAGGAAATGGAGGTCTCGGTGGATGTATGTCCCTCCTTTTCTGTGCCAAAAATACAATATCCTAATTTACGTACTAAGGCATTCAATATTCCGACATGATTTACGCTGCGCAGTACGGATTTGCTACCGTGGGAACCAACAATGGCCATTTTGGCGATACCGGCGTTTACTTTTATAACAATAAAGACGTACTGAAGGACTTTGCTTACCGAGCTCTCCACACAGGTGTTGTGGTGGGCAAATCCATCACGAAACAGTTTTATGCCAAGGACTTCAAGAAGTCGTACTACCTTGGTTGTTCGACGGGTGGTCGCCAGGGCTGGAAGTCTGTGCAAGATTTCCCAGAAGACTTTGATGGAGTAGTGGCCGGTGCACCTGCATTCAACTTTATCAACTTGATCAATTGGGGTGCTCGATTCTTCCCGACAACGGGAAATTCCAGCGCGGACACATTTTTAAGTACTGCCCAGTGGGGTACTGTGCACAGTGAGATTATGCGACAATGCGATGACCTAGATGGTGCTGCAGACGGCGTTGTTGAAGACCCTGATTTGTGTCAGCCCGTGTTTGAGACTTTACTCTGCAATTCTACCGAGAGTGATAGCTCTAGTTCATGCCTCACTGCAATGCAGGTAAATTCTGTCAACACCATATTCAGTCCTCTTTATGGCAATGATGGCTCTTTCTTGTACCCTCGAATGCAGCCCGGCTCAGAGCCACTGGCAGCATTCATTTACTATGGCGGCACGCCCTTCGCATATGCCGAGGACTGGTACCGATACGTGGTGTACAGCAATCCCAAGTGGGATCCAGCCGCATGGACACTGAATGATGCCGCCGCTGCAAATTCTCAAGATCCTTATGAGATATCGACGTTTAATGGCGATATTTCGGCATTCCGAAAGAGTGGGGGCAAGGTCCTCCACTACCATGGACTTGAAGATCCAATCATTACATCTGAAAGTTCGAAAGTTTACTATAAGCACGTCGCCGACACGATGAACCTGAGTCCGTCAAACTTGGACGAGTTCTATCGCTTCTTCCCAATTAGCGGGATGGGTCATTGTTCACCTGGAAACGGTGCCGGGTCTATCGGTCAGGGTCAAAGCACGTTTGTCAACAATGACCCGAAGGATAATGTGCTGCTTGCAATGGTGCAATGGGTGGAGAAGGGCATCGCGCCAGAATTTGTGCGCGGCACCAAGTTGAACGGTACCACTGTGGAATACCGTCGCATGCACTGCAAATATCCTAAGCATAATAAGTATGTCGGCCCGGGTTCTTACCGAGATGAAGATGCTTGGAAATGTGTCTGATTCCTTATTTATCACGCAAACTCTACAGGAGCATGGGAAAAGCTACATTTTGTAGCCTTTTAGTTTAGCTATATGATATGCATGAAATTCCTAGTCATACATGGGCTATTAGTGCCACCGTAGGTATTATCTTCATCTTTCCAGCGAATAAGGATAGTGCGAATAGGCTTCCATGGACCGAGTGAGCAGGTAGGGACGGGACGGGACGGGATTTGAACCAATTGTCCGACCATTCTGCGCTAGGAAATGCACCGTGTACATGTAAGTATAGATGCCTGTACAAAGAGTATAGCCGATAGACATGCAGGCTATCTTACCTGTAGCGCGAATTAAAAAACTCAGCCTGATGTTAGAACTGAGGGTGCTCTCTCATACTGAAATTCCCGAGATAGTTTGACATTCTACCCTTGTGCCGATTCCTCGTACTGAAATTGAAGGACCCAATATTCTTCTTCCTGGCCTTTTTTATATCGCAAGCGGCTGTTTTCCGTCTTCATGGCTGCTACAAGCGAATCATGTACTAAAATGCTTACTATTTAAATGCTGAATCCTCTAGACCAAAGACTACAAAGGCGTGCGTATTAGATGCTAGGGTGGAAAAGGCTCAACTAGGCAAATTGGTGGATAGTCGTGATAACGTTAGATAAATTCTCTAATTTATTTCCGGTGCCGATGCCGAGAAAAAAAAAGATTAAATGCGCTTGAGGGAAATTTTTGCGACTCAAAGTATATCAATAAAACTGCTAAATCGCTCTACGATAGCGGTGTTATAGGCTTATATAACACGCAAACTATGTGCGAAGGAGTAAATCAAAACGATGTTCCCTAACTTTTCAAGATTGTTGGGTCCTAAGCTCTTTAATCTACCTTGACCCTCCTCTGTTCCTTTCAAAAACTATTCATACACTCGAAGTAAATTTACTCATAGCGAGTTCAAGATCAGTTGGTCAAGATCGTAACAAGGAAACCTTCACAGCGGTAGTGGGTTGTTGAAGCCCGCGCGAGAGTGGAAGAGGGACGAACTGCCACCAGGAATTGAAACGTGGGAAACCTGCTTCGCTGGAAAAATTACAAGAACAACCAGAAAATCGATCCATATAAAGAAAAAAAAAATCCAGACAATTAGAGATGATCACGAAGGGAGAATTCCCAGAGAAAAAAAAGCAAGAGTGCAGGAAGTGACGATGCGAGGGGATGGCCAACTATTAATCTAGAACAGGCAAAAACGACGTATGTTAAAAATGACAATGATAGTCCCAGGATAGAATGGCTAAGACACCAATCTTGTTTTCAGGGTCGAAGAAAAAAAATAAGTCAAATACTTTGATATAAAAGAGTGCGCACTCTAAACGCAACCCAGTAAATGAATATTAAACGTCGTCAGCGCGGCTGAGTTAATTTTCGCAATTTGGTATATCATAGGTCCTGATCATGTAAGACTATGCAGGAACACAATACTAAGCACAATACTAAGTAAGCTGCTCGCCAGAAAAGTTCCCCCAAGAAGACTGCCGTTACGGGTGAAACCATCGGTCTACATTTCCTGAAACAGCTAGTAAATACCCCACAATAATTATCAAGAAGCTTGGCAGAGCATTTCAAATGTTTCTCTGACCAAGTTCCCAGCGGCGATGAGGAAGAGGAACCTTGAATTTATTTCGTTGGAGATAGTACTGAGTTCAACTGTCATCTTTTTTATCAAAAGATTATCGGCTAATAGTGTTTCCCCCAATTTGTACAAGCCATATGATTCTCTCGAGGCTTGATATCGTAGAAGACAAAATACTGCGCATTGGCAGTCCTTTCGTTCTGGCTAGTTCTTACAATTTGAATTTTGACAAAACACTCAGGCGTTCTCGGTTGTTTGAGAAAAGCCTGTTCATCGGCCTTAATCCAGGCACTAGAGGCACCGCGTGTTGATCTGCACCCCGGGTATCTATTTTGGGTAAATAAACCCGAGTTGATACACGCAATCCCGGTAAGGTTCGCCATACCCGTTGCCCTAGTGCAAGAAAAGGGGGAGGTCTAGATCCAATCAAGCGTTATAGTGACAACTCCGGGTGGGCATTGTTAGTTCAGTCTATTTTCATTAAGCTACTTTATTCCCAGTCTTTTCCCGTCCGAAAATGATTTGCGTTAAGACAAGCCCGAGTTGCCATCAGCCGCTGCAAGCGATGCCTGAATGACACAGCGTACACCCGGTAGATGCTATCGTTAATTTGGTGCAGGTTGCCGCGGCATTTCGGGGCTAAAACTCGCTAGTGAATAATTGATGTAGGTATTTGTGGGGATGTGGACCTCGAGTCACTTAATTTAAAGCAAACATGGATGGAGTTTTGCATCCTAGGGAATTAGGGCCAAGATGACGTTGAGCTTAGGCGTCAGTAGCCCTTGGCGTTCGCTCTAGTATTATAAGTAGACTACATGGCCCTTTTTCTGAGCCAGCCAAGCTCATTTAAGCAGGTCATATATTCTCTTCCGCCTATCACTATGATCGGCCTTGTTGCTCCTCTTCTCATTGGGGCTGCTTCTGCAACCTCCTTGAGCAAGGCTTGTACCAAGACATTTGTGAAGTCAAGCCTACCCTCATCTGAGGACAACATCCCTCTCGGTATCATCATCGATGAGAGTTCTATTACAGCCAACGCGTACCGTAACTACTCAGTCACGGATGCGACTTTCTGGGAGAATGTGAACATCGACTTCTGTGAGGTTTCGTTCGCATACTCTCACGACAACCTAGACGATCGAATCGTGGTCGAATACTGGATGCCGCTCGCCGAGAACTTCCAGAATCGATTCCTCGCCACAGGAGGTGCTGCATACCAGATCAGCAATGGATCTGGTGGTGCCGATATGTCCGGCGGGGTTGCCTATGGAGCTGCCACTGGTTTGACTGACGGCGGTCTTCCTTATTGGGGAAGTACTGACTTTGACGATGTCGTTCTGCTTGGCAACGGCACGGCGAATTGGCCGGCGATCTACAACTTCGCCTACCAAGCTATCGCCGAAATGACGGCGATTGGAAAGGTCTTCACCAAGAACTACTTCGGACTCAGCGAGAACTTCGGCAAGGAGAATAGCGACAAGGTTTACACCTACTATATGGGTTGCTCTGAAGGTGGACGTGAGGGGATGAGCCAGGTTCAGAAAGCCCCTGAACTGTACGATGGTATCATTGCTGGCGCCCCTGCGATGCGCTATGGACAGCAGCAAGTCAACCATATTGCATCACCAATCCAAATCCAGACCATTGGGCACTATCCTCCTTCTTGCGTGTTTGATACCGTTATCAACGCGACAATCAATGCGTGCGACAAGCTTGACGGCAAAGTGGACGGAGTCATTGCTCGCACCGACCTTTGCTTGCTGAAATTCAATGTTTCCTCTATGATCGGCGAGACTTATAGCTGTGCGGCCAGCACCGAAAATAGCTTGGGTCTGGGTTATGGAAAGCGCAAGAGAGCCGACGGCTCATCCACCCCCGCGCAGAACGGTACCATCTCGGCAAAGGACATTGAAGTCATTCAGGATCTATTGACTGGTCTCGTAAGTACCGCCTCAAATGCCGTTCTGCACCTTGAGAGTGAAGACTAATACAGAATTCCAGAAAGACTCAAACGGTGACAGAGTTTACCTGCCATTCCAGCCCGGAGCCGGCTTCGGTGATACCACCACTTATGACTCGGATACGGATTCGTGGACTATTGAGTCGCCGAACTCGAACGGTGAATGGGTTACCAAGTTCTTGCACTGGCAGAACGTTAGCTCGCTTGTAATGACAGACGTAACCAATGACGACTTGAAAGCATGGATGATCGAAGGCATGACCAAGTACATGGACTCGCTCCAGACCACTCTTCCTGACCTGACCCCATTCCTGGAACATGGTGGCAAACTTCTTCACTTCCACGGCGAGGCCGACTCCAGTATTCCCACCACTGGTTCCATTCGCTACCACGAGTCTGTTCGCAAGATCATGTACCCCAACCTCGGGTTTGAGGAAGGAAACAAGAAACTTAATGAGTGGTACCGCCTCTACCTTGTTCCCGGAGCGGCCCACTGTGCTACCAACAGCGAGCAGCCCAACGCCGGATTCCCTCGTGACAACTTCGACCACATGATCAAGTGGGTTGAACATAATGTCACACCTGTTACCATCAATGCCACAGTGCAATCTGGCTCTCGGGAGGGTGAAGTCCAGAAGGTTTGCACCTGGCCATCGAGGCCCTACTACAAGAACGGCAAACTGATCTGCCAGGAGAAGCAATCTTCAGTAAACGCCATGCTGTGGGACCTGCCTGCCTACAAGATGCCAGTTTATTAAGATAATTTTGTACTGTAGGCCTCGAGCTTTTTGGATGTCGATCCCGAAGCACATCTTTCCATAGAGCTTATAGACCAATGCAAGGCGATTCCGGTTTGTCTTGCAACAGAATAATACAACACAATAATCAAGGAAAAGCTGTCGACGCCGACATTAGATTCTCCGAAGTAAATATTGCCCACGCAATCCAAAGCCTAGCTCTGTAGTATCTTTTTATCCAGCAAACACTCCCTCGGGGGACCCACGCTTGATTCGAGCTATTATTTCACTGAAGGTGATTCGACAAATCTCCCGTTCTCCTAGCGCCTTCACTATGGGAAATGGCCACTCAGAAGTCTTCTGTTTTGTGATCGACCGTCTCTATAACCTTTCCCAGTGATTGGGGATCCTGAATCTTAAATGCGGGAGTGAGGCCTCTTCCGTATGCTCTAATGAAGTTCTTCGCCCACTTGGCGAGGCGCCACATGCCCTGGGGGCTATCTCCGATGACCTATTAGACTCGACGCCGGTGCGCTTTAGATAGTGACTTTTTGACTAGACGAAATTTCTTGTTGCGTGCTCTAGAGTAATGCCTCTGATCTTAGGGATCCTTTGTTTGCGCATGCCTACGTCGTAGACGACGGAATTTCTTGACGGCCACTTTGCACTCCTCAATGACAGGATTCGACTATACTGACGGCTTTGCCCACGGGGTTGAAATATCCATGAGCACTCAAGGTGATCAGCCAAGACAGGCGCCAGTTTCGGTACCTCTCCTACCACGCACCGAAATTGCACCACAACGCTAGGTGACGGTAAAGGCCACTTCCGGCCCTCTAGGCACAAACGCATTTTGTCCCCGTTGAACACACCTATTTCCCGGCACCCCGGAATGCTAAGGAGTGGCACGTAATTATATAAGTAGTAGGAAGGTCGACAGTCGATGAGTAGATCACACAGAAGGGGATTTCCACATGGATTTGGGGCCCACCTTGGGTGAAGTGATGAGTGATCATTCCGATGAGGCGAGATAGTGCGGTCGTCATTGTGGGTCATTGATGAACAAGGTCCTGTAACGTGAAACGCTATATTAGCATATTATACTAAAAATACTGTTATGTATCGGCAGTCTTCATAGCCATTGATTCAGTTCCCAGCTTGACCAGGAGATTCTGATACAAAGTTGGAGTCATGATGGCAATAGAACGATGCTAAAAATCTATATAGATCAGAACATGAGAGAGGCGATGAGACACTGGCGCTGCCAAACTGAGTACCCCTAGTGAAGACTTAATAAGCACCGAAACATCAACCATCTATGTTATTAATTAAACAGCATCCATCTACTGACAAGAGCCCCTCGGCAGGTTTTAAATTAGGCTGTAGCCTCAACCGCCCTCTTAACCTCATCGCTGAACTCCTAGCCCTTGTAACCTTTCGGGTATTTGGAAAGAGACAACAAATCTCTGTCGTGCGGTACAAGAGCCACATCCTCCTTGATATGGAATGGCAAATAAGGTTTCGGAGTAAACGGCCGACTAAACGCAACAGTAACATCGTGATCCTTTTACTTGTGACAACCGCCTCCCTCACCGAGTTTGGTTGATACCCACCAGCTCCCACGACCGGCCCAGCACCCAGATACGCATCCAGGAAAAAGTGCAACTCATCCGTGGTGTCGACAATGTCAGTACCGGAGACGCAGCCCTCAAGCGAAAGCACAAAGGCCAAGTTAAAAGGAGCCAGCTCGTGCGATAGATTGGCAAATTGCAGCTAGGGATTATCAATATTAATGCCTGAAATGCATTATAAGGTCTACAGTAGCATGGACTGGAATCGCCCAGCGAGATGAGAAGGCAGATGATAAATCAAAAATGTGACTTTGAGCGCATATCGATCAGAAGTACCATAAATCCAGCCAACCCATGTCTAAATTGAATTCTCATAGTCTCACTGACACTGGTTTCGGACCCTGCTTCTAGGAAAGTATCTTATGCAGACGTCGATGAACACTATGTACGTTGAAGATTGTGAGCTTATGAAACAGGAAGCCCAATATTTGACCCTTCATTTAATATGTGCTTAGTAATTGTTTGGAATTTAGAGGTTGAAAAGCAGTAAAGTATATATTGAATGGTTCCAGGAATCTGGCAAAGCATAAGATAATTTCACTGTAATCAGTCCACGAACAACAGAGAGTATGGAACTAGAAGATCATCTTGAATAGACATGTGGGTCGGGGCCCCGTCGAATACAGACACTCTCCGTAGAGATCTGTCGCATCGTGCAATAGATGAAGTAGAATTTTCTGCCATTCAATATTACACAAGCATTCATATAAATCGAGCAAAGTTAACATGACTCAAGAATTGACCAGTTCTCACTACACATGTACTCCCTCAGACTGGTCGTCTTAGCCTCGGGCGATAAGTCCTGTAGTGTGCAGCATACCTCGGGATCCCCACCTGTATACCCAAACTCCATGATATACATCAAAGATTCCTGAAATTCTCTCCATAAAATCGGCGGCAGTGATTTGAAAAATTCGTCCAAGGCAACCACTTTGAATCCAACCTTGACATTTTGAACCTCAGCCCACAGCGTCCAGAATTCACGCCATGTGGCCATCTCGGAGTATGCAAGAGTATGCTTTTCTGGGCTATTCTCGAGCAAGGCTTTCACGTAAACACCAGTGTCTCGATCCGCGACGATCCATGGGAGCTTGACTTCTGGCCCCTCAGGGATTTGCACAACAAATGACCCGTCTTCCTGCTTTTGAGGCCGCCCAAGACCCCCCTTCCAGTTGCTTGCGTACATTCCGACCTGAACAGTACTCAATTTGGCAGCAAGGTCTGGCAATTCTTCCAGAATGCGTTTCACCACTAACGCCTTGCCATCAAAGTGGAAGTTCCAAGTGTATTTGCGTTTCGACCAGCGTTTGGTATCGCTTAGACTGCTGTAGACAAAGTGCGTAAGCGTGGGAGAGACAGCAGGAGAGTTAGCAGCCAGTGCTATGTTCATGCCCTGCGTCGTCTCAAGTTTGCAGGCGTATTCGTTAACGGATATTCCAACTTCAAGTGCTTTGGAGATGTTGGCAACGTTGAAGAAGTGGTTGTAGATGTCTGTGACTGCAAATATAGCAGAGGCACCGCGGAAGGCATTCTCAAGGGAAGCAATATTATCAAGATCAGCTTTCACAAGCTCGACGCCCTTCGAAATCCATTGCTGGGCGGCGGGAGAAGACAGGTTTCGGGTGATGCCTCGGATATGCCAGCCATCGAGACTGAGAAAGGCGTTTGCGACAGAGGAGCCTTGGTTCCCCGTAATGCCAACCACCACTAGAACTTTGGAGACTCTCATGTCCTGTTAAATGAGAAATGATTATGGGGTACACGCTTTAGACAAGGAAAAAAAGATGAAACACACGAAGTATAAGTTTGATAGCGCCTCTTTATGAATGGTAATCCTTTCTACTCGTGATCTATGTGATTCTTAAGCTGCACTGAACAATGTTGCCATTTGTAATGGAGTGTTTCGTATCTGTTTTAGTGATAACAACCTCAGATTACTCATCATGCCGCCTCTACGCACCCTAGCTTCATTGGATCGGAGAGATGACTGAACACTAGTATTCGGCAATTGGAACACATATTGCGGGGAATAATCACAGTATGCGACTCGGACTGTAAAACTGAACAGAGAAATACAGAGTCGGAGCTAACGATTACATCCAATGGACTCATCACTTTCCATTGACACGAGTGCTAATACACAGTACGATACAATTACGGCGCATCTCCTATGCGAATTAGACAAACCGAGTTGAGATTCAAATAAGAGAAACGGGGACTATTCAATTGAAGTCTTCTCTCAAATTCAACCATGGTCAAGCTGGAAATTTTTTAAAAAAAACAGGCAAGACACTGTCAGCAAGTATTGATGTCTCGATTGATCCACAGCACAAATGCAACTTGCTCTTCTTGAGAAAGTCATAAGTTGAGAGACGATAGCTAAGCCGCTAAAAGATCAGAAGCTTGTCTAGTTCACCCAGGCAAAATTCCGATTCAACATGCGGTGAAGGCACCATCCTGGCCTCTCGACACATTGCAATGCTATCGGAAAATAACATTGACTGTACTACTAGAAGTGAGCCGCTTTGCTTTTCCACCTTAACGCAGGCTGAATGTTGGTTTTTTCTGCCAATTATCCGTGTGTCTGCGTATAGGCAGCATACCCGAGCTCGAAGGGGATGGGATAGCTTCAGCTTTTCCGACTCGCATACCTTGTCTTCGTCGGTTGCATCGACGACTGGGGAGAGAGAGTCTTATTGTCGTAACATTAATTGCTCGTCCTACGGTAAAGTGACAAAAGTGATATGGCTCACACTGGTCACGGTTGCATAACACCATTCAATGCCTGGCCCTCCACGAGTCGTAAAAATTTGCCCGCTCATTTCGAGAAATCAGATTGTTGCCCGAGTCCTTGACCCGCGGTAGATTGCCCATAAGCTATAGAGCGGAAGGAATTCTGCAAACATGAAATGTTGACTTCATGGCTTGCGGTGAAGTATGTGCGATATGGAATTACTGCGTGTGAATGATTGAATTCAGTGATTGAATTATCAGTATTCTAGCCATGGCACCGAAAGTGAAACAAAAAAAAGGCAGAACAGGCATAGATTAAATATACAAATTGACAAATCACAAACGCTGGGGTTCAGATCAAGGACTAACGTCAGTCAAACTCCACGACCAGCTTTGTGCCGCGTGCTTGGCCCTTTCGAAGTGTTTCCAGGCCTTCAAATATCTCCTTGAACCCGCCATTGATCCTCGTAATCGGTGGAGGCCTTACAGCGGTAAGGCTCAAGGTTGACAAGCTACCGTAAAACTGGCTTAAAACGTCACGATCCGACGGCAGAGCCTTGAAAACTGGGCCGATCGGCGCCATCAACTGGAAGTCTTGGCCGAAGACAGTATAGACCATAAGGAATTTGTAAGTGACGTTTGGCTTCTTCGACTTTCCTTGGTCAAGAAGGGTAACAACCTTGCCCTCTTTCAGCAAATCGGCACAAAATGTGGCTGAAGCGCCTTCCGAAAAACAATCCAGGGCCCTCGTTATATTTGGATAAGCTTTCTTGATTTCGGCAACTGCTGTAGAAGACTTATAGTCATATACGGCATCGGCACCATAACGCTTGGCAAGATCAAAGGAACGGGGCGAGGCCGTAGCAATGACATTATAACCCGCTCTCTTCGCTAGTTGAATTGCGAAAAGTCCAACATTAGAGCCTCCCGAATAGATGAAAATTGGTGGGCGCTCTTCTCCAAGGTCGCGACCATTCTGGACGTCTGCCCAAGAGACATCAAGATAAGAAAGGCCAAGCATGGCGGTAGCAGCTGGGACTCCATACGTAGCAGCCTCGCCAAGAGTCATCTCTTCGGGTACCTTCCAGGCGAGGTCCCCATCGATTTTGAGATATTCAGCGAATGAGCCGATGTCAGGATACAAACCGCCGTGAACGAAGCCAGCGATTTTATCTCCAACTTTCCAGCGCTGTCCAGAATTTTTCCCGACTTTAGCCACTTCGCCGGCATAGTCGCAGCCGATCCCAGAATTCCGTGGGGAGATGAAGTCGATATCTTTGAAGTCTATAGGGTTCAATGCAACGGCACGTACTTTGACCAAAACTTCGTTTTCCTTGATTTCCGGAATCGAGACGTCTTTGACTTGCGCACCCTGTCCAAGCGCACTACCTAGAGCCAGGCTCAGCAAACGCCTGGGCAGGAACCGATTTGTCACGACTGCTTTCATGGCGAGTCAAGTGTACACGTATAGTGAAGGGCGGAAACAGGCTGGACACAAATGCACTTCGGAAAGTACAAAGTAAAGTGGAAGAAGACGTACTGACGGGTTCAGCATATATGATAATGCGAATGTGGGGAATGCCAGGGTATCATAATGTAACATTTAAGTATCTGCGTCACCAGTGGCAAAGGCGAAAAACATTCCACACGGTTTGATATTAGACCGACGGCGGCGAAGAGAATTAATCAGCATACCAAACCAATGTTCAGTAGAGACTAGGGATGTCTGATCAAGTTGAAGTTTGAGCAATAGAGTGAGGTTCAGCGCGGCGAAGATGAGTATACAGTCCGACTAGGGCGATTACTCATCGTCCCGATTCCAACAATGAGGCAGAGAATCGACACATTCATTCATGATTACACTGCGTTTTCGCCTATGCCGAGGAGCCACGATCTACGGCCAACGGTTGTCGATGGCAAACAGCGAAGAAGCATGATAGGTTCCGCCCGAATTTTGGAAAGAATAAGGACATCTGCCCTATAAATCCCAACCTATCCATGCCTCACTTCTACATTCATTCTAAAGGCTCTTCTTGACTGACTACTGCTCTTCCAATCTCCTTCCAATCTTCCTTTTGAAAAACAAAGACTCCTTCAAACAAGCTGCAAAATGACGATCCTTCAAACCGCCGTGACCAACTTTGTCTCCGTCGATGGATTGAAGCTTGCCTATCGACGTTTCGGGGAACGTAGTTCCTTGCCGTTAGTCTATGTCAATCACCTTCGCGGTAGCATGGATACTCTCGATCCACTTCTGTTCAACAGCATTGCCAGAAGTCGTGAAATCATTGTTTACGACAGCATCGGAATCGGACACAGTGAAGGATCTGTGCCGGAGTCCATTTCCGAGATGGCTTCGGTACTTGTGAAGCTCCTCGCCGCACTCGGAGTGTCCAAAGCTGATTTCATTGGCTTTTCCATGGGTGGCGCTGTTGTGCAAACCATCGGATTCGACTACCCTCAGATTGTAAACAAATTGATCCTGGCTGGTACTCAATCCGGAATCGGCGAAGGAGTGGCTTTGCCTCCGCGGGAGGTGCTAGAAAGTGCAGGAGCAAACAATAATCAACCACCAACAGAGGATGATATGATGAACCTGTTCTTCTATCCATCCGAGACCAGTCTCGCCCTGGGCCATGCGTGGTACCAGAGAATTCATGAGCGCAAAGTCGAAGGCGAGGGGAGAAAAGGGTACCTTGTCGGAGCTGGCGCTCAGTCGCAGCTTGCCGCCATCTTCAAATTCGCGACCGACACTTGTAACTTCGATCGACTGGCAGATATCAAGGCCCCAGTCCTTGTCACCAACGGCCATACCGATATTATGTCGCCCACTGCGAACAGCTTTGTGTTGCAGCAGCGCATCGCTAATGCTCAGCTGCATCTTTATCCCGATGCCGGGCATGGGCATCTCTTCCAGGTGCCTGAGCTTTACGCAAAGCAGCTTGAGCTCTTTTTGAGCAACTGAGTGGGTAGATTATACCGCATAAGTGGCTCCGCGGTGGTTCGGAAACGTGTAAATGCAAGCTTGGAATGAATAAATCCATTGATTCTGGCAGCATTTGGCCTTTCAACGATTCTCGGAGGCAGTCTGCGAACAAGCAGTGTACTTGTTCTGTCCTTCATTTTGTATCCACTGTGTATCAACAATTCTTAGAACATTGAAGCAAGCATAGAACCTATATCATCCATCTACAGGCTATCACTATTCAACATTTGACAATTGGCAGAATCTGTCGCTGTAGAGTTGTTGATTCAAGCCCAAAATGTGCCGCGCGAGATTCCATCTACGAGGAAATATGACATGCTGTAAAGACAGAAAGTAGACCCATTGTCGGCTCAGTATGACATCAAACCTTGAGACCCTCTTGTTATCCTGTACGTTCTGGTTGGACAACCCAGCCTAAATGTCGACTTTCTTGCGGCCTTAAGAAACTACCACCAGCGCCCGAGATGATGGACTCCAGTTATGGCGCGGCACCCAAGATCCGTTACCGTTATTTCATGGCAACGCGCTGATCCCATGTGGATTCTTGGATTTGAGACGTCAAGGTAGCTGAAGTTCCGAGACCTCGTCGAGCTGCCTACATGCCCAGCACCAATGGGAACAAACGGGATGTCAGATTTTTTTGAGCCCTATTTCAAGTATTGCTGTCGTTGTTGTGCGGCCCAAAGGGCACGGCAAAAAAAACCTCAATTTTGGTATGAATAATAGACGTTATTCTAGCTTGAGGTATTTGAGATTTATTTTAACACTGGGACAAAGCGTGTATCCACGAGAGTTTACACAGAAATGAGTGCTCAAAAGGGGTAGCCACAGTTAATTGGAAATTAGATGGCGAGAACAAAAATGGATCGCCGGATTAGAGAAGCAAAATTCAAATAAGGAACGACTTGACGAAACTAATAAAAAAGGAGACAGAACCACCCATAGAAAGACCGAGACAGGGTTGCTTTCACAAAGCATACAAAGGCCAGGACTAATACTTTGCCTTTTGGCGATCTTGTTCCGCCTTCTCTGAAGCATAGATCATGTCCTTTATGTCCGGCAATTTAGCGACACGAGGCATTAGAACATCCTGTGTATAAGTTAGCTACAAGGAAGGATAATTGTTTTGATGGGCAAGGAGATCATACCCAGACAGTGGACCAGCCGAATGTAGAAGCTAACCAAGTCAGGAGAGCGCCCCCTCCAGACCAAAGATGCTTTTTGGGATTTGAACGGATCGCGTTGTTAACAACGACCTCAGCATACGAGTTAACCTCCATGGCGTTTCCCTCAACCTCGCTTCCGGCCAATGCTGGCTCAATCAAATCCTTGGCTGGATAATAAAGAGAATTTTCAGGCAAAACTGGTTTGCTTGGCAGATTGTCGAAAAAGTGCGTCTTTATTGCGCCAGTGTTGACAAGAATTGCACGGACTCCCCAAGGAGAGAGCTCAATGCGTATTTGATCAGTGATCATAGCGACTGCAGCTTTACTGGCATTGTAAAGGCCTTGCCATGGGAACGGCATTTTGCCAAGCACAGACCCAATGTTAATGACAGTCCCTTTCGAAGCGATCAAAAGAGGCGCAAAGGCTTGAGACACGGTCACGACAGCGAAGACGTTCACATCGAACATTTTCTTCGCTATTGAAATATCCGAGTCCAATAAAGGCATGCTGTAACCTATTAGGTTGTAAGCTTACAACCTATCTCAGGAAATTGCTACACTGATTCAAACTCAACTTACCAGCACCCGAGTTATTGACTAGGAAATCCAAATGACCCCCAGTTGCGGCCTTGACAGTCAACACAGCTTGTCTGATCGAGTCTTCGTCCGTGACATCGAGTTGTAAGATGTCGAGACCCATGTCTTTGAGACTTTGAACCTTAGCAAGATTGCGGGCACTGGCAAAGACGCGAAAGCCCCTTTTGTGAAAGCTTTTGGCCAGGGCATCACCTATTCCGCCTTCGCTGCAGCCTGTAATAAGAACGGATTTCTGGACCATAGTAGCGGTCAATGAATGAAACTGGGGTTGGTCTTCTCAAAACGTGCGGATATTATGCTGCCAGGAGAATAGCTACCTTCTTAAGGGACCCCGAGGAGACGTCCCAATATGTACATCATTCTTCCGTATATCAGTAATCTTGAAATACTACCTGGGTGACGATATCGATCCTACCGCCTGCTTACAAACCCGGACATAACGACTCGGGTCGGGCTGATTACGCAACATGTCCGTTTGCCAATGGCATTTTTTTTCCACGTTCGCCACGCACTTCCACTTTTCTTTGCCCATTGGGCAATGCATTATTGAATGGTCCAAGCCTTGCGTTCACAGTGGAACGAACTCTGTTTGAGCCCTGTTGGCATGTATTAGAAACGGCTATGAAGCATGTAACATATTCTAACGGACCGAGAGATGATAACTTGGAAACTTAATGCAGCTATTGACGAACTTGATCTGAATAAGATACCTTGAGAATGGTTTCTGGTTTCTGATTTCTCATGAATGTCTTATTGCGTCGGCTATCTTAGGCTACGATGTACAATTGAATGCTTCTCGTGGCATGGCACCGATACTCTACTAAACAGTGACGCAATGCACAGAGAATTTCATTGGGTGGTGGTCTCCGCAGATTGGAAATGACCATGGGTAGGTTCGATTACCCGGCCAGAGACCCGCCTTTGTGATTCCGGGGTATTCACTATGTATGTCTTACTACGTTGATGGGGCGAATACTTACCCAGTGTTCGGGGCCGATGACTACTGGTACCCGTAATGAACGATCAACTCTTCGTGATCGAGATTAAATCATAGACAGCATCATTTTCAACTATTCAAAACATGATACAATTTGCTCTCTAACAAGAAAGATTTTCGCCGGAGCAGAATCCGCTAATTGACCTGTGAGCTGTTCGACATAGGTAACAAACTGCTCACTAGGCCCATGACCTTTCTTGACCAGATACGACCAGTACTGTCCATCTACGGTGTCTCATCAACATTGTAGACCAGTTTCTCGCCGCTGACCTTGTCAGCTTTGAGCAGCTCCATTCCTTTCAAGACACCCTGCAGGCCGCCTTTTCTGACGCTCAAAGGGTGGACCTTGATCTTGCCCTGGTCCAGAAGACCTTGTGCGATTTGAGTAAACTCATGGGCGTGCTGGAAATCTTCTGGCTTAGCGGGAACAGCCATATCACCGAAATTGAAAGCTTCACCGAGAACGGTGTAGGCGAGAATAAAGCGACTGTTGACGTTATCGCGATTGACCTTCACGGTCAAGAGTGCACAGTACTCGCCACCCTCGGTGGAAAGAGCCTTCTCGCAGAATTCGGCAGTAGATGGAAGGGAGATACAGTCTAAGACTAGCTTAAGGCCGTTGTTGGTTTTCTCACGGATTTTGGCCGCAGAGCTAGGATCATTGTAATCGAAGACGGCGTCCGCGCCTAGACTGCGAACCAGATCGAAGTTGTGAGGTGAACAGACTGTGAACACGGTATAGCCGGACAGCTTAGCGAATTGGATCGCTAGGGTACCGGTCGCGGAGGAACCACCATAAATAAGGATAGTAGTTGCGGTGGCATCTTTCAAAGGCTGCATGGGAGGAGCAAGGCCCAAGGTCTGGTAAAGAGACTGGCCAATAGTCTGAATACCTGCTCCTAGGGCGGCAGCTTCCTGGAAGCTCATATTGTCCGGGATCTTCATCTGTAGATCCCCCTTAACGACAATATACTCGGCAAAAGCACCGTCCTCGGGCTGGACGGCATTTCCACCGTGGGTGAAACCGCAGATCCGATCACCCTTCTTCCAGGGCTTCTCAACGTCCTTGCCGACGACCTCGACGACACCGGAGTAATCACATCCGATCAGCACATTGGGAGGAGAGAGAAACTCGACGTGCTTCCAGTCAGTAGGATTCAAGCCCACACTGACGGTCTTCACGAGAACGTAATCATCTCGCAAAGTAGGGATAGGACGGTCAGTGACCAGACCTGCAACTTTGGGTTGGGTGACGATAACGGCTTTTTGAGTAGACATGACTGAGAAATGGAAAAGTATAATTGAGTCAGAAGGAGTATCAGGCGGATGGGAGTCTGTTTAAGTATATGGGTATTGGCGTTCTCCCCGTGGCAGTCAAGGATGCGCCCTGAATTCTCGATGACAGAGTATCAATCCGACCCCGTTTGAATCCATTATGAGTGTATGTTGTTTATCCTAGGGACTGATTACGAATCATTCCGGCTGTTCCATAAGAATTAAGTTCAGATATCCTAGGAATACTGAGTTATCCCGAAAGCCGATTCCAAATCCCCACAGCTAGTCTATGATTGAATCGCGGAGTCTCCACCCATTTACTTTTTTAGGTCAAATTGGTCTAGCGATGCATCCACAACAAGTAGCTTCTCTACACTAGTTTTTCCTCCATCTAAGGGCTTCAGAATACTACTATATCTTCTGAGCATAGCCTTGCAACATCAGTACCAATTCGCCTGTCTTACCAGCACTGAACTTGAGAATATAAAACGCACCATCATATTGAAAGATAACAGGCAATGGCTAGCCTATAATTTCAATTTTCATTCTTCTTTGTCCTTTACTAGCCCGCAACCCCCGGTGGATGACTTACCATCAATCCTCTTTACCTTCTCGTACGGCTTTACCAAAGGGCTTTTCTGAAGCCCTAACAGCTTGAAAGTGATACTATCTCGACTCAGCATCGAGTGTAAGTTTGGAAACTGACCGGAACACTGGGTCGGATCGTTCCTTGCATATGTTCAATGTCGTATCTGTGGTAAGAGTGTTGACATGCCATTGTTATATATTGTTATATATTCTCATTTCAGAAAGCCCAATGGTAAGTTGAATTAATAAATTAAGCTATATTATCGGTAATAAAAATACTATCAAGACCAGTCTTCTGCGTTCTCCAGTTAAATACTGCGATATCGGCTTGCACATGGCCATGGTATGTGAAATTCATATCCAAGGAGGTTTGTTGAGATCATGATATAGTTGAAAATTGCAGGGCTTTCTCTACGTCCCCGCGTTGAAAACCAGGCGTGCGACCCAGGCAAACTCCCCTGCTGATTAATGCTATTAAAGTCAGAAAACTCCGTCGACTGATATAGCAGGGCACAAAAATACCTGGTATAAGACGAGCGACATTGATGGTCTGCGTTGATGAGCTTTTCCTTGGCTCATCAGTAGGCAAAAGCAGAAGCAAATCTTTATCCCGGAGAAATCCTTCCAGATCATGTAGGTCAAACCAGTCCCCTTCTAGATCCTTTTGTATATCAGACGCAACCAGAGCTAAAGGCTCCTCAACTATGCCCCATCTTCGATAGGAATAGGAAGGGAGGCCTTCGCTTTGGGCTTGCAGGGAGGGCGGCCCTGGATAATGAGTTCCTGCACCGCCCAAGCTGAACAAGGGCACTCTTTCCCAGCCTTCTAATGGCTTTTGGTTTACTATGGCGTCTAGTTCTGCTTTGGCGTAAGACGCCACGGTTTCGCGATCAAGCATACTTAGAATGAAACCAAATGGCCTTTGAAGTTGATCCAGCCCAATAGCCTGGTTAGATAAGGCCAGATATGACTGGTAGAGGGCTTCCGTGTTCAGTCTTTCAATAAAATCGGACAGTACTATGAAAGAAGTTGCCGATGAATTGACGGTGCGTGGAACACCAGCACTAGTGAAATGAGACCTGTTGTGATCCAAAGGTGCAGTGAGAGAGATACTGGGTAGCGAGCGCGTCGTCGTTGCAAGATGTAAAGACGGGGACGACTCTTCCTCTTCTTCGGTTTGTAAATGCTCATCAGGAACTCGTGGCCTAGCGTCAGGGCTTGCCTCGGATGCTAATGAAAGAAAGATCTTCATAGTATCACGTAGACTCACTGTCAAGCCAGAATAAGACTCCAGCACCCCAGATTCAACTAATTTCTCACTGAAAGATAGAACAGTAGAGCTCATGCTTTCCAAAATGGTCTCCAGGTGGGAAATGCGATTTCCTAGGCCTTTGATTGTCGCTTGCTGGCGAGTGCGATACGCACGTTGTGCTAGGCGGAGCTGCGTGCGACGGCGCTGTCGTTCGGTCAATGCATAAACATGACTTATATGGGTCGACCTATTTATTACAAACCTCATCAGGACTATCATTTGGTGATTTCGTAACAGTTGCGCGCGGTTTTCCAGGTTTTTGGATTGACGAAGCACCCGTCTTAGTTTGCCGTCCCTGTGATTTCACAGAACGCCGAGGTGTCGATTTGGAAAGAAGAGTTTCTGCTGTCCTCTGTCGGTGAGAATGATCTGCCGGGACTGCGTCGCTAGGCAAGCATGATTCCTGATTTTGAGGTATTTCTGAGATATATGATTCGGATGGAGGATAGGAGCGGGTTGAAAGAGAGGTAATATCGGAGGCTGCCGACTGCTGTATGGGTAGGTAGTTTCGGGCGAGTGTCGGGGCATCTTGGTTGACATCTTCCCAGTGGACGAGCGGCAGGTCGCCATATGACTGGAGTGGCCATGACTGGTCCATGATGCGGGCCGTTGGCAGAATAAAGCGATATGAAGGAAGAATAGTCCGCAACCCAGTAACAAATGCAGCCTGTACTGGCACTAAAATCAGTCGGTAGACCGGTTGAAAGCTCAAGAGTCAAGGTCGAAGAATCAATAGTCATAATTCCAAACTAAGGGGCGTTCTAGCAGTCTTCGGAGTCGTTGAAGTTCGGTCGGAATGATCACTCATCACTCCGATTATGTAAGGGTTTGAACCGTGGGAGGATCAAACTGGAAAAGAGCGAAGAACATTGCAGACTGATGCTTGGACTAGATCCTTCTATAGAGAACATTTCAACACCAAGGGTAATGAATTAGTCGGCGCGATCGTATAGTACGAGCATTGCAAACCAGCTGGCAACTCCGTGAGACGGGTTGGACATCTGGCTACATTACTCGATAGCCTACCACACGTTCATCAAGACAGAATGGTGGGATATGCCTTTGCCTATGTAGGCTTAGCGTAAGAAAAGTGGGCCACTTTGAAAAACCTGAGTGTCAAAGAAGGTAAACTGTTTTCAAATTCTACTGTGCAGTACAGTCCGGGACAAGAGCAACAGATAGACTGCACGCAGTCGTTCCCGACCGAACTAGCAATCCGGGGATCCCTTCTAATTCTTCGTCTTTGCAATGCCACTCTCTTCTCTTGAACTCCTTCAGGAATTCTACCTTGCATCACGCTAGACTTGTTTCAGTCACTCTTCCCATCGACGTATTCCTGGCACTATTTTGATATACTATTGCCTAGCGGCCAAAAAAAAAACAACTTCTGTATCATGTTCGTTTGTTCTACGAGGGGTATCATCCCAAGAAGCTTATTTATTGCCCCGCCTATGAACAGGGGAGCCTTCACAAAAAAAAGCTGTTAAAAAAAGTTTCATCCTTACCAGCCAATAAGTTCTGAAAGATGCTTTGGCAGAGAGTCTACTGCGCGAGATGTAGAATCCACTTCGACACATTTTCCGCTAAGCTGCAGCATATCAAAGAATCTCGAAGTCACAACGTTTGCCATATCTGTTTCCCGCCATTAGATTTTAGGACCAATTACCATTATGAAGCATCAACTAAGAGATCGACTGAAACTTTAATACCTGGACAAAATCGGATCGAAATGCAGTAGTTATTCGGAACACGTCACTCGGGTGGTCCAAAATGGTGAGGCAGGGTTATTGCTACAGCACAGTTAGCTTAATGCTACGAGCAGCGGAAAGGCCCAATAATGTATTTTAAATGTCCCTCCCTTATAGCGCTCAACCACATATTTATCTATATATTGTAATGGGGGGATTGCTTACTGCATGGCTTAGCGGTGTATCGGATGACTCAGGCTTTTGTGATATACAAGACTTCCTACTACCCCTGGTGGCCGACCTGGTTCGCAGACAGACAGGCAGGGTCGGGTTCCCCTTCGTGTTCCCCACTTCAAGGTCTTGTCTCTGTTTATATCAAAATAAACAAAATGCGCTTCGAGAACTGCGCGGTTCTTATTGGTTTTTTTACATACACCTCCTTTGGGGGCGCTCTGTAGGTCATCGATCAAGATAGCAAATGCTTGATCTAGTCTAACGGCAACCAGGATTGCACGGGCTACTCTGCAGCTTTTGCGAAGATTGATAGATATAACTGCTTCGGTAAGTGCTACGGATAAGACTAATAATTTTAAAGCAGCCTACTTGCTTTTTTTCCTTCTTGGACATTATTGGGGTCGTGGAGTAGAGCACGTAGAGACTCCACTACTTCTAAGGTAGATGCATGTGGTACAAAAGATAGTAGAGACCTTGCTTAGATTCTGCTCCATTAGACCGGGGAGGTCACCCTTTTCAATCGGAACGGTGACAAACCGGGATTCCAATTAAATTATGGCCTAAAAACTGGCAGCTGGTGTATATCAAGCGATCCTAATCTTGTGAGCTCAAATGATAAAGTTCGGTGCTCGGCCTTACCTCCGATTTCATTTCCTGAACCGGATTCCTCCTCGACTGCTGCGCCCGACTTATCCTGTTCTACTGCGCCTGAATTATCCTCGACTACTGTGTCCTATTTATCTTCGACTAGTTAGTCTAGTCTTTCTGTCGGCTTACGCTCCCAGTGATATGAATGAGGTATAGCGCGCGTATATGCATAGGATATCTTGGGTGGTCTAAGTACTTTCATGGTTTCAAAGTTTGGATTTTACTATTGACTCTGTTGAAATTTGTCTTAATTTGAAGTTTGTGCACAAGTAGATCGTCTTTTGGTGATACGTGAAAAACTCTAATAGTCGGCGTTATATAGTTGCGCTGCATAAACGATGAAATATATCTCACAGTAAAAGAGTAGTTGGAGTAATTTGCAAAATGTGAGACGAGGGATTACATGGCAAAGGTATCAAGCAACAATAGGATGGGATTTTTAGTTTCTTGCTTTGGGGTCAATGGTTAGCACTTGCATGATCATGAGACCTGCCTCGCAAAATCAGACCATTACATATCTCTCCAGCTTCCTGGTTAGAGGCTATGGCTTCTAACTTAGATTTGTAAGCAAGAATGAAAGTAAAGCTAAATCCACGAACCACGTTAGCTTTATGTTAATCAGGAAGCATATAAAATAAAGCAAGTAATACAATGCTTATCATACTGTACGGTAGGGAATTTTGTCCTTTGGATTTGAATAGCCTATCTACATCTATAAAGAATCGTTTTGTGGATTCAGAGTAACTTATATATCGCCCGAACACCGACCACCCCCCAAAACCGTCGGGGTACCCAGTAGCCAGTAACTGTAATTCCTCCAGTGAGTCAATTGCCAGAATGTGTTTCAATATAGTATCCCGATAAACCCTATATTTATAGTAAGAAGGCGCATTTTGATCTACGTTATATCATCGGCGTCTAACGTATATTGGGCATACATATAACTCGTCCAGAGTTATCCAATGAATGTTTCAAAATAAATAGTAATGATTCTTTGGGCTTATGAAGGTTGGGCTTTGCTGGGGTTTTCATAGTGTTTGACTTATTGTGAGACCACGCAGAGTCTCTGGGTTTAGCCGTGTAAGCCAAGTGGAACTTCACCTGACGTATAGTACAATATGGTTCTATTGTAGAAGAGACTGAACGCTGACCCTAGGAAGGCTTAGCGGAGAGGGACTAAATATAGACTAGCCCTGCTTCGGGCAGTGAAGTTGCAGTACTATGCTACTATAGTTCCCGAGGTATACATGTTGGAACTTGTAGACCTTGACGGTTCCCATAGATGTCTAGTCCCGTGGGACTCCCGCCATGAGACTATCCATGGGAATTTCCATAGGATTGAATTTGGTCCTATGGGAGTGGGTCTACAGGACTAGACATCTATGGGAAACGTCAAGGTCTACTGACATACAACTAATTTATTAGCGTCATTGCCCATGTTGGGGGGAGGGAGGCGGTGACTTTTAAGCGATCCATGATTTATATATTAATAGGGTTATCACAAGAGTTGCTTAATGCCAATCCAAGAGTAGAGAGATGTCTCATTAAAGGATTTCCAGCAATTATCTTGATGACAACGTGCATCTTCCCTCGGGATCCCACGGTTTAGAAAACATCGCTGCTCGCATGGATGTTATCTAGGATTGTGGTACATGCTTCTCGCTCTGAGCTTTATTGCTCTGATCATCACTTTGTGGTGATACTGGGTTATTCGAGTTTCTTCCTGGCCGTTGAAAGGCTACCATAACAAGTCCTAGCAACGCAAAGCTCATGGCACCCCACCAAGTTGCCCGTAGGGCTCGCGTGTAGAGTGCCAATATTTGCTCCTTGGCCGTACCCTGTAATGAATCTATGAACGATTGACTCGCTCGAATGTAGGCGCCTGACCCGTTCATCAAAGGACGGAGGTCCGCGGGCGCCAGGCTCAAGTTTCTATCTACAGTCTGGTCGAAGATGATGGACGGAATAGTCATACCCCAAACCAGAGCGAAGCTGCGCAGGAAGTTGAACAGAGAAGTGACCGCTGTCAAGTCTTTGGGATCACACTGGGCCTGCGCATTTGGTAGAAGGGTGGCTAGGAGCAGCCCGTTACCGCCGGCAACGATAATTTGTAGTATGACGTACACCGCGATCGGAGTGGTGGAAGTCAGGAGTGTAAAGCATCCTAGACCAATTGACATCATCGTAAAGGCAATAGCATTATTGAACAGAGCCCCGAGGCCATGGAGCCGGGACATGATAACACCCCCAACGATGGAGAACACAACAAGTGCTGCAATAGTGGGCATGAGGTCAAACCCGGCTTGCTGGGTCGAAACTCCCAAAACCGCCTGGAAATACACGGTCAGGAAGTAGTTGACCCACATGATAAGCATGCTCTGGATGAAGCTCTGAGACTGGAGAGAGACGGATGAGAGATTAGACAGTAGTCGGGTTGGAATCAAGGGATCCGCCGCCCAGTTATGCTCGTAGATGCCGAACCCGAGCAGGCCACAGCCTCCTAACACCAGTGGAACAATAACCCGTGCTGAATTCCAGGAATACATCTGGCCTCCCATTGTCAAGGGAAGGAGTATAGCAACACTGGAGGTAGGGAGCAGGAAGTTACCGAGCCAATCAAATTGCTTCGCGGTGACTCGAAGCGACTTGAATGCACTCTTCTGCGCAGCCGTCCGATGGCCGAGCATCAGAAACAAACAGATGATAGAGGCTCCGGCGAAGGGGACGTTGAGATAAAAGATCCAGCGCCAAGTACTATGTTGGACGATCACTCCACCGAGGATGGGTCCACACACTAACCCTAGACACGAGGTGGCCATGACCATTCCTAACATTTGCGGCCGCTGAGCTAGAGGTAGCTGATCGCTAATAATCAGCTCAGCCATCAATGGAATAGCACCGCCCCCCAAACCCTGGATGGTTCGTCCGGCCAGAATGAGGCCGAGCGAATGTGCCGACCCTGCCATAGCGCTGCCCACGCCGAACACAAGGACACTGCCAAGCATGATCGGTTTACGCCCGAACACCTCGGCCATCCAGCCAACCAAAGGTTGGAAAATGGTAGAGGCGAGAGTGTAACAGTTGGTCACCCATACATACTCAGTGGTGTCTAAGTCCCGGGCTATGGTAGGCAAGGCTGTGACCACAATACTGCCTTCCATCGTCACAGCGAACCCGCTGAGACAGAGAGTACCAAAAAGCACCCAGTACCTCCACGAATGTGTTGCAGGCGCGGCATGCTCATTGACAGTCGGTGATTCGGCATCCTGGGAGTCGGAATATCTTCGGGGGTGGGGATCAGGCATGATTGAAAAGACTAGAGGGGCACTCTGCGATGGATGAATGGGTGTTCTTGCCAGGTAGTCAAGGGTTTTGGTGTGAGAGTGAGAAAAAGGATAGATCAATGAGGGAGAAAAATCAGCGAGTAGACCAGAACGGAATTGGCAACATTTGAGAAGACCCAACAGGCATTGGTGACTGATCCCTGCAACAAATCCGCATGTAGATATGTATTGTACTGTAATAGGTACACTGCTGCCCCCAAGTGCCCCTGGGCAGTGCCAAGCGGAGACTTACTATGTGGGCGGAGACTTACGCGGAGACTTACCTTGGTATGCGGAGACATTATCTTGCTCTGAAATATACATGGGGAGTCACTGTTGTACCCGATGACTTCAAACAGATCCCAATCAGTTGTGCATGTTTCTGGCTATTCAGCAATTACTAGCTACTTTATTCATATTGATTAGGTCTACTATAAGGTACTATTTAGGTTTGAGGTTCTCTTTAATGGGGTCTATTAGATAGTGTTATTATTGTTCAGATTCTATGTCTTGCTCACGTTATCTAGCTTAGTCTAAATCAGCTTCTTAATCGTATTAGAGTGGTTCTACTTGATAAATCAGCTTAAACGAAGTGGATAGAGAAGCAATCAAGATTAGTGTAATAGCATCCACCCAGGTCAATACACGTCTACCAATTAGACCAAAAGGACCACTATGTCAGCCTAACATGTTGGAGGTCACTATTAGGGTTTCAATGGTGTTTCCATTTGGTTATCCTCCGACCATCCTAACTTAGGTGCTAGTGGCCGTAGGCGCAGACAGCTCGTCTGCAATAAGTGTAACCGGCCAGCCCGTAATTTCCCCCCATTTTCCTATCTCATCTGCTATTTCCATGCGCTTTTGAGTATCGCGAAGCCAGGAACTACCTGCAAAAAGGCGTCAGACACGATACCAAACAAACGTCTAGGGATACTCACAGAATGTTATCGGACCGAAAGCATTGACCCACACAGCAGCAGAATCGCTTGAAAACGCCAAAGCACATATCTGAGTCGCATGGTATTCGAGTTTTTGATGCAAGCTTTCGAGATCTTGTATTCGTTGCAATGCTTTTAATGGCCGAGCTGTTGGTTGGGCTAGCCAAAGGATTCCCATGGCGGTATGGTAATAATGAAGTGTCGATGCTTGTCACATTAGAAGCAAAAGACGAAAATCTCATGTGAAGGAAGCTTACTATGCCAGCTTTGCAGCGTCCATATAGATCGGAAACTACTCTGCGCCCGTAGTTCCGGGGTCTCTATCGTGTCGAAGGATGAAGGAAGAGACAGTTTCCAGTTATCGAGATCCACCTTTATGGCTTGCCATTCCAGCGGGTCCAAGGCGGGAGAATCAATGGATAAGCATCGGTTGATGATTTTCCCCAAAAGAAAGGTGATCTGGTTAGCAAAGTCTGCGTCATCGGTGGGTTCCGGAGGTCCAGTTTGATCATAAAGGCTGATCATGAGACTGCGTTGCTCAATCAATGCTACAGTGATGTCTTCGCGTAGATAATTCCAGTAGCCAGCACTGAGTAGGTCTGCTGCGAGGTGAATTTCCCGGCTAGCCAGGATTGAATAACATCCTTGCAAATGATTTTGGGAGCTGCCATTTTCTAACACGAAATAAAAACCATCACCCAGTCAGATGTATCTTAACAAAGAGTTCAATGGGTCTAAGGCAAATACACTCACGTGTTATGATTTCAAAAGAACGGAGTAGACAGATGGCGGCTAACGTCTCCCCGATGGGAAGTTGATCCACATTCTTGGTCACGGATATCAGTCTCCGAACGCTATCGTAGTGATAAAACTCGGCGATCCCTAGATAGACGTTATCTCCAAGAGTACGGTGTTGATTAGCAGCAGCAAAAGCGAGGATAGCACTGAGTAATAATGGATTATATCGCGCTCGAATAGGAACTACATCCTTGAAATGGCGCTTGCTGTCGTTCAGATCATACCATGCAGCTAGTTGATCCATATAATGGCGATACAGCTTCGCAACTTGTACATGGCGGAGAGCATATTCAGGATCCTGGGTTGAAGGGTAATCGGTAACGTGGTCAATTGAACTCAAAGGGGCCACTTGATGCGAAGAGCCTGTAGGCGAAGCGGCTGTATCGGTGTCATGGATCCAGCGACAGTCCCGGGAGCTTCGTTGACAGGGCGAACAATTGGGTCTTTTGCCATCGCCTTTCACTAAGTCAGTAGTCTTCAATCAATCACCTTAATTCATGCAACACGCAATACGAACATTTAATTCTCCGTGATCTGCATATCTCGCTGCACGACTTTTAATCAGCTGCGGGTTCAAACTTGAAAGTAATCAACCGCCACGGGATCGAAGGGTGGGTAGACACATAGGGATCATGTGTAGCTAGAGGGCCATTTACCATCCTAGAGTCACATTACTAAGAAAAAATATACCAGCGGATATAGAGAAAAACAGTAGACTTACGATTGTGTTGAAGTGGTCGTGGCATTGACCCGTTTGGCGGCTGACGCCCTACGAGCTACTGCTCCAAGTGATAGACCCGCAAAGGAATAGCGAAGAAGGCGGGGATCTGCAAATATTTCTGCTCTGTCGGGGCATTCGGTTTTGTCCTCGCTAAACTCCCAGGGTTATTGCCCCCTCGCAGGCTTATTTACGTGGTGTATCGGAGTCAGTCGGCAGTATGACGCTATTAGAGCCCTTCATTCAGATTGAACCACTGATCCCTGAAAGTTGATTGGTGTTTCCCGGTGGAATTGAAAGGCGGAAAGCGAAAAGCGAGGCGAGAAAGGGATAGTTTTGCGAAAGGCGAAGTGAAGCGCGGAGCAAGCCCCGCCATAAACTCCACTTTAGCTAATACTGGACCAATAAGAACTATTCTGTCTATATCCAAAGGCGAGAAAAGTACGAGAAGCAAGTGCAATAATCACTTGTAACTCGTTACAATAATGTTCTTCATTAGTGGATATAGCGACAATCAATTTAAACAATTCTCGCATGGGATATAAATCTTACCTGCTTCACCCTAATTTGTACGCCGAACGAAACCATACCCCCAGCTGATTGCATCCAGACGACCTTCCCGAACCGAGTCATTGATTTTGTTTCATCATGAGCCAAATCATTTTCAAAGCCCCAGCAGCTTTAAGCCGCCGCTGTCAAACACGATCCTTGTCAACCAAGCTAGGAAAACTCCCAAGCTATCCGACTTCAATCCGCCCATCAAAGACCGAAGTTCAACATGCGCAACTTTCTCCCCAGAACCTAGAAATTGCTATGCGCAGCCTCAATCAAGATGGCCTTGTCGTCGTGGAGAATGCTATACCTCCTGGCAGCCTTGATCAGCTCAACACAAAGATGATCGAGGATGCATATGCTCTTCAGGCCAGAAAGGAAGATAGTCCATTCAATTACAACCCTGGAAATATCCAACAGGATGCTCCACCGGTGAAGGAGCACTTTGATACCAGCATTTTCTTAAGTACGTTGAATAGGAAGACAAGCCCTCGATCCTATATACAATATCTAACTTCCCCAAAGACCCGATCGCAACCCAAATTACCTCCTCAGCACTGGGGCCCCGTCCGAAATGGACATTCTGTTCTGGCAATACCGCTTTACCACCAACAGCGGAGAATCCTCCTATGTCTCAGCCTGTTCATTCAGATGCAGACTTTGCGCATCCGTTCCATCCATTTGCATACGTGATCAACGTGCCTCTGATCACCATGACCCCTGAAAATGGGTCCACAGAAGTATGGCTGGGAACTCACACAGATACTGGACTACATGTTCAAGAGGGGCTACACGGTGAGCGCGCAAGTGGCAGAATCAAAGAAGTCGAGATTGAGAGACGTCGTGCGGAAAGACCTCCCTGCCAACCTGTTGTGCCAAAGGGCTCTTTTATCATTAGGGATTTGCGCCTTTGGCATGCCGGGGTTGGCAACCAGACTAAAGATCCACGAGTGATGCTAGCAATGAGTAAGTTGTTTCTGGTGGTTCTTTTTTTTCAAAAGATTAATTCTAACATTGGCAGTTCACTTTGCATCTTGGTATCGGAATCCCATGAAGCTCGAATTTGCGGATGACGTAAGGTCTATCATTGAGAATCAGACCGATGTCGAAGTTCCGGTGGACTGGGTGACGAAGTCTGAGGCTCTTTCACGTTATTTGAACCGCGGCTTCGGTAATGCGTACGATTTCAACCAGCGACCCTGAATTGAGAGCTCATCGTTATATTCGCTACAACTGCTAAGGATGGAGGGGATCCCGTTCTGTATACCACCTGGTTTCAATTTTGGACCCGGTTTCGATCCTTGTATATGACTTGAAAGAAACGTTTACCATATATAGATCACATAATCGACTTGAAAAAAAGGAAACTCATGTCAGATGATTTATTCTTTATGAGGCACTTGAAGCGCTCACTCAAGAGAAAGGAAACCGCTCTCTTTCTTCGCCTAAATGTTACCTACCAGCTTTACCAACAAGCACGGAGAAACGGTATCAGTTTTTATACTGCCAAAAAAGGAGAATCAAATAAAAAAAAACATACAACAGTAAGGATTCGCTAGTGGTCACCCACCTAACTACTAACTTACCGGCGTGTGGCTTAAGTACGGCTGAGCGGACGGGAAGCCCTGTTCTCCACACCCTGTGGTCGTATGTACTAGACACTGTAGTAAAGGAGTTCATGTACCACAAGATTGAACGCTACAACTGCTTGTGTCCAAATGGTATCCGAATAGTCACGGTGACGTACTCACTCCGATTTCGTATGCACACCTATCACAATTTGATGACCACTGTCTCGGCACAGTAGCGCAGCAACCACCCGCCAAGGATCCCGAAGCCAAGACCTTGGCATAGGGGGGTCCTGAACCAGTCAACAGGACTCAGAAAATCCTGGGTCTCGTTGAACTGGAACCGTATGCGAACAAGGTTTCAAGGTCTCACATGTCTTATTAATACTTGCCATCAATTGATTGCCCCTGTAGTCTGTATTAGTGCACAGCCCGTAATACGTTTGGTCATCTTGCTTTCGCTGTTCACTGCCAATTTGGTTCTCTCTTGCTTTGCTGAACTGCGAGATTTCTCCGGGCAAGGATCTTCCAAACAGTGGCTGAAGAATCTGCAGCTAGTCGAACTTCACTTGGCAGTTGGATTGATTAATTCATGATATCAAACATAAATTGCCAAATAGACCCATCATTTTAGATCAAAGAATCAATACGGTAATAGTCAACTTCGACTGCTTGTTTCTCTATGGCCTACTGTAGCTAATGACGATAGAATATGACTAGCTTTATGGTACATCTAGATACAGCATAAAAGGGCATTATTAGCGGTCATAACTATCTAAGTCACTATGTCCTAGCATCTTGATCTTCTCTGAATCGTTAACATCGTTATCATCAATAGGAAAACAAAACGAAAAGGTATCTCCCCTATAATCTATTCCCCCAGCAGGTGCCATCTATGGAACTCAAAAAATCCGTAAGCTCTAGCTTTATCTCGTGAAGCGAATATTTATTAGCAGGTCAGGGATTAGTGGTCCAGGAGTCTAAGATCATGGCACTTGCGTGCATCCATTGAGCTTCAGTGCCAGCGACCATATCAGCTGAGGTGGCAGATGGTATCACACCCGACAGAGACTCTGATGTGCCTAGAGTAGGAGATAGCTCGGGCAATGAGCCAATGGGCATCATATCCAATAGCTGCACGCGTGCTTCGAAGCTTGTCATTGACTGGTGGGGAGATACCTCCATTGTTGTTGGTGGTAGCGCCCACTTCACGGCGGCAGATTGCGTCGGTTGCCCGGGTGTTGTGAATGAGGATTGGCTTGATATTGCTTTGCCATTCTGGCCCATAGTAGTCAAGGCTTGGCTGCCGCGGGGCCCTTGTCGCCGTGAAAACCCTTGCTGGACGTGATCAATGAGTCGATCTGCCTGGCAACTAACCTCACGGACAACCTGAGCTGCGTTTTTGGCTGCCAGGAAGTGATCGCTGACCAGGTCCAACGTGCTAATAGCCGTCTGCAGGGACTTGCGAGCGGAAGGAGTCGGGGGACAGAGGGCATTCGCGAGCACAAATCCTAGAGTACATAGAATAGCATCCCATTGGTATTGAAAGATGGGTGACCATCCGCGCAGGAGATCCGTCTCTGACAGGACTTGGTTTAGAATACTGGTGATCGCCATGGCATGGTTCAAACAAGTGATATTAAATCCGTCAGTCTGTGGGGTCATGGAAGAACTGACGGGAGGAAATCTCATGAATGGACGTAGTGTCGAGATCAGAAGATGATGATAGTGAAGCTCCAGCAAGAGGCGTTGGCGCTGAAGCCAAAGTGGGCTATACAGGGATAGATTCAGCGCGGCGCGATTGGTGGAGAAGGGTTCTCCCGTGCCCTTACGAGCATTGCACAGGGACTGCGGGACACTTTGAACCCAGCTGTGAATGACTGTCATCTCTCTTCCGAGAAACTCAGCCAGGCTTTCGAGAAGGCGCGGGTCATCATAAATATCGATGGACTTGTCCCCATTTAGCAACTGGGAACATTTTCGCTGGAATGCCGCCTGCACGCCTTGAACGAGAAATGTGAGCTTCGTGCATTGGACATGGAAGCTTAGCCAGCTGATGTCCTCATCATTTGAGAGGAGTACTGTGCCAGATAGTCGGGCGTAATCGCGAGAATCTCCAGGCAGCCCGCAGCTGACATGGGATAGCTGAATGAGTGGAGGTCGACCCAACGTCATCGAAAGTTGGCTGTCTATCCGATAGAGTGTCCACCAAATTCGACGATGTAGCTCCTGCTGCGCGGCTGGGATCCCATCCAGCGGGCGGATATTCAGGCGCAGCGCGTGCGCAATGCGCAGAGTAGCACCCAGGTTGATGTGAGCCGTATTTAGTAGGGAAGTGTTGTACAAATAGACAATCGAATAGATGTGGCTCTGCACCACCACGATGCCTGGGTTCTCGAGCTCTCTCTGCAGGAGCCTCTGGGCCCTCTGATAGTAAGCTCGACTAGCGCGATTCGCGTTCTTTGCCTGCCAACCAGCATCCGAATCTCCTTGCTGGTCGTTTCCACCGACGAAGAAGGTGCTGCTGTATTGCATACAAACTGCCAGCAGTACATCGACCAAGGCGGATGGCTTCCGAGTAGAATTCCCATCCGGCGTTGAATCGGACCACAATGAGTCGTAATATTCCTGGAACTCAGGTTCCGAGAGAACAGGGTAGACGCAATGGAAGGACTGCCAAAGCAGATTGAGAAAGTGTTCCTCTTGTGATCTTGTCAAATCCTCGGCCTCCTCATTTCCGTCCTGGTGTTGATCTGCGTGATTGGCGGGGTTTGTATCCCATCGCGACGGTTCATGAGTTGGGGTATTATAATGAAAGCGTGCCATGCATGCTTCTAGTTTCGCATTGTCAATTGGCTGGTTGAGCGCTTGAGACAGATACCGAGTGATTCGCGTGACAAAATATGATGATGACAAGGGTCCGTAATAAATCTGTCCTGTCTCTTGGAGGCCTTGCCATCCTTCCGTAGTATTGGCGAGCTCCCCAAAGTCAAACGAACTGTGAGCGGCATCTGACGACGGGGGTGTCAAAGAACCCGCCTGTGCTTGGATCTCGGCATCATCTTTGAGTTTCGTTATCTGCTCTTGAAGGTCTTTGACTTTATTTCGCAACCGTTGCATCTCCCTACGTTCAGATATAAATAATCAGATCATCACGCACCAGAAATACAAGAGAGATTTATTCCTACCGGTTTGCAGCCGGGAGCGAGGTAGCCTCCTGTGGCTTTGTGTTACTGCAATGACCTCCTCGATTCAAGCAGTTTTGACATGGCTGCTTGTCATCGCATCTCACGCGATTAAGCCGACACCAGTCACACGCCCGAGCGACCTGGTTACGCTTAGGACGTGGAGCTGTGACAGGCGTGGCTGACGCTGACCTCTCGCGGGAGGCGTCAATCGTGGTGTCAAAGTTGGCGGAGAAAGTGGAGTACATGACGGAACCGTTGGAGGACAAAACGATAGAGATCTGAATTCAGACCAGTCGACTCCAAACGGCTGTCAGATTCTTTAAAGTATTTTTTGATTATTGAAGGTGAGATGGGGAGGGGTAGGAGGGACAGGGGTGGTGAGGCGCTACAAAGAGAAAGTTAGGAGGCATATCTAACACTGACAAAGGTACCAACAAAGGGGCAAATTCAGCCATGAAGAAAATGGCTTCTGCACAGCATAAGCCGTGCATGGAATGACAACAGGATACTACACGCCTCGCTGTAAACCCACTAGTCTGTTATTCCATCATTCACAGTATATCAGAACTTGTTGCTATCATCCCTGATAACGCCAATTCCTCACTTTAATCTGCTATATTTTCCAACCATGCAATATAACGAATTACGAGATATTGCGATATAGCGAACTTCACTTGACCTCCTCCCATACAAAATTCGGATTAAATGGGTCACGAGCCATATCATGTACGATTCATCACGTGACATTCACAACTTTGCTTTACACGCAAATGTTTCTAAATAATAATTATTTGTTACAGCGAAATGATACTTGTTTAGGACTAGATCATAGCAAGGGTATGCTATGCAAACTGAAGAATCGTATCTCTGACAGCAGGACGATCCGGCCCGATACCGAAACTCGCCATTGGGAGTGACTCCCTGCCGCCATAGCTCTATAAGAAGAAAGTCCAGACCATCGACAGCGGGCCGATGCCTAGCCGAGGTTGAATGGACAAGGATCAAAAGTATTGTCCGTGAAAATCTTTTGTTTCTGTATATATCAAGAACAGCTGTGATCGACAGTTTTTAGCGTGAAGAATGGAGAAGATGCTGACATTGGACGATCGTCTAAATATCTACGTTCAGATAGGAGAAATATATACTGCACTCAGCCAGCCACTCGTAGGAAATGAAGGCGTTAACTTGAGCCAACGGAGATTAAATCGGTACCGTGATCAACCAGAACATTGATAAGAAATGCGTGAAAGGGGATTTCCAATTGGATTCGAGCTTATTGCTAATGCTACTGTAACTTCCGGATGATTCGTCATTCCCGTCCTATCCAGAGACCCTGAAAAAGCCACAGTGCTTACATGTTGGGAAAGCCAAACTCAACGGTGTGCTTGGCAGTCCGCCTTATCTGACAAAGAAGAGATCGGAGTGAAGTCCGTTGCTCCTCTGGGAAACTCGCATCGGCTGCAGAAACGGAAATCCCCGATTCACACGTGCTTCCGCCGAGGGATGGCAAGAAACGGGACAATGATCACATTTCTAATACGTCGAGTAGCTTCTAATCTATCTTAATCGAATCGGGCAAAGACCTCTTGTGCCTCGGCGAATTCCCGTAGAATGGTGTCCCTCTTCTCGGGGGAGCGGAGTCGAATGGCACAGCCGTAGTCTTTAGGACAATGCAGGAAACCTTTACTAGCACCAGAATGGGCCGAGATGTCATTGTCGCTGCCTGGCGGTTCGACAAACTCGAAAGCCCAAAGTAGCTTGGACACGCCAATAATTAGGTTTCTTTCCGCTAAGTGGATGCCCGGACAGATGCGCCGGCCCGCCCCGTAGCCAAGATGATCACGTCGGTCGGACGCTGCGTAGCTTGAAGCCAAGGCTGGGAAATCAGCAAACCGTTCAGGTTGGAAATGTTCTGGCGCATGCCATCGGTCACTGTCATGATGCATGCCCCAAACATTGAGGACGATGCTCGACCCTCGGGGGATGAATTTTCCATCGACGTGGTCATCTGTAGAGGATTTTTAGCCAATTGTTGGTCCTTTGCATTTCCCCTTCCTATTATCTTTCTCGATTGGTGGCGGAGAATGTTTAACCGACCTTCAGCGACAGCATGGGTAACGCCCAACGGGCTAACGGGACGCCACCGGTGGGACTCCTTGATGATCATGTTGATATAGGGTAGTTGGGGCCAATCAGACCATGTAGGGGAACGGTCATTTCCGATAACAGAGTCAATTTGTGCGTGAGCCCTGCAAAACCCTTGCATTAACTTCTCGCTTAGGGAAATGATGACGAAAAAAGGCTGTCGGCTTACTTTCTCTGTACTTCTGGATACTTGGTCATAGCCTGGATGATAGTCAAAATCAGCGAGGACGAAGTATCCGAGCCTCCTTCCATCAGGACGCCACCCAAGAATCGCAGCTCGTTTGCAGTGAGCGCCGTCTTATCCTGTGCATCCAGAACTTTATCCATAAAGGAGTCCCGTTGAACGCCCCGTTGGCGGCGCTCCTGCACCTGAGTGAGGACGGTCTGATAGAGTGACTGCATGAGATCGCCGACTTCAACCGCACGGTTCCGCCAATTCCCCAAAAGGCCCTGCGGTACGAAGCGCAGCAGAGCAAACGAGTCGACAGGTGGCGTGGCGCCCAATTCCTGCACCAAGGACCATTTGCCCATTAGAGCGAAGAGCTTGTTCATGTATTCATCACGGACTGTCTTGGTGCGAATGCCAAAGACAAGCGAGTTGGTGATACTGTTGCTGTACCGCTTGGGGTGCAGCATATGATCTTCTGGCATGGTCAGAAAATCATGCAGCATCTGTTTTGCTTCGGCTTCTTGAACCTTCCAGTGCTCTCGCTCGCACTGTGGTTCCATGAAGTACTGGTGGATGATTTTACGCAACATGCGCCATCGCTCCCCGTATTGCATGACCAGAAGATGGTCACTCTGTGTGATCAGGTGTGATACCAGCGATGCGGGTCGGTGGGAATAAACGTTACTCTTTTTGTCGAGCAGTTTTTTGATTAACTTCCAGTCGCTGATCACGATCGTGGTATTGTTATATCGTTTCAGTGTGAAAAGTCCGCCATATTGTTTGGCCCACTTGGAGAACCTACACTAATCACTTAGCGTGTTACTCAAATAAATCAGAAGAGAGTCATGGATCTTTACTGGAAATGTGCGTCTGACTTTGGTACTTGCAGTTCGTTCCCAAAGAGTGGAACGGTTGGAGGTCCTATGTGCCTGTTAGGTGTCAAGTCTCTCCTCTTCATTGCAACGACGTACCATCCGGGAGGTCTGCGGGTCGATGCCCTGCGCGGAATAGGTAAGTGAAGAGAAATAACGCGCTGGCACTACTCAGCAGTATTGCCAGAACATGTGTCGGGGCGAGTGGTAAGAGGTCCATTGTGTTGACAAATGGCGAGCAATTGTCTCTTCAGGGTAGGCTCCTTGTCTATACTTATGACCAACGCGGGGAAAGAAAAACAGATCATTTTGAGGGACTGCAGCAGGCCGTATGTAAAGTTAAGATCCCCTGTTGTAGGGTTCCTAAAGGAGAATCGGAGTCCCTGGAGCATGAAACCACGCAGTTTGATACATTCAATGAGGTCGTAATCTGCCCCCAAATACGATCGGAATTTTGTCTGAATGGACCTTTTCGGTGTCGAGAATATGCTACACACGGCCCTGAAAGGTTCTGAGAGGAGGACTGATATGCCCTATAAGCTCCAGCTGCGGGAGAGCCAATCTCTCTGCTTGACAGACAGAGTGGAAAGATGAACACCCAGACAGTACTGCACATTTGACTTTATACAAGATTTATGAGGGTATGAGAGTGTCGCTCGTGGCAGATAACCCCCTTACGGTCATGGATCTCCCTTCAAGATGACTGTGGCTCAATATACTATCTCTGGTTTGGGACACAAGCCAAGGAAAATCCTGTCTACACAGGAAGGAAGGACTGGAAACAACATTGGAATTCAAATCAAAGACTCTTGAAATCAAATTTCTACTTGGCCGCATCTTCGACTACTATTCGTCGCTGGGCCCAAGGAGCTACCTGCTCCAACTTCTCTTGTCTGCTTGTGGAGTGGCCGTTTGACCCGTTCGTCAGGCCGGGGTTCGCGCCATTGAACTGGCCCTGCTCATATGCCACAGGGCCCAGGTTTAACTGAGTGAGGGACATATCCTCCGTCCACTGCTCAAACTCAGCATTTTCAGGCTTAGCCTTAGGCTGAAGATCAGCCTGTTTGGCCCATGATTTCTCTTCTTCCCAGGCAGAGTGTACCAAATGGCGCTGGAAGAAAGAACCCTTCATCTTTGCCACGGCAAAGTCCCAATCAGTGGTATATTCCCGGAAAAAGGGCTTATATCCCAGAAGACCTCCAATCCACCGACCAACAATTACGCAGGTCCAATATCCAACCTGTCGGCGAAAAGGCACCCATGCGGGGGCAGGTGTATAGGCATCCCCGCCATCCTGGATCTATTACACGGTTAGAAAAGCAAAATCATAACCTTTGGCTGATTTGAGATCCTTACCGCGAGGAACTGAATCCAATCGAGTCCTCCATCGTGCAAAAGCGCATCGTGCCAATAGCCATACCAGTTTTCGAAGAAGACCCGGTCGAGCTGATAGTCGTTCCCCGAGTCCGAGGCACTCAGGTAGACAGTCATGCTCTCGGGAGAATCGGAATGAATGAAGAAATTATGCACACTACCCGCCTTGACTGAGATCTCCCCATCTGCTTTGGTGATGCGGCGTGTGACGCCGTCTACGTTAATCCCGAGTACTCCATGCTCGACGCGGAAGTACTCAGTTTGGAACTGGTGGAAATGAGGGGGCGGTCCCTTTGGTCGATCCGGACTGTTAATGAGCTTGCGCAGATTATCTGGAATCGGGCCTTCAATGGTGTGGCGGTATGTTTGACGGAAGAGAAAACAACGACCTGGTGGGGGCTCAAGGAATTCGGTGGTAAGAAGGCCACCAAATCTACTCTCCAGTTAGCTCCTCAATGATCTTTCGGTTGAGTCGATGATTATACGTGGAAAGGACCAAATGGCGTACTTGACAGTGGTTGATTGGCCAGCCGAAGAGTGATAGGGTACAAATGGTGCCATTCTGACAGGAATACTCGTAAATGTTGGCCGGTAGAAGTCAAGATTTACAGTAAAAGCTCAAGTCTTCAAGATTTCAGCTTAAATTAGCTGAAATAAGTTTTATATCTCTCCTAGCATCTATATACTTGGCATTACATTAATGCGCACTTGCAGTGAGCTGTTAGAATGGCCTGATCGAAATTTTGGAGTAGCGTCTATGCTAACTCTGGAGTATCTGAACGGAGTTCTTTTGGGGCAAATTTACGACTGCATTCCTAAAAGGTGAGACAGCTCACCTTGGCCACCACCACGTTTTGGAGAAATCGAGCCCGGCACTCCTTTGGGTGAATCAGCAAAATCCCATTCGGGCTTAGGGATTACTGTGGCTTGTCTTCTTCATCTCGAAGACTTGGCATTAGTTTCAAGATCGCCACTGCCTATGGACGAACCCTGGTCTGTCGGCTGATGTCTCCTTCCCCTATTAGCTGTCAGTGAGATTCATATTTACAAAGCTTGGCAAACCAATGGCGAAAGCCACAACAACAGCACCAAACGGAGCAGTTGAGTAAAGATACACCAGCGTCCCAATCGGGAAACGGAAAGGACCATCTGGGCACCGTATCTGTTGATGACGGATGAATTTCCTTGTGAAGATCAGTCAGCGTCGCGAGAACGATAAGAAATGGCCGTGGAGTGTATGAATCCGAATATGGTCCTGGTTAACCAGATATATAAAAGGACCTCAACGACCCATTCAAAGTAACAAGGCAGATGAACATATGAAATGCAATTGGCAAACATGCATTCTGAGCCTTCCACATCCCGCTCCCAGGGAGCATCTCCACCACCAATTGAAACTCCAGTAACTGAATACAGTGAATATGTACGTGACCACGCTCTCCGATGTGCTCCATGAGTTGAAAGTTGACAATAGATAGGAGTTCTCCAGCGATGTAGCCGTGGTAGGCATGGCCTGCCGCGTGGCAGGAGGAAACAACAGCCCAGAACTTCTCTGGAAATCGCTCCTCAGTCAGAAGAGTGCTGTCGGCGAGATTCCAGAAATGCGCTGGGAGCCCTACGCTCGTCGAGACCCACGAAATGCAAAGGCTCTCAAGAATACTACCAAACGTGGCTATTTCCTGGATCATCTGGAGAACTTTGATTGTCAATTCTTCGGGATTTCCCCTAAAGAGGCCGAACAGATGGATCCTCAACAGCGCGTGTCACTTGAGGTAGCTGTGGAAGCACTCGAGGATGCCGGAATTCCTACCAAAAGCCTGTCTGGGAGCAACACAGCAGTATTCTGGGGTGTCAACTCGGACGACTACTCCAAGTTAGTGCTGGAAGATCTGCCGAACGTCGAAGCCTGGATGGGCATCGGTACCGCATACTGCGGTGTGCCCAATCGCATTTCCTATCATCTCAACCTGATGGGACCTAGTACTGCGGTGGATGCGGCCTGTGCTTCATCTCTCGTCGCCATCCACCATGGAGTCCAGGCCATCCGGCTGGGAGAGTCTCAAGTCGCAATTGCCGGAGGCGTCAATGCCCTGTGTGGCCCAGGATTGACTCGCGTCCTCGACAAAGCTGGGGCTATCTCGTCTGATGGATCCTGTCGCTCTTTCGACGATAACGCCAATGGATACGCCAGAGGTGAAGGTGCTGGCGCTGTCATCCTCAAAAGCTTGCATCGTGCCCTACTGGACCATGATCACATCTACAGCGTTATTAAGGGCAGTTCCGTTGCGCAGGATGGAAAGACAAATGGTATTATGGCCCCTAATGTGAAAGCACAACAATTAGCAGCACGCAATGCTCTCGCGGCTGCAAATGTCGACCCTCAAACCGTGCACTACGTGGAAGCTCATGCCACATCTACACCACTGGGTGACCCAACTGAAATCTCCGCCATTGCAGCCGTCTACGGTACAGGTCGTTCTGCTGACGACCCATGCTATATCGGGTCTATCAAACCAAACATTGGTCACCTGGAAGCCGGTGCGGGTGTTATGGGCTTCATAAAGGCAACCATGGCCATCCAAAAGGGTCTCCTTCCACCCCAGGCCAACTTAAAAAAGCTCAATAGCCGGATCGACTGGGCTACGGCCGGCGTAAAGGTCGTCCAGGAGGCAACCCCATGGCCTTCCTCGGACCCCATTCGTCGGGCAGGGGTTTGTTCATATGGATATGGAGGTACCGTTTCTCACGCAGTCATTGAGGAGTTTGGTCAAATCTTGCAGCCAGACCCACTGGATGATGTGACAGTTACTGGACCTGGCATTCTGTTACTTTCCGGTCCCCAGGAGAAACGGTTAGCCCTGCAGGCCAAAACTCTGCAAGAGTGGATGACGGCTCAGGGAACTGAGCATGATCTGATGGATATTCTCACCACATTGGCTACACGAAGAGACCATCATGACTACCGAGCAGCGCTTGTGGTTGATGATCAGCTTGATGCTACTCGGGGTTTGCAAGCATTCGCTAACGGGGTCGACAATCCGTTCAAGACCCAGAGTCGGGTATTGGGCGCAGATGTTAGCAAGGATGTTGTCTGGGTGTTTTCTGGGCACGGTGCGCAGTGGCCGGACATGGGAAAACAACTCATTCACAACCCTGTCTTTTACGGAGCCATTCAGCCCCTCGACGAGCTGATCCAAGCCGAAATCGGCCTGTCGCCAATAAAGCTGCTCCGGACGGGTGACTTCGAGTCTTCTGATTGCGTCCAGATCCTAACCTATCTCATGCAAATCGGGCTCAGCGCCATACTTCAGAGCAAGGGCATCACTCCACAGGCTGTGATTGGCCATTCAGTTGGTGAAATTGCCGCAAGTGTTGTGGCAGGAGCTTTATCCCCTGTAGAAGGCGCGCTGATTGTCACCCGCAGAGCGCGGTTATACCGTCAGGTCATGGGCAAGGGTGGCATGATTCTTGTCAACCTTCCTACCAAGGAGGTTGAGGAGATTCTGACCGACCGGACTGACCTGGTGGTGGCCATTGATTCATCGCCTTCTTCTTGTGTGGTTGCCGGAGACAAAGAAGCAGTGGTACAGGCTACAGAAGACTTCAAGACACGGGGCGTGAAAACTTTCACCGTGAAGAGCGACATTGCTTTCCATAGCCCAACCTTGAATGGTCTTGTCAATCCCTTGCGGGATGCTCTCGCAGAGGCTCTGTCTCCCACTAGCCCCGCTATCAAGCTATACTCTACCGCACTGGTCGACTCTCGCGGGCAGGACCTTCGCGACGCAGCTTACTGGACCGATAACATGGTCAATCGGGTGCGTCTCACCTCCGCCACGAAAGCGGCCGTTGAGGATGGATATCGCCTCTTCCTTGAAGTCTCAAGTCATCCAGTCGTGTCTCACTCTATCAATGAGACACTGATGGAGACCGGGTTGGAAGATTTCGCAGTCATACCAACTCTACTTCGCAACAAGCCGACTGAGAAGCATATCCTGCATAGCATTGCACAGCTTCACTGTCGCGGTGCGGAAGTGAATTGGATGGCACAAATGCCCGGACCCTGGGCTACCGGTTTGCCTACTACAACATGGATGCATAAGCCTATCTGGCGCAAGATAGAGACAGCACCTCTTCACACTGGCCTCATGCATGACGTTGAGAAGCACACGCTTCTGGGACAACGCATTGCAGTATCGGGCACTGACACTGTTGTCTATACCACGCAACTGGACAATGAAACCAAGCCATTCCCCGGAAGTCATCCCCTGCACGGGACCGAGATTGTTCCAGCTGCGGGTCTGATCAATACGTTCTTGAAGGGTACTGGTGGCCGTATGCTTCAGAACGTGGTGCTCCGTGTTCCAGTCGCCATCAATGCTCCACGGTCCGTTCAGATCGTGGTTCAGCAGGATCAGGTCAAGATTCTTTCCCGACTGATCCCTAATGAGCCCTCAGTACTGGATGATGATGCGTCCTGGGCAACTCATACTACAGCGTATTGGGATCCGGCAGTACTAGCTTCAGAAGATCGCATAGACCTCGCCGCTGTGAAATCAAGGCTGCCCACCAAGCTGGCAGACAACTTCTCGATTGACTATCTGGACAAGGTGGGCGTCTCCGCGATGGGCTTCCCCTGGGCGGTAACCGAGCATTACCGCAATAATAAGGAAATGCTAGCGCGTGTTGATGTCAATCCTGCGTTTTCGGGAGATGCGCCTCTACCTTGGGATTCGTCCTCCTGGGCTCCGATTCTCGATGCTGCTACCTCCGTTGGTTCGACTGTTTTCCAAACAGCTGCACTACGCATGCCAGCCCAGATTGACCGTGTCGAGATCTTCACTACGCAAGATCCACCCAAGATCGGCTGGCTCTACGTCCAAGAGGCCTCCGATACAGCACCAACCTCTCACGTGAGTGTACTTAACGAAGCGGGCGATGTAGTTGCCAAATTTACCGCCATGCGTTTCTCCGAAATTGAGGGCACAGTCGGTGTCAGTGGCAGCATGGAGAGCCTCGTGCATCAGATTGCCTGGCCGCCTGCAACCCCGGCCGAAGAGCCCTTGTCTATTACGACGGTGATTCTGGTCTCGCCCGATGCTAACGCCCGGGCCCAGTATGCCGCAACACTGCCATCCCAGATCCGGTCTTTCCAATTTCCTGCTGTACAGGACCTCTTCAGCAATGCTTCATCTCTCCCACTGGAGAAGGAAACCGTAGTGGCTTACATTCCCGGGGCTGTGGCCTCGCTGGCGGATGTTCCAGCAGCATCTGAGTTGTTCACTTGGAACCTCCTCGAACTGATCAAGTTCATCGTCAATGGCTCTCTGCCTATCAAGATCTTCACCCTCACCGACAACGTAAGTAATGGTCAGACGGTCACTGCACTTGCGCAGTCCCCATTGTTTGGCCTGGCTCGCATCATCGCCTGTGAGCATCCGGATATGGGATCCCTCATCGATGTTGAAGAGACCACCGTCCCCCTCGCAGCAATGCGATATATCCAAGGCGCGGATATCATCCGAATTAGCGATGGAGTCGCCCGCACCGCCCGGTTCCGCAGTCTGCCGCGTAATAAGCTGCGCCCTCTGAGCCAAGGTGCTCGCCTTCTTCCTCGCCCCGAGGGCACGTATCTGATCACTGGTGGACTCGGCGTGCTCGGACTTGAGGTCGCTGACTTCCTGGTCGAGAAGGGAGCCAGGCGTCTGCTACTCATCTCGCGACGCGCTCTTCCCCCTCGTCGGACCTGGAACCAAATCAGCCCGGATCTCCAGTCAACTATTGACAAGATCCGCCAACTGGAGAGTCAAGGCGCGTCGGTCCATGTGCTTCCACTTGATCTCACGCAGCCGGATGCAGTCAAACAGCTATCAGAGGCGCTAGATCGCCTTGCCCTCCCTGCGGTGCAGGGTGTCGTCCATGCTGCTGGTGTTTTGGACAACCAACTAGTACTGCAAACCACGCGCGACGCCTTCAACAGGGTTCTGGCGCCCAAGATCTCGGGTGCACTAGCTTTGCATGAAGTATTCCCCCCCAAGAGTGTTGATTTTTTCGTCATGTTCTCTTCTTGCGGAAACTTAGTCGGCTTCACCGGCCAAGCCTCCTACGGTAGCGGCAACGCGTTCTTAGACACTCTTGCCACGCACCGGGCCAGTCAAGGGGACACGGCCGTATCATTCCAGTGGACCTCCTGGCGAGGTTTGGGAATGGGCGCCAGCACAGATTTCATCAATGCAGAACTTGAATCCAAGGGAATCACAGATGTGACCCGCGATGAGGCCTTTTCTGCTTGGCAGCATCTCGCAAAGTATGATATTGACCACGGTGTAGTCTTGCGAAGTCGCGCCTTTGAAGACGGGGAGCCAATTCCGGTGCCTATCCTCAACGATATCGCAGTTCGACGCGTCAGCGCAATGCCTAGCGGCGGGCAGGTGGCTGCAGGTTCCAATGGCAGTGATGCAATGCCTACATCGGGGCCAGCACTCAAGACATACCTGGATGAAAAGATTCGGGAATGTGTGGCCAAGGTCTTGCAGATGGCGGCCAGTGATGTGGATTCGAAGGCTGCCCTGGCTGATCTGGGTGTCGACTCGGTCATGACCGTTACTCTGCGCCGCCAGTTGCAGCTGACATTGAAAACCGCCATACCTCCTACCCTGACGTGGAGTCACCCCACTGTCAGTCATTTGGTGACGTGGTTTACTGAGAAGATGAGTAAATGATGGATCTCGGCTTTGACGGGATTTGCTGCTGGGTGAACGATATCTACGATCCACGGTAGTTTTTCATGCTTTTTGCGACACAGATTGGCATGTGTGAAGTTTCTTTTTCTTGCTATAGATAGATCTTTGACTCTGTTCCATATATCGCTTGCTTTGCGTTGTCTCAAACATCATTGATTTTGATTATTCCTAGAGCTTTGGTGATTAGATCTAGTGATATGTAGTCTTAGGATATGATATAACTTGGTCCGTTCTCAGACCTTTTCTCTGAAAGAAATGTATGACCACGTAAAAAGGGCTGGCAAAATAATAGGTACATGAATCCGCATCACAATATTTACGGCAGATCGATACAGCACCACAAAAGGAGATCCGAAGAGTGAAAGCATGACATTATTAAGCGCAGCATCAGAGTCGTATCACTTATAATTAGAGATAAACACGTACAAGCCCGGATGCTGATAGTACCCTGTCCTTTGTAACATGAGTTCAGGGAGACCAAGAGGAGGGAGGGGACAGGGCGGGTTTTCATTGTAGATGCAAAGGGAGAAACAGAGATTTCACCTATGAGAAGTTAAGGACAGAAGAGTGTAAGTGAATTCAAGTAAGTCAGCAGTGGACCTGTGCATCAAAAACAAAAAAACGGGAAACGAAGAGACAAAAAGAAAAACAGCCCCCCATTCCTGGATCCATCTTCCTAAGTGGAGCGGACTAGGGTCTCGTGGTATTAAATAAAGATTGGGACATGCAATTCCACTAAGTCAACTGGTGAGCTTAATGAGCTCACTCAAATCACAATTCAAATTCGATCTGCAGTATGATTTATCATAAAAGAGACTGAGCAACTCAGGGACACCCTGAATAAGCCACGAAAACAAACATCAGGTCATTCTATTCACCACAGCTCCACCAATGGTTGCATGCACGCATTGAAATTGCCATCTATCCCTCAGTAAACCGGGAAAAAACATTCTCGGTCGCAGTAGCATACTCTCTCTGGATAGTATCCCGAATAACTTCATTGCGCACAACAGGTTGGCATGGGTAATCTTTGGCACAGTAAAGGAAGCCATTATGATACCCAGTCACAGGATCACTATCCATCAGACCCTCACCCGGCTGGAAGTCAAACGCCCATACCAGTTTCGCAATGGCCAGGAACATGTTGCGCTCGGCAAGGTGGATGCCAGGGCAGATGCGACGTCCTACTCCGTATCCGTAGTGGTCGCGACGCTCCCATGACCCTGCCGCATATTCGGGGGCTAATTGAGGGTGGTTGGCGAAACGCTCTGGGATGAAAGCGGCTGGATTATCGGGCTGAGAGGGATCCATGTGTAGGCCCCAGGTGTTGATCACGACTGTGGTGCCTTTGGGGAGGAACTTGCCATCGACCCAGTCGTCTGTATAAAGTCCGTTGTTAAAAGATACATGGATAGAAGAAAGAAGAAAGGGACAAATAAACGCACCTTCTCCCAATGCATGTGGGAAACAAAGTGGAAGAATCGGCCTCCACCGATGGCCTTCCTTGACGATCATATTGATATAGGGCAATCGCTCAAGATCTGCCCACACAGGAGATCGACCATGCCCAACAACAGCATCAATTTCCGCATGTGCCTTTTGTTGGACCTCGGGATTTTGAATCAAGGCTTGTACAATAGCCAGAGTGAGACTGGAACTCGTGTCAGAGCCACCTTCCATCAAAACACCGCCAATAAAGGCCAGCTGGTGCGGTGGAAGATGATATTTTTCTTGGCCATCCAAGACGTGATCCATGAATGTGCCTTGATTGAGACCACCTTCTCGTCGCTTGATCACCTTGCTCAGAATGTCCTGATAGAGGGTCTCCATCTGTACGCCAATGGCCTTGGCTCGGCTAATGTAGTTGTTGAATAGCCATTGTGGCAGCAATTTCATCCAGGGAAATAGGTCTACTGGGGGTGTTGCGCCGGTTTCCATTACCTCAGACCATTCCTCCATGAGTTTGTAAAGGCGTCGCATGTTCGATCCATCCTTGCTAGCCGTCCGGATTCCGAATACTGTAAGAGATGTTTAGGAATATATCTGTAGTGAGTATAACAAGACTTACCAATCGAGTTGGTGATACTGTTACTGAATCGCTTGGGGTGGGACATATGGTGCTCGGGGTCGACTTGGTAGTCATGCACAAGCTGGATAGCTTCAGCGTTGACTATCTCGAGATGGTGGCTGTCGACCATAGACTCCATCAGATGTTGGTGAATCAATCGTCGAAATGTGCGCCACTGGTCGCCATAGTGCATGACTAGCAGATGATTACCTTGGGTGATGAGTTCGTGCGATACAAAGGAATGAGGGCGATGGCTGTAGATGCCGCTCTTGCGATCGACGACTTCTTTGACCAGTCGGCGATCGGTGATGACGGCCATGTTGCCATTCCCGATCTTCAGCATGTATAACCCGCCATACTTGGCGGCCCATTCCGTAAATCTAAATACAGGGTATTGCTAATAAGAACTACTGCTCTCGGGTAAGTGTACTGATACATACTTGACGTGGGTATATTTCTTGGGAATCTGGTGAATATTTCCGATGAAAGGCAGAGTAGATGGACCTTGGTCCAGATCAGTAAGACTTTCAGTATAATCTGTGTATCTTAAGCTCACCGTGGGGCATAGTGCTGATCCGGTGGCCGTAGGTGAAGGCATATCGTGCGAGCACGATGACTGGTAGCAAGACCAGTAGTAACAACAATAGTGGTTCCATTCAGGCTGATTATTGAATTTACCTCGAATGAATCAAGGGCAGGACTTATAGATTTACGGGCGACTGGCGAGGGGTTCATGTATCGTCAGTATGCAGTGCTACCTAAAGGGGATGGCTTGCCTAAAGGAGTGTCCTCCTCACTAGATTACCATGAAAGGGAATGATTTTCTAATCCCAAGAAGGCTCTGAATAATCTCAAGCAGAGCCAATCTGATGGCCTAAGCAGGTATGCCCTGGTACAATGATCCGAATGTTTGATTAGAACAATCATTGCTAATAGAAGGGAAAACTATCATCTTGCTAAGAAGCATCATGAAAAGACTGAACCCATTCTGATCACTAGATAGGATGGTATGACTCTTGTATTAATTTGAAATTATGCTATCGAGAAGAAACTAATAGTGGGAACACGGGTCGAACAAATGTTGCACCAATGTTCTTCCACTTCTGATCTACTGCCTCTTCAGAGCCTCGCTTGGTCCAGGATCCCTTTCAGTCGCGGGAATAGCTCCAATGCTGCACCACTATTGACCTGTAGCTTGGTCTCATATGACATATCATACTCCTCTAAGAATCGCGTGAAATGCTGAATAGCATCACCCGGAGCATTGGGAAAGTCACTTCCGAAGAGCACATGGCCTGGTGCAGCGAACTCAAACAGCGCCTTCAAAGTGACCGGGTTGGACGAGATAGCTGTATCAAAGTAGAAGCCTCTAGCATCCTCAACTAGCTCTTCCGTCGACAAACCCAGCGTTTGAGGCATCAAAGGCAGCATAGTAGCAGCCCGATAGATGAGATACGGCAAAGTCCCACCCGCGTGGGAGAGAATGATCTTGCATCCTGGATAATCTCGAATAATACCACTAGTTAGCAGATCCATCGCAGCTCGACCAGTCTCGTGCGGATAGTCAAACATAGGCTGTGGAAGCCAAGGGTTGATGAGCTGCGTGTCAACCGGATGCGTCGGGTGAATGAAGACCACGGCACCACGGCGACTGAGATCAGCCCAGATAGGTCGGAACGCTTCATGGCCCAGATAATGAGGACCTGAGCCATAGCGTGTAAACAACGTGACTCCGTCGGTTTGAAGGGTGTCATAGGCGTAGTCAATTTCCTTCAAAACAGCCTCCGTGTCAAATAGGGAGGGAACCGAGGCGAAGAAGCCATATTGGCCGGGTTGGGCATCCCGAATAGCAGCAGCTGATTCATTGCAGCTGCGTGCTAGGGCTGCTGCTTCTGCAACTTCTGGCTCGATTGCTGGCCCCGGTGCAGTGACGGAGAGAATGGTGGTTGTCACTTTCATCTGTCGTGCCATGTCCTGGTCTAGTTCCAGTGTCCAAGGGGGTATATACCAGCCGGAAGGATCTCCTCCTGCACGATCCAAGGCTATTAGAGGTTAGCTAAGGAAGCTTTTTGCACAAAATTCTGGGACTGACCTTGACGCATAGCCGGAGGGTAGAAATGGTGATGCACGTCGATTTTAGTCATGGCGGTTAAGCAGTTGCAATATTGCTTGATTGAATGAGTTCTTCATGATGGGTGTCTTTCATTCAAATAGAGATAACTAGCGATCAGTCCATGATTATCCGATCTGCCATTGCTCTAGGTCCAGAGGAGCTATCCTAACCTCAGAGCAGGCATTGCCACGTACATACAGGCGGGCGCAAGATCTCCGAACGCTAGTCCAGGGTATTGAGGACTCCCAGGAATTATCAAATAAAAGACAAGAGAATAGTGAGTCTACAAATTGCGGACAAAGAAGTGCATGGATTGGGTGTGCTAAAAGAGGAAATATCCCCCACTCCGCAACTCCTTACGTTCTTCCTCCATATTCGTCCTTCACAACACACTCCCTCTAGACAGTGGTGTTTCCACCCGCGGGGTTCGAAATAAACACTTTCGTGCTGTTATCCAATCCGAAAGATGAGGCAGTGGTAAACGTATCCTCCATCCACTGGAACTCGAAGATCTGGTTGGCGGAGTTAACACGCGCCCGTGCAGCCCAGGGCGAGATGACTGTCTTGCCCAGAATGCGCGATGTGGCCGTAAAGGAGCCCCACGCAGTGACATTGCCGCCATTTCCAAAGATGTGATCGATGGAAAACGGCCCGCGGTCCCAATACAGACCGACGCGGGTGAAGATGTCGATGAAAGCCTGCGGACCCACGTGGGTGTGTGTACCCGCCCAGGGCATGATGCCGTGCAGAGTGGGATTGTCGAATGTCAATGAGATGTATGTGCAATCGAAGGTCACCAGCTCCTTCAGGAGGTCATAATCGGGATCCGGCTGCGTGTTGAGCACCTTGTTGAAGACTGACACCGGAGTGCGTTCCCAGTCACTGGGACCCAGTGGAGGCGCGCTGGAACCGTAATTCCCCGGATAGCTTTGGGCGGCTACTAGAGTCCCGGCGAGGCTGATCCAAATGGATGTCTTCATTGCGAAAGGTGAAAAGCGGACAGCGGCTTGGAATGGCTTTTGAAAGTTCCGGCACCAAGTTCGATATACTTATGGCTTTCCTCGAAACCTTCAAGGCATCAGCCCACCTCGATGGGGTACTCCGCATGTTGAAGGCCTTTTTGGATCTGAATACAAGAAGTACCGGACTCCGAGAGTTCCACTGTCTCCTTTTGGCTCTACGGTGCTTTTCAGCGATTCTCCACCTCGGCCGAGGGGAAAGCTGATGGACGGCTTGAAGCAGCGCGGTGCTGATAAACCATGAAATTTGCTGTTCAATGCATTCACTCCGCATAATGCTTTTTTTCAGCGAAAGAAATTGGAAAACTGGGCAACCGACTATGAGATTGACATCATACATTCTCCAAGCAGCCGTCACAGTTGCTGTAATTGGCGCTGCAATCCCGGAGGGACCAAGCTCGCAAGCCCACCGCAATGAGCATGCTCGACGCATGTTGGGATCCTCCTTCGGGATCCCCAAAAACCAAACGTTTGACTACCTCGTCATTGGTGGGGGCACTGCGGGCTTGACTATTGCGACCCGACTGGCTGAACAGGGCGCCGGTACTGTCGCTGTGATTGAAGCTGGAGGCTTCTATGAACTGAATAATGGCAATCTAAGTCAAATCCCCGCCCAAGACGCCTTCTACGTTGGCACCGATCTCGACGATTGGCAGCCCGGCATCGACTGGGGCTTCCATACCACCCCTCAAGCGGTAAGCCATCTCATTCGAGCACAATTAAGATCAAGGACTGATATTGGAATGTGATCCAGGGTGCCTACGACAGGGTGAGTCACTACGCACGAGGCAAGTGTCTAGGAGGCAGCTCGGCACGCAACTACATGGCGTATCAACGCGGCACCAAGGCGTCGTACCAGCAATGGGCAGACGCTGTCGGGGATTCTAATTATACCTGGGAGAAATTTTTGCCATTCTTCGAGAAGAGCCTTCATTATACCCCCGCTAATTTGTCTTTGCGCGGGGCCAATGCCAGTGTCGCTAGCGATCCTACTGTCCTGGGCAATGGCGAGGGCCCCTTGTCCGTGACCTATCCTCATTACGCCCAAGCATTTGCGACGTGGGGGCAAAAGGCCCTTGCTGAGCTTGGGTTCAAGATCCGCAAAGGGTTTCAGAGTGGAGCGCTGATGGGTCAGTCGTACGGCCTCTATACGATCAATGCCACGACCATGCATCGCGAGTCCTCCGAGACCTCTTTCCTCCGTCGGGGTCTCACTGATCCAAATCTCACAGTTTTTCAATCTACTCAGGCGAAACGCATCATCTTTGACGACAAGCGAGCTGTTGGAGTCGACGTGGAAATAATGGGTCATAAATACAGGCTTTCGGCACGAAAGGAAATTGTACTCTCAGCAGGAGCTTTCCAATCCCCCCAGCTACTCATGGTCTCAGGTGTCGGCCCCGCAGCCACACTGCAGGCGCATGGTATCCGAAAAGTGGCAGACCGGCCGGGCGTGGGCCAAGGCATGCAAGATCATATAATCTATGCCCCGTCATACCGAGTGAATGTTCTCACGCAGTCGGCCCTGCTAAATGAGGAATTCGAAGCCCAGGCCAACCGCGACTACAACGAGCGAGCCGCGGGGATCTATGCCAATCCCACCTCAGATATCCTGGCATGGGAAAAGATCCCGGAACCCAAGCGGTCGGCCTGGTTCTCGAACCATACCCTTAAGGTCCTCGCAGAATATCCTGACGACTGGCCGGAGGTGGAATTCCTCACTATGGGGGGATATTTCGGTTATCAAAAGAACTACATTCGAGACAACCCCAGCGACGGCTACAACTACGCTTCTATTGCGGTATCGCTTTGTACGCCACGCTCGCGGGGCAATGTCACGATCTTGTCCTCCGACGCTGCAGTGCCACCGGTGATCAACCCAAACTGGCTCACTGATTCAGTAGATGTCGAACTAGCCGTGGCTGCTTTTAAGCGGACCCGCGACTTCTTTAAGACCACTGCCATCAAGCCCATTCTCATTGGCCCTGAATATTTCCCGGGTTCAGAAGTCGCCACAGATGAGCAAATTCTGGATCATGTCCGGAAAAGCTTCGATACTATTTTCCATGCCTCCTGTACTTGTGCTATGGGCAAGTTAAATGACCCCCTGGCTGTGGTAGACTCTAAAGCTCGAGTGATCGGTGTTGATGCCTTGCGTGTGGTGGATGCTTCGGCTTTCCCACTCCTACCACCAGGCCATCCCCAATCTACCATCTGTAAGTGATCCGTTTCTCGTAGTTCCTCCTTACGGACATAATATCTAACTTGGAGTAGATGCACTGGCAGAGAAGATTGCATGCGACATTTCGGGCAATTGCTAACAGAGCATGGAGAATGTTACACGGGACATAGCATGAAGTTGAAGTAGAAGTAGTCTCGTGTGCCTTTCATTCTATCATGGAAACTACCAACATTAATGAAAGCTACCTGAGAGTGAAAAGCACAAGCGGGCAACTACATCACATCTCTTGATCAAGTAAGATAGAAATCTCAGTAACATATCCTTCCAACTTCTTACTCCATCGTAATAACCGCGCGGAAGCGCACACTTCCCTCCATCATAGCATCTGTAGAAAACATGACCGTCAGAGAAAAAGCCGGAACCAGTCAGGAAATAAGTTACCAAATGCTTCATTGCACTTTCCCAAGGGGAACTCTTCCACCATACAGCTGATGCCGTGCAAGTCTGCAAACGCAATGGCATCCTCGGAATCAGTTGCATGGCCACTAGGCCAACTCCAAATAGACTTGCCCTTTCCAACCTACTGAAATTAGTATCTCCCCTTCTCATATCTTCTATAAAAAGCTCCCAACTCACCAACAAGCCAGTATGAATCTCAATACCACCAACAACTATGACCTCATCAGCCTCGACCTGGACTCAGTAATCCAGCTCTGAAACAATGACTTACTAGAAAGAATCAACAACTTCCCAAGAACACCCAGCCCCTGAATAAGCGGATTAATAATCTCAGGTACAGGAGCCGTCGAAACAATCAAACTCGCCCCGCCCATCTCCTGCAGCTTCGCCACAGCATCATCCCGACTGGTATCGATATACTCATGCGCGCCCAATTTCCGCGCGAATTTCTCTTTCTCGGACCCCCGTGATAGCGCGACAACCTTGTATCCGAATTTATTCGCATACTGCAACGCCAGATGGCCGAGCCCCCCTAGGCCCTGAATGGCGACAATTTCGCCGGGTGGGACATTCATTTGTCGGATGGAATTGAAGACCGTGACGCCTGCACAGAGCATTGGCGCGTATTTTGCTGCGTTTACGTGCTCTGGGATGCGGATTGCTGCTTCGTGGTTGATTATGCAGTATTCAGCGTCTAGGGATGAAGATTGGTATTAGCAGTGGCACAGGTGGAGTGGGAGCATAGAATGAGGGAAGACGAACAGCCACCGTTCTTGGAGATACCGTTCACTTGCTCATTGTCGCACATCTGGAAGTATCCCTTCTTGCATGCTCTGCAGGTTCCTGCCTAGCATATCAATATCCAAAAGGTTGTAGATGTCCGGGGCAGAAATTCAATACCATCATGTCCACCGTGCCATGCACCTCCGATTCGATCTCCAACCTTCCAAGCAGTGTCGCCTTCTCCCACAGCAGCAACACGTCCGATGATCTCATGGCCGGGAACGAGGGGACTATAGAAGTATGGAGTCAGTCGTGCTTGTCGTCCTTGTTGTCTGCATTTTTGGTCACGGAGTTCAGTAAGTGGACTTACAATCCACCGCCCATAAGATTCGTCTGCGCAAAATGGTCGGAATGACATACGCCGCAAGCTTCAACCTTGACTAGAATCTCACCGCGGCTGGGTAGGGTCAAGGGGACTTCTTCTAGAGTGAGGCTTGCGCCTTGTTCTTTGAAGACCGCCTGTTGGTAGGTTTCTGGAAGTTCGGCCATTGTGATTGAATAATGGAGAGTAGGAGACTTGAGTACTGTAGGATGATGTTGAGGGGAAGATGGAGGGAGACATGATATATACCTTTGTTTTATCCCGTAGATAGTTTCACACGTCTTGATTAGGATGCGGAGTCGGAGTTCCGGAGACCAGACATGCGTACTAGTACATTGCCATATTCGTGCCTGCCTCTTGCTTTTTAAGCGGAAGCTAAGATGATGCATACGACAATCCTGGCAAGGTTGCGAAATAATGCAAGTTCATTTATGGTTACAGACGGGCAACCACATGCACCGAGAAGTCTGTTCAGACATGCGAAACATGTCAACAACATATGAAAAGACCAACTATCATCTTTTAGATCCGAATCCAAGCAAATGTATACCGATACCCATCATGAATTCTCGGGTCAGTATTCCCTTGTCCATCAAGATCCTCATAATGTCCATTCTCAATACCTTCCACATCCAATATGTATTCCCATTTCTTAAATCCAACCAGCGGGCGCCGTACTTTCACGGGACACCCTTTTTCATCGAATTTGATCTTCTCGGTGGCGATAGTCGGATGTATAGCGATCGCTAGCGCGCAGGATAATGCAAACGCGGTCCACATCCATATTTTGCCAGATAGTGTGAGGTAGTCAGCTACCCAGGCCAATGTGAATGAACCGATGAAGACGTAGGAACATAGGACACGTGCGAAATATGGCACTACGTAATAGATATTGGCTGGCTTTTTGGCGCGCTCCGGATTGGGGATGGATTTGGTGTTGGACATTGTAAATACTGGGGATAAGAGGAGAAAGAGAAAAGGGGGCCAAAAGAAGAGACGAGGGGCCATTTTCACTACGACATTTCCACGTGTTCAGTTCCTTCTTTAGCTCATCCTGTAAGATCGCGCAGGTTGGACTTTGTTTGCTCCACAATTCCCAGGGCTTTTGATCCAAGATGGGGGCGGTGACATCATAGCAAGTAAAGTAGAAGTTTGAATAGCAAGAGGTGATATGTTTTAGTTCTACCAACTAGGTACATTATAATGAATAAAAAGAGAAAACGAAGTCTAGAGGTATACCTCGCGCCCAAAGAAAAGAATAGTCCGCAGTACCAAATCGACTGCCATTCACATATCCAATCTCAGTGTCTCATTCTGAGGTCTCGGTTTGTAGTTGTTGTGCTGTCCAAATTGGTCTAGAACCGACGACGCGGCAGCATACAAGATGCAATCACATAGAGGGCTCCGGCCGCAATAGCCATCACGTAGACAGCATCGATTGAATCGACAATCACCGATAAGGCTTCCACCTTCAAGGCCGGGGGCAGCCGCTCCAATAGGGTACTCTGAGCGCCGGCGACTGCACCTTCAATTTCTGCCTGCGAGTAACCCTTACCTCCCAACAGTGATTTGAGCCCGCTGAGAGTCTTACTCTGGAAAATGGCACTTGCAATGGCCAGTCCCAACAGCTGACTCTGGCCCTGGCCAATGTTCATGAACTGAATACACTCAGCCACACGGTCTGGGGTCACCAGTGCTGGTCCGACTGCGTAGGCGGCCTGCGTTGTGGTCATTCCCAAGCCCATGAGGATGGAGTACCCATAAACGTTGGCGGCACTGGTATCAAACCGCACGGTGTACATCAACACGGAGCCAATAAGCATGAAAACACCACTTCCGAGGTACCAGAGGATGAAGTAGCCAGTCTTGGGCATGAGCCATCCACAAAGCAAGATGGTCGCCACGTAGAAGCAGATGAATGGCAATAGTCGCACCGCTGACATGATGCCAGAGTCACCGTGAACGAACTGGAAGTAGAGCGGGATATAGTAGACCGCCACGAAGAGTGCGGCACCACCACAGGCCATCAAAACATAAAGGACAATCATCGTGGGGTCCTTCAAGAACTCGCCAGGGAACAATCGCTCGTCCTTGTTGGTTCCAATACAATAGTATTGGCTCAGCACGAAGGCCACAACCAAGACAGCAGAGACCACATATAGTGCAATGTTCCGCCCATCTGTCCAGGGCCATTCAACTCCACCAAAGACGATGAACAGAATGATGGCGACATGCATGCCAGCCGACAAGACGGTGCCCACCCAGTCCAGCTCCACAAGCTTCTTGGCGAAGTTGCGGCCTTCGCCTGCCGGGCGCGGTAAGGAAGGCAAGAGAAAGATATAGACGGGTGACATCACACCAAAGATAACCAGGTTGAGATAGAATGCCTGTTTTGCAGTTAGCATGGTCGGAGAGGAAAGAAAGAGACCCAACGTACCCATCTCCAGGTGGCCGAACTATCAGCAAAGGCGCCTCCAATGATAGGGCCCAGGATGCAGCCGGTACCATAGATCAATCCGACAAGGGCCACATACACGGGCTGTTCCTTAGGGGTGGTCAAAATGGTGATCAGGTTCAAATTTCTAGGTAAGTCGTTAGTTTTTTGTTTCATTGCGTTTACCAGTCACGACACACTTACCCCAGATACATGCCCGCTCCACCAGCTCCCGCCCACACACGCCCAATAATGATAGCGTTCATACTGGGAGCTGCTCCACAGAGGGCACTACCGGCGGCAAACATGGTCAAACAGCCGAGAAAGAGCCATTTGGTATCGAAAATAGCATATGCCTTTCCCAATGGGAGAATGAAAACCACTGATCCCAAGGTGAAGCCTACACCGAGCCAACCGAGCCGGGAGTACTCGTCGAACGCGCCTGCGACGGCTCCCTGGATGTCGGCTACGATAGTATTGTCCAAGCCATAGAGCAGGTTGGCAGAGAAGACGGCAATACAAATGAGTAGCCAGCGAATGCCTTTGATATCACGCTCTTTGGGCTCATCCTTCTCGGCATCCAGAGCTGCGATCGGGATTGAGTCTTCTAAGCGGGCCGGAGACTGACTCTCGAGTACGCTCTCATTCGTCGAATTTGTCGAATCTTTTATAGACATGGTGGAGAAAGGCGAACCGAGCGTCACGTCGTAGGTAGGAACGCCCAATTGGGTGGAGGAGAGAAGGTAGAGAGATATTTAGAATGAAGGGGATAGCCAAATGTATTCATATTGACGGTTTCTATTGATTTAAATGGGAGCTGGCAGAGAAGAGAACATACTCCTTTGGGTCGGTTGGCTTTGTCAACTTGCAGCTCTGACCAATCACAGACTACCATTGGGCTGACGAACTCCGATTCTCCTTTGGGAACTCCTATTACCCGATTCAGCCATTTCTAATCAGGCTGTGACTAAGCTGGTAGCAGGTGCCACTTTTAGCCCTAACCTCATGTACACTACGGAGTAGTCGTTTTCTATATTGAGGGTTCCAAGCCGGAGATTTGACGTCGATGGAGCACTATGATGTTGCATGCTACATTTAAATATAAGAGCTACTATATATACCAGCTAAAATAAATATACAAAATTCAATTGATAAACAAACCGTCATTAATTATCTCATTTCCAACATCGGAATGCTACCAATCATCTGGACCTGTCTGCAGATCACTTCAGTGGCTGCAGCCAATTTGCCCATAGTGGACCTGGGCTATCAGCGCCACCAAGCAATTAGCTTTAACGTAAGTACCGTGCCCGTGACAGAGGAAAAGCAAACAAAAGATGGCTTTGAAAGCTTCTGATGATCAATCGAGCATATAGTCTACGGGTCACTATTACCAGTTTACCAATATTCGCTATGCCGAACCTCCGCTAGGATCCCTGCGATTCGCCCTCCCCGTCTCCCCGCTCAATCACACTCGCGAGATCGTCAATGGCACAGGACTGGGATATATCTGTCCTCAGTCTCAGGCATGCTGGTTCGATGTGCAGAATGAGTTTGTCGCTGCCGAGACTGCGGGCTCGAGTTTTAATTTTACCGCTGCGTATGACCAGGTCTATGGACTGGATGGCTGTACCAGCGCACCCACCGCTGCAGAGCGAAATCTTTTAGAGTCCGAAGATTGCCTGTTTCTTGATGTATATGTCCCGGAGAAGGTCATGTCCATGCGACATGGTGCGCCTGTGCTGGTGTATTTCCAGGATGGAGCATATGTGTCTGGGGACAAGTCTGGTCAGAATCCTTCTGGTTTGATTCACACCAGCGTGGAAGATGGTTCTCCTGGTGTGATCTATGTCGGAGTTAATTATCGAGTACGTTATATCTTCTTTGTCGTCTACATTCATTCTCTTGACCTTCTAGTGACTTACACTCTATGGCGTCATCTAGTTGGGTGTATTTGGATGGCTATCTGGCCAGAAGTTCCGATCTGCCGGGGGCCTTTCCAACGCCGGACTGTATGATCAGCGATTAGCACTCGAGTGGATACAGCGGCATATCACTAAGTTTGGAGGGGACCCCTCGCGCGTCACAGTCATGGGTGTTTCGGCTGGTGGGGGTTCGATGACGATGCAATTGACGGCCTATGGACGTGCCATTCCCCCTCCATTTGCCCAGATCATTGCGCAAAGTCCAGCCTGGGAAGCGGGCACCAAGACCCCGGCCATTGAGGACAATCTACTGGATACATTCCTGGGGTTGTTGAATGTAAGCAGCATCGAAGAGGCCCGGCTTCTGCCGTCTCAGACCTTGATGGATGCAAACTATGTGTTGGTTGCAACTCGTCCGTATGGAGCTGGTATATTGGGACCAGTAAGTACTATCCTGGGGCATCTGCTTCTTTCAATCAAAATATGCCCACCATTACTCACCTCATGGTAGGCCATTGATGGATATTTTGTACCCGACAGTCCCAAGCGACTCTTGCTAGAGCACAAGGTTGATTCTTCCGTGCGAGTCCTCACATCCTACACTTCCAACGAAGGATTTGCTTTGGCCCCAGCCAATATCACAGACGATGCCACTTTTGGAAGATATGTCGATGTGCTGCTCCCTGGGGCCAATTCCAGCGTACGCGCTCATGCCATCAAGGTGCTTTACCCACCCATCTTCGACGGCAGCTGGCCATATCGCAGTCAGCATGAACGGGCGAATTTGTTCTGGTCTGAGCTTACTACCAGTTGTAACACTCGGTATCTACACAGCGCCGTCGCTACGCCGGGGTATGCAATTGAATACGCAGTGACGCCTGCGATGCATCTTTCAGATACCACATCGGTCTTTTACAACGGAGAAAGCTCTGACTCATTGAATGTCACAATCGCACATTTGATGCAACGCCAAATCGTGCAGTTTGTTAAGACAGGTAGTCCAAATATCGAGGGATATCCTAAAGTGCCTCTCTACTACGGACAAGCGGATCTGCTTTATATGGGAGATAATGGAGTGAGTGTCAAGTCGGCCTCCACGAACACAGACCGATGCTTGTACTGGCAGCAGGTTGACTTCTGATGAAGTGTGTAGAGTAATAGAACAGAAATAAGGGTTTATTTCTTGCAGTTTCTCTGATATATAGCCCTATCCTGTCGTCGCTGAAACATATTTTCCGAGTCAAGTTGCCTACATCCACCGGTGTACACCATCAAAACATAGAATATGATGCACAGGGCAGCAACCTAAACTCCACAGTCACTTCCCTAGCTATCAAACCTAAAAGCCACAGCTCATCCACCTATAACCATCAGGTACGTGATACCCAGAGCCCTGGTCGCCTAACACATCATCTCTTCCGTCGCAATCGTGCATACAAGGAACTTGTATCCCCCAGCGGAAACGAGAAGAGGAGCGCATCCTGACACATCAGGTGTCCGACAGTATACCATGCAAACAGCCCGGAGACAAATCCGAATGCCCCCGCAGTCTTTTTCAAAGCGACCCCAGTAGAGACATGATCATCAGCCATCGAGAAGTACGAGGCTGCCAACACAGTGTAGGTGATTTGGGAGGTTCCAAGCATGGCCGTATACACAAAATTCCTGTCTTCCAATTAGCTGTGTCAAAACTTTTCAGATAAACTTGGCCACTGACATTGGCATTGCAGCTATGGTGAAGAATAGAACGAATATCCCCCATACTATCATCATATTAGCTGAGTCGCAAATGCAGAAAGACCTAAATTACCGAGAAGAAAGTATCCAATGGCATTATCCAATGCAGCAGGATCATCTTTGAAAGCATCCGCCACACCAAAGGCAGGTGCATTAATCGCCCCAAAAGCTAGGTTGAACAAACCTAAATACAGTCAGATAATCAGATACGCCACTGAAACTCCGAGGCAGATAACAGGATATAGAAATCGTGATACTAACCAAACCCTCCAAAGACGGTATGCCCAAAGGAGTTACCACGCACGAGCTCCCACTGGGCCACCATTACCAGGCCCATACCGGCGGTGAAGAAGCAGTTGCCGATATAAGCATTTGTAATAGCCGCACTTCTCCATTCCATGAGACTCATTGATAGAGTAGTAAACGCAATGGCGAAGCCGCCCATACCCAGAGCTGTCTGTAGTAGAGGGTGAATTGTAAGATTACGGCCTGGTGTTATCAATATGTGCAGATAGGGTATCTTACTGGACTGCCAATCTGCGAGAAAGGCTGCAATGCCTGTTCCCGCCCGTTTCCAGTATGACAGGTTGAAGCATTGTAGCTCAGCTGAGCGCTCTCCTCTGATGATCCCGTGATCATTTCGTCACTTGAGAGTTTCATCTTGATTATCCCAGAAGGAAAGCGGTCGTGCAGATAAAGAAAAGAGGGGTTGCAGGAAATATCAGCCCTTAGATTTCCTGAAGAAACGGTGCAGGTCTAAATATGCATCAGCGTTCTATCTGTCAATCAAGGACTGATTGGGCTTGGGTAGCCAAGACAACTTGGTATGAGAAGTTGATGCTTACTCCATGGAGTTGGAAATTAGTTTCCCAAATCAGAGAAGCCAAGAAAACAAGTATCATACTCGTGATATCTTACTTCCCAATGTTAGGATAGTTCCATTTTTCAAATTTGTTCTGGTGTTGGGAAAGACTTGATCTGGAAAGAACACTACTGCACGACCGGAGCTCTCAGGGAGGATATATTAATCCTACTTAGGTGTAAAGCGTTTTGGAACCAGGAACAATTTACTGGGAGCAGAATCATACGGACTGGGCTTGGAGAGATGGTAATCGATTGTTCAAATTGCATTGTTCTATCGATCTTAGTCTTTCTACAATAAATTCAAAATGCCGTTCCCCCAATTCAGTTCCTTGTATAGCCTGAAATTCACAACCAAACATAACCTATCTTCTATCATTGACGACGCATCTTGGTAAGATAGGTTATGACCAAAACCATGGAAAAATTAAACGCGATGAACCCGATGAAAATGCCAATGTTGCGGTGTCGATTAGCAAACTCATAGCCATATTGCAGGTACTATTGAATGATTAGTTTCTGGAACAATGCCATTGTCATCACTTCATGGGGAGAGATTGCTTACGTATGATTGGCCATCGCTGTACTGACAGTATTCACACTCCTTCATGCTTTCGGGGTTGAGCAGGTATCCTGTGGCGGTTTTGAGAAACTCCTGGGCATACTGGCCACAGCTTGTTCCATTCACCGTGTAGAAAATTGATACTTCTGAGCCCTTGCACTGAATTGGCAAATCATGCAAAATATCCACGGTAACACCCTCACTCCAGTAGAAAAGGGGAGAGACCTTGTAGTACCAGCTCCAACCGGAGGGGGTCACCGGCTTTGGAGAAAGTGTCCCAGCAAAGGTGTTGCAGAACATGAAGAAGAATCCGTTGGCAGCAAAGGCAGCCTCAATGTTTGGCATCAGAGATGCACATAGCTGAGCCAAACTGGTGGCAAAGACTGCAAAGAGCTCATACATGAGGAAACTGTATCCTGAGCGGTCGGGGGCGTAGAAATATCCAACAGGGAAGTACCAAAGTAGCCAATAAATCAGTGCGCTGAGAAATGTAAATGGTAACTCCACGATAAAAGCAGATAAAACCCACGCCATCCAGTGGTAGGTCAAGCTCTCCCGCTCGCGAAGAACGAAAATATCCCGTAAGGTCACGAAGCGCGGTTGCACCTGCAGCCCCAGTGGAGGGCCCACGATTAGTGACATGAATGCGGAAAACACCCTGTTGTATGCCCCTCGCTCCGTGTTGGGAGACTGTAGATACGTAAGAGAATTCAGGAGGGCATTGCCGACACTCATCCAGAGCTTGGATGTGAGGTAATCCGGTTCTCTCCAGTAATAGAGCCAAGTTCGCTGAACCACGACCCACAGCTGGACATAGAATGGTGTAGAATACATGGACTGTTGCTCCATCGGTGGTGTTTGGTCTGCGGGGATCAAGCTGTGCTCGGTCTTTTCTCGCTCCTCATCCTGCTGTCTGTCATGCCAGAGAATCGGCCAATCAATATGGGCGTCATTGCGAGACCCTGCTCCAATCACCGCCAGGAAATACTCTGCTGGATTCTCTTCCGGGCCGCAGGGTCGACTACGTGGCTGGAAATACTCGATTGCCTGGTGACAGCGTGCTCCAAGTGGCCCGTCATAAACCAAGTTTCCTCCCCGGCTAAGGAGATACAGCTGATCAAACTGCTCAATCAGCTCAGCCGCCGGTTGATGTATAGTGCACAGAATGGCTTGACCAGAGTCTGCCAGGCGACGAAGCAAACCAGCAATCAACATGGCAGACTGGCCATCAAGACCCGAGGTTGGCTCATCCAGAAAGAGGATCTCTGGCTTGGATGCCATTTCCACGCCAATACTTACTTTCTTCCGCTGTTCGAGATTGAGACCAGCCCCCGGGATACCAACCAATGCGTCAGCAATTTCCTCCATATTCAACCATTCGATCACTTTTTCGACGTAGGCATTCTTTTCTGTCAGTGAGATGGACTCCGGGCGTCGGAGTCGCGCTGTCATTTGCAATGCTTCGCGCACAGTTTGAGTGGGTAGATGTATATCCTGCTGCTGCACGTAGCCCATTCGGCTTCGGAAAAACGAAGGCAGAACTTGCCCGTTGAGCGCTAAGGTTCCAGTGAGAGTTCCAACGGTGGAACGACCGGCAAGTGCATTCAGCAAGGTGGTTTTGCCCGCGCCCGAAACTCCCATCAGGGCCTTGAGTTGCCCACTTTTGACAGAGCCATTTAGACTGTTCAAGAGGAGCCGAGTGCCCTCTTTTGTCTTGAGGTCGAGACTAAGCTTGGTCCATGCCAGTGTATGGCTCTTGTCAGGATCTTGAACGTATTGTGACTGATTCCCGTTGCTGCTTTGCGCAGGAGGTACATCCGAACTTCCAACTGCGTCAACTGGTCCTGTTTCGCTGTCAATGATATGTTTGCGGCTCACTCGAGGGCCACTCTTGTAAAAGACGGTGGCCAATTGACCTGCGGGTGTCTTCAACATTTCCATTCCAATTCTATTCAATTTTGAATGTCAATCATGAGATTCTCTCACAGTTTACACGTCACAAATTGTCACTTACCCAGAGCAAAGCGCGAAAAAGACGAACAGAGCCGCATTAATTCCTACATTCCGCCAAAGATGTGACTGTGCAAATCCGTACTGAGCGTGGATGTAAGACGCCCCGGGTAGAAGGAGGTCTCCAGGCTGAGATCCCACCACTGTACAGACTTGGTGAGCTAATGTGGTATAATCTGGCCCCGATGGGACCAGATCCGAAGGGCTGCATTGGTAGCTTAGGTCTCCAAATTCGTTCACCATGACCGATTCAAATGCATAGTACAAGGGCTGCCTTATGTTAGCATAATTCTTTCACTCCTCGGACAAGTTTTATACTTGCATTGAGATATCGCAGCCAGCCAAGCCATACTTGCATCTGAGGTGCAGGTACATAGAGTCCCGTGTACAAAACATACATGTTAAAGAAGATTCCAACAGGGAGTACTGCTCGATGCATATTAGGGGAGAAGATGGCCACCGAGCGGAAGAACATCGACAGAGCAAGATGCTCCAGGTAGACGATCAAGAACCAAGTGAAAAAGTTACCGGGCGTTCGTTGGAACCCGGTCAAGAAGTATAAGGGAATGTTGTAGCAGATCGCGGCCACTTTCCATACCACATCTGTGGTAATCAAACCGAACGCGTAAGCAATCGGGCGGGAGATCTGATATCGCTTCTGTTTCAGGATCAGCGGTCTTTGGGCGAATCCGTTGCCAAATTCTGCCATGGATTGTAGAGCCGGAACTAAGACAGAGTAGAACAATGCAGATGCAAAGATAAACAGGGACTTGGTAGTTTGCTGCTGGTTTCGGAACAGCGTGCCCAACACCAGGCTTTGAACGACGATGGTGGTGAGCTCGACCGCCCACAAGCTGTAGTCACTGGTGACAATGCGAAATTGACGGCCTGCACAGTACCAAACCTGATGACAGATAGGTAGAGCAAAAGCTGGTGCTTTAATGAGAGGATTTGGTTGGGCTTGAGATCGTTCCCTGGCCTCCTGTACCGATACGTGCAATTCCTGATGAAATCGACTCCCTTTGAAGGAACGCTCAAATTCTTCTGGAGTCCGTGGAATGTGGTTCTCTCTGCCTTCGTGGGCCCTTCTCACGTCTGGATCGGCGGACATCATGTTGAGAAAGTCGGCGACAGTTGTGGTGGATAAGCAGTCAAACCCAAGTTCTTCGAAATATGCCTTCGCCTCTTCGACCGGACCGTAGAAGATCTGGCGACCAGAATTGATGACTAGAACTTTGTTAAAGTAGTTGGTAATTGCATCACTGGCTTGATAGACGCTCATTGCAGCTACACATCGACTTTGGGTCGTCCACTCGCGCATCATCTCCATAAATTCGACCGCCGTAGATGAGTCCAAGCCATGAGTCGGATTATCCAAGCATATCAGGCTGGGGTGTTGCATCAGTCGGTGGATCAACTTTAAAGTACGATGAGCAGAAAATAGCACTTACCGAGCACAGGTGGCCAGGGCTTCTGCCAAAGACACCCGACGGCGTTCTCCTCCACTGACTCCTCGTGTCTTCGCATCCCCGACCTTGGTGCCGAGAACATTCTCAAGACCAATTAGCTTTGCCAATTGGGCTACCATAGTCTCAATTTGAGCGGCCGCGAAATGGGAACCGCAGCGTGCTCGAATCGCAAAGCGCAAGGTCTCCGCAACGGTCAATGTAGGAAAGTGGTCGTCCGACTCAGCTATAGGATAATCTTCTGTCAGTTTGTATCCAAATAACAGGCAGCAATTATGACTTGCCACAGAAGAGAATATCTTGAGGCCGCTGTGTCATCACATCTTGCAGCGGATGACCGTCCAGAGTGAGTTCCCCTTGTATCTCCTTATACTCGTCCCACAATCCCGACAAGGCTTTGAGAAAGGTTGTACAGCCACTCCCCGGCTTTCCTAGTACTAATAACATTTCTCCAGGCTCAATTGTGCCCGAGAATCCACTAAGGATGGGTCGAGAATACTGTCTGCTTTTTCTGTTCTGTAGGGGACTTAACAGCCCAAAGGCCGACTTGGCCGCTGACATGACCGTGGGTGCATCTTTTGACTACTGTTCGTTAGTACCAATTGGTTCCTGATTCATTTTCTTGGTTGGATGTCCATGGTACTCACTCCGGTGCCGCTTCCCACGGCCGATATGTTGTCAAAGACCACGCCGGTGTGGTCGGGGATAACAGGCTGGCGCGTTTTCAGAAAATCTCGAACACTATCTGCAATTGGCTCCATTTTGATGATCTGGGATGGTGAAGTTGACGGTGCCGACGACGGTACGTCGGTATCGACCATCCCATCGGACTCGGTAGGGATCTTTGCCTCGTCCATGGTGAAAGGCAATTACAATCGATTCCTCGCGAGGGCCATTCATTGCTAAAAGGGTGGGAATTAAGGGGATGAAAAGAGAATGATAACAATGATGTGCTTCCTTGGAGTGATATTGCCCAAAGGAGTATCGGAGTTATGTAGTCCCAATCGGGTCAAGTGTTCTCGCGCCAATTTCCCTTTGTAGCCGGAGCAGATGGCTAACTTCGCCCAAAGCAGTTAAAGAGGTAACTTTTAGCTCTTATGAAAACAAAGTTTCGGCCCGCAGCTTATCTTCTTTTTGCATTTCCATTCCACTTCGACCTCAACTTCCATTTTCACATCCTAAATCCCCAATTATCATCAACCATGGTGCTCACTACAGGTCTCAAAGGCGCCCACATACTCATTACAGGTAAGAAGAAATGCATTCAAATATGTTTAGGTGACTAACACCAACTAGGAGGCACGCGGGGTATGGGCGAGGCAATGGTACATCAATTCCTCCAGGAGGAGGCCAATGTCTCATACTGCGCTCGCACCGTCACCAATACCGAGTTTGATGAATTCCATGCAACTCTTGATAAGGAAAATATAGCCCGCGCCGTAGGTACAGCATTTGACGTGGCTAGCAAGGATGCGCTCGTCCAGTGGGTTGAGAGCTCTGCTGAACGACTGGGACGAATTGACGTGATCATCGCCAATGGTAAGTACATTTCTGAAACATCTAAGTAGTCACATACTGACTTCTTGAAGCCTCGCCAATGCATATGGAGGGCGAGACGGAGCACTGGGAGAACAGTTTTGCCATTGATGTGATGGGTTTTGTAGAGCTCGTCAAGGCGGCCACTCCTTTCTTGGAGAAGTCTCCACAGGCATCCATCATTGTGCAGAGCTCTTTCATGGGCCGTGAATTTTACCGATCTCCTCCGGCAGCCTACGGGCCCTGCAAGGCTGCACAGCTGCAGCATGTACAGGAATTGTCCCACTTCTTGGGACCAAAGGGTATCCGGGTTAATGCCATCTCGCCGGGACCAATCCTGTGCAAGGGAGGGCCCTGGGAGCTCTATTCTAAGATTAATCCCGAATGGGTGGAGGAGCAGCGACTGAAGATTCCTCTCAAGCGCTTGGGGGGACCGACTGAGGTGGCTAACGCGGCGGTGTTCCTGGCGAGTCCTCTCGCTAGCTTCGTTTCCGGCACGAACATGCTGGTCGATGGTGGAATCCATGTGGGCACCCAGTTTTAGATTTGAACCTGGAGAGAAACTAAGCCGCTTTTACTCGAAATAATACATGGGACAAGCGAAACTGAGCAATGACATTCATACTTTTTGAACACGCGGATCGGTTCATGCTTCCATATTCTAGCACATGACGCTCGGGTCAGGAATTGCATTAGTAAAATGAACTAGATATAGTTAACACTAAAACAGCAGAGGTCATAGATACGTATGTCTTCAGTGCTGGGGAAGTATTGAACAGTCTTTACTCGCATTCTTGATGAGACTATTTTTTTTTTCAACTCATGTGTCTACATTTTCAACACCTCGGGTTAAGTTGCCTGACAATAGTACATAAAGTTGGAGGCGTGGCGTGCATATCCTACTTAACAGAACACCGATTCGGCTACCAGAATCGTCGATTACAAATTTCTCCTAGTGTCCAAATAACAAGTAAGATGCCAAAAAGTATTCGGAGTTTTGATTTCGGAGCCTGAAAGGTATGCTGCAGATGCTACTAGTGGATCTGCTGTCATACTTTAGATCGTGCAGCTCGCTTCTCGGGCCAAGAGGAGAACTCATTGTGAACAACTCATAGGCGTCATATATCAACAACCATTCGAGAAATATGTACTTCCCCTCCATCCCCATATGGAGGTATTAGCCTCGTATTCCGTTCGGAGATGGGTCAACTGCGTCTCATTTGCATGATTCGTGCTAAGGGATTGGTCGCGATGGTCAACTGGTCAGAGACTATAAGATTGATCCTCGGCCAAGAAGCAGCAGATGAAGCAATTAGATCTGCGGGATAATTTACAATGCGTCTGCAACTATCATTGTGTCTTTTCTTGTTATGCACCTTATCTGTTGTGCAACGTTCCACCGGCTTACCATCATCTACGAACTGTCGATGTATGCCCAGTGATAGTTGTTGGCCATCATCAAATGACTGGGCGCGTTTCAATACATCCATTGGGGGGCGTTTAGTTTCCACGCAGCCACTGGGACAGGCTTGCCATGATCCCTTCTATTCAGCAAGCGAATGTGACTATCTAAAACAGCAGTGGAAGCATCCAGAGCTCCAGTAAGTGAATTGATCTATCCAAGCCCCATCTCCGATTTTTGAACCCACCAATCCAATAGTGATATGTCCTTCTCCTCTATCATGGCAGCCTCCGTGGCCAATGATACCTGTGATGCCTTTACACCCCGATCAAAGCCCTGCACACTTGGTGCAATGGTTCGTTACGCGGTCAATGCCAGTTCCTCAGACGACTTTGTCAAGACTATCCGTTTCTCTCAGGAACGGAATATTCGTTTCGTCATTCGGAATACAGGCCATGAGTACATGTCACCTGGTGCAAGTAGCATGTTCACGGGCTAATGTTTTCTATTTATTTAGTTATCTGGGAAAGTCAACCGGTGCAGGCGCACTATCCATTTGGACCCATCATCTCAAGGACATTGACTTCCTGAATTACACCAGTTCGCACTACACCGGGCCAGCCGTGCGGATGGCTGCAGGCGTTCAAGGAGTCGACATCTACGAAGCTGCCCATGCACGAGGGCTGGTGATCGTAGGCGGGGAATGTGCCACGGTAGGCCCTGTCGGGGGCTACACGCAAGGCGGAGGCCACTCAGCTCTAAGTTCTCGTTTCGGTCTTGGGGCTGACCAAGTCTTGGAATGGGAGGTGGTGGATGGGATGGGTCGATTGCTGACCGCAACTCCCACCCAGCATCCAGATCTGTACTGGGCACTTTCCGGGGGTGGAGGGGGAACATATGGAGTCGTATATTCCATGACTGTCAAAGCGTTTCCTGATTTCCCTGTTACCGGTGTCGTTCTTCAATTCCAGAGCGATGACTCTTCCTCGGGACGTTTCTTTGAAGCTGTTGGCCACTATCATCGTCACCTGCCTACATATACCGCGGCTGGTGGGATGGCCATTGCACAGATCACACATTCATCGTTCCTGCTCACGCCGTTAACACTGCCGATGCATACAGCAGCGGAAGCTGAGGCGTCTATCACGCCGTTTTTGCAAAACCTGCATGATTTGAACATCTCCTATAGTCTGAACATCACCCAGTCACCTTCCTATTTCCAGCATTACATGCAACTAATCGAGCCCAACCCAACACAATTGGTACAGAACGCGCAATATGGCGGTCGTCTGATCCCGCTCGACGTTATCCAGCAGAACAACTCACAGCTCACAGATGCTGTCCAGAGACTCACTGCAGACGGGGTTACATTTGTGGGCATTGGTCTGAATGTCTCATCATCAGTGACAGGCACCATCTGGAATTCAGTCCTGCCTGCGTGGCGTACAGCAGCAATGAGTGTTATCCTGTCTACGTATGCTCTTCTCCAATATGATTTGCTGCTGCTTTGATGTGTTTGCTAACACATACTCCAGGGACTGGCCTAGCGGTGCAAACCTCACCCAGATGAAAATCCTAGCAGACCGAATGACAAGCGAGTGGGTTCCGATCCTGACAGACTTGACTCCAGATTCGGGGTGTTATATGAATGAGGCAAGGCAAGCACTTTGGTGATCTGTGGATCAACAACTAACCATGTACACAGGCGGATCCTCAACAGCCAGACTGGCAGCAGACCTTTTTCGGTTCCAATTACGATTCGCTGTATGCGATTAAGACGAAATACGATCCATTTCGGACATTTTATGCGCCGACAGCAGTTGGCAGTGATCACTGGCAGGTTGAGGCTGGTGGTCGTTTGTGCCAGGTCTAAGTTGATACGACATCATCGTGTGAAGGACACCGGTCATCCCGCACATATTTAGACAAACAGTGCAAACCGATCACATCATCTCGCACGTGATTCGGCGTTTGGCCGATGCCGGATACAGCTTTGTACAGAGTACAGAGAAATATATTTCACAGTGTGGAGGCTCTAGACACAGAGAAAAGGCAATTACATTTGCAGCATTCAATTGAAAATAGTCAACTTGGTCAATTGCTTATAATTTACACGTACTTTCATATACTTGTAATATCGCAAAACCAACGAGGAAGTATACGTCTTGACCCCACCGATGAATAAAGTAGGAAATTCTGTCGATGGCGATCAGCAAATGATTTTGAATAAAGCAACATACTAGTTAGAGAGTATAGCATCAAGCTCCTCAAAGATTCAGATACATAGTGAAAATATCAACATATCTTCATGACTCAATCTCCAGGTCTCATTGACTCATACCCCGCCATACCCGGGATTGCCTATAAAACTGCCAATTGGATGCTAAACATTTTCATCCGGTGAAAATATTGGGCGCAAATTCTTCAGAACTCATTAAAATCGAAGCTGGGCAGAGTGTATAACCTTGTATAAATACCCCCTGTTGATCCACCGGTCCACACCTGAATCTTTTCCTCCCTCCCTTCTCTTTTCTGCACATATCCCCAAACCGCAATCATGCCCTCCAGACAAGAAATCTCCTACTTCGGAGCCGGCCCAGCTCCCCTCCCTACCTCCGTCGTCGAGGCCGGCGCCAAGGCCTTCGTCAACTTCAACGATTGCGGTCTCGGTCTCGGCGAGATCTCGCACCGCTCGCCTACCGCCAACAAAATCCTCGACGATGCGAAAGCCAACTTGTCCGCTCTGCTCGATATCCCTGATAATTATGAGATCTTGTTTATGCAGGCTGGTGGAAGCGGTGGTTTCAGCGCTGTCGTGCAGAACCTTGTTTCTGTCTGGATTGAGCGCCGTCGTCGCAGGGCCGAGGCCGATGCGCAGGCTGCGAACCCCGGTGCGGAAAAGTCGCAGATCGATGAGCTTGTCTTCCAGAGACTCCAGAAGGAGGTTGAGGAGGAGTTGAAGCTTGATTACCTTGTTACTGGATCTTGGTCGCTCAAGGCTTCCCAGGAAGCCAGCAAGCTTGTCGGTTCCAAGTACGTCAATGTTGCTCTTGATTCTCGCAAGGCCAACGGTGGAAAGTTCGGTACTATTCCTGCCGAGGAGTCCTGGTCTTTGACTCCCACCAAGAAGGAGGGCGGCAAGGGTTCCGCGTTTGTCTACTTCTGTGACAACGAGACCGTTGATGGTGTCGAGTTCCAGCAATTCCCCAAGTCATTGGAGGCTCAGGGTCAGGATGCCGAGGACGAGCGCCTCGTTGTGGCTGATATGAGCTCCAACTTCATCAGCCGCAAGGTTGATGTTAGCAAATACGCTGTCATCTTCGTAAGTAGTGATCTACGCGCGATGGAAGTTCCAAGCTAATGGTATACAGGGCGGCGCACAAAAGAACATCGGTGTCACCGGTATCACCATTGCCATTGTTCGCAAGGATCTCCTCCCTCCCCAGACCGCGACTCCTCCCCCTGCTCTCCTCCACCGCTTGAACATCGGCGGTCTCCCCGGTCCGGTCGTGTTCGACTACGCCACCATCGCGAAGAACAACTCCCTCTACAACACCCTCCCCATCTTCAACCTCTGGATCGCCGGTCAGGTCATGGCTGACCTTGTCGCCGAGTTCAGCACTCAAAAGGTCAGCGGCCAAGAGGCCGTCGCCAACAACAAGGCCCAGCTTATCTACGGTGTCTTGGACAAGTACCCACAAGTGTACCAGGTTGTTCCGGATGCCAGCGTCCGCAGCCGCATGAACATCTGCTTCCGCGTTAACGGGGGTGACGACGTTAAGGAGAAGGAGTTCATTGCAGGTGCTGAGAAGCGTCTCCTCCAGGGTCTCAAGGGCCACCGCAGTGTAGGCGGGATGCGTGCCAGCAACTACAACGCGGTTCCGTTGGAGAATGTGCAGAAGCTGGTCAAGTACCTCGAAGATTTTGCCACCGGACAATAGGTTTGAGGACATAATTGTGTTTGAGCGAATTCAACCTGGAGCCTTTAGCCAGGAACGTGTGATGGGTCACGAAATAGGACAAAAGTCCGAGACAGTTGCGACTGTTTATTCAACATATCTTCCAAGTATATCCATGCTATATTATATGCTTTAATGACAAAATGTTCCGATGTTGGTACAAGATTCAAAGCTCAGAGCTTCCACACGCCCCATTCTTTGAGGTCGAGTTCCCGAATGACTCCTTTCAGAGGTCCCTGGAGCTCCTGTCCTTGAGCCCAGAGCTTCGGTCCAGCCATATAGCTGATGAAGCCCTCGGGTCCAGAAACCAAAATCAACTTGCTCTTGCGAGAGCTGTCTGTCGGCGTGGATTGAATCGAGTTCAAAATATCCTTCTTTCCAATAAAGGTGTTCTCCTCGTCTAAATAGTAGTCCACGGTCACCTGCCCCGGATATTGCGACTTGAGCGCCTCAAGCTCCCGTACAATCAAAGAAGTGTGTTTGTCTTCCATGACAGCAACAGCATCCTTTTTTTTGCTCTCAAGCTCAAGACTCTTAGACGAGCCAAACCACCAAGAGAACCAGCCTCGAGGCTGCGGTTTCGCAGAATCACTCTGACCACCGGCACAATCATCCTTCAACCGATTCGCCCACAGAATATGAATCCTCGGCCGACGCTCGCCAGTCGTGCGAGTCAAAAGAGAATACCCAGCCTGTAAAGCCGGCGCAATCCCAGTACCACCAGCAATAAAAAGAATATCATCAGTTTCACCGGGAATAGCGCATTCAATCTTCGGACCACGCAGTTCCACATCAGCACCTACATCAATGCTATGCAGATACCGCGAAACCTCGCCGAAAGGATCCTTCCGAATGAAAAACCGCAAACAACCCTCATTCTCGTCTTCCACGCTTAACGATGTCGCAGCCGTTGTAGGTAGCGGTGTATAATCCCGGCCAATCTGTAACTGCGGCTGCTTGAACATCACACTCCATACTCCAGCGCGCCATGCCTCCTCGTAGACGTCGTAGTTGTTTTCGCTGGGTTTACGCGGTCGCAGGGTGAAGAGGCTGCTTGTGGACGACACGGGCTCGCGTGATACGAGGCTGTACTTGGTGAACGTGTCTGGGTTAAGGGTCGCTGAGTCTGTGCTTTGAGACCGGATGTATGCTCCTGCTGCTGCGGCTGATGCTCCCACTAATACAATGCCTAGCCAGCGGCGACGGTTGGGACGGGGAGACTTCGGGGATGGGGTTGGTTTCGAGGTTGAGGTTGAGGTTGAGGTTGAGGCCGAGCGTGCAAGTGAAGGTGAGGATGAAGTTGAGGCATAGCGAGGCCGAGCAATAGCCCTCAGGCCGCTCATCGTGTGAGGTTTCATGGAAGTGTGAAAGTGAGAGAAAGAAAGAAATCGCGGGGAATTAGAAGAAGCGCCGATTGGGCGATCGACACTAAATTGCATCCCTTGGCAAGACCCTTTCTCTTCTTTCTTTCTCTTCCACCTACTTTCACTTACTTTAACTCACTCACTCACTACGACTCTCGTTCGGGCAATGGAGAGCGCCCTTCTCCTCTGACGATCTACTATCTTTCGCCTTCACCATCGCCCTCATATCGCCATCTCCTTGAACAAAGAGAATGTCGAACGCCCACACACAAGGAAACAGGAATGGCAACCTCGCTCCTCGAGACTCGCTAGAACTCGCCTCCCTCGCTTCCTCATCACCCGTCTCGGTGGGCTCCTCGCGCTCCTCCTCCCCAGATGGCATCTCCTCATCCCGCAAGCTCTCCCTCGAGGACGAAGATCCCCTAGGCGAGTCACATCGGGATGCTGAGCTTGAATCCGGTCACCAGAGGGGTCTCCGGTCATATTCTATCTCTTCGGCATTCGACTTTGGACGTACGCTTTTTCCGCTGTCGCAAACGCAGGGTGGATATGCGCCGGTTGGGACTCCGGCGGATCGACAAGTGGATGGATCGCTGGAGCGGAACAAGACGCTGACGTATTTGAATGGTCTTTCGCTTATTGTTGGGCTTATTATTGGTTCTGGTATTTTCTCTTCGCCGAGTCAGGTCAATGCCAATGCTGGGTCGCCAGGCGCCTCGCTCATTGTTTGGGCTGTGGCTGGTCTACTGGCTTGGACGGGTGCTGCCAGCTATGCGGAGCTGGGAGGTGCTATCCCACTCAATGGTGGCTCGCAGATTTATTTGTCTAAGATCTTTGGAGAGCTACCCGGTTTCTTGTTTACATGGTGTGCCGTGTTGGTGTTGAAGCCTGGGTCTGCGGCGATCATCTCTATTATCTTCGGTGAATATGTCGTGCGGGCCTTTGTGGGTGCTGATGTTGGAGACGTCAGTCCATGGATTAACAAGGGTGTCGCATTTGGTGGCCTTTTGACGGTTACTCTGCTCAATTGTATATCTACCAAGTTTGCAACCCGCATTGGAGACATGTTCATGTTTTTCAAATTCGTGGCTTTGTTGGGAGTCACCGTCATTGGTGTTATAGTCGCTGTGACTGGTCTCTCCTCCGGAGGAGATGCGAATGAAGAATGGAAAACGACAGGATGGTTCGAGGGCACCAACACCGAGATCTCGGACTTTGCAGTCGCCTTGTATGCTGGACTCTGGGCATTTGACGGCTGGGACAATACCAACTACGTTACTGGCGAGTTCAAGAATCCCAACCGCGATCTGCCTCGGGTTATTCACACAGCGATGCCATTGGTCATCCTATCATATCTTCTCGCAAATGTCTCATACTTCCTCGTTCTTCCTCACTCGACCATCGAGGCTAGCAACACTGTCGCCGTGCAATTCGGCGCAAAAGTCTTCGGCGCTGTGGGAGCTTTGATCCTCGCTCTAGTCGTGTCAGCCAGCTGCTTCGGAGCTCTCAACGCAACAACCTTCACAAGCGGCAGGTTGGTCTACGCAGCCGGAAAAGAAGGCTACCTCCCTTCATTATTTGGCCGTATCGGCCTCTCCGCAACTCCATCAACGGGTCCCCCAGCAGGCAGCCGACTGCGCCGCCGTTCCTGGGCTCGCAAATCCCTCTCCCGGGTGTTCGGCGACCAAGCCGCCCTCGGCCTCACGCCTATCTACGCCATAGCCTTCAATGGCGCTCTCACTACCATATACATCGTGGTCGGCGAGTTCGGCACCCTGGTCACATTCTACGGTGTAGCAGGATATACCTTCTACTTTCTCACAGTCCTCGGACTCATCGTCCTCCGTATCCGCGAACCACACCTAGAACGACCCTACCGCACCTGGATCACAACCCCAATCATCTTCTGCTGCGTGAGTCTCTTCCTCCTCAGCCGAGCAGTCATCGCCGAGCCCCTCCAGACCCTGATAGTGGTGGCGTTCATTATAACCGGCATCCCAGTCTACTACTGGCGCATCCACAAGCGAGACGGCCGCATCGACTTCCCCAGCTGGAAATTCTGGAAGCGTGGTTCCCGCTAAGAAAAGACAAGTAGAGCTTGTCCATTCTTCGCTGTTATGATTTTAATACCCATGTATATAACCGGGTGTATCTGTTCTGTATTCGCGCGCTTGCTAAATGGGTGCCGATTCGGCATACGATTTCATGACCATGGCTAGGCGCGTGCATTTGATTTGATTTTTTTTTTTACTTGCTCGTCTATTGGCCACGCTGGGTCTGATTCTATCTTGTGTTACTACTGAAATCTTGTGGCATCGATGTGCCATGCTTTATACATAATCATAATATTGCATCTCAATATTCATCAATGCAACACACCACTTTCATACTCCGATTCCATCCCAGATATCAGCTTTCAGGAGGGTAGCGGGGGGTCGTCCATCGTTGTTGGTGGTGTCGCCTTCTGCGAAGAAGATAGGTCCGGAACTGTGGTCATCCGGGTAATAGATACGAGTGGAAATGACCGTTCGGTCATTAACGAATACTTCCAAGACACTGGCATCAAAGAAAGCGCGTACTCGAAGGGTCTCTTCGATTTCTTGTCCCTCTTTCAAGAAAGTGAATAGTGTATGCGGCGCGGTCTCAAAGCCTTGGTTTACTTCTGCGTTGTCGAGGTGCGGTCGGTGGATGATGAATGTTTCACTATCTGGAATCCAGGAAAGTGTCGTGCAGTTTTGGTCTTGGGAGTCTGATGAATGTTAGTTTGTGTATTCATGGGACAGGTTGGGTTGGCAGAATGGGTCTCACCGGAAGTATGCGGGATTTTGATGCCCACGCGTGCACAGGCTTGACCGACAGAAAACTCAGCTTCTATTTCCCATCTCGTTGATTGTAATGCCGTCATGACCTTGGGGGTAGTAGACAATGGTACATCAACAAGTTGGCTCTTCTGGGCACCTTCTCGAAGACGTGAAAGCCGGCTATCGGGGGTAATCTTCATCGTATGAACAGTCGAAGTGCCTGTGCCTGGTGCATCGGGAACACCCTCAATTGAGGTAATTGAACTCAATGACGAGTTGCGGGCCTTCGTGACATTGTTCAACGTCATCAATTTAACAACACGGGGTAGAGAAGTCAAGCCACTGAATCCTTGACGATGACGCAAAGAATCGGAAAGATCCTCTTCTGTGATCCATCCGAACACGATTTGCTGGGAAGTCTGGACATCCCAGAATGAGTTCGCTGCGTAGTAACAGCCGTGATCGAGGAACCCAGAGAATGCATACGAAGCCAAGGCTTCATCTGTAGAATTGGAGTCGCGCTTTTCAGATGCTTTGATAGACATCCAAAGCTGGCCTCGTGGTTCTCGCTTGCTACCAGCTTCTCGAACTCCGTCTTTGATTGTGCCCTCCGAGGACAGACATCCTTCCGCTCCCATGATAACGAAATCCCTCGAAACACGTCCATCGGATAGAGTCATCATATTGGCAACTTCCCAATTTGCTCCAAAATCGCCGGACCAGCGGGAAAGTCGAAGGTTCAGACCGACATCGACTAATGGACCAAGGAACTCCCATTTGCGCAGGTCGTTGGGGTCCACAGTATATACGAAAGCAGTTGGTGTTTTGCCAACAATCCCCCCGGAGATAAATCCGTATAGAGTTGCCGGTGCATCCTTGGAAAGAGGCCCCTCGGCCCAAGTCGTGATACACGGATCTCTCCAGCCTGTCACGGTGAACTGCTCAGGGGGACCAGCGATGATTGGGTTACAATCCTGACGTTCCCAGGTTATACCGCCATCTTGTGAGACAGCTATACTAAGCGACTCGCTCCCAATGACATATGGTAGCGTATAATGAAGTGGCAGATTGCTCACAGAGGTGTATATGGCAGTGAGAGATCCCGGATTGCCGGAAATATCGGTCGATCGTAGACATCCTGTGAAGACGCCTCGACAATCATAATCGGCCGTTGGTGTCAGAATTGGATCTTTGTATGTCGTCCATGATATCAGGTCTGGGGACGTGGCGTGGCCCCAGGACATATTGCCCCAGTCGTTGCCGTGTGGGTTCCATTGGAAGGATAGATGGTATAGACCTGTCGCTGGGTCATAGCCAATGCCACAAGGATCGTTCATCCATCCAGTTGGTGCGATGAAATGATATGATGGTCGCCATTGTGTTGGGTTTCGAGGTGCGTTCTTATGATATGTGATGTCAATGAGGTCATGGCTTTCAGATCGCGTTGGCTTTTGTCGGGATTTCTGGACAGGCTCATTCATTCCTGCAGTTTTTGAGCCAGACATGTTGGATTTCGAATTCAAAAAAAAGGTGAATAATGACTAGGTAAAGACGAAACGGCAAGGCGGAAGGAATCTGTTCATTAGATCATCGCCTTGGCTGGCGGGTCACTCATTTCGCTTCACCACACTCCAAGAACAGAGAATTTAGAGGTATCCACTCGAAATGAATCTAACTGCCTCAAAACAGCTCAGCAGTTCAAGCTGAGTGGATATCTAAAGAATGATTTACCGGCAGTTGGTCGGAGACGGGCTCGGCATCTGTCGACGGAGGTTTGTCGGCGACAATATCGGCGAAACCGGTCAGCATCGCACACCCAAGACGATCTCTGGAGAAGTGGAGAATGCAGGGATCGCAGAGGCCTGGCAGCAGCTAGCAAACCCCGGATTTTGGGCCTGTCATTGGCGTGGGGAGCCCGGTCGATGATATAATGCGAAATCTCGGAGAAACTCCATGAGACAATTAAATCCGGGGCGCAAATCTTAGGAATCTGGGGATCCCTTCCACTCCCTTGCTTTCGGCTTTGCTTTCTGGGTTCCTTCGGGGTTGGACATGGATTGACACTGTGTATATATTGCGTCCCTCATGGCCCCAGTGCGCGGTTTTCGCTCCTGGGACTTTGGGTTGACCACGTTCCTTTGGTATTGGTTCTGTTCAATCCGCGGCGCCATGTGTGGAAAGAAAGATGGCTCTGACGCAGACATCCAGCACGTCGACTTGCTGCATGAGGGAAGGTCTGGCAGAGCAATCAATGCCCAGCTGATCTTCGCCTGTACAATTTTTGGCGCCGCCTCATTCTTGTTCGGGTTTGACGACAAAATCATTTCTCCGGTTGCCGCATTGGTTCCTTTTGTGAGTGTCCTCCATATTTTGGCAAGGGATAAGCCTAATATCGATCAGGTCGAGAAATTCCAAGGACCCAACCCGGTCACTGGGAAGTATGTCCTCACGGCGCGCAATCAAAACCTCGTCTTCTCCCTTCCGTTGGTGGGCTCCGTGATCGGAGGTCTCCTCGCTTCGCCATTGAACTTCCACTTTGGTCGCAAGTGGCCTTTGATTGCTGCGTATATTATATCCGTGGGTGGTGGACTGCTTCAAGTCTTTGCTCCGAATCTGGGGGCCTTTGTGGGAGGTCGCTCGATCAATTCAGTTGCATTGGGAATTGTCAATGCGACTGCTCCTCTGTATATATCCGAGGTAGCATGCCCTTCCAGTTGGTGAATAATGGTGCTGACATGCGAACAGGTTGTTCCCGCCTCAATACGAGGAAAGTGTGTCAGTTCAACAAATATTTTGAACTTGACGGCCGGTGTAGTAGGCACTGTGGTGGTCTTCCGAACTGATAAGATCCGTGGGCTCTTAGCCTACCAGATCCCATTGGCTGTGCAGTGTGCCTTGCCTGTCGTACTCTTCCTCTTGACAATACCCCTTCCAGAAAGCCCACAATGGCTTGTCGGGAAGGGCAAAACAGAACAAGCCCGATGCAATTTGCGGAAGCTGCGCGGTTTCAGCGATGAAGAGGTAGACGACGAACTCCGTCTGATGGAGCTGAGTGAACAGAACGAACGGGACTTACAATCCCACGCCAGGTTCTGGCACATCTTCCACCGCAAACATCTCAAACGAACCTTAACGGCGGGATCATTCTTCTCCCTCAATCAAATCTCCGGCATCATTCTCTCAACCACGTACACGACACTATTCCTCACGGAGCTGGGAATTGGAAACGCCTTCACCCTAACCATTATTGCATCCTGCTGTACATTAGCCGGAACCATCGCCGCCCCCTTCGTCATAGACCGAGCTGGTAGGCGCCCAACAGCCTTCGTCGGAATGAGCATCTTGTTCGTGATCGACGTAGTGGCAGGTGGTCTAGCTTTTGATAGAGGCAACAAGAAGGCCACGATGGCGATTGCGGTACTGTCTTTCATATTTAATTTCTTCTGGGCTTGTTCGTTCTTCTCTCTGTCGAATCTCATGCCGTCGGAAATGGCAACCCCCAAACTCCGCCACCATACCATGTCTTATACAATTGCATGTGCACAGACAACCGCTGTCATCACAACACTTGTCGTCCCGCAATTGACTTCTGTCGATGCGGCCAATCTTGGCGCGAAGACCTATCTGGTCTTTGCCGGGTGCATGGCTGGGATCATTATTTTCTTCTATTTCCTGATGCCGGAGACTCGGGGTCGGACTTTTGCAGAGATTGATGAGATGTATGCGTCCAATATTCCTATGCGGAAGTGGAGGTCGTATAAATCGTCCTTTGAAGTGAGGCCTCGCACAATGAAGAATCTCTGATCTGTCATCATGTGACGTGTAAATATACTTGACTTTAGAGCACATCGATAGTGACTTTCTTCTATAGCATATTCTGGTTAAATTATATTTCTCGCACATAATTTCTTCTTTCGATGGTACGCAGGGGGGTTATAGAGCTATATACAATGCCGCTGGTAAAACACTGAAAGTTTTCTATACGAAAGGGACTGTACTGTTTTGTGCATTCTTGAGGCCACTGTCTCGCATCCTTTTTGCTCATTTGCAAGTGCCCTTTTTTCGTATAGGGCTATAGATGGATTTTAAACGATTCGTGGTATATACAATGGCATTATAGTAAGGAGATACGTAGTTATATGAAGTGTATGAGTAGGCTATCCATTAACCTAGCTAGCAACAGTTGACCGAACTCAGACCTCTATCGTCTATCTAAGAATAATTTGGCTCTAACTTAAGCATCATTTCTTGAATTGGCCTTATTATTTAAATAATAAGACTCGAGACAGCCTTGCCACGTACATCAAGCGGATAAGAGAGGCAACTCAGATCAATGAGCTCACGCCTAAGTGGTTATCTCTCCACCGGTTAAGGTGACCACAAAACAGGCCGACAACCAGGCGTCCAACAATGATGCAACCACAGATCAGCAGGAGGCTCATCGGAGATCACCGCGACTTGGGCCTCTTTTACGCCGATAGAAAATTCTATACAGAATGTGACCTTGTGTTTCTCCACGAGTTCAGGTCAACTGTTGCAATCAATTAGAGGACAACAAAAGGCAGCCTGTCCGAAGAAGCGCTCGTGCCCAACTGATGGGCCATTCGATGGGCTAGATTTACTCCTTGCAGACTTCAACTTATCAATGATGATGCTCTATGTAGAAAGAGAAAAAGGCCATGTAATAGGCCATCGGAAAGGATATACGGTGTTTTACTCATTGCGAATCATGGTCACGATGTATACCTTCGTTTTGAACAACAAAAGATATAAATATGTTTGTATCCCTACATTATCAGGCTATCGGTTCTAAATACTATTGACCGAGACACTTGAAAACAAGCAAACAAGAGGTGAAAAAAGAAAAGTTAAAGAAATACGAAACAATCTATCAGACAGTACACTCATTTTGAGGGTTTTATATAGAATGTATCCAGCGCAATATCAGTGGTACTGTGTACCAATCTATGGGACCTGTTGAAGTAAGAGTACAATAGCTTAACCAGAAAGCACGTGTTCTATTTAACGCGAACAAGAAAGCGAATAATACAAGATACAAGACCACCCAAACGCCATCACTTCATATCCAGACATTGTCTGTGTTAACTCCATATATACAGCCATTTAAAAACCAAACATCATCAAATACAGCTCATAATCACGCGAAAATCACCGCTGAGGCCACTCCTGAGTCTTAGCCTCCATGATCTGCAGAGAGCGTAGGTGAGCTCTATATTTCTCCAGATAAGGATGATTACCCCCACGGAAGCTGGTCATCAGTAGCAGAAAGTCCTCTGCCAGCGACTGTGGCGTCGCCGTTGTAGCCGGGGCGATGTTCTCGGTGAAGTTCACTGGTATGTTGGTACCACCGTAAGGCGGACTGGTGTTGCATAGGATGTTTGTTGCGCAGATGGCGATATCGTACAGTTTCTCAGTCTATCAAGTTATCAGTACACATCGAAGAGTGGGTAGTTGAAATGTATCGAAACATACCAGACCAATACCATGGGCTTCCATGGAGCTGAGGCGTAATGACTGGCACAGCTGGAGAGTTGATTCAGCAACAGTAACAGCATACCCGAAAGTCATTTCGGGCCGTTCTGAGTGAATACTCAAAAGACCGTGCGTTGAAGAGAGGAGCCAGACGCGATTCTGGAGCCATTTCTGGGTAATAAAGACGTCGGCGGCTTGGGTCTCACGCAGTCCCATGGCAAGGAGAACATTGTTGGTTTCGCCGCGGCCACCCTTGGCTCGTTCAAACCAGTCATAGCCTCTATATCGTTCGGCTTGGTTGATTCGACTGAGATTTTGGTGAATCGATAGAGCTTTCGCTTCTGTAAGTCTCTGGCAGTACCCGTTGGTGATGTCGCATCGTCGGTTCCAGCAGTCGATAACATCTTCGTCTATGGCGTCGAATAGTTCCATCATTCGTGCTAGTCCCATCATTCCTTCCGCATCTTTCTCGTTGTGGACAATAATCCCGGAGACAACGCTGTGCGTGGCACTGTGGATGAAGTCATGCACTGATCGCATGGTGAACCCTGGTTTACCCCAGAAAGTTATTGGATGCCGTCGTTGCAAGGCATATGCTCTGGGTTATGTTAGCAATATAAACGATATGTAACAAATAACACTTACCTTTCTGTGATGGAAAGAACGAGATATGTCCGTAGTCTCTGGCCCTTATCTTCTCCAGACAACTCATGATATGAATCAGGATCATTCAACCCCAGCGAAGCTGCCAGGTCGAGAGCTTCCCGTATCCGCAACCAAGCAGCATTATGCTGATTACTTCCAAACAAACAACCAAAAAGAAAAAAGCTGGTCAATACAGCCTCAATAGTGGGATTCTCGCCAAAATCAGAACAGCTCCGCATCTTAGTCGCCTCGTGCATCATAGCCCGAGCCTGAAGAGCCCGAGATGAAGTCGTCGGCCGCTCATTAATCTCAATCGGCTGCGTGAGCGAGAACGCACATAGTGACAAGAGCATCGCCCCGAACTGAGGATTCTTGCGATGCTCCTGGGTCAGCATGGAAGTGTACAAGCCGGATCGGTTGAGAACGGGTAAGGTCGGGTGTAACCGATCAAAATAGACGTCTATCCAAGGGATCATGTTGGCTTCACTGATCGTTGATGGCCAGGAGGCGTCGTCCTGGTTATCGGAATGCATGGACCCGACGGTCGGTGAGAAGGGCATATTTTGAGCCTCCTGTGGAGGCATTCCCATCGCCTGCGCATCCGGAACCGGCTGGATGATCGATGGGAGAGATGGTTTGAGATAGACATTGCTTCCTGGGAATTCGAACACTGGGACTTGGGAATCCAGATTATCTGGAAGCCAATACTCGACGTCATTGCGTTCATTCCAGCTCATTGCGCTGTTACTGTGAGAATCCAGGGACGGGGTTTCCGCACCCCAGGCTGTCCCCATTGACGGGGGTGCTGATGGTGCCAGCCCGACAGCGCCCTCTAGTGGCATCGTGACTGGGCCATGCGCCGACGGCCACGGTGCGGGCAAAGGGCCGGGCTGTCCGGGCTCCACGGAGGGCGTCGGACTCTGATATTGGAACGCATTTTGCTTTGGCACAGCCTCTTCGCCCAGATGAGTTTGCTGTTGGCGGATTTGCGATACGCGACTTGACGCGGGTTAGTCGTGTTGAGGCGGGTGGCAATTCTGCACTTACTGCCCCGTTGGTCCGCGCTTCTTCTGAGGTTGAAAAAATGTACATTCAAAGCCCATGGATTGGCAGGCCTTGCATGGCTGCGACAGACTACACTGGAGGCAAGTCAACCCCGATGCGATCCATAAAAATTGTAAGGGGGGCTTACCTTGATCTTCCGGAACTTGCATTGGTCGCAGGCCCGCTTTGCGATTGCCTTATTCTTGCGAATGGCACCGGCAGCCCCGGCGGTGCTTGAGCTTGATTCCATTTAAGATGTCTCCATCCAGGAGTGCGAAGATCTCGGAGAAACTTGAGTGCATCAGAGGTTCAGGTTTCGACCCACTTGTCCCCGCTCCCAAATGCGTCAACGGTATACCTTTACGACCCCAATAGTTGGGGAATATCAGATCGACTCCAACATAGATAGGCCATTTCGGACTACTTTCCGATGCTGAAATGGTATATATAGATAGTTCTCCCCGTTGAGGATGCCTCAACATCACCATGGGCAGCACTCAGGCTTGGCAGCAGACCGTCGCTCGGAAACGAAGTATCAGGGATCAACTCCTGACTCCATATCTAGTAAACGATGTAGAGCAACGTTTACCGCAACTGGACAATGTCACGGAGCGCAGTCAGGTAGCGAAAGACCCGCTGGTTCAGACGATCACGGACATTGATAACGTCGCCGTCTTGCTAGAGCACCTCGAGAAGGGAGAGTTTCAGGCGGAGCAGGTGATCAAATCCTATATCACACGGTATGACTTCCAAGTACCCAAGTAGAACGCAGGCTGACTATATAAACAGAGCCGTGGTGGCGCATCAATTGGTACGTCCCGCCCAGACCCGTATTGATATAGAGCAGACACTGATAGATGAATAGACAAACAGTCTGACCGAGATCATCTTCGAAGATGCCATAGAACAAGCAAAGGCCTTAGATGCCGAGTTCAAAGAGACTGGAAATCTGAGAGGTCCACTGCACGGTATTCCAGTCACGCTGAAAGACCAGTTCAATGTCAAAGGCGTTGACACGACACTGGGATATGTGGGCAGATCCTTTGCTCCAGCCAAAGATGACGCCGTGCTTGTTCAAATCCTGAAGAATATGGGTGCCATCATCATCGCCAAGACGAATCTCCCACAGAGTATCATGGTCGGTGACATGTCTCTATAACTTCCATTGACGCGAAACTGACATGATGCAAGTGGGCCGAAACCGAGAATCCTCTCTGGGGACTCACAACCAACCCTCGAAATCCCGAGTTCTCCCCGGGTGGCTCGACAGGAGGAGAAGGTGCCCTGCTCGCATTACACGGTTCTATTATCGGCTATGGAACTGATATCGGCGGGAGCGTGAGAATCCCACAGAGTACAGTAGGCCTGTATGGATTCAAACCTAGCGTGAGTACCAATGACAGATCAAACCAGTATAGAAATGTAACTTGCAATCACTCATACGCATACAGAGCGCACGACTTCCATACCAGGGTGTCCCCGTCTCGACAGAAGGCCAAGAACACGTCCCATCATCAATCGGCCCAATGGCCCGAGATCTCTCGTCCATCTGCTATATGAGTCGCCTGTTAGCGAATAGCCAGCCGTGGGAATTAGACCCGCGATGTGCTCCTCTGGCCTGGAACGAGGGCATATTCCAGGAAATCCAGAGCAGACCTCTAGTCATCGGCTTGATTCTCGATGACGGGGTTGTCAAAGTCCACCCGCCCATTACTCGCGCCTTGCAGGAACTATCGGCCGTGCTCAAAGCGAACGGGCATGAAGTCGTCATATGGGATACATCCGACCATGCGCCTTGCATTGCATTGATGGATCAGTACTACACAGCCGATGGATGCGAGGATATCCGTCGGGATGTAGCTGCTGCGGGTGAACCGTTCATTCCGCATGTTGAAGCACTTCTGAATCGTGGCAAGGCAATTTCGGTCTATGAATATTGGCAGTTGAATAAGCAGAAAGTTGCGGCGCAGAAGAATTATCTGGATAAATGGAATGCTGTGCAGTCACCATCTGGACGGCTCGTTGATGTTCTGCTCAGTCCTACCCTGCCGCATACGACTGTGCCTCATCAGAAGTTCCGTTGGGTTGGTTATACTAAGATTTGGAATTTGCTTGATTATCCTGCCTTGACGTTCCCTGTGGATAAAGTCAGGGCTGATCTGGATGTGATGCCTGTTGGGTATGAGCCGAGGAACCAGCTCGACGAGTGGAATCGGAATCTATATAATGCGAAGCTGGTGGATGGGTATCCGGTCAATCTGCAAATTATTGGGAAGAAACTTCAGGAGGAGAAGGTGTTAGGGGCTGCTACGGTTGTTGAGAAGCTTTGGAAGAGCCATGTTGAGAGCAAATGAGATAGATACATTGCGTGAAGTCGCATTCTGGAGATGAAGTCGCATTTGATAGCAATTGATTTTTGATACATATGACAAGACATAATTCATTATGCAGTTGGTAGGACTTCTGCCGCCAGAGTCACTATAGAAACCAACAAACGCCGTGGTAATATGCGAAATACTGCCATCTAAGCCTTGGGAGGCTCGAAAAGCTCAGGCTTCATGTTAATTTTGCAAAGCTTCGCCACGCAGCCACTCAGCTGGAGCAGTGATTGCACACCGTCCAAAATGCGCATGTGTGTAAAACCAATTTCGCGGATGAACTCCAGTTTGGAGTGTTCGGACAGTGTGGGGATGGTCTTTGTGACTCGGAACATGGTACTGATAATATCGTGAGAAGAGTAACCGAGAGACCTATTATTAAGCTTGTCAGAAGAGCTTGACTCTCGAATAGTGTGTTTCAACGTACCATAGCTCGTTCAATCCCTCCAGCGCAACATCCACCTTACCTTCCCAGCAAGCCTTGATCATAGCCTGGACCTTGACAGGGTGCGGGCTATCAACTACACGGAAAACGTTGTCACCGCTGACAAAACCAAAACCCGACGAGGTACTCTGCAAGTTGTTGATAGCCTGACGCATATCACCCTCGGCACTGAAAACGAGAGCAGCAATTCCATCTTCAGAATGCTGGACCTTCTCCGCCTCACAGATCTGCATCAATCGCTTCACAACCTGAGCATCTGTCAAGCGAGCATAACGGAGGATAGCGCAACGGGACTGAATAGGTTCGATGATCTTGTTCGACTGGTTGCAAGCAAAAGCGAATCGAGTGGTGGACGAGTAGATTTCCATCGTACGCCGCAGAGCTTGTTGGGCACCGGCCGTCATACTATGAGATGTGAGTGATTACCAATTGACATTCTCTGCCAGAAATACGCACCTGTCCGCTTCATCGAGAATGACGAGCTTATGGCGACCCTGGGGCAGGGTCACCTTCTTCTGAGCAAACCCCTTGATGCGGTTCCGCACCACGTCAATACCTAATCGCTAGATCAGCATCGAGTTCTAGCCTTAACTGAAGCCATTGAGCGACACCAACCTCTCTCGTCACTAGCATTCAGCTCAAGGACAGCCTCTTTGTACGCATCTCCCAACATCTGCCGTGCCAGACAGAGCACCGAGGTCGTCTTTCCAATTCCCGGCATACCGGAGATAATAACGTGTGGCATATTTCCATCTTTGGCAATAATCTTTAACCGCTCCACGGTTTCGGTGTTGCCGACGATATCATCGAGGAAAATAGGGCGGTACTTCTCGACCCTGACAGAGGTCAGCTATGGTCTGTAATCGCGAGGAACAATACCCACCAAGGGAGTTCATAGTCTGCAGGAGCGCCGGCAGTGTTTGCCTTCGCAGCATTGCGCGAAGCGGCGGAGGAGGATTCGGCCATGGTGAATGATGAAGTCCAAATCCAAAGAGACGCGAGAACGCGTGAAGAGGCTCGCGATAAACGGCTTATCAGCTGGCCTGTGCTCAACATATGCGATTCGGTGTTTGCTGTGGTTATTCAATTAGTAGTGAGTGATTAGTGGCTGGGAATTAATAGTTGGTAGTCAATATGAAGAAGCTATCAGACACTGCTAATTGCTCAAAGTTAACTCTAAACAACTCGTTGACGTTGTGCTGCTCCCTACTCTATTCCGCACCACCATCCTTGACCACTTCCCCCTAACAACATTTTTCCTTGCCTGCAGACCCTATGAAATGACTCAGTACACTCTGGCATACATAACCTAACTCGCGCAATCTGTCTCTATCCTATAATCACGTTCAACCCTCCTATTATTCGTATCACTCTCCCGCATCCCGCACCTACGATCTCCACCAAACGCAAACAGAACCTTACAACCCAAGGCAAACAGGCCAGCAACATGATGGGTCCAAATTCCGTCCGCCGCAACCTCTTCCACGGGAACCTCAGCCGCCGACCAGCTTCCGCAGGACCTCCCAATGGCGCCGTGCCTCCAAACCCAAGCAACCTAGCGAACCGCCCCTCGCACCGGCTAAAGCCTACATCCTCTGACACCGGCCCCTCTTCACGACCTTTGAAGACTGTGGAGAATAAAGAGATTGTAGTTAGGGATAAGAGTGGTAGCTACAAGCTTGAGGTTCCGACGTTGCCGCCGCCGATGATTGGGGAGGATGGGGAGGAGTTGGGCGAACTTGAGGGTAATCCTTTTGATGCGGAGCTTAGTGGACGGGAGAAAGAGAGTATGTTACAATGACTGCTTTGTATTCTTGCGGTTACTGACACTTGGTATAGAGTATGAGGCTGCATTGGTGGAAATGGTCGTTCGGCATCGCGCTGGAGTGCCGGGTGATGAGCCCGATGGTGAGTGCTCTAGATCTTGGTCCTCGAGTATATGTTGATTGAAAGCAGAGCTACTAAACATTCTCAATGACAGCCTACGCAAAAAGGCTGTTTCATTGGATGACGATCATTGGATGTTCGAGCCTGAGAAGGACTCGTTTTTGAACTAACTGGACGAGCATATGGCATGCATCTTGGTTTCATTACACTATCAGTTGGGTATGTTCACTGCAAAGGCTTGGCTTAAGAACATTTGGGTGCTTAATCAAGCTCCATACTTGAAGGCGGTGCCTCGACCTTCTTCGCAGCTCGGGCTTGCGGTCTCCCGGCATTACCCTGGCCTCCTCCGAATAACATACCGCTCATCATATCCATCAAGGGGTTTCCTTGCCGGGGAATCTTAATGGCAAAGTACTGCTCGCCAATCTGAGTCAGAGCATCATCCCAGATTCCAATTTCTTTGATCTGCGCCGCATAGTGGGCAGTGAGCTGCTTGTATAGATCGGCACTTCCACGCTGGATGGTCAACATCAGCAAGCTGATGAAGTTCAGCAATGGAAGGGCTGGGTAAACCCGGGCATCGGAACTGGCACTGCTGATATCCTGCACGCCGAGGGAGGGGTTGGCTGTGGAAAGGCGCGAGGTGAAGATGAGGAGGGCTTTGTTGGCGCTGCGGATGTTACCGGTGAGGAGATATGGGAAGACCGCGCGCGAGGCATAGATAGCGGCCGTGTGTGGTTCATCGTTGGTGTACCACTCGTACTCGAGCTTTGCGAGGGTTTCTGCGGATTCGGAGGTTCCGAGGATGAGATGTTTCTCGGCATCATAGGGCTCATTATCTGAGGCTAGATTAGGATCCAAGTAATGCTTCTTTGGCGGAATCACCAACCTTCAGCATATACTGAGCCAACAGCGTGGTGCAGCTCTGGGTCTCCCCGTTCCAATGGTCCAAACTTTCCACTCCATCCAATCATTTCCTGAATAAACCTCTTTCGTGTAGGTTCCTCTGAAGGGAATTCGCGCAGCAGCTCGATCAGACGCTCTGTAGAATTGCAAACCTCAAGTTAGCAACCTTGCCTCTGCGCCACACCTGAGCTTGCCAATGGATTAACCCAGCGGACTCTTGATTCACTTACTCTTGCGCAAACGACCCTCCGTATCATTGCTGCCACCTGCGATCTCCCACTCGGCCTTGTTGTAAACCTCCAACACCAACATAATGGCCAAGTCGCCGCCACTTGCCGAAGCACCCTGCTGGGCACCGGCCTTCAATAGCTCCTTCGCACCGCCGGCCAAGATCTCTGCAGCGGCATCGTAGTTGGATTGCTTGATGTATCGGACTGCGATAACACGTAGTTGCTGGTGAGCTTCGTAGTAGGCGCCGGAAGCGATCCTAAAGAACGTTGTCAGACTGACTGAGGCGAATGGCATGGCCTGGGATTCTCACTTTTCCCGCTGGCGGGCGATCGTTTTATCGATGCGGGATGACATTGTCAGGTTAGAAATACAATCGCCAAGAATCGAAAGAAATCAAGAGGCATTCAACGTGAAGCAGTTGTGCAAGAACGTTCGCGGGGAGTTGGCTGAGATTTGGTGGGGACGCGGCCCAAAGAACATCTCTCCGTCATCTCTCCATCTATGAGATTCGGCTTGTCCTGCGCCTGGGTTTCATATTGCTACTGTTGTTTTTAGTTGGGCAAGGCTCTATTTGTTATCACCGTTTCCGGCCAGGGATCCCACCGCGGGTACGCGCATCCTACACGACTATACGTCTGGCTTGGTCGTGATTTATAGCGCCCATCTTTCTACCTCCTTGATCATGCCTGCAGAATCATGAACAGGTCCAGCTTTGACATTCAACCCTTGCACCGCTTCGGCGGTGCCAATACCTCCATCCGGCGACCGAGGGTAAGTCAAGGCGCAATGTAAAGATACTGAGACAACTGGCTTACGTTGTACCAGGAAATCGCCTGCTTTTCATATGATGATGAGCGCCGGTTCTCGCTGGGTGATTCATCCATGGCATTCTACTACACGCCTACTCTGCCGGCAGATTTGAACCGGGGCTACGATACGTTCCAGAAGCTCAATGATGCTCCAGATGAGCACCTGGATGCCTTGCTGGATACCATTGCTGCTCATGAGAAGACCACAGAGAAGAAATGTGAAGTTGATATCGTCACTTGGCGAGGCATGATGACCAAGGTATATTGAAGCGACGTGTGAATTGACCGAATGTTAATTGAGTTGTACAGATTTTGACTGCTCCATTTAATAACAATGATGGGTATGTATACACCTATCCTCTAAAATGGGAGCTCTATGGGAGCTCTATTCTGACCTTGATGCCTTTCCAGCTTCGAGATGAACGCAACTTTTTTCCAGGTAAGCAATCAACGTCAAATTGACTAGTATCAATGGTCTAACGAGGAGTCCAGGGCACCATGTGCGTCTTCAATCTTCCAAAACCACAGTGTGAATACTGACTAGTGATAGTTTCATCGAAGAGAACAACGAGTACAAGAATCTACAAAAAGAGCTGCAGCGCAAGCGAGGATCACCACCTGGGATGGCACCACAAGAGCTGATGATGTACTGGGGTACGTTAGTAACCATTGCCCTGAGCTCTACTTCACTAACCTAGGGATAGGCTACAAGTTCGAAAACTTGGCTGTACTCCGCAAGCCATGGGATGAATCAACCCGCGAAGAGATTGAGAGACGCGAGCATGATATCGTGAACAACGCCGCGCAGTATTGTTCCGTCGTCCGCACCGGAATCGGGAATACGCGCATGGTTCTCGGCGGAGAAGTAGATGCCAGTATGTTAATTCCACCCCCCTATAATACATTCAGGATCGGTGACACTGACATCCCCAAGTCTGGGATTGCAAACCATCGCAAGAAGGAAAACCCATTAACTGGGTTGAGCTGAAGACATCAGCTCAAATTCGCAACGACCGCGACATGCTCAAGTATGAGCGGAAATTACTCAAGTTCTGGGCTCAATCCTTCTTGCTGGGTGTGCCCAAAATCATCGTGGGATTCCGTGATCAAAATGGTATCTGTCATAGCCTTGAGGAACTCGATACGGCAAGTATTCCAGGAAAAGTACAGAGTGTCGGCAAACGCACCTGGGATGGGAACATTTGTATCAATTTCGCTGGTGCATTCTTGGACTGTGAGTATTTCCACCCGATGGGAAATAGAGCATTACTAACAAGTTGTTAGGGCTCAAGCAGACTATCCACCGCGAGGGAACATGGAGGATCCGGAAACAGGAGAAATCCTCTGTCATTGAGGTTTTCCAGGTTGAAGAACAAGGGCATGGTGATATCCTCTCGCCTGCTTTCAAAGCCTGGCGAACAGCTACTGGGTCTACGGAGTCATGATTGGGCCTTCATGTATTACTATTGTTTTTACTCGCGAGAAGTAATTTCCAATTTGAACTGAAGACGGACAGTAAGGCGTTTCTTCTGTCTGAACTGTTTTCGGGGATGTATTATAATTGGTTTGCCAATTCCACCTGCAGGAGAATCGGGGTTTGTCTTAAATTGGGTATTGTTATCAACAGTCGCTAATATGTCCACGGCGTCCGCCGATGCAATGCAATGATCATAATTCAGGGTTGAGAATCTGCTTCTGCTTCTCCTCCATTTCTCTCTGTCGGAAATAAGCATCGCGCTGTGCTTTCTTCTTCCCCGCCCGAAGCACCCTTTTGTGAGGACTTCCGTTGATATGAATGTTCCACTGGTCCTCACCAGACATGGTCTTCTTGCAGTGGTCGCAGGTGTAGCACTTCAGAATCTCTGTCTGGGTCTTGATCCGCCCTTGTGCTTCCTTTGCGCTGAGCTCAGTCTTCGCCAGCTCGGAGAGAGATTTGGGATCTGGCATGTGCTCATTCCGAAGGAGCTTTTGAACAAGCTGCTCCGATGGTTCAGTGATGCAGTTCTTCCACTCGCTGATATTGGAGCTGTCCAGAAGATACAAACAATGTGTCTTTCCAGATTCTGAAAGTGCGCGCCACAGCTTATTGCGGATCCATTTGACTTGAGAGGTTCCGTATTGTCGAGTGGCCGTTCGAATCGATTCAAGAGATGTCCGCCTGAGATTTTCAATTTCTTCCTCGCTGAGATCCCCATTCCGAACAGCCTCAAAGTAAGGCGCCAATTCTTTAAATCCAATAGAAACCCAAACTCCGCGCGTTTGATCGACTTCAACACCTTGAGAGTGTTTCTCATGGATATAGTCCGACATTTTCTGCGCCTCAGACATCAAGCCTTGTTCGACCATATCATCGACACGCGCATCCAGGCGCGCGTTGAGGATCTTCTTTTCAGCATGGACCCAAAAGACCAACGTATTAAACCGCAGTAGACCCTCATCCTTCTGCACGGCTTCTTCCTTCTGCGACATCTGCTCTTTATAGATTTCCGAAGCCGGCCGCCCTGTCTTCAGGTAGATCTCCAATGACCGCCGGATCTTTCGCCCATCTCTAGGATGCCATCGAGCAGCCATAACCGGATCTACCTTGCGCAATTCCTCCAGCATGACTTCCGGCTCTGCGTCAAGGATCGGCCATTTCTGCGAGGTCGACTCGAGCTCTTGTCCTGCCTCGGCGTCTCCTTCGTCCGCTCCCTCCCCCACGAGCTGGTCTTTGAACAGCACCGCTTGGGTGTAATAGTGTGTGCCGCCGACAAGAATTGGTAGCTTTCCACGCGACCGGATATCGTCGATGAGTCGTAGCGCTTCTCGCTTGAAGTTTCCTATGCGCCATGCCTCGGCGTTGAGATCGATGCAGCTGAGTAGGTGGTGGGGGATGCCGTTTCGTTCCTCGGCTGGGATTTGATTCGTGATAATTGGCAGACCGCGATACATCTGCATCGCATCACCATTGATGATTTCGCCATTGAATCGGGAGGCTAAGTCCACTGCAAGCTATCTATACTTATCAGTCACTGCGGGAGGGAGTTGGAGGTGCGGGGTGGTCGGTTTCTTACCTTGGACTTGCCTGTCCCTGTAGCGCCGACGACGGCTATGAGAGGATCCATTGCTCGACGGTGCCAAAAAGACCTGAAGCCAGAGAGCATTCCGATGCGCAAAACATGAGGAAGGGAGAAAAAAGATGTTATCGTTATCGGGCGGGTTACCTCATCCGTGTCTCACACAACTAACTAGTATAAATGTGGTCTAGATAGTCTTTCCTCTGACTCTGACTCTTGTCTCTACTTTTTCCATATACTTTCTACTTTGTGACTCACCTGTTCTTCTCTCAAAATGGCGGATACCAATTCCAACCCTCTTCCAGGCATCGAGGTCCAAAACCTCTCATACAAATTCCAAGATGGCTCCGATGGCCTGGAAAATGTACAAATGAGTCTTCCTCCTGGAAGCCGGACTCTACTGATTGGCGGTAAATGAACTCCATTCACTCCCAAATAGCAAAGTCTAACCAAGCACACAGCAAATGGAGCGGGTAAAACCACCCTCCTCCGCCTGTTGTCAGGGAAGCGTCTTGCTCCCAATGACACCATCGCCGTGGGTGGCAAGGACCCCTTCAAGGACACCCTCGAAGGAGTAACCTACCTCGGCGTCGAGTGGGTGCTAAACAGCATCGTCCGCACAGACATCGACGTGCCCACCCTCCTAGCTTCTGTCGGCGGCAATGCCTACCCAGAGCGACGGGACGAGCTAATCGATATCCTCGACATTGATATGCGCTGGCGCATGCACGCCGTCTCGGATGGTGAACGCCGCCGCGTTCAGCTTGCCATGGGCCTGTTGCGGCCCTGGCAGGTTCTGCTTCTTGATGAGATTACTGTCGATTTGGATCTCTTGTCTCGGAGTAACTTCCTTGCGTTCCTTAAGCGGGAGACGGAGACCCGTCCCTGCACTATTGTTTATGCTACGCATATCTTGGATAACCTTGCGCAGTGGCCTACTCACTTGGCGCATATGCATTTGGGTAAGATTAAGGCATTTGGTACTGTTGAGTCATTCCATGAGCAGGTGCCTGAGTGGACCTCTGAGAATAGCCGACTTGGTGAGTTGGTTCTTAAGTGGCTTAAGGAAGATATGCAGGCTAGGGGGCCTCGCAATGGGCATGGTAACCAGGGCAAGACCTACCAGTATCTTGAGGGCATTGGGGGTTATGGCTTGGAGAGGGTTGCTCCGAAGTAGTCGATCTTCACTTATTTGCCTTTTTTATGTTTTTATCGGTTCAATGATGCAGGAAGTCCTTGGACTATAAGCTGTTCAACATTTATAGGGTTCAACCACGAGGCATGGCGGGGTTTATGTTTTGGCATCTGGATATACAGGCGGGTCTATTCAACACTTGGGAGTTTTCAACCATCATGACTCATAAAGGGGCTAAGAAGATTTTGTTTTTGTATGTACAAGTCATGAGAGCATGTTCGAGATAGCATATATGCGCGTGGACGTGTCTTCACTTGCCACTGCCAGTTCGAACTGATTCCTCCTGTCCACATCGGTGGTCGGCACTGGCCGCCACGATAGTTGAGTAATCGCCCTGGAGGGAGAGATTTCTTTCTTGATTGTCACGATATGCTGTGCTTCAAGAGTGTCTGCGGCGATTCGGTGAATGGAGATTACACCGGTATCCTCGCCCACTGCAAGAATGAACGATCCCTTGTATGTTACAGACAGGAAAGCAATGGCCGAGACCGCTGAGGTCAAGGCCACGGTCGTCTTGCAAACAAAGGTCTCTTCGGACATTTGCCAGACTCTCACGGACTTGTCACGACCGGATGTGGCGAAGACATGGTCTATGGTGACCGGGGCCCAGGCTGCTCCCAGGATCATCCGAGAGTGGCCCTTGGGGTTTGCGGTGAGTTTATTGTATGTGGTTGGCTCGGTATCACTCCGCTGGAAGATAGCCCATTGTCGGTCTCGGCCAACACTGAGAAGGTAGCGGTCACCGTCGGAGAATGAGAGATCGGTGATTGTTAAAGAGTGTGCGGTGAGGGAAGGCTTGATCTCGTGCCAGTCTGATGTATCATAGAGACGAATGACTGCGTGGTCGATCGAACTGGCCTTGCAAGCAGTTGCAATGAGCTTACGGTCATGACTGACAGCCACTGCCGAAATCTCATAGCCGTGACCGTAGAGCTTCTCGTGCTCTGGCCACAGTGTGTAACGAGACAACTGGTCTTCCAAGGGCGGGTGGTTGACAGCCAAGGAGGCAGAAGCAGACGGCACTTCTGGCTTGGCTTCCTCTGCATCTTCCTCTTCCACTGGGGCCTCGTCTCCAAGTGCCTTATTTGAAAGACCCAATACTGGAATTTCAGCTGTGTCTGGTAGGCTCTCACCATTCGACTGCCTGAACCCAGTAAGCCTCTCCAATAAGTCAGCAATAGGCTTAGGTTCATTGAACACGCGCAAAAGCTTTTCTTCCGCACCCGTAACAAATTGCGAAGGGCCCAGTGTGTCAACACAGTTTAGGTCATAACCGTGAATCTGGGGACGAGAGAACTCATGCCATGAACCGATGTTGTCCCGTAGCCACTTAGCGTGCAGCCGAGTAGTCTGGTCAGAACTAGTGGAGAGTAAATATCCACCAGTGGGATCCCATTGAACGCCGTTAGATGAGCGCACATGGCCTGAAATGCCGAACTTTTGCACCCAGAGGTCCGAATCCGACTCCTGTCGCCAAACTCTCCAGCTGCCTGTCCGACTGAGACTCACCACTTGCTTTCCGTCTGGGGACCAAAGACCAATCCAGAATCCACCAACACTACCAGTTGCGGTAGTGGATCCCTTTTGGACACTGATCTCTCCCATTCTCTCTGCAGACATCCAGACACCAGATACCTGATCTTGTTCCCAGATCGTGACGGTGTTATCAGCAGAGGTGGAGAGAAGTTGTTGCTTTTTAGGATCAGGGTTCCATGAAGTGGTGTAAATCCAATCCTCGTTTCCGAAGAGAAGAGCTTCAAATGTCATGGAGTACTTCGAACCGTGCGCTTCGAATTCATGGGCTTTGTTCGAAAGTGTTGGCTCCATGCCTCCAAGCAGGGGGTCGGCTTCATCAATTGGACCAGGGGCATTCGCCTCACCCCGGTGCAGCCGCCAAAGACGAATGTACCTATCCTGACTAGCAGATGCCAACAGAATATCGCCTTCCTTGCTCTGCTTGTCCACAGTGAATGAAAGAGCCCGAATCCAGGCTTCATGTCCCGTGAGAGTAGCACGGTGCTTAAACTCAGGCTTTCTAACGGAGGTTTCCGATACAAAAATCTGCACCTTAGTTGTCGTACCAGCAACCGCCAATACTAAAGGTGTGTCCGAGTAGCCCTCGAGACCCTGCAACGACAGAGTAAGCGGGAAGTACCGCGGTGTCATAGTAATCGTTTCGATCAAGTCGCACTTCAGCTCAAACTGCGCATTGATTCTCCAAATGCGAACCGTTCCATCGGCCGCGCCCGACGCAATAATATCCGTTCCCTCTGCAACAGCAATCGCATTCACTGACCCCGTGTGGCCCTCGAGGGTAGCTGCAAGGATATAATTGCGCGAGTCGGCATTCTTCATTCGCCATACACGTATCGTGCGGTCGACGGAGCCGGTTAAAAGAAATCTCGTTCCAGAGGAGGGGCATGCGTAAAATCGAACGACGCTGACTTTATCGGTGTGTCCGACGAGTAGAGCGTAGACTCCTCGATCATGCTTGTCCTTTATAGTATTGTCAGCTTTTCCATGTCTCTCGATACTCGACAGCTCTCAATGGACATACTAGAGGATCCCACAGGGCGACATTGTTGTCTGCGCCAAAGGCCAACACGCCTGTCTGGACATCCCACTGTGCAGCTCCAGGGTGTCTATTTCCTCCAACACTGATATAATCGGTGGTGACAGCGACCATGGCGAATTGAGAACCTCCGATCCTTGTTGTCTATAGAAGAAGTTGGAGACAATCCGCAATTTCTTAATGGGGCTTATCGATAAGGATTTCTGTCTCCGCCTAGCCCCTCCATCACATCTCTCTTCCTACTCTGTACATTGCTATAACTCCTCTTTCCTGCTTTACTTTCGCAATGGCCCATTCTTCTGCTACGGCACAGGGTGTCTTTCCAGTCTCCATCACCGTTGAGTTTACGTGCGTCAAGCTCTCCCCGAATGAGTGAATGCATGACTTTGCTGACCGGCTATACAGTGGAGGCTTAGAACTGCTCTTTGGGAATGAGCGCAAGCATAAAGTCATTCTGCCAGCTCAACTGGAGGACGGCAGCCGGCCGAACATCTCATACTTGCTTAAATACTTGGTCAACAACCTCATGAAGGACCAGAGGACAGACATGTTTATCATGGAGGACAATGTGTAAGTGACTAGGAAGCTTTATTCAAACATAGCTAATGGCTTCACAGACGACCGGGCATTCTCGTACTCATCAACGATGCCGACTGGGAACTCGAAGGCGAGGAAACATATGAACTGCAACAGGGAGACAACATTGTCTTTGTCTCGACTTTACATGGTGGCTAAAGACGGAATTGTTTCGCAATGATGTTGTTAGAAAGAGCGAAAGAGCGTGGTAAGAACTCGAAGAATAATGGGTGCTCTATTACCAAGCGGGACTATGGGATATCACCTAGACCACGTCTTCAACGTGCTGTTGTGAGATCCTCTCGGGTTCACGGGGTGTTCGGATACCACTCGGCGTTCGGAAACCACTCTGAGGGGTCCCCTGGCCTTCTGGACTACCTAACCCCTGCATTGGCGAGACAACACCACTCGGAGGCACGGGAATCTTCAGGTCCTCAGGGGAGGCGGGAATGATCTCTTCGGGGAGGTCAGGGATATGGATCCGCTGGGCCTCGTTCTGATAGCTTTCAGGGATAATCTACATAGTTGATTAGCCGGAGAATATGATTGGTTTGAATGTCAATTTACCTCAATGATCTCATCACGAGGGAACTCGAGGAATGGAATGTCTGCAGCATTGCAAGCCATGAGATAGCCATACAAAACCCTCAGAACGCTTTCGTGTGCGATAATGAGCAGATCAGTTTGTTCTCTCTCCAATTCGAGGATAATAGGTTCAAGGCGGACAGCCAGATCATGGTACGACTAGTGAGAATTGTCAGCAATGCACCTAGTCAGTTCCAAGTCTAGGGTGATGCTTACCTCTGCACGAGGGTATCTGTGGTGATAAGGATCAAGTTCATGTTTGGCTACCTCATCTCCAAACTCAGCTCGAATGCGCCTCTCGGACATCTTCTCGCAGACACCAGGATGCAATTGGCTCAATTGAGATCTTTGTCGAACTTTATAGCCGTTATCATAGAGGTATTTGGCGGTTTCCACTGTCCTGCGTCGAGTAGAGGTCCACACCTTCATAGGTCTGGACTCATAGCCGGTCTCTCCCCGCTCAATCATTGCTCGCTTCTCTTCTTCTCGGTGAGCCAACAGACGAGCTGTCATCTTCTTGGCGTAGTCTTCTCCTTGCTCTGACAGCGAAGCATCGGCTTTGTAGGAGTCTGCGTCTAGCGAAACGCCAGCCTATATAGTATGTGAGTACTTGTGTGAAAGGCATATTGACAGGGCATTACCTACTCGAGCAAAGTAAGTCCGTCGCGATTTGATGTGGAGATTCAGAAGATAAAAGACGATACGGTTAGAGAGATATCCAAAGGTTCGGTTGTTAACAACAAGTCTCTCGCCAGCGTTAATCATCTAGACATGTTTAGTAAGAAAAGGATCAAAAAAGCAAATGGCACATACCTTGATGTAATTCAAGTCTTTTTCCTCCATGGTCTGGAATTGGGGAATGCGAGAAGAGATGCGGTTCAAATAATGTTTCACGGCGTCTTCCGAGCTCCACGAGACGTACTGGTCGAGAACGTCAGGACTTGCTTTGAGCAGATAGCATCAATAGTAAGGTACTCACGTCAGGGGAAGAAATCTTGACTCTGCGAACATTTTCTTCAATAATGCGCTCATCGTCACACCAGGACTCAATGAACAGGGTCTAGTGAGGAGTCAGCCACTGTCACGGGAAATGGGCTGTCAGATCTACCTCAATATCATGCTTTGCGAACTCCTTGGCCAACGAGCGCCGTCCGGAGGCAAGTGGGTTGACGGCATCATAGATAGCGATTTGTCCATTTTCGTGGTTCAAAAAGTGGTAGATATCTTCTCGGCATTTTCTTACGATCTTTTGGCGCAAAAGAACAGACTTGGCCGTTGCTTCAGAAGATGTCAGTACTGTCATTGTAAGCACGAATCCCATACACACCATTGACATAGAAATAATCATCTGGCATATCCTCGCCAAATGGAATCGTAGCACGACGATAATCGCCCAGATGGAAGATTCGGGTCTTGACACCAAGCCTATCGTTTTACATCAGCATGCGTTTGGTAACACCCAAATGGACAGGATTGAAACGTACCATCTCAGATACCGAGCCAATGCTACGGAGATATGTCTACCAGGTGTCAATTCTGTGAACAAGGCCAATCTCAATTGGGGCCATGGACATACGTTTTACCTCTTGCAGGTAAGCCGACAGTAATGATCACAATGCGACCCGAATGGAAAAGTCGACCGGATTCTGTGCTATACAACTGGGCCGGCGCAAGATCTGCCTTTTCTGGCAAGTCATGGATAGCATCGACAAAGATGGACGACTTGCGGCGAAATTGTGGGGAGTTGGCCACGATCTCAGCGGTGCTGTATGATGTCAGTCCAGCTCCAACAAACAAGCTGGGATTCTTCGTTGAGATCCAACTTCCAACAACGAGAAATAGCAAACAGCAAACAGAGAAAACCACGTTCTTATCTCTAGCCTCGAGGGTTGACAAGGCAATGGTAATATACCAAACAATTCCGCAACGCAGAGGGAGGGGGCAACTTACAGTAACGTGTCCATGGTGGGATGAGATGAAGGAAGATCACAAACTTGACTACTCAATGCACTAGGACTGCAAGTGGCCAGAGGAGCAACAGAGATATCGAGTCTCACAAAGAAGAGAAAGCAAGGACCGCGACAAGACAAGAAGCGGTATAGGCAATCGATCGAGTATGAGGTGGACCCGGTGAACAGGGACAAGGTCGTTGCCTTGGGATTCAGGCACTCGCAGCCCAAACAGCACAACCCAGGAGTCCGACAACAAAGAAGATATCAATCTTACAATTGACAAACAGAGTTTATACAGTGAACTTATATGTTAACTGATCTAAATCCGCTGAACCGGGAAGGCCCGAGTTGACGGTTGCCGGTAGAGACCAAAGACGCAGCAGGTGACTTGCATTTTTCACAGCTCCGAAAGTCTTGAATTGCTTCCCTTACTATCTCCTGAGCGCATCAGACACAGCCCTTTACAGCTATTTCATCAAGGTCATCTGAGACGTTTGTTCGTCCCAGATCCTCGGGCTGGTCTCAATTCTTTTTTACCTCCCAATTCCTTTCCTCGAGTCTACAGACCTCGCGTGACGACACCTAATACCTTTGTCAACGATTATCACATTTCTCCAAAATGTCCGACTTCACATCATCCCTAGCCTTTGTCACAGACAACCCCGCTGCTGCTGCCCTCAGCGATGCCTACAACTCCTTCTCCGATCGCAGGGCAATGCTCAACCTGCCCAACCCGGGCACGGTCGATAACCTCGCTCGCGAGGTGCAGAAGGATGTTTTGTTGACCAACTTCATGTTCTCTGGCCTCCGCGCCGACTTGACCAAGGTCTTTGGCATGTCCCCTCTGTTCCGAATTTCACACGCGTTCTCCATGGGCGGCTCCGGCAACCTGCCTCCCTATGCTTTCTCCGCCATGTTCGGAAACCCCAGGGTAAGATTTCAACGACACCTCCGCTCCGGAGAACTCATAGTGTCAGTGGCTAACGCCTCAATTTTCCAATAGGTTTTCATGCAGGGCAACTTCGGCAGTGACGGATCTCTCGCCGCCGTCGCCAACTACCGCTGGAACCAGGCTCTCGTCACGAAGACCAACGCTCAGGTCATGAATGGTGGTGCCCAGGGTTTGATTCAGATCGATAACGACTACACTGGCCGCGACTTCTCCGCTTCCCTCAAGGCTTTCAACCCGTCTTGCCTCGAGGGCGGTCTGACCGGTATCTTCGTCGGTAGCTACCTCCAGTCCATCACCCCCGGTCTTGCTCTCGGATTCGAGGCTATCTGGCAGCGCCAGGGTATCACCGCTCGCCCCGAGACTGCTCTTTCCTACTCCGCCAAGTACAAGGGTGACGACTGGATTGGTACTGCTCAGCTCCAGGCTCAGGGCACTTTCAACGCTACTTACTGGCGCAAGCTGTCCGAGCGTGTTGAGGCCGGTATTGACATGAACCTCCAACTCGCCCCTAGCCCCGCTACTCTCATGATGGGTGGCCCTGCCCGTGACGGTACCACTGCCATTGGCGCCAAGTACGACTTCCGCGCTTCCTCTTTCCGTGCCCAGGTCGACAGTGCCGGCAAGGTCAGCTGCCTCCTGGAGAAGCGCATTGCCATGCCTCTCTCCCTCTCCTTCGCTGGAGAGATTGACCACCCCAAGGTAAGCACATTGGTCTCTCTTTGACAATTTCTTACTGACTATTTCTAGCAAACCGCCAAGCTCGGTCTCGCTGTTTCCCTGGAGCTTGCTGGCGAGGACCTGATGGAGCAGCAGGAGAAGGCTGACCCCGCCGCCATGATCCCTCCTCCTTTCTAAGGAACCAACTCCCCTTCTAACCCCTCGAGATAATAACTCTTTCGCCCCCTGTTTTAGTAGTTCTTCCTCTCCATCGTCTGGAACGACATGATGTCTCTTCGGTATATCCTTTGAATGTGGGTTACTGGTGTAGGCGGTTGTTTGGCGCTTTGGAGATTCAAATATTTTTGTATAGATTCACACTGCGTTTCTTTGATTTCACCCGGTGCTGCATCTCTGACCGCTTGGAGCGGTCTGTCTTTCAGTTCAGCCATGGCCGTGTTTGGGTCTTGGGATAGCGAGGCATGGCCGCGCCAGTGGAGAGCTCTGGTTATGTTTTCGCATCATAGACGGGCCAATGTAAAACAATTTTGAAACCGAATCTATTGTAAACTAGTATGTTATCAATGTTTACTACAGTATTGCATCATGTAGAGTACTACAGTAGCAGGAGTGAGACCTGCTTCTAAACCACATATATTTTTTACAATAGAACTGTATCAAAGCAATTCAGAGTCAATCCTCCAAGACAGTACTCTGTAGACAAAGCCGATAGATGCCTGGTCAATATATAAAGGCGGACAAAGAATTGCCCGCATAACCCAAAGCGGTGACCGGGCAAGTGCCTCAGTTCCACTCCAGTGGACACTGGAGAAACGTACCCAACGAGAGACTCCAGTCTTATGCATCCTCTCCCATCTCTTTCTCCACTATTAAAGTTCTCGGTAAAATGGTCTACAGTCCCACAGCATGTACCAGCATCCAGCCTCCAGCTTCAGTACAAGTACTAGTACTCTGTCTCCATGTTCCTGTTTCTACCGTATACGGTATGGAAACCAGTAAATGTTGGGGTCAGCCACTTACTCCATTCATACTCGATAGCCCCCTCAACCTCAACCTGGTCTTGCATTAGGTGCAGTAGTCGCTGCTTCTGGTGTGGCTGGGTCTGGCTGGGCATGGCAGTACCGCGCTTTGGGTTCGTACTTGGGACTTGAATGGACTATCAGTTTCCACTGTGACATCATGTTCCCTGTTCGCTTATGGAGTTACCTGGAAGAGTAGCGTTCAAGTTATCCCCGAGTTCATTTCATTTCCTAAGGGGCCCGAGTGTGTGTGGGGTCAAACGGCTCATTTTCGCTTCCGGTATTACATTGTATTCTCTGGATATGTATATGTTATAATCAAGGAACTTGATATATTGTGACAGATTCAGATTGATATCTCGGTAGCTAGTTGCTGTATTCCCGAATTCCTCGGGAAGCCTAACAGGTACAGTGTAGCATGTCGTTGCTTAATAGCCCACGTGTCTGACAGAGAAATGTCGTTCCTTGCTTCCTTCCATCCATGCCGGATTAGAGACATTCCTTTTGCATATGCATATTTTAAACATCATGCCAATGCCAACGGGATGGGCTTGGGCCAGGAACCATTTTCGGCTTCGCATCCTGGGCCTCGTACCACGTCGGTACTACGTGTAAGACTGACCTATCACTCTTACCTATACGGTCCAGGGTTGGTAGATGTAGATATAGATGTTAATTTAGATTGGATCTATCCATGCTAGCGAGTAGGAAGTAGTGAATTGATCTATATCGGACTGATCTTGAGCTGCATTGCCGAGACCCGAGCTGATCGGAATCCCGATTGTGGTCGTACTGGTGCGTGGTCCTGGATATGACAGCATGGTTTTGATCCCTTGGCTTTGAGGCGTCATTTGTCCCGTGAGGGTTAGGGGCAAGTCTTATGTCGCATGACAGCTAGAGCTGTGGCGATATGCCACCCCTCATCGGTCAGGTGAGTAAGATTGTGATGTCATCGTGGTCTGCTCGTAGTCAATTGCAATGTAATGTAGGGGTTGTAGGAGCTGTAGGAATTGAGGTGTGAGTACAACTAAGTAAGCAAAGCTACTAATTAGATGTACAGTTAAGTTGAGTTGATATATGTTGGACTGATTATCATTACAATACCATACCTTGGCTCTCTCAACGTTAACCTTTTCAGCCAGGTGCATTTCATGCGCAAGGGCCAAGTTGAGCGAACGGCCGGGCCGCAGCCTTAGGCCAGGAGCTGGTACCTGACCGGGTACTTGCACATTCTTGGGCCACATACCAGAGAGAAATCCGAGAATCCGAGCGTACGGGCCGAGTCAATTCATCAAGTATGTTGAGCTATTTAATAGGTTCTAGGTGAAGAAGTAAATATGTCGGTAAATGAAATACAATACGGTCACGTATGGTCATGACTGGTCCAAGCGTCCTCACATCACGAGACGAATAAGTCGAACTGGCCAATCAGACAAGTTCCAGAGAAAATCACAGTCGGTCACCCGACATCATCTTTCTTTGCCTATTTTTGGTGGTCTTAGTAGTGGTAGTTTACGTGAATACCCCAGGGGAAACCTTCAACCCGCAATTTTACTCCTTCCCCCCACGTCCTTCTTATTGGTTAATCTTTCTCCTACCATTTGCCCACCTCTCTCCCTCATTCTTCTTCTTCCTCTACAACTTTCTTGGCCCTCTCCCCCCTCTTGACTCCACTCCCCCCCCCCCCTCCTCTCCCAAAACGGTCCCTTCGTGATCTTTACAACTTCTTATCCCCATCTACTCGTGATGTCACAAAGTCGGCCCGGGTTGTTCCCGAGCTTGCGCATGGGTGGTAAGGTCCCCTCATCGCTGGTCAATGGTCGGAGCTAACAGTCCGAGCAGAGGTCATCAAGGAGAAGGTCCAAGACGGACTGACTGGCGAGGCCAAAGAGATCTCCTACACACAGTGTAAGATCGTCGGCAATGGCTCTTTCGGTGTCGTGTTCCAGACCAAGATGGCTCCCAGCGGCGAGGATGCTGCCATCAAGAGAGTCCTCCAGGATAAGCGCTTCAAGGTACGGCATCGTGGAAACAGCTTCCCATGCCACTCACTAACCGTTTCATCTCTAGAACCGTGAACTGCAGATTATGCGGATCGTGCGCCACCCCAACATCGTCGAACTCAAGGCCTTCTATTACTCCAACGGCGACAGGGTATGTGCTGGACCCCCCATGATCCCCCGTTCAGTGGGCTGATTTCTCCAACAGAAAGATGAAGTCTACCTCAACCTCGTCCTCGAGTATGTCCCAGAGACCGTTTACCGCGCATCGCGTTACTTCAACAAGCTCAAGTCGACCATGCCCATGCTGGAGGTGAAGCTGTACATCTACCAACTCTTCCGGTCGCTGGCCTACATCCACTCCCAGGGTATCTGCCATCGTGACATTAAGCCCCAAAACTTGCTTCTGGATCCCAACAGTGGTATTCTCAAGCTTTGCGATTTCGGTTCCGCCAAGATTTTGATCGAAAATGAGCCCAACGTTTCTTACATTTGCTCTCGTTATTACCGAGCGCCCGAGTTGATCTTTGGTGCAACCAACTACACAACAAAGATTGGTACATATTCCTTTTCATCTCCCAATTTATTATCATCTAACGTGTGATCTAGATGTCTGGTCGACTGGTTGTGTGATGGCAGAGTTGATGCTGGGACAACCCCTCTTCCCCGGTGAATCGGGCATTGACCAACTCGTGGAAATCATCAAGGTCTTGGGCACACCTACTCGGGAACAGATCCGCACCATGAACCCCAATTATATGGAGCACAAGTTCCCTCAGATTAAACCTCATCCCTTCAATAAGGTATTTTCCATCTGTCCATCCTCCCACAGTGTGTGCGACAACACTGACGCCACCTAGGTCTTCCGCAAGGCACCCCCAGAGGCTATCGACCTCATCTCTGCCCTTCTGGAATACACTCCGACACAACGATTGTCGGCGGTTGAGGCTATGTGCCATCCATTCTTCGATGAGCTCCGCGACCCGAACACCCGTCTACCGGATTCCCGCCACCACAACAACCCCTCCAAGGACCTGCCCGCCCTGTTCGACTTTTCACGACATGGTATGCCACTTGCAACAAAATACAACATTCTGATACTAATGATGCGATAGAACTTTCCATTGCCCCTGAGCTCAACAACCAGCTGATTCCCCCTCACGCTCGCCCGGCACTCGAGGCTCGCGGTCTCGGTCTCGATACCTTCAAACCCCTCGCCAAGGAGGAAATGATCGCACACCTCGACTGAGTTGACCGTTGTGTGCCCTCCGCGAGGGATACGTCCATTGTGCCGCCATCTGCATTGTGCATGGGAAGATGACCTGTCCATCAATTTCCATCTTGTCTTGAGTGGGCTCTGAATTGAGTGACGCCTAGGCTTGCTTAGTTTTTTCACCTCAACCCCGGTAGACATAATGGAACTTGGGCAAACATGTGGTGTGGGGAATGTGGGGGAAATGCATCTTTTGATGGGGAAACTATGTTTCTTTGGGGTGGTTCGGGCGGCTGATGGTTTTCATGCAATGGGAGGTCATGGCCTGGAGTTTTATTTTGAGGTGTCTGAGACAGCTCTCGGGAGGAAAAAGTGATACCCTTTCTGTGCACGTCTGCCTTTGTGGAATCGGAGACTGCACAGTTTCATCGGTCGAGGGAGAGGAACCCCCAGACGCAGCAAGCCGATATCTCGACCCCCAGGGGAGAATCTCCAAATGCATGAGAGATCTTAAGGATTTCTTTGGATACACAGTTCTCAGGGAGGACCCTTCTCTGTTATGGTCAAATATTTCGACTTGCAGCGCTAGAAACCCCGTTTGTTCTTCTCTTTGTGTCCCCGTTGACCTTTTTTTTTTTCTTCTCTTTTTTTTGTTCGCAATATCCTTGTATCAGATTCATCGGGCTCGGCTGGTTCCCCGGTCCTTCCGACTTACCGGCCATGAGCTTTATGTCATTCCAGTTCTCAAACAGGCCATCTTCCCCTTGTAAGACGTAGGCACCTATCCCTGATGAATGCAGTACAGTCCTCATAAGAACTGTTTGTACCATGCTTTCCAGAAGTACATGGTCTGCATTATTCGTGTTGAAGATGTACATAACCTCAAGAGTCACAGTAGCCACCAAAGATGCAATTTTTGATTAGAAACAGCTTCCTGCCAACAGATCAGCCAGCACGCTCTAGCCGTCAACAATATCCCTGCTGTGGAGTGGGGGCAACAGATATTGTGGCGCTGTGGAGACCCCGTAGTCCAACTAAGCAAATAAGCAAAACGTTTGTGATATTACTCTAGTGGTTTTGCTCATAGTTGGACTCTACTGTGCCATGGGCAGTCTCCAATTAACAGCTTTCACTAAAGTAGCCCGTGAAATATCTCTGATATAGATGGACGATGGGGAAGAGCTGTCTGCATCTACAGTATACAGTGAATGGGAGCGATCTACATCCTCTATCTATACCTACTGTCAAGATTCTATACCTCGAATCACGAAACATTGATCTATTGACAAATACCTAATCGTTAGTGGGCTTAATTAATGTTCTCTTGAACCGTGGTTACAAATTCTTAATTATACAATTATGGCCAAGGGTGTCAGAGTATAGGCATGTTTAGTTAGGGATAAATGCGAATATATGACCTGGGAAGTCAATGTTTAACATGAAAATAATGGTTTAGATCATATTACAAGACTTTTCCATTCTTATGAAGACTGCTGTCCGCTGTTTGTTCAATTTCTAACAAAAAGGACAGGAAGCTCTATAAAACCCCTATCAACATAATGTTACATGAGGTTCAATTTTGGCCTTGACAATCGATATAGGAACATATTCAAGAGATAATGAGGGTATTGAAGGGATTTAAATAGTTCAAGACTGATCAAATAGCATTTCGTTAAACTTGTACGAGAGCAACTCAATGAATACACTGATCAATGCGGCTAGCGTAGTCCTACCCGGATCGGAACTTCCCCCCTTCCGAGCTCCCCATTTACCTCAAGCTCTCAAGCTGTCACCCTCGCTTCGCAAACTTCCTTACAGATCCACTGTTCTTTCAGCATCTGGACTCTCAGATCGTTGAATTGGCTCACAATGGCCGAGAACGACCGCCGAAACCAAGGCTACCGTGGTGGGCGCAAGCGCCGCTACAGAGGTGAAGGACGCGCTTTCAGCATGCTTCTCGTATATACTAACTCCGCATGCCATATTAATAGATGACGATGACTTCGATCGCCGTCCCCAGCGTCGCAGATATGAAGAGCCGCTGTTTGTTCAGGTCCGGCGTCAATTGTTGACCATTGCGGAGTCGGTACGCTGCTCTTTTTTCCTCTCATTGCTTGCGCGCATTGCGCTTGACTAGTTTGAATTGTTGGTGCTAATGCCGTGGGTTTTGATTTAGGCTGCTCGCAGAGTTGAAGATGATATTCAGAGCATCGCAAAGACCGTTTCCGAGAACTATGACGACGAGGAGATTCGCCGCGACTTTGTCAACATCTCCCTTGATCTGTATGTGTTGGTGGATTCATTTTAATTTTGCGTTTGCTAATTGGCTCTGTACAGTGTCCTCGAACAGCCTATGAAAACTCCCTTTATCGCCGGTACTGTCTTGGTCGCCCATAGTCTGAAGCCTGAGCTTGGTTCGGAGGTTTTGAGCAAGGCTGGTGAGGCTCTGCAGAAATACATTAATACTGGCGCATGGCGCGAGGTCAAGCTTCTCGTTCGGTTCTTGGGTATCTTGCAGCCGGTCTATGAGGGCGACGGTATCTTCCCGCTCTTGGAGGAGCTGTTCGCTCGTGCTGTCGATCTCCAGACTGCTTCTTCGGAGGATGTAAGTTGAAACGCTAACCTATGATTATGGTTATCTTCTAACGGTTAGTTAGCTTCTTGGTCTCGAGCTTGTGAAGATCATTCAGTTCACTCTTCCTTATGTGATGATCTCTCCTGCTACCGGCTTCGAGGCTCAGGCTTCCGCGCTCCTCGAGAAGACCGATATTATTGCATCTACACCACACGCCCTTGTTGATTTGGTCAACACATTTAGCCCCGAGGAGGACAAGTCGGCAGCTGGTTCCAGCGTTATCAGCTTGATGCAATCTCAGCTCCAAGGAGAGGCAAGCAGGGGCTGGGTGCTTAAGTGTCTTCCTCGTCCCTGGAAAGACATCCGCGATAGCGAGAACGATGAGCTCAAGTCATTCGACTCGGTGACCAAGATTCCCTTCCCTGAAATTGATGTGCCCAACCCCGTACCAAACGGCTCACGCTCTCTCTTCCCGGAGGTCTATCTTTCGGTGTATGCCAACCAAGAGTTCGACACCGTGCCTTCGACCTCGGACATCTCTTCCTCGCTCATCAGAGATTCATTGGTCGATACTATCAACCTTCTCGACTTCAACCGTGTCGCCACAGCCAAGTTCCTGATCGATCTCGACTGCTATTTCACTCCTCACACATTCATTAAGCGTGCTACGCCTTTCGACCGCATGCGGGATATCCCAGAAGAACAGCGTGCCTGGAAACCAGAGGATGTGGCTGTGGATGCTGTGTTCTCGCAGCTATTCCAGCTGCCGGCCGCAGAGCACAAGCTTGTCTATTATCATTCTCTTCTCACTGAGTGCTGCAAAATTGCCCCAGCGGCAATTGCACCCAGTTTGGGTCGTGCGATCCGATTCTTGTATAACAGCCTGCAGACCATGGATCTGGAGTTGAGCAGCCGTTTCCTCGATTGGTTCGCTCACCATCTGAGCAACTTTGGCTTTACATGGAAGTGGAGCGAGTGGTAAGTTTGCTCGAAGTAGAAGTTCATCAGATCATCTAACATCTTTCTAGGGCTGACGATCTCGAACTGCCTGCCATCGACCCAAGAATGTCGTTCATCACTGGTGCCTTGGACAAGGAGATTCGGTTGAGCTTTGCTCAGCGCATTAAGGGAACTCTCCCGGAGCCTTACCCTAAGCTGATCACGCCGGGCAAAGAGAAGGATACTCCTGAGTTCAAATATGCATCTGACAGTGAGAATCTCCTAAACAATCGAAGAGGCAGTCGTTAACATGCATCCAGTGACTCCATACTTTAAAGAAGGACAGGAACTCATGCAATTGATCCGCAAGAAGGCTACAGATGAAGAAATCCAGCCTGTCATTGCTGCCATCGAAGAGCAAGCCCATAGCCAAGGCGTCGAAGACCCCAAGATTCCCTCAACAGACGCATTCGTCACCTCTCTCTGCTTCGTCGGCTCCAAGTCCCTCTCGCACGTCTTGTCATGCATCGAACGCAGTAAAGACCGTCTTCTGGCCCTCGGCACCGAGTCCCCTCGTGCCCGCTGCCAGATCATCACCTCGGTCATGGAGTACTGGGCCGACCAACCCGGCATCGCCATTAACATCATCGACAAGCTGCTGAACTACACAATCCTCAGCCCTCTCTCCGTCCTCGAGTGGGCCCTCTCCGAGTCTGTCGCCGCCGGAACTATCCTCTCCAAGGCTCACATCTTCGAAATGATCTCCGCCACCGTCGGAAAGGTTACCAACCGCATGCGCCAGATCGTCGCTGCTCGCACCCAGCCCGGTCTCTACGAGCCCCAGCTGACCGCCATCGACGAGACCCTCGTCCGTGAGCGTGCCGATATGCAGACCCTATTCAAGTTCATCGAGGACTCTATCGTCTCCGTCGCTGCTGGAAGCAACGACGAGCAGATGGAGCGCGGTGACGGCAGCGGTGATCTGCCCGAGGATGCCATCATCCGCCAATGGGGCCGTCGCTGGCTCCGCGTGTTCTGCAGGAAGGCCGCCGTCGAGGAGAACTTCATCACTGATGCCTTGGCTAATGCTACTCCTCTTGGAACTGTTGCCCCTGAGCGGGAAAATGCTGCGGATAAAGATCTCGACATTGCCGATGCTGATGGACAGTAGGGTCAGTACATGACATTCCTCTGCAGGTAACAACTGGAATATGTTGATCTCTCGTATTGATCTCTTTTGTCTCATTAAAATGATTTACGCTCTGGAGAGTTCTCTTCCTCTGTCTTTTCTTCCTCTCCTACTTTGTATTGTACATTTATCGCCGGGTTTTGATCTAATCAAGCCCTTCGACAGAACTGTGAAGATCTATCTCTCTTGAAGCTATCCAGGTATCATACAACGTAACATATAGAGCCAGTTATATATAATAAGAAGCAGTATCTAGTCTACATGTATCGGCCTCATCTCAGACATCTCACACCCAAATTGAATCTGATAGCGGGTCATCATCCCTTGCGGCCTCGCCGAAAAAAGAAAAGAAAGACACTGCACCTCGTGCTGAAATGTCGCACAGAACAAAAAAAAGAAATGAAATACAAACTGGTGTCATTACACGCTGACAACTAATATCTGCAAGGGGGGGGGTCTAATACCCAATTATTAAGGTAATGTATAAGTAGATATAGATCGAAAAAGATAGAGCAGAGCCAATTTACTTCCTGAGGCCCCTTTTATTCAAAAAATTGCAAGGAGATTGGGTATATCTATATCCCAAAGCCAAAGACTAGCCATGGAATACATGTATGAAAGACCTATACCCTGTACCTCGTGAATCATATACATCTTGAGCCCTAAATGAGAGAGAACATATGAAACATAGAAAGACATGAAACCCGCAGAGTGTCGAGGTGGGTATCGGTACTGTCCAGTATACAGCGTTTCACATATCCAAAAGAAATAAAGAAATGGAGTGAATGTAGAGGATTAGGGATAGAAACCAGATCACAGGGGGAATCAACGAGAAATAGGAGGGGAATCAAAAGGCATATACAGAGAAGGTATCAAAAACCCGCTCAAGGTGGCCAAAAATATGGTAGAAGTTGGGCGTTGGATGCTCAAAATACAAACCAGACAGGATATAAACAGAGGATGAGGCGAAAAAAATCAAGAGTAATGAACCCTTCGGTTCATATAGTACTGCTCAGTATCGCCTCCATCACTGCTGGAGCTGTTATAGGCAGACATGTTATCTTCAAAGCTCTCACGACGCATTATCTTGCTGTCGCCTTCCTCGGACTCAACAGAGGCTATTCGATCCATAGAAGCACAACCATCAGAGCGTCTTGTCATGGAGATTCGTCGGTCTTTGCCTCGACCCTTGATGCCCTTGTTGCTGTTCTTGTATAACGTTGCAAAGTACTCCCACAGCTCGCGGTCTCCTGGGTTCGCAGGCCCATTTTCGCCGATTTGCGAGAAGCGGAGGGTGAGGTTTCGCAATGTCACCGCGTGAAATTTGTTTTGATGGGACTGTAAAAAGTAAAGTTAGGTTAGGTTCCTGTAAAATGAAGATGTACACCTATGCCCACTGGACCGCGAGATGAAAAGAAGAATTTGCTTACCTTCAAGTTGCCTAGCTGGGTAAACTGCTTGTTACAGTCATCCAAAAGGCAATTAAATGGCTTTTTTCGTTGATGAGTGAGCTTGTGGGCGCGGACGTTGCCTCGCTGCGCAAAGCTTTTGCCGCATTCTTCACACTGGAAGGGCTTTTCGCCTGTGTGTCGCCGCTGATGGGTCTGGGAAATTAGCTGCCTGTTAGTCTCTTTGTCTTATGTTTCACGGTCGCATGGTGCGTCAGCTTTCAGCTGAGGGGCGGTGCTTACCTTGAGATTGCCTTGCTGCGAGAAGCGTTGGCCGCACGAGGGCTCCTTGCAGATCTGCAAAGTTCACATTGGTTAGTTGCTGACAATATCCGCTGATCCTGACGAACACTCACAAATGGCTTGTCTCCGGTGTGTGCCCTGATGTGGATGTCCAGGTGTGTCTTCTGGGCAAAGCTCTTGCCACAGCCCGGCAGCGTGCAGGTATACTTGCGCTTCTTTCCAGAGCGAGATAGATGTCCTTCGCCGCCCAGGTAGTAGCGCGGTGGTGTGGGCGAGGCTACCGGGTATGTGGTCATGGGGTAGACCTGGGATGCAGGAGGCGCCAAGTGTTGAAGTGGTGGTAGGGATTGTTCGTGTGGCGATGAACTGTGCTTTGCTTGGATTGCCTTCATTAGGACATCCACGTTTGTCGAGAATGCAATGTCAGAAGGGCTTGGTTTCGTCTCATGGGCCCCATCCAGCGAACTGTGGCCAGCGCCCGTGCAATGCATCCCAGAATCATGGTCTGTAGGAGACTTTGCTGCCTGGTTGATGGCGTTCTTTGCAGGGCGGATTTGAGGAAGAGACTGCAACGGCTGGAGCTCCGTCGTAAGACGCAGTGGTTGATGCTGAACCGGATGATGCTGACTGGGAACGAAGTAATGCTGGTATGGGTTCGAGTGTGCATGGCCTACGTGATGACCATAGTTGTAGGGCAGACCAGCCGGTGCCTGGTAAGGCAACGAGTATGAAGCCGTTGTAGGATGCGAGTAGAAGGGGATGTTCTGGTTCTGGTTCGAGTCCATCGGGCGCCTGTGTGCAAACGCACCCACAGCATGGCCGGGGAACTCGTAAGACACTGGTTCTGCGGTCTCCATCTTTGCTGGGACAGAGTTCACAACAGTTTTTCGTCTCGGACTTCTTGGTAGTGTTCAGAAAGGCCAGGATGCCGTCTCCCAGGCCTCCGGTTCTCTTGCCAGATACCAATGTATACTAAATGTATACCAGTAGCCAGAATGGACAGGTTTTGTCTCTGGTTTGACTAGCACTGTGTCCTGCAACTTGATCCTCGACGGTGATATTTGGGTTCTGGCTAGCAGCGAGTTGCCTTGGGGGCTCAAGAGGAACAAGGATGAAAAAAATAGACAACCAGGCCGGCCAAAGCGCAATCGGTCTTGACTGGTATAGATCTGGATCTATATATACAGATGAGAGAGAGGGGGAGGAAATAGCAAATATATGCAGGTCATGGCCTGAAGAGACCAAAGGATATAATGATTGACAACTAGTGATGATCATCCGCATTGACCGTGGCGCCTCTCGATCTAGATATACCAGGGCCTAATGCAATGAGAGGCGGGGCGACAGGGGGAAGAGTCAGCCGGTGAGAGAGTCGACAAGTCCCATACTGATCGTCTGTATGACGTTTGGTAATATGAAGGAAAAGGGGAGCGCAGTTCGAGGCCAGAGATACATGCATTGTACAGTACGCCGGGGCTTTCATTCGACGATCTCCGTGGGCCAGGGATCCTAGGTTGATTGAGGCGACCTAGCTCCACCGGAAAAGAGATAGTCACAGAAATATACAATCAAGAAATCAAATCAAGGACGAACTGGAGTTCCTGGAGCATACAGGTTGCATGCATAGGTTGGCTTCCCAGATGCATGGCCTTTGGACGCATCACTTCTCTGTACCACGAGGAATTGCTCTCGACTAGTGGTAATGTATTGTGGCCATTCAGTAAGAAGTCGAGTTGCACCGGAATACTCGCAGCCGCGACTGGCGAACGACCTCAGCTCGTTTCACCTTTTTCATTCGGCACTTTGGTGTAACTGAATCTGAAGTGATTGACACCTGTCAGTCCCCAAATCTCCACGTCAAAAAAGAAAAGGAACACGCCTTCAAGGCACCGTGCTTTCCCCTCGAGGACGGGCCGGCCCTCATTGCGGAATTCGCAAGTGGACCGTGATCGACCTGCAGTCGACATGTAGATAAATCCAGTCGATCTCGGAGTCAGCATTTCCTCATTGCTCAGTGGTCAGCGTGGGCCGTAATTACGAATACCAGGATGCGCCATCCCGATAGTCGCCAATAGTGTCAGATCTCAGCCCATCGAATATCCCAGCTAGCCGCCCAAGGCCCCGGAAATTCTTTTGAGCCCTCGTGATCTGAATCTGGCTCGGAGCAATCACCAATCACTGGTTTCTGACAGTGGGTGCTTCCCTCCACACCGAGATCCAGCGGGTGCGATCTGTTTCTCCTTTGAGGGGGAGGAGTGGGTGCGCTGTTGGAAAAGCACCCCCTGGAAGTTGAAGCACCATTGGGCAGTAGTCTCCCTCAAATGGTTTGTCTCGTGTCGATCACTGCGAGTGGCCTTAGCTCCATCACTGGAAGGATCCGAGAAAGTGACAGCCGTGCTCTGACACGAGAGGTATCTATCAGTAATGGTTCCTGCAGGGATGCGACTAGTCTTGACGAACTGCTTCCTGATCGGGCCAACTAGTGTAGACTGTCTCCAAGCAATTTGCCACTGCACATGACCAGGTAACAGTAGCCAAAAATCATGCGAGGCTCGTTAGTAATTCAGACGGACAGGGATGAAGTTCTTGGGATTGTTGATTCTCCTGAAATTCAGCTCGGTCTAGAATGCCGGTCCCGTGTTACTCTCTACAGGCTACAGGCTATCTCCCTACAGCAGTATACTGCTGTATACTGTATACTGTATAGTAAATATTTATGAATATTGCATTTTGATTTGAACACAGCGTTCAACTAAAGAAAAGACAAATTCGAGATAAAATAATTCAAAGCCCCAAAACCCGGCACACGAAAGCAAAACGTCACATTGCGCCAAAGGCATTAGTATCAAACCTATCGTCCAGTGTACGGCGAATATCTAAGGAGTCAGAGTCAGCATGATCTGAAACAATCTTCGGAGAAACAACTTACCTCCAGATGCGCGCACGCATGTCTCCACTGCCAGTCGCGAACAGGTTGCCAGTGGGGCTGGGCGCAACCGAGATGACTATTCAATGTTAGAGCTGAGTATGTAGATAGACAGGGCGTAGACTCACCGGAGTTCTTGTGACCCTGAAGCATCATCTGGGCGTTGCCAGTCACCGGGTCCCAGAACTGGACACCGCGATCCTTGGAACCACTCATCACCCAGGCTCCGTCGGGAGTCAGACACACGCTAAGCACAAAGTCCTACATTCAATTAGCTTTGGTCAAGGGGAATTGGGAAGATCTACAAACCTTGTGACCCTCGAAGGTGCGCAGGCACTTGCCGCCCTTGACGCCGCTGTGGGGGTGCATGCCCCGCGGGACAGTAAGCTCCCAGAGCTTGATAGTCTTGTCAAGACTGCCACTGACAAGGTCTCGGCCATTGGGCGCGAAGGCAACCGAGTAGACACTGTCCTTGTGTCCATCGGGGTTCTCCAGACGCTCCACCAAGTATCCAGTCGTAGTGTCCCACACACGCACGCTCTTGTCAAGCGAACCGGCAGCCACGTAGTGACCATCCGGAGACATAGCGACAGTTGTGACGCCATCTTCGATGCTGAGAGTGTAGACAAGCTTGCCATCGAGGATATCCCAAAGACGCACGGTCTTGTCTCCACTGCCAGAGGCGATATATCGGCCGTTGCCGGCGAAGTCTAGGGAGTAGATGTCCTGCTCGTGTCCCGAGAAGATGTGCTTGATGGTGCGTGCGTTGATATCCCAGACCTGGAAGCGCATTATAATTAGTCGGTTTCTATTGATGTTGGGGTCAAGTAATTCAAACTTACGCGAATCTGCTTATCTTCGGCACCAGTTGCAAGGTACTTGCCGTCAGGGCTGAAGCAAACACTGCGAATATAGAGATCGCCGTCCTTGTCGACGTTCTCATCCTGGAGAGTGGCCACATTCTGTCCAGTGGTCACATCAAAGATTTGAGCTGAGCGGTTGCAACCGGTGGCTAGGTATTTGCCGTCGCGGCTGAAGCGGACACAGCAGACGACGCTGTCGTGGTTCAAGTGGTGAACCAGTTCCACGTCTAGCACACGCTGCACCTCGGGGTTGAAAACAGCGTACCAGTCAGGACCCTCGCGCTTTTGCGACGCAGGCAGTTCATCGGGGTTCCAATTGGCCAGCATGTTTCCCGGGCGCTCACGGGGGAGAGAGGTCTGGTTAGGGGGAGTTGGGCGAGGGATCTGAGGCGAAGCACGGGGATCCGGGTAGGCAATGTGCTGTTGCTGGGGGGTGGCCGGGCCTGGGGGCACACGTCCACGGCCCTTACCAGGTCCTGGCGATGCGGTCGGGGGAGGAGGTCCATAGCCTGGAAAGAAAACATACAGCAGATTAGCGACCTGACAGGAATCCCTTTACCTCTAACGACATACCGTTCACAGCAGCGCCAGCTTGATATCCTCCAAAGGAACTCTGCGGGGGTTGCGGCGCACCGGGCTGGGCAGCCGAAGCAGGTTGTTGAAGGGCATGCTGGGGAGGCTGCTGATCCTGGGGAGGGGGAGGGGCAAGACCGGGGCCACTACCTGGTGGGTTGGTCATGATACCGCCAAACAGATTGCTAGGGCCGTGACCCAATGCAGGCGGGGGAGCCTGGGTAGGAGCTGTATGGGCTGCGGCAGGACCGCCGATGTGGGAGGGAATAGTTTGGACGCCGCGCGACTCGAGTTCGTGTCGCAACATTCGGATTTCGGTTTCGTAGCTACAGCAAACTGGGAGTCAGCGATGGAAGATATGAATAGCTAGGGGGAGGAAACGAACTCCTGCTTGATCTTGACCTGGGCTTGTTCCAACTGGAAAACCTTTTGACGGATCATCTCCATTTCTTGGAGCTGTCCGGTCACTGCGTGATCTGTCAGTTAGATAACATTTCAGCGAATGTTGCAACCCATGGCGCGGCAGTCATCGAAAGATAGCTGGCAGCTGTTTAAACGAAGTGGTTGGACATTAGATGCTCCCAGGCGCACGAGGCCCGGAGAGTACCAAAGAATAACCGTTTTAGAAACGCATAGGAAGGGACATACACTGATGCTCGAATTCGCCGGTGCTGCGCGACTGGCTCTCAAACTCCTGACGCAGCTGATCCAGCAACTCCGTCAGACGGGAGTTGGGAGCGGGCACCATCCCGCGATGAGTGTTGTACATTGCGCTAGGGGATCGATTATAGTAGAGACAAGATATTTAGACGGGAGCTTCAAGTGCCGACAGGGATGAGATCCAAATCGATCACTGAGGCTTCAATGCTGCTTGGTGGAAATCACCGCGCAGCTAGCCACAGCGATAGTATCTGAAATGATGGAGGTGAGAAATTGAGGTGGTAGCGGTAAGAGGGGGAAGAGGCTGGTGACAGTTGCGGGAAGGTTGGAGGCGGCAAGCGGTTAACGCCAGAAGCGAGAAGCGCCAACTCCGTTTGCAAATGATCAATTGATCAACGCTTGGTGTTCGGAATTCAATTCTTTTGAGATATTGATATATAGTATTTGAGTTTGAATATACTTGCCAATATATGATTAAATAAAATTTCCATGACCAACAAGTTGGCAATTAACTACATGTATATCAGATGGATACTTGGATCTACGCCAGTGCGGGCAGTGGAGGTACCTCTGAGTACGGCCCAAAGTACTTCCAGGTATCCATCGGCAGTCTCACCGCCCAGAGATACTTCCGGGTACTTGGGGCTGCAGTCCTCATGCCTGGAATATCAGGCTACAACAAGTTGTGTCAGGCACCAAGGCACTCAGGCACTCAGGCACATCTAGTGGCAATCTATAAGAATTGAACAGGTGTGGCATGATGTGAGAGATTAGAGAAAAAGAAATATAGCCAATTGTCATCCTTGAAAAAGTCAGGCCATCTACTCCGTACTCCAAAACTATACAGCCCTGAAGAGTATACCCCTGGCTGATTAACTACGGCTGTGGTGGTTCCGCGCTGGTGTGACTGGCCGGAGCCATTTATTATTCGCCGTCTCTCCTTTTTCTGTTCCAAGTACATCCCTTTCACCAATTCACTCTCCCCATCCGTGAAGTCACCATGGATATTATTCTCGAATTATGGGACACCTTCATTGGTGATCGCCTCTATTCCTCGCTACTCCCCGCGTCGCTTTCTTCGTCCGTTTCTTTCCCGGCGTTCGTCAATGCAGCCAACAGTTCTCTGGCCCTCTTTGGCGCCGCGGAACCTTTTGTGTATGAACAGGCGACACAGATGATCTACTTGGAACCCTCCAAGTACGCTTACTTGAGTGCTTGGCCGAGAAACAACATGTACCGCCAATTCACCAGCTTCTTCCTCATTACCTGGTATGCGCCAGATTCTCTCAATCGCCACCTTTTCGCGACTCAGCTAACCCAATTGAAACAGGATTTTTGGTCTTTTGGTCTACTTCGTGGTCGCCTCGCTATCATACATTTTCATCTGGGACAAGACAACCTACAACCACCCCAAATTTCTCAAGAACCAGATTGGATTGGAAATCAAGCAGGCCATGGGTGCCATGCCCCCAATGGCTCTGTTGACTGCCCCATTCTTCGTTCTTGAGGTCCGCGGATACGCCAAACTCTACGATACCGTCGCTGAAGAGCCCTTCCCATTCTACAGTCTCATCCAATTCCCCTTCTTCATCTGCTTCACCGATTTCTTTATCTACTGGATTCACCGCGGTCTGCACCACCCCCGTGTATACAAGACCCTGCACAAGCCTCACCACAAGTGGATCATGCCCAGTCCCTACGCCTCTCATGCTTTCCATCCGCTCGACGGCTGGTCCCAGAGTGTGCCTTACCACGTCTTCCCCTTCCTCTTCCCCCTGCAGAAGATGGCCTACGTCTTTCTGTTCGGATTCATCAACCTGTGGACTGTCTTCATTCATGACGGCGAGTACGTTGCCAACAGCCCCATTGTGAACGGTGCTGCCTGCCACACCATGCACCACCTGTACTTCAACTACAACTACGGCCAGTTCACTACTTTCTGGGACCGTCTTGGTGGCAGCTACCGCAAGCCCAACGAGGAGCTCTTTCGTCGCGAGACCAAGATGGGCGACAAGGAGTGGCAGCGTCAGGCCAAGGAGATGGAGACTATTCTCAAGGACGTTGAGGGAGAAGACGATCGCAGTTACTCGTCCGACAAGAAGAAGAACCTCTGAAATGACGAAACAATTTTCCTTCTTCTCGACTTTCAGGTCTTGCAAATGCTTACTGGTCCTAAGCTGCATTGGTTCACCAATAGACAGACTGGTTGTTTGACTATGTTGGATCTTCTTCTGGATCTCTAGATCCCTGGTATTATTCCTTGCCCTTGATGATTCAAGTACATTAATTACCCCTGCACCCCTATCTGTTTTAATACTCAAAAGTGGTCGTCAGCACCTTGGTCTGCTGGCGGTCTTGCCCATTCTGTACATAACTTTTTACATTACCATCATGGCGGTCAGAATGCATTCTGTTAAGAGCTTGATTGTGATTTCTTCCGTGTGGCGAATTCATGTGGCCTTGCACGCTGTCAATGTGTACTATATGTGAACTATGAAACAAGACATGCAACCAAATACGTCGACGTTGTCTTTGGAATATATTATAATACTATAGAACCCTAGGACAGTCTCCGAATAATCACAGCCCGCGAACCATCAGTCGCGTGGAACCCATTCTCAGTCAGGTCACGCTCACTACTTGGCCAGATCTCTGCCCTGAATTGACCCAACTCCCTAGAGGCAAGTGTATCATGAAGAGAAACAATTCGCTTAGCTTGGCCCATGTCTCCACACTCTAAGACGGTAACTTTAGCCCTCAGCTTAAACGACAAAGCAAGAATATGGTAATAGAAAATATCCTCCGGCCTGTCACTTTCTTCCCCGGTCACCAAGGATGGAGGAACAAGTGCTAGCTTGGGCTCAAAGAGCCGTACACTGCGTGCAGTAGTTCCGTTGCCGAATTCATGTGGAGATATGTAAGGTGGGTTTGATATCAAGAGATCACAGCCGTTGGTTTGGTCTGCGGGCGAAGAATCTGCTTCCGAATAATATGGTTGGAGGATTGAGTCAATAGATGGTGTTGAACCATCACTGCCATTTCCCAGGACATTGCCGCGGTGGAAATGGATATCCGTCGATGCGCGCGATGTCAATTGCCCCAGTCGCATGTTATGCTCGAGGTTCTTCTGTGCCAGACTAAATGCTATGGGGCTGATGTCTACCCCTGTAATTGACAGTTTCTGGAAATGAGGTGCAAGTAATGCGTGTAGCAGAAGAGAGATGCACCCTGTCCCTGTGCAAAGGTCGATAACGCGCAGGGCTCTGGAGTTGCTGCCAGATCTGGATTTTTGCTTTGAATCCAGGGCTATCTGACAAATTAATCTGGCTGCTTGGTATGTATATGATTCAGTCTCTGGCCTGGGGAAGTTAGGAGAAGTATCGCGGTCTGGGATGTGGTAGACATACCTGGGGATCAAAACGCCCTTTTTGCAGAGAATTTCTAAGTTACCAAAGGGTTGGTCGCCTAGGATATATTGCAGAGGATATCCTCTTGATCTCAATTGACACATGGATCTTAACCGAGCCCTCCATCCGGTGTTGGATCTTGAAAGCGACTGGCTATCGCGAAGTGCCCGTTCGCGTAGCCAGCGAAGCTCATTGCGGGCAGAATCGATGGTACGACATTCTTTGAGAAGTAGAGGAAGCAACCTGTTCTCTTGATGAGCTTTTAGTATCACAGAAAACGGTATCCGAGGCATTTGGAAAATTGGGAATAGATCAAGCTGGCCACGGGTGTCAAATCAACTTTTGTGCCAAGAGACGCGACGCGGATCACCCGAAGTATACGGCTTCACATCAATTGTCTACAGCACTACATGCTCAGGTGTTCTTTAAATCAGATACTCTAAATTATATACGTTCTTCATTGAATAACATATACTAATGAGATAAACAAGAAATAAATCCAGGTATAGCCAGTCGAACTCCAAAACGCACCACAAAATGCAAAAGAAGTCTATCATCTAAAGAGACGAATCCATAAACTGGCCGTTCTACAGGGCCAGCAGAGCGCCAGCACCGACAATTCCAAATGCCAGATGCTTAGGCATAGCGGTTGCCTTGGGAACAGCCCAGTTGCCAGTCTCAGAGATCGTGGTGAAGATACCTGATCCTCCATCTGGACCCCCAATGCGAGCGCCAGAACCACCGACAGGCGCAGTGGTTACTGCATTTGCAACTGCAGTAGCACTAGGAACCGAATCGGTGCCAGTGCCAATTTCCATGACGTTGTTCTCGGTGGAGTTGAAGTTGGTGTTGGCAAGAGAAATCTCGTTGTTGGCCAAGTCGTATACCACGTAGGCACTGCGCAGGAAAGTATCTCCCAAAACCGAGGTACTTCCCCCTGCAGGAACAATGCCGAAGACACATGCTCGCTGGCGGTTGCGGAAGTAGATGTCACCCACATCGATAATCAGCTCGTCGAGTCCCACGGTAATCGTTGGGGACGAAAATGTATAAGAAATATTGACGTCCTTTGAGGCCATACTACATTCAATGTAGCCAATTCCACTGGAGGACTCGTAAGTAACATCCAAGTCCTCGTATATATCCTCAGCGAGGGCGTCGGGTAGATATGTGAGGGAACTTCCTGAATCCAAGAGCACCCCTGCAGGGAGTGCACTCGATGAGTAGGCGCGGTGACCAGACGAGTTCTGGAGACCAAGTCCAGTGAGGGCAATAATGAATTCAGAGTACTGCCCACCGACCTTCTGAATGGGCAGGGTCTGCAGCGTGCCGTGGAATTTCGCAGTGTTAACTCCGCCAAACAGGATGGAGCCTGTGCTCGCATCCAGATCATTCAGCCAGAGACTGTATGCATTGGATTTGATTACATCATGCTGGACCATTGCCTTGGGGAGGTTGGCATAAGACGAAGCACCGGTGCCAACCTGCACTTCATTTGAAGTATATCCAATACCTAGTACACCCTCTGAACAAATTTATCAGCCATGAGACTACCGGATACAGACAGAATATCCCTCACCTGTAGATCCAGAGGTAAAACCAATACCAAACTGGAAGTCCTTGATGGTGGTTCCTCCGATAGTGAGGGTATCGGTTACATAGTCACCGGCGGCTCCGGACCCATCGGCATAGCTAATATTGAAGTCTGACGACACGAAGGAATATGAAGAAGATGAACTTGAGTCGTAAGTGCCCGAATCTTCGCAGGGATCGGAGGATGATTCGCAGAGAGTCGAATTTGGCGTATTAGTCCATAGATCACTACTTCCGGTGTCGATGACGAGGCGTAGGCTTTGTTCGGGAGTACCCAGAGTGATATTGCAATAGTACAACGTTTCCTAAGCAAAAATATTAGCGGTGAGATAATGAGATATTCACACATATCGTACCTCATTGTCTAAAGATTGAGTGACAGTTGAAGAACGCTTTCGGATCCGATCTCTAGTAACTGGATCCGCGACATCTTTGCGCTGAATGTCCATTTGCACCACAGCGGGATTGTCGCGCTGGTGCAGAGTCAATCCCCATGCTGGCACAAGGCTGGCCAATAAGATCCACGAGTGTCTCATTGTCGATCAAAGAATGTGAGATATCTGAAAGTGTGAAGATCAGATGTGGAAATTTGAGGAAGGAAAGGAAAGGAATGAAATGATATTAGAGTCGGCTGTGTCGGGATCCAGTGGACCAGTACACATTTGCAAGATCCTGTACGTTCAATTTTCCTATAACAGGTAAGGTGTTGTCGTCACTAGTCTACGATGTGACCTTGTAGCCGCGAGATCCGAAGTAGATCGGGCATTGAACATGCACTATATCGTGAACTATACAATATATGCCAATTACTGTCCCTCTCTGAAAAACCTCTCTCACTACTTTGACCACACTATCTCTCAAAATCCAGATCAAAGAACAAGAAAAAAAAAAGTCGAGTGGGGGGGGAGTACAAAGGATGACGCGGATGGATGACGCTCCACTCTGCCCCAGCCTCGTTTGGGCTTAGCTACGCCACTTTATATCGGCACAACTACTCCGAAGGCAGCGAAGTTCTATGCTTGTTCTTGTTCTACACTATTTTACATGTATATGTTATGTCCGTTTACAGGCCCATCGCTTCCCGGATTTGCCCCATGGTCACCTGGGTGTTGGCACGCGCGGCTTGCGCTCCATCCTCTGCAACTGATTCCAGGTAGCCGGTTTTGTCATCCATAAGCCCAAGGTATCGCTCTCGGATATCCTGTAGATGGAAGGCAATGCGGTCGCCAACGTGTTCCTTGAGCGATCGGAGACTAGCGCTGTGGTATTCAGCAGCAATGTTTTCGCATGATACACCCTCAAAATGGCTGAGGATTTCAATCAAGTTGGATACTCCGGGCCGACGGGCCGGGTCGTACGTGATCGTCGATGCCGAATCTGTCAGGGCAACCTTGATCTTTCTGCGGATGACATCTGGAGAATCGGTGAGAATGATTCGGGATCGCTCATCAGCGTGCGATTTGGACATCTTGGACGTTGGTTCCTTAAGGGACATTACCCGCTTGGCAGGGGCTGCTTTAATTAGCTGCATGTTCATACTTGCGCAACGATCATTTTCTTACATATCAGTGCCTCTGGGATAGGAAATATAGAGCCATAAAGGTGGTTGAAACTGTTGGCGGTGTATCTGGAGAATTCCAGATGCTGTCTCTGGTCTTCACCAACAGGGACGTGAGTCGCTCTGGTGCTCATCAGCATAGAACGGACAAAGACAAATAAATAACCTACCTGTGTACAAGGATATCGGCAGCCTGAAGCACTGGATACGAGAAAAGTCCAAGTCGCAGCTGTGCTCGTGCTGTCTGGTCATCAAGCGTGGCATCTTCTGGCAGCTGTAGTTTGGTCTGGGAAATGTCAGTCAAAGGCCAGAGTATATAAAAGCATACTAAATTACCTTCCACTGTGTCATACGCGACAAATATCCCATGGAAGCCACTGTGCTTAGGATCCACATCAACTCTGCGTGAGCTGGTACCTATTAGGGTCAATATAACTTTTGATCGGCTTGCTCCTGACAACGTACAGCAGACTGGTAGAATATCGTAGAGCGCTTAGGGTCCAGCCCCACAGCAAGCAATGTTGCAAATGCTTCTCTTCTCCATTTCTTCAATTGCGCTGCGTCTTGTGGCACCGTCAACGCATGGAGGTCAACAATAGAGAAGAATAGCTTGGTTCCTTCAGTTGCGTTTTGCTGCAGCTTCACCCATTCGTTAAGGGCTCCTAGGTAGTTGCCGAGATGTGGAACTCCAGTTGGCTGGATTCCAGAAAATATAACGGACTCTTTGGCTGGTGATTTGGTGCTTGAGCTGTTCCATCGGTGGCATCTCCTAGGGAGAACGGAGAGCCCGCTTGGGACATGAGTATGTTTCCCACATAGGGACCTAGACGAGGTACATCCATAGCGGATGGTATTGACACGCATCTTCAGATTATTGTCAATATATGTGAATTGGAAGTTCCAAGTGCAATATATCACAATTCAGTGGCCCCCGACGGTCCTAGAAAAACACGATTGGTCACGTGATCGATATCATACAGTGCTTTGTTCACACTTAGACTGCCAGCTGCGACTTAATTCTCTACGGTTCAATATCTCGCATGGATCATTCATGTTGTTGGTCCAACTTGAATAAGGCTAGATCTCATATGGACAAGTTTATGGGCTTTGAGGTCTTCGGGATATGTAGACTCCCATTATGCATTTGGGGTGGAATAGGATAGTAAGACAATAAAATACATGTGGCCCATGTCAGAGCTTTCGAATCAGATGAAGACACAGAGCATGCAGCAAAAAAACATCAGGTCTAGATGTTCACGGGTATACGAATTGAGCGGTAAATAACCCTGCCATCTATACGTTCTTGCGCTCTGTGAACCGCTCGCTGTTCAGTGTGTCGAATATTGTGCCCGGGGCGGAGTTGTCCTTCCGCTGACCGAATTGTGCGAGGTGAGGACGAAGAGACTCTTCGACTTCGGAGAGAGAGGTGTCCATGTCCTTGGCAGCATCTGGTGGAGTTTATTATCAGCATCGCGATCATTGAAAAAATACAATAAGTGTGACATACCAAGACTCTCGGTCTCCCATACGTTTGCCTTCATACCGACACCGTAGAACGCGTGCTTGCGGAGGAAAGCAAGCCACGCTTGCACGGCTTGCGGGTTTCCATCCTTGATCTGGATCAGTCGGCGAAGGGTGATTCTTTCAAAGTTCTCCTGGCTCTTCTTGTGCACGAAGTTGCTTCGGGGTACAGTCCAGCGTTCAGTGATGCGAGGAAGAGGCACAGGTCCGGATACGGGGAGGTTGAGGTAGTAAGCGGCACGGATAGCGAAGTCTGCGAAGAACTCGACGTTGCGGACACTGTAGGATCGCAATTGAAGATCGCAGACGGGAAGACCATGCTCTGCCTTCCTCCGGAGTGGCCGTAGGTATATCGCTTGCACACTTCGTGGCAGTCGGTTTTCTTCGCCGAATGCTCCTAACCGTTCAGCCCTAGCGATATTGTGAGCTATGGTCTTTACCAATTGGATTCGCGCCATCCATTTCCGAGACTCACCATTCCTTGACCCGTGGTTCGGATGATTTGATATCTGTGGTTGATCTGTAGTTTCTCTTCGTCAGTCAAGAAGCCAAGTCATCCAGACTTGCATGGTATCTTACGTCGCAGTGTCAACCGCAGGTGTAGTAGCGGCAGGGGCTGCGTTAAAGGGGGCCGCAGGGGTGGCTTGTTTGGGTGAGGCTTCCACGGGATCAGCTGGTGTAGGGGTTGGTGTTTGGTCTGCAACGGGTGTCTTCTTTTGCTCCGGCGGAGTCTGGGTTGAAGATGATAGAGAGCGGAATGGCACGGGCACCTATCCAGGAGTTGTCAGAGAAGAACAGATAATCTATTGAGACAATAACATACCTGGAGGCGCTTGCCCACTCCAAGTAAGGAGCGCGACGCTTGATATGAGAACATAGTTAATCGTACATTGAGGAGGATCCGTTGTTGTCGGCGATGGGTTTTTTCGGGAGTGCATCCCAAGGCGGTGAAGATGGCTATAGAAACTACAGTATGGACTTTCTTCCTCAAGCTTCATGCAGTATTTCTCTGTTAGGTTATTGGAATTAAACTCATGCTAGGTGCATGGAATATAGAGACCAATTTCTGGTTTTCATCTATGCTGAAAAGAAAAACATGCTCAGCTACGCACTACGCACTTCGTTGAGCGGTATATATATCTCCTATGTCTAACCTTGCAACACGGCGAGTCTTACGAAACCGCCTACTATATTATATTTTGGGACTTTAATAGGCTAGTGGATTCTGTATCATTTTTGATATTGTGTATCTAACGGTGCTACTCTCATCAATGAGCCTGTCGCCCAAGACAATATCATAAGATACTACTATAGCACCTCAATAGATAGATAGCCCACACTGTATCTCCTAGCACCCAGCTTCACCTGGCCCACTCAAAGTGGAAATGCTCGAAAATGGATACTTCCATATGGAATATCTGCTATCACAGCCCAGTTAAGCCCCGCCAAGCGAATGGGACCATGTGACTCCGCACCTCTTACCCTCACAGAACTACACTCTTCTTTCGATAATTTTGACAGTTGACTTGACCATAGCAACAATGAAAGACCTGTCCTCGTTCCAGCGGGCCAATGAAGCAGTTGCTCACCTGAGAGCTACCCTGCCAAAAGGCCTGCAAAAGCCACAGGTCGCGATTGTATGTGGTTCAGGACTAGGAGGACTCGCAGATACGATTCACAATGAGCTACGAGCTGAATATGACTATGAATCAATCCCTCACTTCCCACGCTCAACAGGTTAGCTGCCTTCCTTCAAACGGGATGGTGGTTCTAAGATATCTAACATATCACAGTTGCTGGACACGCTGGGAAGCTGGTCTTTGGGTTCCTTGGCCAGAAAATCCCTGCAGTGTTGATGGTTGGCCGTGCCCAGTAAGCTCATCCAATTTGCCTGCTTACCATTGCTGACCTTGACCAAGTTATTACGAGGGGCACTCGATTGATCAAGTGGCATTTCCAATCCGGGTGTTTAAGCAGCTGGGAGTTGATACGGTTGTCTGTGAGTTATACGTGATACTACTACGAAAAAACGAAAAAATAATGCTAATGATATATGACAGTGACGAATGCGGCCGGAGGCCTTAATTCTGATTACTCCGTGGGAGATTTGGTTCTGCTGAATGATGCAAGGAACCCTTGCCTAAACTATTGTGGAACATTGCTGACATTGATTTACAGCACCTGTTCCTGGCGGGATTGGCAGGAACTCACCCATTAAGGGGACCCAATGAGGAGGAATTTGGAGTCCGTTTCCCGCCCCTGTCTGACGCCTATGACCTCGAGCTGCGCCGCCATGTGCATCAAGCATGGAAGAAAGTCATAAACCCTGAGAGCAACAGAAAGTTACACGAGGGTGTATATGCATTCGTCGGAGGCCCCACGTAAGTAGATCCTTGAGATATTTCGATCCCTGGAATCTGGTTCTGATCGCCCCAAGGTACGAAACAAGAGCCGAAAGTAGGATGCTTCGAATGCTCGGGGCCGATGTAGTTGGCATGTCCACAGTGCCTGAGATTGTCGTCGCCAGACATTGTGGCCTCAGAGTGCTTGCCTTCAGTCTAGTCACCAACAAGGCCGTCTTGTCTCCTGTTCCCAGGGGAGATGAAGATCTTCTCCAAGACAAAGCAGCAGGTGAACTGACTGCCATGCTAGAAGAGGGCATGGCAGGTCACGAAGAAGTTCTTGAGGCTGGCCGTGCGGCAGCCCTGGATATGCAGGTAAGAAATCTAAATGCATCCCTACTTCCATGTAGCACAAGCTGACATTGCACTAGAAATTGGTTGTTCAATCCCTGGTCAATGTTTTTGATCAAGCCTATAAGTGCACGTAGAGACTCGAGCAGATAGATGCCTGCGCGCCCGCAAATGCAACGGGTGGCCAGTCATGAGTTATCATGGAGTCACGAACCAATCCCAGAATACCGGATGTAGCCGGAATTTTATGGCTGCTCCTGGCACATATTGAAGAGAGCAGATATCGAAATTTCACTTGTTTTTCCGACTTCTCTTTGCCTGCAAGTCCTTGTAGAAAGCCTTTTTGCCGCTTGTTTTGGCGGTTTGGATGTCGCTGTACTTGGACTTGAAGCGTCTGTTGCCGCGCTCGTCAGCGAGAGTCTCCTCAACAAAGTTCTTCTTGCGGTCCTTCTTAGCAATGCGACTACTGAAGAATTCAGTTGGGCCCTGGATGATGGTTCCAACTTGAGAAAACTCCGGCGCTGTCGCTCTGCCATTGTCCTTCTTGTAGTGTCGCTTAGCATCAAGCACAGAGCGCATCCGGATGAGCTGCAGATCCCTCTTCAACTCTGGTGTCATTTCTGTCTTCGGGAGGTTAAACCATTCAGGTCCAGCAGTCGGCTTGTCCTATCAAAGGTAAATATTGTCAGCATTTGGTCTAAACATGACACACCAAAAAAAGATAGTAATTGTGAAGAGTGCTCAGAGTAACTATGAAATGAAGCTCTCACTAGTGCAGCACAGCCCAAGACGGACTGGTTACGCTGCATCAAGCGCTTTGCGTTGGGATAATTTTCCTCATAGCACAAGGGAAACGATGGTGAGATAACTGGTAGACTCACTTTATTCGCCTTCTTGGTTCCAACTGTGTGGAGCGTGTTGGACAACGCCATCTGCTTTGGATCGGCGATCTTTGCCTTTTCAACGGTAGCAACATCATCTCCCTGTTGAACATACGGCTCAAAGGAAGATCCGGCTGATAATTTGGGAATCCTGAGAGCTGCAACATCGACGGAGGCGCTCACAGCAGGACCTCGCAATCGGGCCTCTGCTTCAAGCAGAAGCTGTTGGACCTGATCATCAGTCAGATCAACATCCTGGACATCAGTTGAGGATGCCATCCCGGACGGAGAATAGCAAGGAACTTAAGGAGGTAAGGTAACTGGAGAGAATTTATATTTTTCTAGCTTTGCTTGTTGCTTCTCGGGCCCGGACAAACGTTTATGAGAAATTTCTGCTTAGTGCGAGAGTGGACCTCACGTGAGAGAGAGGAACTTGCTGTTATGTACTGGGTACCATCAGATAGCCTAACGCTCAGGCGGAAAATAAGTACCAGTACCACGCTTTCATGTACTTGCAACACAGCTGTATGGAAGTCTCGGAGCAACCACCAGTAAGGTTGAGGTATACACTGTATACAATTGTTCCTGCTTATTGGTACTTTGGAGTGGTCACATTAAATGCCTTTATGTGAACCAAATAAGAAATCAGGCACAAAAATCGCCTATTCGGCCCTATGTAGATGTACAAGCGTAACCAAGAACGCGGAGGGGTGACCCGGAAACGTCAGACAGCTGAGCACCTCCATGCTTGGCACCCTACGCGCTTCAACAGTCCTCGGTCTTCAAGGATACTGGGTATATCCTCTGTTTTTCTTATAGCAGCGCTCATCCCTACTCTCGGTTTTGCGATCTTCGATTCCCTACACGCCCCACGTCTCCTCTCGGTCGCGCGTCGCATTCCTCCTCTTCACCGTGACTGCCCAACTCGCATTGGCCTAGGACGCCGATACCACTTGGACACAAAGAAAGATTCGCAATGGAACCAGCTCCTCAAGGTGCTGGGCAACAGGGCAGGCAGCAACCGCAGCAGCCTGTCTACGATATCAGGAATGGGGGTCACTACGGTAATTAGATTCCAACATGATCATTGCGCGACCAGCTACACGACAGGTTCCGTAGAGCCCCAGTTAGCTTGGTTCCAGTCACTTAGAGATATGAGGGTTCAACCAGAAGCTGACTTTTCATGAATTATAGGGGCCAGTGCCGCGGTATGTCTACGTCTACCACTTTGAGCCGCGCGAAGCTTATCTTCTATGATTATGCGAAGCATCCCAGGCTGGACAGCAGCTAACTTATATATACAGCTCTCAGCGCAAGGCTATGCGCCAGTTGCCGAGTTATACACCGGTACCTGGGCCAATGTAAGTCACTGAGCACATAGATGCCGAGCTTTGATGCTTATCAGAACTAGGTAAACCAAGGTCTCCAGGGAACCGCTCGCGATATCCTCACGACCTACTGGCAACATGTAATAAATCATCTTGAGTCAGACAACCATGACTACAAGATCCATCAATTGCCGCTGGCTCGCATTAAGAAGGTGATGAAGGCGGACCCAGAGGTTAAGATGATCTCTGCAGAGGCACCAATCTTGTTTGCCAAGGGTTGTGATATCTTCATCACGGAATTAACAATGCGTGCCTGGATCCACGCCGAAGACAACAAGCGCCGCACCTTGCAGCGGTCGGACATTGCTGCCGCCCTGTCCAAGTCGGACATGTTTGACTTTTTGATTGACATTGTGCCCCGGGAAGAGGCAACTTCTCATGCCAAACGGTCAAGCCAAGCTGCCGCCGCTCCTGGTCCATCTGCCGCTCCTAGTCAACTGCCACCCGCTCCTCATGGAGTGCAACCGCATCAGCACATGGGCCCCGCGGACTATGGCTCCCTTGGTCAGCACGGTCTTCAAGAGCAGGAGTACCGCCCACAGGCTGCCATGTACCCAGGGACTGTTCAATCAGACCCGACTGCGGCATATGGACAACCTCAGTCCCAAATGTTTGAGGGGATGTATGCCTACCCGCATCTACCTCCTCAGCAGGTATGTGCCTAGTCAACCCCCATGCTTCCTTTTAGCACACGGACTAACGATCCTCAAGTGAGTGTAACATGTGTGCATTCTTCATTTTGTCATTCTAATAGTTCATGCGCGTTTCGAGGCGAACACTGGGCCTTTGTTTTCTCTTTCGTTTCTTTTCTTTCTCTTCCTTTTCTTACGAGCAAAAGGCACGGTGGAGCCCTCAATTGGGCACGAAATTACATCTGCCCACTGGCGATATGTTTATTTCAATCGTGGACTGTCTTCGTGTATAAAAAGCTCGTCTGGTCGGAAAAAGCGCAGCCGCCGCCTTATTCACCTGGATATACCTTGTCTGTTACATACTGGAGCAAGCATAATATCCCGCTAGACAACGAAGTGATTGAGGTTTTATGGTTCTGGATTCTTTGATCTCGCTCCCGTTCTTTCTTCCCGGCTCAGCATTTCATTTATTGTACTCCCATTACTCATGGTACCAGCCCACGGTCATATTGGGGTGTATAGAAACGGAAATGTCTAAATCTATGCTGAAAAATTCCAAATATCCTGTTCGAGACACCTACGGTGCACATTCCGTCTTGAGAGAGAAGAAAATACTGATTTGGATATGACATGATTTCACCTGCTTTGGTGTATACCCATATTTTGCGTATGAGGTTTTCTCCGTTGAAGCAAAATACTCAACCGTTCTTCTTGAACCGCGAAGAAAGCGTCGCAAACTTATCCACCTTCGTGGGAGCTTGGACAGTGCGAGTGAGCCTAGTGGTAACAAATTAGCAATTATTGAAATTGAGATGCAACAAAGTCACGTACTTCTCAAGCAGGATGGGTCCCTGCATAGCATCAACACGTCCATATTTCTTGTTTCTTGTAGAAATGTCATAGAACTCATCCGCATTATCTGCTTGCATCAATTGCACCGTTTGCTGCAATTCATCGAGATTTTCTCGGAGAATTGGAACATTCAGACTGTCTACAAACTGAGCCAGATATTCAACATCCTTGGCCAACGCCGCCACTCCATTCGGATTGATTTTTCTCACATCCGGTGAGAGTGGTTGTGCCTAGTTAGTCAGTTAGTATAGCCTTCTTCTGGGTAAAGGCAATGGAAACACAGTGACGCACCAGAATCATGTTAGCGGCATGGCTGAGGGCGTCAAAGTAAATGAGTTCTTTGATTTCAGTCGGTAGACCCAACAGCGTTGAGTTCATAATGTTGGAAAGGAATCGAGTCAAGGTTTGCATGTAGTTGCTGGGCTCGGTAGGAGGTGTGGGGGACATCCATTCATATTCCGCGGTCTCAATAAGGTCGTCGATTTTGGAATTGACAACCTCGAAGATGCGCTTCTCGGCAGCCTTTTTATTACTCCTAAACTTCTCTGTAGCCCTCAGAGCAATGGAGGTACCCGTGGAGTTTTGTGACCGAGCTGCTGCCAGTAGAAGTTCCAATTCACGACAAGCCGCCTCAAAATGTTCGAGGTTGATGAGGATTTGAACAATTTGACCTAAATATTGCGAGGACAGACGCTCCACCAAAGTGTCACAAACTCTGTGCGAAAGGAGATCATCCAGATCCTGTGAAATAAGTATTAACACCTTTCATGCTTGTTTTCGTGCGTTCTCAGACTAACATTCTTCAGTGTCTCATCAACCACATTTGTGTTCGCGAAACTGTCATTGGCGAAGTAATAAAACTGGTTCAAGAAGTTACGAATATCAATGCAGCAGAGCGGATACATTCGGGAGAATGGCAATATGCAAGGAAATCTAAAATATCAGTCAGGTATCGATCAAGATCAACCAGTCGGGATTCCAAAACATACACTTCTTCCTCTCGCGATTTGTCTGGGTTGTACCAGCTCACATTGAGCACCTTTTCAAGTTCCTCTGGGGTTTGTATTGGCATGGGCATGTAGTCATCCGTTGTTACGACCTAAAAGCGTCAATACAACCGATAGAATAGTGCAGAGAGCCGGTCTTACCTCTTGGAAGTCGTCACTAAATCTTTTCTTCAGGAGCTCCGCATATTTCTCGAACAGCTTTAATGTGAAGTCCTCAAACACATGCACAGAGAAGTTCCACGTCTAGTTTAAAAATTTCAGATATGTGAGGTTTACTTTGCCGAGGTGGGGTTACCAACGTTCATGGTCTGCATAAACAAAGCAATCAGGTTCTTGATGTCGATGATGATTTCAGCATTATCGACTTCAGGAAGTGCTTTGGATATCAAGTTCACAGCTGCTTGGCACATTGAATCCCACAACTCATCAATCTGATTGGATACATGTTAAATCGCATATTGGCGAGGGAAGACATGTCACTTACATCAACAGATGATCTGAGGTCTGGTGCTCTTTTCATTGTTGCCCGCTCAACAATGGCAAAACCAGCCATCTCCTCTAGGAGATTGTGCAGGCTAGAGCCATCCTCATCCATGAGGGTGACGGAAGATGGAAGTAGGAGGTCCTTTTGCCTCCGGCGGGTAGTTGCGTACTCGGATCGAAATTTGTCCATATGACCAAGGGACTGATGGATATGTAGGCACTCGAACAGTGGTGTGAAGTCAACTTGTAGATCTTCGTTCTGGAGCAAATCATACTCCTCATCCTCATCGGAAACAAGTTCTATCGCAGAGTTCAAGCTGAATTGCTCGAGGTAAGGTATCTTTTCGGCCCTTTGTTTTTGTCTTGATTTGCGCTGATCCGTGTGGAAAAGAGCAATTTCACCGAGATATTGGGACATTTCCCGAATCCGATACAGCCAGGTATTCAGATCTGACATCACTGCCTCCGCTATGGCTCTCTGCGTTGCTGGAACCGAACGCTGGATCATAACTGCTATCTTGTATTGTGTCACTCCCTTCAGATGGACATTTTGTAGTTCTTCCAGTGCTCGGAGCGCTGCATAATGATTTTTCTTCGCCAAAAGATCATGGACTTGATTCGCTAAGCGCAGAACCTCCAAGCAGTCTTGGATGGCACGGAATGTCTCATCAATGTTCTGTCGGTGGGCTCGGGACTCCACCAAAGCTTTCTTCTGTTCGGCCAAGCGCTCGGTGCTGGTTTGGATGGACTGGTTCAAATCCAGAATCTCACCCGTCAAGCTCACAGTACCCTCCCGAATTCGAAGCAGTGAATTAACAGATGAGACAAACTCCTGATGGTTTGTGTTGCATATACCCTCTATCTCAGATTCCTTGTCGCCGGCGAATCTGGAAAGTGACTGCAAGAGTTGGGGAGTCCGGTTGCCTACACTGTAGTCCCGGATTGAAGGGATGAGCTGGTCAAGGTAGTCCGTGTCAGAGGGCGAGATGATAATCTAGGGAGCGAGGGGTTAGTTGTCGGTTCAGTGCACTGCATGCTGGCCCTTACCTGGTTCAAGACATGTGGCTCATTGAGCATTGGAGCCATGGGCGCCATGGCTTGGCTTCATATCCTGGGAAATCCAAGGTTACAATTGGGCACGGTGCTGAGTATACAAATAAGTAGACAAGGCAGATATTCCGGGGTCTGACGTCCTCGGGCGGTCTGATTATCTGCCAGCAACGGGGTTGACCGCCTTTCATGCGCTAATTCGATTATGGGTTAGCTTTCCACTAGCGTGAACCTTGCTCAACGACATCTAAGATTTCTATGCTTTGAAGTATACAATTGTTATGATGCCAACTGAGCATATCACTTGTGACATACCCCACGCACGCATGGCTATGTATGGAAGCCCAATGAAATAATTTGGTCATGTTCTGCCTCCCTGTCTTATTTCCCCACTGCCTGGCTTGTAGAAATCAGAACCAGAAGCCATTCAAGCTTACTGCTGCCAATACGTTAAGATGGAATGGGCTTTCTACTGTGTGAAATGCGATATACATCATGAGTGAATTTTCATGTGCTTTCAGTCATGGATGAATGAAGCTGAATGGAGCTGAATAATGTGCCAAATGGTGTACCGGTAGGGTAGCGCAAGAAGAGCGTTGCCTATATCCAAGCCAACCTGTGCAATGCTGCCTATTAAACTTACAACTTCCATTATAGACCAGAAATACGAGAGACCAGATGAACTGATCAAGGATATCACTAAAAGTGCCAAGGCAAAGTCTAAGGCGTTTGGCTTGGGAGAAGGGGAGGGGAGGGAAGCTCAAGCGTTGACGAAGTCGCAATGAGTCGCTCTCGGCGTCAAGAGCTCTGCTTAATGCGGGCGACATATAAGGCCCATGGAATCCCAACCGATTTCTTCCCTCGTCGATACCTCACGCTTCTGACTCGTCCCCATCTAACAAAATCTTGATCTTGATCCTCAATACTAGTAAGTTGCTCATATCATTCATTCCCCCACAAGCAATTTTATGTCCGTTCTCTTTACCCTCGTCGTCTTCACCTTCTCGTCTTTACCTTCTCGTCTTTACCCCATGTTTTCGTCCAGTCCGTGTTTTCGTCTACCCCGTGGTTTTCATCCACCTCGGGTTCAAAAAGCCTCGACCTTCGACCCTCGCCAAATCTCTTTTGTCAATTCCAAAGTTTTGAGACTCGAAGCTTCATTCTTTTTGGCCTGCCCCCTCATGTCTCGTCTTTCGACGTGACATTATTACCATACTTGCCCGTTACTTTGTCGTTACCCAAATGTGCAGAAGTTTGTGAAGCCTTCTCGGGCTCTACGCTTTCTGCCCTACTCACCCACATTAATGCCTCACGGGAAACGAAAGAAACAAAAGAAAAAAAAGTACCCGTTATATAATTGACAATGCTAACCTTACATCGACCAGATCTGAGCTCACGGGCAGCATGACTGCTCCCAACTCTACAGAAGGTTCTCCCGCGGACCAGCTCGCTGCTTTCAGTCCCAGTCCTCTGGGGACTGCTTCTCAGCGAGCGCCGGCCAGATTCCCTGGAATGTCGACCATTCGAACTTCGTAAGCCTCAAGATTAATTGATATGTCCAGTTCTGGATACTAACCGCTCCTCAGTGATCCTTTTATCGGGTTTCCCTCGGGAGTTTTCTCCCCAGGAAGGTCTGTCCGGGGTACCGGCCTGCTTCATTCTCGTGGTGCTTCTACTTCGAGAATCTCTAACCTGCCCGATGATGGTTATCCTGACACTCCAGCTCGCTTCTCTTCCGCTCGAATTGGGAGTTCTGCTTCGGCAGTTCCTGACCCTTCGGGTGGTGGTTTCAATATTCCGTCTCCATTGCACTATTCGCCTGCAGAGATGCATCACTCATCGCTCCCAACCCACTTCACTCCTGGGGCTCTGTATTCCCCTTCCCAGCCTGGCCTTTCGGCCTACTCGCCGACTCGCATTGGCTTGTCCAGCTCCATTACACAGAATATTCTGAACCGCTTGCTGGCTACTTCTGGCAATGAACCTGCCAGACTTGATCCAGTGTTGCCCGCTTTCCCACGCAGCACGAGTGCTCGGAGTCTGACTGACATCTCTGGCGTGTCTCTTGCCGCTCGCCCTTTGTTGACCAACGACAACCAGCGTGGCTTGACCGTCTATGGAATTCATATCAACTCTACTCATTGGTCGGTCTTGGAACATTTTCTTGTGAGTTGCAACGCAAGCTGGATTACTGAAAGAGTCAACGCTGATGTTTTGAAGCCTGAGAATTACTCATCCGTCGATTGTGTCTATCTCGGAGACCTCCAGACCCGCGGTCGAGTTTCAGTTTTGTTCACTGATCTTCGCGACGTGGGACGTGCTATTGACCAACTCAGGAACACTCACCCAGAATGGATTGTGAACCTTGCCTCAGCTCGAGAAATTGCGGATATCACGAAGAATGTCGATATCCCCAGCACCGCAAACACCAACGACGGCAAGCTTACGGTGACTGTTCGCAATATCGGCAAACGTCTGACCGAAAGTTATCATAACCTGGTAGAAGGTCTGATTCGTCGTCTTGGCGAAGTGAGATCGTTCCAACTCTTTGAGAACGGACCGGTGGCTCAGAAATATCATGTCGAATTCTACAACACACGCCATGCATTTTACGCTTTTGCCTGTCTCCAAGGATTTAAATACGAGGTTTGTTTGTTTTTTGTCCCTTTGATCCCATGTTCCTTTTGCTTCTGTCTCTCTTCGTGCAATGTGGCCCGAACGCACGATATTAACTTTGGTCTGATCTAGTTCCTTACATTCGATGCGTCCTTCAACCGTCCACAGGATGACACTAACCGTGTTTTTCACCCTCGAACCCCGAGCGTGAGCTCCCAGTATGCTCCAATGACTCCAGAATTGGTTTCTTCGAGCAGCGATACCTCTTCGGCTGTGAAAGGCCCCAAGAGTGAAAACTCCATTGATATGGATCGCATTCAGAGAGGACTGGATGTCCGCAGCACAGTCAGTTCCCCCTCTCATCATCAGCCCCGAGGATAACCTTAATCATTTTTATTCTTGCAGATCATGATAAGGAACATTCCCAACAAAGTCACTTCGGTATGTATCCCTCAACCCATCTCTTGATCCTTTGACCAGCCACGACTAACTTGTGCTTTATCAACAGGATCAACTCAAGGCTATCCTGGATGAATCTAGCTTCGCAAAATATGACTTCATGTATCTGCGCATGGGTAAGTGATATCCATGGTATTCCTCTTGGTTGGCGACTAACTCTTGGTTACCAGATTTCAATCATGGCTGCAAGTGAGTTCGAAACCTCATTCTCTTTGGCTGGTGTTGTTTTTGAACACACACTCACACCTGCCTCCCAGCGTTGGTTATGCATTCGTCAACTTCGGAGACGTAGGTGCCCCCTCCTGTGCTGTTCTCTGATCCTATGCTAACATTTTCCAGGCCATTGATATCGTTGACGTGAGTATCAAGATCCAACCTATGGCATCTGCTGACAGTATTCCTCTTCACAGCTCATGACAGCTCTTCAGGGCAAGACTTGGTAAGTTCGCCCCCATCTGATTCGGACCAGAGCATGCTTGCTAACATGATCGGTAACCAAAGGCCTGAATCTCTTTCCGAAAAGAAGGCAGAGATCTCTTATGCCAGTATGTACTCCTTCATGACTGACAACAACGATGATTTAACAACATTCGAAAGCTCTCCAAGGAAAGGACGCGCTCATTGCCAAGTTCCGCAACAGCCATGTGATGACCCGTCCTATCAGCGAACGCCCTCGTGTGAGTTAAAATCCATCTTGATTTGACCTCAGCGCTAATTTCGATCAATTGCAGCTCTTCCACATGGGCGGACCTCGTTCCGGATCCGATGCACCGTTCCCTCCTCCCAATGACGCCAACAAGCTTCGTCGCTCGGTTGCCAGCACAACCCAGCAAGGTAAGACTTCTCATTCTATGATCTCCGAACCTTTGAATTGACTCCTGTATAGGTCTCTATGCTCCTCGTTCTCGCGAAGCTGGTGCTAGAGTCAGCGGCAGTCGCACTCGTTCCCGCGCTCGCACTCAGTCCGTCAGCCAGACCCCCCGGTCTCGCCGTGCCCGAGGTTCTGTGGGACAAGCCATGCACAACCCTGACGACTCACTGTCCTCTTCTCCCATGGAGCTTGACGATGATTACTTCATCAAGACAAACTAATTCTGCCCAACCCCGAGGCTATTGCCTCTGTTCCACGTCGGCATCCACGTTGGCAGCCTATTGAATTACTATCACTATTGAATCTGAGATCAGTGGCAATCGAACCGAAAAGCAAAAAAAGAAATCACAAAAAAACGCACAAAGTCCCTGAATACGTTTCGTACAGGAAGGCAGAGCCACATTCGCATGAAAAATGAAGTATTCAGTTGAGAGCGCCCGGGAAATGATATCTTGTGGAGGGATCTGGAGAGGGAAATTTCATTTAACGCGTTCGCACTCAATTAGTTTATTGTTTTCACGAGAATTGACTTATTGCAAAAAGCAACCGAGTTCGAAGTAGAGTCGGAGCGGGAACGGCAACTTTTCTTCTCCGATTTCTCGTCTCCTTAGCAAAAGCCATGGACTCCCAAGAAATCCTGGCCATCCACTCAATTCTGCATTTAATCTTTCATCGTAACAAAAACCAGCATCATGGTGCAAAGTGGTGGAAATGGCTGTCCGTCTTAAAGCGCACCACCCTGGATCTCGCCCGATCGGGCGCGCAAGCTCATCTCGTCCACATCGTCCCACGATGCTATGTGTATGCATTGCTTGACTTTCTTTAAAACTAGTACTGACATTTCTCCAGGGCGTTTTCTACGGTTGTTGCTGACAACCGCTTCGCTTCGCTTGGGATCGTGCTCCTGGCTACGTTGGCGCGATTGTCCAAAGTGACTGGAATCAGTCAGGAATTGAAGACCTCACCCAGGGCAATCAAACCTAAAAAGACAGGCCCTGTCGTCAAGGAAGATCTCGGGGAACGAGTGGCCCGCGTTGACGCGGCACCCTCTGTCAAATCAGTCAAAATAGCTCGACCTGAATCAGTGCCCGAGCCCGCAGAGAATGACTCAAAACGACGAAAGCCGAAGAAGTCAAAGAAAAAGAAGAATGCTATTGATGATGTATTCAACGGGTTGTTTTAAATGGACTTGCATTCCATGTGGTAACGTTGGTTCGGGGTTTAATCTGCTCAATACTTGTATTTTTATGAAGCGTACGGGCAATAACACCTCATGATTTATGTCACTATCAACACACAGAGAACAAAAGTTCGCCAAATAGGTTCACGCCAACATGATTGGCAGTTGCCCATGCCATGCTGTAGAGATACTTGGGGGAGAAGACGGTCCAGATGAAGAGATGGGTTCGTAGCGCAGTACAAGCAGCCATGACAGAGACCAACGACATAGCGACGTGGAAGGTCAGCAACGCGCGATGGTCTAGTGCGGGGTGCTTTGGCCGAAGACGATGGCCCTGCGAAGCCCACCAGATAGGGCCTGCCCAGTTGCTCACAAAGGTGAGAACACCCACGAGCACCACGCTGTAGCTGCCAACGCCATTGTAGGCACTGGCAAGGTCCACCGAAGAAATAGCATTTGAGCCACCAAATGCAAAAAATGTCATGTACTGGAAAATCAAGGTCGTGATTGTTACTTCGTTTCCTGTAAGGTTCATTGCCGAGAGAACGCTGGCCTGCACTCGGAAGATCAAGAACAATGGGACATTTGTCGCCCGGGACTGTGTCATCAAGAAGATGTGCAAGGCTTCATGGATAGTCTGGTGTGATTCTGCGGATCCAAATTAGTCAACTAAAGCCAGGTTCACGAGGTTTGCAGTCCACAAAGCTTACCACGGGTGGTTTTTGCTGTCATTCTTGTTAACAGTGCCAACAAAACGACAAGACCGAGCCCATAAAAGACAATTCTAGCGTGTAAGACCAATGAGATACTGTAGGGCCATTTCTCCAGAAGCTGAGAGATGAAAGTCCCATCAAGGAGCTCAGGAGATTCCGATGCCACAAAATGAAGCTTGAATGTAAAGGCCAAGACGGCGAGCAGCAATGCACTTAGTTGTGGCAGCCCAGATACTGGTATATTTCGGAGAAGGTGAACCCCGGCATCTGCATAAGTGAGGATGAGGAGGCCCCAGAAGATATCAGGATTGCGTGGGAAGAATGTTCGAGCAATATCAGGCTCGGCCGCAAACTTCTGTCCGGTCTGGTTCCACCGTCGCAAGAGTCTCTGCGTAATGGCAAATACAATCATCATGTAGTTTCCGGACCAGAACGTTGGTGATTGAAGGCGTTTATGGGAGTTTGATCTTGTAGACTGCGATCTGACATGTAAGTAAAAAATCCATCCAGAACATATCCAATACCAAAAGTGTTGCTCTTCTTCCACGTAGCTGCTCGCAAACATCATGAGCCCATAAGTGATGACCATTAATACCAAAAACAGCCCTGAAGATCTATGCCGTATGCATTCTGTGTAGGTAGATGGGAGTACAATCGTAGCAGCAATTCCGGTGATAAACAGGCCTAGACAAAGCCTGAAGATATTGTAATTACTTGCAGTGCGACTCATGATGTCCTGGGCAATCTCTGAGAACTGCAATAAAATCGGACTAGTGGTGGAATAGGAATGTTCGGGGTCATCGCCATCAGATATGAGTTTCTGAATTCGAGCCCAGGCACATTGAGCAGCGTCGATTCCTGATTCAGCCCCGGAAGCACAAGATTCAATACCCTCCCGGCCAAATTTCGTCCCAGGAAATGTTGTTTCGACCGTGTTCAGCAGCTGTTTGGCATTTTGAGATAGAATCTGGAGTTTTTGAGAGTCTATGTCCGAGTCAGTCTGAGTCACTTTGTATCTGTGTGGGATGGTCCAGCCACATACCATATTCCCACATATCCAAGAACTCAGGGATAAATACACCCAAGCTATTCAAAGGAATAGGGAGTCCAAGAAGTCCCGCTAGTGTCGGAGTAATGTCTGCTTGCTCAACAGTCCGATAATATTGCAGATCATCAAATGGTTCCACTGGGCTTTCTCTTCGGCCATTCAAAACCTGGAACCTGGGCGAGATAAAGACCAAGGCAGGTGAAGTCTCTCCGGCTGAGGACCCGCCGTGATTTCCAGCATCATTCATGCCGTGGTCTCCACACAATACGAAAAGCGTTGATTGAAGATGTTCTTCGTTCTGCATCGCGGTATAAATATCCTTCACCACAGAATCCATCTCCTGTTGTTTCGGGATCATGAAGGAACTAATGAAGGATTAGTGATCAGAGACAAAGGTGTGAGAAATGGCTGATACCTTTTGGGGCCTGCCTTATGGCCTATATGATCCAAACCCAAGTAATGCATAATAAAAGCTGACCAATCGCTCTGAGCAAGCTCGGTAGGAACATGCCGAGTCACATTATGGTCTACTTCAGTGAAATCCTATGAGTATTTTAGCTTCAACATGAAATTTGTAAGAACGTGAGTACAGCTAACCGACACGAAGAAGCTCGTGGTCCCATCAGACCGGTCAAACATCCCCGGGAAGAGTTTGAGCCAGGTGTCGTCTCCGTACATCACCAGTCGCTCCCCTCTTGCTTTCAACTGCGCCAACCATGTGTCTTGAAACGCCAAGGTTGATGAAGTGTCTGACTCTGCAATGTTTAGAATCACATCCAAGAAAGATGGAACTGAGCCAGTGGTTATGGCCTTCAGACGCGGCATTGTAACAGTTGGAGAGCCCGCATAGGCCGTAAATGGCAATGCAGCGCCAGATCGGATCAAGCTATATTTGAATCAGTGACTTATATTCACTAATCATGATATATGGCACTGACCTTTGCGTAAACAAGAACCCAGAGTCATTTGAATATACAAAGTCACTGAGATCTCTTTAGCTCCATACAATATGGGTGTACTATTTCAATCGCACCTCCGCAATGCATCAACCACCATGAAAATGACCTTGTCAAATACTGCAGGTGCTGCATTTTCCGTCTCTTCAAATCTCGCTAGTCCGGGAATCAACGGTTTATATGGGAAGAATCCAGAGGAGAAGATCAGTATGCCCGTGGGCACCAACAGATTGGCGATGACAGTCGCCCAACTGTGGAAGCCCGCCATTGCGCCAATTTGCTCAGGGTAGTAAACACAGCAAAGAACTAAAGAAGAGGACTTCGAATTGAAAGGACACTGTCCACCAGGGGGCGGCAGAATTGTGTTTACGATCGACGGGTATCACCACACCGCCTTTGAATACTTCAATGCCCAACTTGGATTAATTCAATTTCCTCAAAGCTTTCAATGACAGGTATGGTATATCATGAGGCACAGACTATGAAACATATGTACGTGGATCGCAGGTGCAATCATCAGTGAACTCCCAAACGCCTTTTCTTCAATCTCCGCTCCGGGCTTCAGTAACTCATTCTGTTCTTAAACCCTCACTTCTTGTTGGGCTTCTTAGACTTGGAAGGACGTGCTTGGAAAACGATGGAGTTACGGGGCTTGCGGTTGCGCTTTTGCACACGTCCTGATTTTGAAGATCGGCTCTTGGGGGTCTTGGAATCGATGTCCATCTCTGTGGCAAAGGAGATGGTTAGTACATGTCAATAATCAACGACCAGAGTGATATATTGTAGACCAACCTTCGTCTTCACCGGCGTGAGAGGCCTTGGCAGTAGCTTCCTCTTGGTTGGCTTTGATAAGAAATTAGCTAGGGTCCTTGTATAATCGAACACGGGGGTACATACCAGAGTCTTCCACATCCATCTTGGATTTCTCGGGGGCTTCGGGCCGGGGTTGTGAAGCAAGCTCCTGGAGTTTGGCTGCGAGTCGCTCCGTTCTAGCATCAACCACCGGACCAAACACCTTCTTGCGAAGATTGGCTCTGTTGCGCTTGGAGACGCTGGCGCGGACACTTTTGGCCATATTGAAAAAGAATCTCAAAGTAAGAATTAAGTAAAGAAAGAAAGTGAGGCAGGTGAAGGGGAGGGGAATTGATAACACAACTTTTTTTTTCAGATAAGTGTCTTATGTCATCCGGAGGCCGCACTTCACCTCCGAGGCATATCACTCTTGATTCGGGCCTGGGGATTTCTTCTTATATACATGAGATGTATCGATGCAGACCCTTGATCATCGCTCTGGCTGAATCGGACTCTTGTCTTTTGAGGAATATCGGGCCAAGTCCTCCTTGATTGCTCCTGCAACTCCTCTCTTCGAACGAAATCATGGCAACCCCAGGCCATTCGACGGACGTTCCAACACTGGTAGCCCTTATCAAGACACTGACAAATCCATTATTGAAGGAACTATTGAGATCTGAAAGCCTCCAGGTGTCAGGCGTGAAGATAGCCTTACAGCTCCGCATCATCCAACGTTAGTCAATCTTTCCCTCTCCGTCTGCCTTTTCCTTTTCCGCCCTCATTCCATATAACCTGCCAAATGAGCTCTGGTCAACATGGTCGCTCACAATTTGGACTAGGACTTGAAGAAGTTGCGACCTCAGACCGTCTGAGCTTCGATGCATTAGCGCGGCGCATTCTTGATGCTGCCCTTCCAAAGTCACGATTCCAACCACATGATAGCAATCAATACCCGGCGCCACCCATTACACAATCCCCTGCGCAGGCTCGGTCGACGACCCTCGGGGTTTCCATGTCACCCCACCCGTACACTGCTGGTCCGGGCAGTTCTCTCGCCAAACCCCCTGCCCCCCATAGGCCCCCAGGCCGTTTGGAGTTTAAAGAAAGTCCTTTCTTTACCATCCTGGAGGCATTGACTCCTGTGGTGGAATGCAAAAGTATGCTGCTCTGGAAATATTAGATTGATCATCTGAGTCTAACTTCATCAAGTTCGCGAACAAACCCGGGATAGCGTGGAACTCAAGGTCATGCTATCTCAGCGAACTGCTCAAAAGTTGCAGATGGATACCAACGCCCGAGTCATGGTATATTGTGCCGCAGATTCAGGCCTCACCCAGTACACCAAGTCGGATATCGCATTTCCACACCAGGTGGAGCTTAAGGCGAATCTTGATGAAGTGAAAGCCAATCTGAGAGGCTTGAAAAACAGACCAGGCACTACGCAACCTGCAGATGTTACCAATTACATTCGGAAGAAGCCCGATTATCCGAACAATATTGTCATGACTTATGCGTTGACGCAAAAGGTCGGAACCATTATGTCGCTACTCGTCTGGTGGAGCGTTCGTTTGACTGTTTAGCTGACATACCATAGAAATTCTTCGCGCTTGCCAACCTCGTCAAACAACATCCGATTGAGGATCTCGTTTCGCAGTTGAAGACACGAAAGCTCATTTCAAAGGAGCAGGTTATACGTGAAAGTAAGACAGCCCTCTCCTTCCTCCATCATTTCCTAACATTTATTGGCATCAGTGAAAAACCGCGCACATGACTCTGATATCGTCGCCACATCGAGTGTCATGTCACTGAAGTGCCCACTATCAACCCTTCGCATCCAGGTTCCTTGTCGTTCTATCGTATGCACTCACAATCAGTGCTTTGATGCATCATCTTTTCTAGAATTACAAAAGCAAGCACCAACTTGGACCTGTCCTGTGTGTTCCAAAGCAACTAGCTTCGAGTCTCTGCAAGTCGATCAGTAAGTTTTCATCTCGTCCATTGTAGCATATATTTTTTTCTCTTCCTAATTCATTTAGGTACGTTGATGACATCCTTCAAACAACTTCATCAAATATCGATCAAGTCACCGTTGAACCGGACGGTGCGTGGTCGGGTCCTTGTGACTCGGACACAGTCAAGCTGGGCGGCATGACGCCAGCATCAGATGATGACGAAGATGACTTGATTGAAATCAGTGAACCAGGTGTTCCTTCTGTAAAACAGGAGCCGGGACCTGCAAACTTTGCTCTACAAAGGACACCTGCACAGTCAAGAGAGGCGTCAACCCCGTCCTCCGTTGCGCGTATGTCGAGCAAAAAGAGACCTGCCTCCATGGTCATTGATCTCACAGAAAGTGGCGACGAGGATGATGAGTTCCCTGTTCCATCTCCTAAACGGCTTGCCCCGAGTCTGCCGTCTCGATCCTTTCCCCGACAAGATTACCATCTACCATCGGCCAGCAGCCCCCTGAATGGCAGTTCCTATCCTCCATCAATTTAGACTTACATTTCCAGCTCACGATCATGAATGGTCGTCTTCTTATCTCGAAAGCTGCATATTTTCATGGTGTTTATGGCGCGATCAGGTTCAGGGTCCTCGGGTATTGGTGTCATAGGTGATGATTTGAGCGGAGGTCCTGTATGGTTCTAGCTATCCTAGTGAAGCAAGTCATTCAATTGGCTGATCGGCACCCGTTTTAACAATTCCTACAGTAATGGCTTCTACTCATATAGTGCAAGTTCAGAGGTGTATACAGAGTAGATCTCCGTAGATAAGCAAAACACTCCGGGCGGAGAGCTTGGACTGCCCCAACTTCACTTTCCGGACTTTCTCTCCCCCATCACGCTCTTCCAGATACATTCAATTTCACTTGCAGTTATTGACCATCCATTGAAACTAGGCACCATGTCATTCGATTCCTCTTCCCCACTATTGAATACCTCGGATCCCAACGCCCGCGTCTTTAGCTCCTCATGTTTCGACTTCCTTCTCATAGAACTGGTGCCTATGGCCGAGCGTATGGCACGGGATCTAGCGACAGAGGGCAAAGATACTGAAGATGAAGAAGTAAGAGAGACGACGTTCTTCCGTCTGGAGTCTTTGGGGTATCGTGTGGGACAAGGCCTTGCGGAACGGTAAGTTTGAACGGTGTCTTTACATTTGGTGCTTCTCCATTGCATCTTCTATGTTTTAGTATGCTAATTCATGTCAATCGGACCATCCAGATTCTCTCGAGACCGGCCTCGTTTTACCGATAATCTCGATGTGATCAAGTTCCTCTGCAAGGACCTGTGGACAGTCCTATTTAAGAAGCAGGTGGACAATTTGAAAACGAACCATCGGGTAAGTGAATATGGAACACCCGTCGCACGAAACAGGCAGAAGTTGCGCCTGTATTGGGAGTTTGAAGCACTCATATAACCAAATAAATAGGGGGTCTACGTTTTGACCGATAGCGCGTTCCGGCCTTTTGGGAGGATGAGTATGGCAGTCCGGAGCGATGCGACATCTATGGCGCAAGCAGTGAGCAATTCTAACCACTTTCGAATTAAGGCCTAATAGCTTACGAATTGACCAAGTACCTCTGGTTTCCCTGTGGTGTCATTCGGGGCGCGTTGGCCAATTTGGGCATCAACACAACCGTGCAGGCCGAGACATCAGATCTGCCAGGTGCGACTTTCCAGATCAAAACTCTCCAGTCCCGGCCTTGAATAAACGTGTAGGCCCGGGTCTGGGCTGAATCTCTACTTGGTTTGGTGGCCCCGGATACGCCAATGATAGCATCGACAGTCCTGGCATTGAGATACTTCTCGACCATCTTTTCGGCCAGGACAACAGACCATTCCGAGTCTCGCAACTACTTGAAACAGGTTACCATACAGGGGAATCTGGATTTTGTTTCATTGCAGGTTGTTGCTAATTCTGTATCAAACCCATCTTCTTCCCGTTTGATCAAGGACACCCACCACACTGTTGTGTCTACTCGTTGTTCATAATCTCATGGTGTCATATTCAAAGCCTATCTTTCCGGGACAAAATTGATTAGCGACGCTCTGTCTTCCGATCTCATCATATCCGTGAAAGAGATGTGCCCATTGACAGGGCAAAGGGGAGTGACAAAAGAGACTCATTATTTTGGGGGGGATTATGCAATGCACGGAAAGAGGGTGGAAGTCCTTACTTTGGGGGTGAGTTTTTGGCAAACTCAACGCCCTTCTCAATGTTGCCCTTGAGACCGCTGATACAAGCCTCAAGAAGCTTCTTCTCGGTCTCGGTCACGCCCTCGAGGATGTTGATTGCCTTTTCGGCACCGTTAGGCTGTATCAATCATGTCAGCTAGCCATTCTTAATACACTTTCAATAATAAACACTTACACCGAGCTCCACGGGGGTGGAGAAGAACTCAACACCGGTGGCCTTGGCGATCTCATCACCGCCGGCAACACCGGGCAGGTAGATGAAAGTAGGCTCGACAATACCCTTCTCGCCCTTGGAGGCCTTGATGACGGCCTCGGCGAATCTAGTAAACGTCAGTCACGGCTAAACCTTCCAGGTAAGAATGAGTAGACATACCTGAAACCGGCGAATGCCATGGACAAGGTAGCGGAACCAGCACCGTCCTTGGCCTTGACAACCTCATCACCACCAAACTGGACACCTGTGAACTGTCAGTACGTCATCTCCATATTAAAGATCAATGTTACGCACGCTTGACAAGGTCATCGTAGCGGTCAGCGGGAATCTGGAAGCTAGGGGAGACCTTGCTGAACAGAGGGACGATGGTTTCGCCAGAGTGGCCACCAATGACTGGGATAGTGGCATCGGAGGCGTTCTTGACGCCGGAGAACTCCTGGGTGAAGGTCTCGGCACGAACAACATCCAGGGTAGTCACACCGAACAGGCGCTTAGGGTCGAAGACACCAGCATCCTTCAGAACCTCAGCGGCAATGGGAACAGTGGAGTTGACGGGGTTGGAGATGACGAGAGTGAAGGCCTTGGGGGCAAACTGGGCAATGCCCTCGACAAGGGTCTTGACGATGCCGGCATTGACTTTGAAAAGGTCGTCACGGGTCATACCAGGCTTGCCTACATGTCACCGATATTGTCAGCAAAGCACGATAAACATAGGGAGCTATGGTTCCGCATACGGGGAATACCGGCCGGGATGACGACAACGTCCGCACCGGTCAGGGCAAGCTTCAATCCATCGTCCTTAGGGAGGTAGCCGGTGATTTTCTAGATGATTGTCAGCGCGGCGCTCACCGGGGACGCTTTGGGGGACACGTACGGCAACCGAGGAGATGTGGGAGAGATCGGCAGCGACGCCGGGGGTGTTAACAACATCGTAAAGAGCAAGCTCGTCGACAAGAGGGCAAGCCTTCAGCAAGAGGGAGAGAGGCTATATCGTGATTAGCTGGGGCTTCTCAAGGTCCCGATTGAATAATCACCTGGCCAATGCCACCAGAAGCTCCGAGAACAACTAAATAATAGAGTCAGTGGTGAACTATTATGAAGGAATAAGAAAAGAGCTCACCAGCCTTAACCATGATGAATTGTGAAGAATTTAGAGATTGAGATGGGGAAGGGGGAAAGCTCAGGAGGGAACCGGCCGATTTATAAAGAGGGGCTGAGAGGGGCAACCCCGGACAATCGTCCACATGTCGAATGACGTGTAGCTTTATTGTCTTATATACCGAACTGCTGTGGTTAGTACATTTCTATCTGTTTTTAGTCCATAGTCTGTGTTTGAATAGGCAATTTTCAAGTCTATATATGTGTAGGTGTCTATTACATAGCCCTATCTACTCTCCCCCATTCCAACCTCCTCTCACCCTCCCGAACTACACAATATCTATCCTTTATCTACCTTTTCTCTCTTTCACTATTCGGCAATTCTCGCTTCTAAATCACCTTCCGACATGTGCCCGGATAATTCCATCGGGAAAAGGCGGGAAGCAATTTCCGTAACCTGAAGGCTCGGGCCGACTGTTCGGTTGTTGAGTGCATATGTTACTGTACTACGATATTCCTAGGCTGATTCCTTTTCCGATTGAAAACTGTTCTTTTTGGAATTTGTTTTCACTCTGAGGGTCTTCCGCCCCGGAGCATGATTGCTAGAATGCATGGGATCTATCCCAAGTCCAGCACGGCGATATACGCCTATCGGGTCTTCCATCCAATCCAAATCCTTCACATGCCACAATTTCTAGGTCATTTCAGGTAAATGCATTTACTCAGACTCCTCAGCCTTGCGGGCCTTGGCACCACGGGGCTTCTGGGCGGGAGTGTCCTTCTTGGGGAGCTGCGAGCGACGGATGGCGCTCACACGGGCAACAGCCTCCTCGCGGATGTCAGCACGGTAGCCGTGCTTGGCGGTCTTGTCGGCAACACCCTTGTAGATCCTGAGAGTCATAACGATCAGTACTGATCAACGGAGAGTTGGTTCATGTGTAAGGAGTTCAGGTTCGCTTACTTGCGGGTGGCAGTGCTAGGGCCATAGGTGACGGTGACAATGTTCTTAGCGGGCTGCTGGGGGTTAGTGGGCTTCTTGGTGGTCACGGCAACACCGTTCTCGGTACCCTGGACACCGATAGCCTGATGGAATAATTAGTGCCCTGAGTTCTTGACAAGAAAGAGAACAATGTACCTTGTTGTTGGCATAGCCGGCGTACTGCAATCCCATACCGTTGTTAGCTACCAATTCCCAAGAGCTATTCACCGGAGTCAACCACCCAAGACCCATACCTTGTAGGAGTGCTTGTTGAGCACGTTCAGGGGGTCACGGGAGAACTGGGTACCACCGCCGCTGTTGCGCTTAACCAGGTAGGAGTTCTGGTTGCCTGTTCCAAAGAGCGATCAGCGAAAGTTCGGGTCCAAAAAGCGAAGTGAAATTCCCAAGTAAAACTGCGAAAGGTTGAACGTACGGGTGATCTGCCAGACCAGATCGTTGGAGATGTTTGTGGCCATTGTGATGAGAGGGTGTTGGGTTGGGAGATTGAGAGATCGTAGTCGCTATCAATCCGTCTTCACGTCGACCAAATTGTGTGTGTCGAATGCCAAGACTTGAAATGGATGTCTCGCTAAGGCGGCCACTTTGGGAATAGATTGGTGCCTTGTTGCCTTGTGGTCTGATTCTTGGCATTTTCGCCTGAATCGTGAGGCATTGACTTTATCCGCTAAATCGGCTAGTTCGGATCTTACTCCATACGCTTCTTCCTAACATGTACGGAGTAAATTGAAAGGATATAAAACCTACTCATGTTACGTATTATACGGAGTACATATCTTCCACTTGATAACCTGACTTCATACATCAACTGTACTGTCAAGGGCGTTGTACCTTTTTTATTGTCAGCTTTCTCCGCTTTCCGCTTTCCGCTTGGATATCTCCAACCTTAAGGCTGCCGACGGATGCGCTGACGTTGCCATCCCCAGTAAACCTACTTTCTTTCTTTTTGTCGGTTTCCATGCCTTTTCTCCCAGTAACTGCTTCCCGTCAACAGGGACACTTCATCTTTTAGAGAGCTCGAGCGCCCCATCGCAATATTCACCCTTAGACCCTCGGCGTACTCATCATGACCTACCTTTTTTATTCCCTCGTTTTCACGGTCATCATATCTGGAACAGGTAAGCTGGTTCGTGTGATATGTTGAACAAAACCTAACGAAACATCAGCGCTGTACCTGACTCGTTCCCGATGGATCCCACTACTCCCAGTCCCTGACTACATCTACCACCGCCTTCCTTCTAGTTTCACGGCTGATCTGGAGGCTGGATTAAGCTCCTCACAATTTGATCTGGCTGCCAATGTTGCCGGTGGCGACTCAAGGGGTGGCTTGGATCAGAAAGCAAAGAGGGAGGTGCGAAAGATCATGAAGAATCAGAAGGTTAACTTCGACGAAGCGCGTCGAATCTACACGGAGCAACGGTTCGCAAAGAATAATATTGGACCTGACGGCCGTCCAAGGGACCCCAAATTTGTTTCGTTTTCGTGATCTCTCCACGTCTATATCCCCAGTCTTTCTTTGACCATAATTGGATTTCTTTTTCTTTTTCTTTTCCTGTCACAGGCAGTGCTGTCTTGTTCCTAGCAGGGTTCTTCATACTCTACTCCAACTCGTTTTGCTGTCTAAACAATGTACCATTTGGAGATATATTCTGTCGCGTTTGAAACTTGGCAATTTCTTTGTTTGCCTTCAGGCTCATAGAGTTGTCATTCAATATGGATAGCAATTATCAGGGGCTGAAAACATTATCGGTCTGGCTGGTATTTCTGCATCAAACAAACCACCTATTATTACATGACCGTGCACTGCCAATAGTGAGCTGGCTCCGTGGCACTATTGGGCGACCGCTGTCAACGTGCCCGAGGTGGCCATGAGGAGAATATCAAACATGAATCAGTGCTTTTGGTCCTGGAATCATCAAATCATATCAAAGAAACCTGTGTCAGGGTTTTATCAGAGCTTTGGGAGGCTCACCGATCACCGGCTACCACCATATCCGGGCTGTTGGAAGCCTGGTGGTAACGGAGGCGCCCCAGCCGGAGGTCCAAATCCAGGTGGTCCGAATCCAGGTGGCGCAGTTTGTGGATTGAAAGGCGGCTGACTAGCACCATTAAATCCAGATGGTAAGAAAGTCTGAGGACCACCGTATCCGGCTTGAGATCGCGGGGGCCGCGCGGGGAGTCCAGGTGGCGGCGTGTTGAGCGACGGGGCGGGAGGAGGAACAGGTCGATGTTGTGGAGGAGGAACACTCTGGTAACCCATAGCTGGCAAAGGACGACCCATGCCGAGGTCGGGTACTTGCGATGGTGCGGTACTCAAGGGTCGTGAAATATCACCGTTCGACATGACAGGTGTTGCTGAAACGGGCCCAGGCGCACCAAACTGAGGCGGAAGCTGCTGTGTAGGAGGCTGGACATTGTGTTTACGTGCCTGGGCCGCCAGCGTTCGCTCTGCTTCATCACCATGTCTCTCGCCTTTGCCGTCCTTCTTGTATGCATATTGCACCGACACCTGCTTGTTCATCAGGTATTGGCCATTCATGTTGGCAATGGCTGCATCAGACGATTCAAAGTCGGCGAATGAGACAAATCCATAACCCTTGGAGAGGTTGTTGTCGTCGCGAGCAATCTGCAATAAGCTATTAGCGTTGGTCATGTTATATCATTAGAAAATTATCTCACCTTTGGCAAATTGATTAGGTTGCCAAAACGGCTGAATGTATCAAAAAGCACCTGCTCGGTGACCATGGGATCGAGGTTGCCAACAAAAAGCTCAGCGCCGATTTCTACAGTTTTTTGTTTGTCGGCCGATGCCTTATTCACGCGAATAGGTTTTCCGTATACACGAATTCCATTCATGATTCTTGATGCATATTCGGCATCTTCCTCGCTGATAAATTCAACGAATCCATACCCCTGGTGTAACTGCGTAACCCGGTCTTTTGGCAGGTGGACGTTCACGATGCGCCCGGCCTGCAGCATCAATTCCCATACGAGACTGTCTGAGGCCCGTTCATCGAGGTTTCCGATATAAACAGTGGCCTCTTTGTCTTGCTCCCTGTGTCTAGTTAGCATCATGACCCCTGCTGACGAGTAAGGAGAGAACGGTTCATACCAATGCCGTGCGCCGGACATGGCAGCGGATCTTAGCTACAGCACAGACAACCTAGTGACACAATAGAAGGACAGTAGAGTGGACTCTGCAGCTTGTATTGTAGGCAGGATTGGCACTTGGGAGATTGTAAAGGTGCAGAGTACAAGTGTTGAAGTGAAGGAGAAAGAAGCTCTGGGGCGATCACTGACTTCGGCCCCGACTTTCCGAAAACTTTTGATTCACCCGCACCACCATCCCCTTCACCAACATACCACCATCTCCATCCAGTGTCGACCAGTGTTGCGCCTCTGGTCTTTTATCTCTCGAGTCGCCAACTACCTCTCTTAATCGCAATCACAATCACAATCACAATGGTTCAATTCTCCGAAGAGACCAAGGTTGGTCGCGAACCTGACCCTTTCACTGGAACAACTAACCCATATTTTTCTCTTGCAGGAGCGTGTCTCAAAGGTCATCGATGTTTCTCGCGTTGCAATTCACTAGTAAGCTCCTCAGGAGTTCTCAAATCATTCCTTGAGCTGACCGATACCTTCCAGCGGTTACTTGCCTCTAATTGTCTATCTGGGTACGTACACACAAGACTTCCCAAGGTTGGTATGTGATGGAGGCTAATTTAATGACAGGCTACACCTATAGCGACCCCAAGCCCACCTTGTTCAGGTATCTCAACTCCAGCCTGCATTTCAACCCGTACTAACTGATCAGACTGTTCTCGCCGCTTGCCTAAATTAGATGGATAGAGGAGACGGCCAGGTCACTCTTTGGAGGAACGTTGGGCTTCAATGAAGGCCACTTGTATTTTTTAATTGGGTCGGAAGATCTATGATCAATCGATTCATACCATAAGACGCTTTCTCGTAGTCTCTGAATTCCCGAGGTCACGGGTTTCTCTCTCCGACCACTTCCACGTCCACTTCCACTTCCACTTCACCCCCATAACTCTTCCTTTTCTTAGGTTCATGACTAGCCATGGCTTCTCGTCATCCGCTGTGGAGACTTTAGCTGGATTCACTGCCGGAATTGTGTCGACGCTTTCGTTGCACCCCCTCGACCTGGTCAAGACAAGATTGCAAGGCAAGCTCTTTTCTACTTTGGACCCTATGATGAGACTAATTTGGACCTCTTCAGTTGATCGTTCTTCATCGTCCCGGCTGGGCAACTCTCTGCGAATCATCCGTGAAATCTCCCATCATGAAGGTGGTTTTGCCGCTTTTTATCGGGGATTGGCCCCGAATCTGGTTGGAAACTCTACAAGCTGGGCTCTGTACTTCTTGTGCTACAGCAGCTTGAAAGACGCTCTTCGAACATATCGTCAAAGAAGCAATCATATGCTCGCATCATCTGATTATTTTCTTGCGTCTGGAAGTGCAGGTGTGTCTGACATGTTCTGGTCAATATCTAGCTCTTATACACTAACCTGTGTCCGCACAAAGGCGCCATTACAGCTATTCTGACCAATCCAATCTGGGTGATCAAAACTCGCATGTTGTCAACCGGCTCTCATGTGCCTGGAGCGTACTCGTCCCTCACGTCAGGTATAAAACAAATCTACCGTACCGAGGGCATTCCTGGCTTCTACCGTGGCCTTGTTCCAGCACTGTTTGGTGTCAGTCATGGTGCCCTTCAGTTCATGGCTTATGAGCAGTTAAAACTTATCCGGTCCGGGATGAACACCGACCGCTCTTCCGACAGCAACCGAGGTGCCGAGCGGGCATTGAGCAATGTTGACTTTTTCGCGATTTCCAGTTTGTCAAAGGTCTTCGCGGGCAGTGTTACCTATCCATATCAGGTAATAAGGTCCCGCTTGCAGACTTACGAGGCGCATCGGATTTACCGTGGGGCGATTGATGTTATTTCCCAGATATGGACTCGTGAAGGTGCTGCAGGATTTTATAAGGGTCTTGGTCCCAACCTGTTTCGCGTGCTTCCAAGCACATGGGTGACTTTTTTGGTGTACGAGAACACGAAGGTCTACCTTTCCAACCTATCTTACGATAGGCCATAGCTACATATACTGCAAGTGCATGCTAGCCCCAGCATATGATTTGAGAAAGCCTCTCGTGGTATACATGGTGTTCTGTGTTGACTGCATGACGGGGTTTTTTTTATTTTTTTTTTATAAGAATCTAAACCGACTTTCTGACTGGTTCAAGACCACGTCTTTCGCAGCATTAGCCGCAAGTCACCAGGCCCCTGCAGTGATTACATGGCCTGGATATTTTATATTGAACTATAATTATGCGTATATAATATAATATAATAAGGGTTCCTACTTTGATCTGAAAGAAGTGCGCTATATAGCTATAGCATACTAGTCAGGCTACGTTGGGTTCGTCGAACTTCTATTAATTGGGTAATAATACCTCTTTGCTTGGGATAATAATTCATATCATGTATGTCAACACTTCCACGGCGTTTCAGAAAGACAGGCATGCCACATGAAGTACGCACTAAGGCCGCTCTCTCACGCGTAGAATACTCCACGTATAGCCACGCTGCCAGCGCTGGCATTTCTCATATTATATCCTAAGGTTTAACAATGTATTATAGAAAGGAATATACGCTTCATGATTTATTAAGGGGATCACACAGGGGTTGTCTACATATGCTAAGTCTCTGGAGGTATATCAATCAATCAATCGAAATTTCATCAGCCTTTTGCAGCCTAAATAGTATCGTAACGGCTATGCAGGCATTTTTTTTTCTAGTTGGAGCAAGCAAGAACTGGTGTTCCATATGCCTGATCATACAGAACTTGAGCTAGTTCTCGAAACGAAAGAGAGTACCAGCCCTACATATAAGGCTAAACCATTGAAAACGTAGTAAGCCCCAAAGCTAGTATGAATGAGAAGCTTAATGCCTATTGGGCATACGGCGCAGAATAAATGCGTGGATACACCTCCTCTGTCCTCTTTCTTATCTTAGTCCCTTTATAGGAACCCCGTAGGACTCCTATAGGTGTTTAGAAAATTCTGGTTATGATTAAGAGTTTATTAGGAGTAAATCAGAAAATCCCTAGTAAAATATGTAACTCACTTCTATGTATACATTAATTCTACTAACGTTATACTACGAAATCTTATTTTTTTAAAGCCTAATTTCTTTGCATAGTCACTTCTCTGTTTAATTGTTCTACTTCTTTAAAACTGTTTAGGTCAATAGAGTGTATTCATTGTACTTAGAATATTATATTTGAAAGTTATAATATTGTTATTCTAAATTCTAGGGGATTCTAGCTAGCGAATAACTAGGCTAAATGGAAATTATTATCTAATGTACTAATAAGATCCTTATATAGGGCAAATACTTATTTTATAATAGATCTAATACTCTTAAGTCCGAGGCTATACCCCTATCACGTCTTCTATAGTAATAAGATGTAAACTTTACCAAGTAAGTCGTTCCCTTTCAAGTCTGTTTATACAATCTAATACATACTAATTAATATATACTAAGTAAGTTAGTTTTCTAATACTAGCCCTTTCTCTTAGGTCCTAAGTGATACGCCTAATCTTATCGTAGTCTTCTTAACGTATTTCACATGCGAGACAGCCACTAACCCTCGGTCGATTGGATTTAGATGCTTTTATCATACCACAACGATATTAAAATGAGTAATAAACCTATTTAAACATATCTAGATATATTATATTTCTATGCTATTAAGTCCTATATAAGCTGTATATTGGTAGGGTCCTCGTTCGAGGCTATAAAGGCCCTCGTTCATACCCTGAGGAAATCAAGTCCTAAAATCCACTCAAAAACTTGGGCTATACGGGCTACTTAGGACTTAATTATCTCTGGTTAGACCTTGACATTTCCCATGGGACTTAGTCCCATAGGAATTCCTACAGAGGTCTAGTCCCGTGGACCCACTCCCATGGGACTGAAAAAAATTTCCCATCTATACATTATTTTCATAATAATAATGGATAAATTGCTGAGTTGTCATAATAAAATACGGTAATTTAAAGGTGTTTTAGCGAGTATTAAGACGAACAAATATTTATTACATTTGATATATTTCGACTATAGTTTTGTGATTTTTTAGTATATCTTTAATTTAGAAAAAGCTACTATAAATAAAATACCGTTCGGAACCGCCAAGAAATGCATTATTTATATAAGTCACGAGATAGCTAATGTTTGCATTGTTTACAGTCCCATGGGAAATGTCAAGGTCTAGTAACACCTACCCTTTGCTTTTATAGCCTTAATAACTATCACCTATGCTCGATTGCAACTATAATCTCCGTCCGTATAACGTTTTCGTAACAATTTTAGCGGTGATAGTTATACTAAGGACGAATCTAATTTCATCGAAGTTGTAGATATCGTTATCCACAATACCGTACTTCTCGATCGTCTTTCTTGAGCAATTAAACTATTTTGATATAAGATCATAATCCTTATATTCAGCTCTCCGATAATCGTACGCACGTGAGAATCGAGTTATAAGCTTATTATACCGTTTAACAAAATTGTAGACACAATATACGCCGACCGTAAGAGGGGGGTCAATATCGCGAGCTTCTAGTAGCAAATTAGCTACCTCTCGTATAATATTTAGCCGAGGCGCTATTCCGCGCTTATCCTAAGGGAGTATCTAATTTTTGAGAGTAATCACTTCCAAATCAGTCAATTTTCGGCTATTTAGGTGGGTTTTAGCGCGACATTTCACCGCGGATAGGCGGCAGCGGAGCGTTCGATCAGGTATGTCGTAATCGCGCGCCAATTGACATAGAGAGCATTTCTTTTCTATTTTTTAAAAAAAAAACCAAATAGCTAGCAGGATTCTACCCTCTTGCTCTGTACGTTTTTGAGAATTTTAAGTACGAATTGGAGGCATGATGGGTGGATAAAAATAGGGAGTTGAAATGAAACGCGAGAATTACGCGTGGGTGCGGCGCTCAATTGAATGCGGCGCTCGCTTGTACGTTACGTTATATCGTTACGTTATATAAAACCTATAATTCTTTTTATGTGCGAAAGATTAGATAGAATAAAGAGTTTTTCGACCTACTGAAGTCTTAATTATTCAGAGTAATCCTAGGTCTCAAATTAGTCGAAAGGTTATCGAACTAAGATTCGATAAAGATTTTGCTGTGACATATCACGCACAGAGGAAGCACCTACCCTAAAATATTGATATATTTGATTGCTCTATCCTACTAGCGATTTCTAGGTCATAAAAGTGCTCGCTAACTATAGAACTTCCTTCTTATAATCACCTTTGCGATCGTAATTAAGCCTATTACGAAACTGGTTTTTATCAGAGTTCTAGATATTATTAGGGTCGATACTATATTAAGGAATAGTCTTTTATATAAGAGAGAACATTTTATATGTTTAATATTATATCGTTTTAAGAACCTAGATGATAGAATTAAATATCTTTTTACGAAGTTTGTAATCTAATTTTCCCCGACCGAAAAAAGGGGTGTAGATCTACGCGCTACGAGTAATAGACTTGCTATTTCTTGTATAGTAGAAGGCCGAGGGGCTACTCCGCGAGAGTCTACAAAAAGAATCTATGTTTTAAGCGATTCTTCAATTTCTATTCTTAGCTATTTAGGCGGGGTTTCCGCGCGAAATTGAAAGCCGCGTGGTCAATATCAAAGTGTTGTACGCGGTATAATAAATAACGCGTTACTTCGCGGATTAAAGTAATCTCTTGCTTCTTGATAATCTAGATATCTAGATAGCTAATAAGACACGACCTTCTTGCGCAATCAACTTGCGAGAGGATTGGGTACGAATTAGTGGCATAATGGGTGGTTGAAGAAGAGAGGTTTAATTATTTGACGCGTTTTGGGTGGGGTGGCCGGCTCGCATGTGAAATACGTTATATAAAAAAATTAAAACCTTCGATAACTAACTATACCTAAATCATTACCCCTAATTCTACTCCTACTACTCTCTAACGTAGTAGGCCTCCGAATTAGAAAACTTAGCTAACCCGAAACGAAAAAAATAAAGATAAATTTATCTACTAGTAATAAAGTAGGCTGCTTAGTCAAAATAGTCCTAAATATTTATATGTTTTATACCTTAATTTATCTAGCTACGTTTAACCCTACTAGTAAATAGATTTATCTTTATATCTTTGTTTTGGGTTACCTAAATTTTCGAATTCCATGAAATACTATATATAACTAGGCCTATATTAATGTATTTCTAAAAATCGTTAGAAGTAATGGTATAAACTATTTACTCCTTACTAATTGTGAACTACAATTAATACCTATCTTAACTAAATAAGTTTAATATACCCCGACTTTAAGGAACGTCTTGGGTAAGAACCGATAGAAATATACATGCTATATTAAGTATAAAATCCTCGCTTCCATTCTAGTATCCTACGTATTAGGACTGTGAGGATTTAATTATAAAGCCTAGCTTTGACCTTTATAAGTAGTATTACTTACACCCAAGACTATACGACGTCAGCTTTAGACAATAGTAAAAAAAAGAAAAGAAAATATTGTTTTGACGCTAATTCGGCTGTCCAAGGGTGTTAAAACAATTGCTGCGTCGCTTTTGTATGTATATCCAAATGAGACGGAGGACAGAGAGGTGGATAGTGTATCCCACATTTAGTTTGTACCTACTGCCTTCGGCACTAAGACTCTGATTTGTCGTAGCTTTTACCTACGGATTAACTAGATTCAGAAGAAGAGCGATAGATCGATTACCTTCTCTAGATTACCTAGCTATTCTATAAGTAGATAACTAGACTATCGTAGCTTAAGAATTTCAAGCGCTTTATATAGGAAAAGAAAAGTTATTCATCTACTAAGATAAGATAGAACAAGTTTATTGCTATAATATAAGCGGAAATCCTTATCTAAAAAGACTAGACTAATAATAACAAGCTATCTGTAGCGTTATAAGTAAAAAGAATCTTTATAGCGTCATTTAACAAAATATTAAAAACAGTCTCTCTTATAAATTCGCTATTGTATTCGTAGTTAACTAACGAGTTATTGAAATACTCTATCTTAT